GTCTAAAGCAACATAAAATCCTTCTATTTTAACAATAGCAGTCTAAAGCAAAATAAAATCAAAAAATTAAGCATTGGCTTATATAATTACGTTTGACAAAAAAATTATCTCAGCGATGGGATGGTAGGTAGACAGGCGTGCAAGGCCAGTCGTCAAAAAGAAAATTGAGACAGCCTTTTCTTTAAGAAACTTTCTTTGATATCGCAAAACCTTCTTAATTCAATCATTAAACAAAGCAGGGAACATTTTCACTAAGAGAGATCAAATTTTTGCTTGCTCGCAGATAATTGTGTCACGAACAATAAACAAGCACATGAAAGGTACTATGAAGTGAAGGAAAACTTCGAATTTTGATGCGTCTAGTTCACTGGAAAATGCACCCATTGAAGCAATTTTTGCTACATTACAAAATAACCTTACTATTTGAATTGATATCCACAGGCGGAACGCTATTGGATTACTTTATTCGATCTGCTGGTAATCATTCTCGTCATTCGCCCACTCAACCACGAATCACTGTAATGTGGAGTTTGGTTCTCACTGGTTTCAGTTTGCCAATTAACAGTTAAGGTATAAACTTGCCGAAAAGCGAAGAGGATCAAATAGAAATGAGAATAGAAACAATCAAATATACCAGCACCTATTATTATTGATTTTTCAAGTTATGTCACCACAAAGTTTGACGAGTAAGCACAATCTGCCGAGTAAAGAACCGACTCAAAACTTTTGCCGTGGTGTCACACCCCCCTCCCCAACATCCCCGTAGCACCACCCTTCGTTTATCCCACAACTCAGAAAGTTTTATTTCCGCCATTGTAGCAGCCTTTAAGGATCTTCAGCCAATCAAATACAAAGCACTGCTACTCTGAACTTCATGTTTTATGAGAGCATCAGAAATGAGGCTTTTTAAGATATATTTATTCTCGCGATTGTAGTTATATGATTTTTGTTATTGAATGATTAGCTTGCTAGAGGCAAAGGAGGTAGGCCGAACCCCAGAGGTGAAACCAAAAAACATTTTTGGAAGGGTAAAGTAGTGCTTATTGCCGACAGAAAGGGCCTGTCTCACTCTTCAAGGGTGTAGTCAAAAGATAAATACTCTTATATGCTGCTTTTAGGCGTTTTTGTTTCCAATTTCACACTTTAGCGCCATATTTTGAAGTTCAGATACTATGGAAATGTAATACGTTACAACTGTTGCAAGAAGGTTACAGGGTAAGTGCAAAAATTGTTTCTTTGGCCCGGCAAAAACCCTGAATGTGCCGACGGACAAATTGTTGCGGGGGTACCGCACTCCCTCCCCCCGCACCAACTTTGGCGACGACCCTTGCCAACCTCTCGTGGTTAGAGTACTGGCCTCTAAAAAGATTAATGTCAGAAATAAGTTGATCTGAAATAAATTGCATTGTTTGCTATATTTAGCTTGCACAAAGGGTTGTTTTCCAGCATTCTTTAGCGCATGACCATAACATAAAAATATTAGGGCCATAAAGAAGCTCCCTAGGAGAGTTCTACGCTACTGCCCATTATCCTGCCACCTTGGCTACGCTGTTGACGTCTGCCAATTCATTTCTAGCAGCATGGCAAAATAGTACCGATTGAATAGTTTATTCGAAAGCAAAGTGAACCTAGTAATATCGAAGAGTGCGTTATAAGATAACGTCTTTAGAATTTTTGTCAAAAAAGAACCAGATGTCGTGTTTTGTTGCACAGTAATTGATTGAGAGAAGTCAAATTCTGCCTTTAAATTTCTAGTTTTGAATTAATTGTCGCAGTTTTCAAGTAACTAGCACCTGCCAAACTTTACTAAAAGATGCCAATATTACAATATATGCTAATCTATTTACGTGACTTGTAAATCAAGCAGCCAGTTAAAGCAATTCCCGATATCTTCTTTATCTAGTGATGCCTGGTTTTTTGGCAGATTACAGAAAAATGCTTCTGAATCGAGCTGGTATTTATATCAGCAAACCTGAAAAATGTAAATTCAGAAAGGCAAACGAATAGAACAAAAGAGATAATACAAAAAGTAAAATGTATGCGGCTATATTCGAATACCAATGTATCATGAAGATGTTCATTTGTGGTGATTAACGCTTGCCGGGCTTTTTAGTTGACAATTAATGAAGCTTTGAAAACTTTGAAAAATGTGAAGATGGAATTTTGCACAATATTATAAGAATGCAATTTGAAAACCAATATTTCGTTTTTAGAACACCAAAAGGAGATCGTTAAGAAAGCGATAGACTTTCAGCCATATTATTGGCAATTGTATATTTCACATGATGAGAAATTGCAGTTTCATTCTTACAAGAGTTTTAAGTTAAACACTTCGCATAATCGGCATTACACAAATGAAACCTTAGATTGCTCCAAACAGTATCTTTAACCTGACTTGTGGTGTCATCAAAAAGATGACAAGTCAGAATTTCTTCAGCCCATTTTAGTTAGGAATTTAGAAATTAGTCGATTCAGGACAAATCTTTTGCCTTTAGCAATATTTGTTTCAGTATATCTTTCTTTGGAAATGATCATTTGGAGAAAAGCTTTCAGGTTGCAGAATAATCTTGATTGCATTCTAAAAATTTCGTTTTCTGCTTCAGACTAAATTGGTTTAAAGCACTTGGCCTATCAAAAAGCGTTATAACACTTCAAAAGGTTTGTGATTTGCTAATAGTTGATCGACGGATCGCCACTTCTTGTCGATTGACTCTGAGGTAATAAGGGAATGGTCTATTTATTACAAGTCGCATGCTTACTTCAAAAGACCAACTCTGCACGCATTTAGGTTTACTTTCTGCGGCTTTTCTTTCGTTCATAGTTATTTACATAAGCACCTTGACAGAAATCTGTGGAAGTGCGTAATTGTGGAATGAATCCGATTAAAGTATTGCTGATTTTATCTTGCAATTAATATCTTGATTTTATATGTAAATCTTTGACTGAAATTTCGCTTTCAAATACCTGCTAGTTCTTTCTCAATAGATATATTATTTTCATTAGATCGCCATCTGTTTCATCCCGTATAATTTTATCAGAATTGTTTACAGAAACGGGAAATCATACAGGACAGGCAAAGCAAAGCTAATCTAATGCCTCTTTTTATGCAAAAGAGAAGACAGAAACTGCAAGAAAAATTGCTTCGGGAACCCAGAAATGATAATGAAAGATTTCCCTTCTCGTGTAAGCAGCCAGGGCTTGCAAAAGAAACCTGTTTCTCTTTAAGCTGAGAAAGATTTTATCATTTGTAGGAAACAATTTATGCCAAAGAAAGTGAAACATGGTTCTCTTTTAGCAATAGCAAAAATGTAGGCAACGACATGTGTTTTCATTTAACATCACCGCCGACAAATAAAACTTAGAGAAAAATCTTGCAATAACAATCTGCCATCTGATAGCGGACGCAAAAGTATACGGATCCAACAGTTCCCTTGTAAACGCAAGGCCTATACGTACTCTTTTGGATCCGATCCGGAAACCCGGATCCACTCTCTTGTAAACGGGGTCTAAAGTTTTTAAAATATTATACATTACATCACTATTTAAAGTTGCTTCACAAACAAAATTTTGTTTTTCAGGATTCCATATAGTTGACTTTGGTTTCTTGTGATTCTATATAACCAAGAACTCAAAATGGTTGTCATATGCTCGAAAATTTGGTTTTCTATTATAATATACTTTATACTTTTGCTTCCAAGTTGAGTTAGAATCTACTTGCTTTTTCTGCAAATTGATATGACATTATAGACCTATGTCGGACGATGGTCTGAAGCAGTAGCGTAGCGAGGGGAGGGTAAGGGGGCGGCCGCCCTCCATTATCATTATTATTATCATTAATTAATTTATAGTAGGCGCTTAAAGTGAAAGCAAAATAACTGCTAACTGAAGCCTACTAAAACAAAAGCAAAAAATGAAATATATCTAACAAATCTATCTATTAAAGTATATCTAACATAAAAACGATTTTTATATATACATACATATGTTTCTGAAGAAGCTTACAGCGAAACGTCAAACAAGTTGTTTTTTCATTGAAAATCATATATACAGGTAGGTTTCGAATTTAGATGAAAGCAAGGTTAATTTTTTAAAAACACATTGATACCAATGCACAGAAAGTTGGTGTCTGAGAAAAGTGCAAATCTGCAATAAAGTTAGCACCTCAGGAGGGGGGGGGGGGGGGATGTGATATTTCAGACAAATTGAAACGTTATAGAGACTACAAGCAACCGACTTTAAAAAATATTCTGAAATTTTACGCAAATCTAAAGGGCGTGGTTGCAAAAATTTTCTACTCTCTTCGCTTGCAGTGGACCCTTGTCTGTACCTCTGCTTAATGGTTTACAATTTCTCCACGTTTTAGGGTTTATATAGAAAATCCCTAACATTCTTTAGAAGTTTCTGATAAAATAGAAATTTTAATGGCAAAGCGGAAAAAACTGGATTCTGAAATGCTTCTCGGGGATTTTGCAGTTTTGCTCAAAGGATAATGAACTTAGTTTGAAACTTATGCATACTGCTTATTATTTTTAGATATTTGCTTACATCTTCGGAAAATCAGTTTTTACACGTAGCGCTTCCTCGTCTTACCCAATTGAGAATATAAATATTGGAGGAAATGTGAAGGAAATAGACAGTTGAAGAATGGAGTCAATCACAAAAAGCTTACATATGACGGTTACTGTGTTTGATTAGTCACTCATTGCCACGTGACAAAGCTATAGCTTTTCCAAACACATTTACAAAATGGGGCGTTTTCAAAAAATTTTAAGGGTGTGGTCAGCAAAAAGTTTCCCGGGTTAAACCCCGGAACCTCTGTTGTCGGGCTCATCTTTTCCCCTCCAATCCTCCAATCCTGGCTACGCCACTGGTCTGTTGCACCTGTACCTGCGCATCATGTGGATTTTGTTTATACTTTTAAGAGCCAATAATTATTCCTTCAATACAGTACTCCCGAGAATAAAGTGTAACTCTAAAATTTATTTTATTTTGTCGAAACAATCCTTGGCACAAATTACGAAACTATTCTATGAAATTTGAATTTAACTGTTTGCAACGGCATTTATGTTATTTAGAATAAAAACAGTCAGGGACCCTAGATGAAAATTTATAAACACAATTATGTCTCAGCATCTGCTTGACAATCCGAACACAACCTCCTTGTTAAAAAAATCATTCACAAAGCAAACTTGATTATTTCTAGCTAAAGTGGATCTCGCACCATTAACAAAGATCAAAGACAGAAGAGCTATGGCCTTTCCAAGTCAACCTCCCAGTGTTTGAAAAAATATTATTTCTATTATAAGCATATATGAGTATCAGGTTTTAGAAAATATTTGTTTCCATAAGATTCCTATAAAAAATTATTCGAGCCGTAAGCGGTGGCTTTGAACTATACATTGATATTTACGTCACGTGGATTCTTTTTCGACGCAACACACCCATTCGACTTATGGCCTCGTTTTGAAAATTTCCCCTAACCTAATTATACAACTTTTTAGGGCTCAAATTTGGTTTTATCACCATAAATTTAGGCCGGCTAAAATTTTTCATATTGTTTGTGCTTGTAGTTTAGATTTTACGGAGAAATGAAGATTTGACCGCAAAAATCATTCGGGGGGGGGGGGGAACTTTACCCCCCTAGTCGCCAATCACGGTCAAATCCCTTATAAATTTTTTTATCTTTTTGTCGTTACAAAATCAATATCGTGAGCAATACCATAGTGAAAACTTCCAAGCATACTAGAATCATTGCTCGCAATCCGAATCTGAGGTCAAAAATTTTGTACAAAATAATTTGAAGAATTTTTTAAAATGAGGTCGTAAGTCGAATTGGTCTATGCTTATATTTGTCGCGTTATAAGTCTCTCGTTTGATTCGCGGGTTGACCCGTGCTCTAGCTAAATATTGTAATTCTCTGTAGGTGCGTAGCTAGCGGAGAGTGTAGGGGGTGTCTAACACCCCTCCAATAAATACTTCGTGAATTCGTCAGTTAATCTTCAATTTGCCTACAAAATCCTTAGTTTGTCGGTAAAATCAGCTATCAGTAGGTGAAATGGCACCTAAATTTTTCAATTGATGACCCTCCACCCGCTAGTCTGAACGGTTAAGCGATGCCACTGTTCGAAGTATGTTATTGTCTGAATATGTTATTTGAAGGAAGTATGAATCGATATACTATGAATTGCCATAAAAAGGGATTCACTTGGCACGTATGAGTTATTTATCCATTGGCAACTTCAGGTTCATTGCCTCGACGCAACTTGTACCCACTGCAGGTTCTTTGGTATGCGGTTTGCCAAAATCCGGAACCTTCGTTTTTGAGGCATTGTTCCGGATTTTCAAGCAACAGGTAGATTGAGTGAACATTTATCAGTAATACTAGGTTGAAGGGAAGTTCTGTTATGTTACATCTTTACACAAGCTGAAGCATATTACCAGGTATCAACGTTTTTATGCAAACAGATGTGGTATTCAATTTCTAGATTACCGAGCAGAAGACCAAACAACACCGGAATCAATCACGGTTTCACACATACGATGAATCAAGCAAGGTAATAAACTTTAAACTTTACTCTCAACAGTATTATCTACTTTTTTTGCAATGCCAATACCATCACTGCAACCAGTGTCGAGGTATTAAATCAAATATTAACTGATTTGATTTAAGTTGCGAGCGAATTGAATAAAAGCTGGACCACTGCAAAAAGCCAGATAAGGTCGTATATATTACAAACAAAATTGTTCCAAGTTCTGACGCAAATATATACGTGGGACTAATTCTTTTTAAAGCTGACGAATAACATGAATTGTAAGAATAACAAAGAATTGGATTAGTTGGAGGTGAAATCGTAGTTTGTTAACTTTTGGTTACATGTCTTTGGTTACAAAGTAACATGTCTTTTAAGGAAACATGGTTTTTTAGATAATTATCAGCTTTCTAGTTGAGGTCTCCTACTGCCGCTACGACGTTAAACTTGAGTGATATTTAAAATTTTACGATCGGAGAGTATCAACAACAGTGGGTTTCTGTCTAGTTGATTTTGTAACAAAATTTGAACCCTTGATACCAACTGTGGAGTATTTTCATATTTGTACCATCTCAAACTTTTTGTCTCAATAAGGTCATTTGGTTATAGCGATTTTCAGCCATGAAAATAGCAGGCATTCACACAGTTTTGAGTTTGAGTTTCAAACATTTACCAATGTTTTTGTACTAGCCGAACATTGTTAAATAATCATATCTAGCCAATTCTTTTTTTATATTTTTCACATTATATTTGCTTTTCCGCTATAAAAAGATTTATTACTCTACTTGTGAGTTCAATTTAAATTCATTCATTGATTAATTAACCTATTTAGCTGATATAGATCAAGCAGGTGTGCCTAGCATATTTTTTGATTGTTGGTCCATTATTAGCCTAGTGACACCCTAGCTACCACCAGAGGCGGACTGGCAGCAAATCTCTCGGGTTGCTATATACAGAAAAGGGGCCCGTACTACGTATAATGCAAGCAACAGGGGGGTTGTGGCTCCTAGAAAAGGGCCGGGAGAAAGTTATCATAAGGGGGCCCAATCTTGTGTATGATATCTCCAATCATAAACCCAAGTCGCCAAAAATGATGTGTACCTGGAAACCATGCACCTATGAAATATTAAAAAGATCCCAGTTTTTATCATTTTGAAAGGTTCATCTGCTATCTTTGTTGAGGGTATAGCTCCTTTTCTCTAACCATAGATACTTTAAGACTGCAGAAAATGAGGAACAAATTCAATGCTGTAATGCACAATTGATACTAACAAAAGTGCAACAGAAGACATATATGCACTGCGAGCGAAGCGAGGGAAAAATTTTTCGGCCACGCCCTTTAAAGTAGCTTGAAACACGATTCAGAATGCTCTTTACAGTCGTTTACCTCGCTTTACAAATTTTTAGGCATACTTTGTTGCGTTTCGTTAAAATTCAGTTCTTAATTTGAAACTCCTTGCTTTAAGAGAACCCCTAGACCTTGAGGCCCTGGGAGAGTTTGCCCCTCCTTGTCCCCCTCTTGGAAGCTCTGTTCATATTCCACTCATCTCTTTCACAGTTGCCTGTTTGTGAATTTTGACCTCCTCTAATTCTGAACTGTGAACTTGAGTATAAATGTAAGTGCGGCGTTTTCTCACCAAAGATTTTGTTCATATTAGATATTTTCCTGGGTTTTTCAAGCTCACTCGAAAGGGGGCCACCGATTAATTTCCCCGTGTCCCGCCTAGCCACAACGCCCCTGGTAAGCAATACTGAAATGTTTCTTTCTAAGGATTTTATCTTCATTTCTGTGACTTGTATTCTCTTGAACATAGATCCCAGGGGGGGGGGGGCACTCTATACATAGACATACGGGGGGGGGAGGGTAAGCCCGATTGTTATGAAGTTGAAAAGGCCCGGGTTGCGATCGCAACCTAGCATCCCTGCCAGTCCGCCACTGGCTACCACTAGTGTTTAACAGCTTCATTTTTCAGGTTTCAGGTGGCCTTTTGTCATTTTGAAGCTCTTTAATTCTGGTAGCTAATGTTTGAATGGATAACCGTTATTTTTTCTTGAAGTATTTTTCAACTTCAGCAAACTCTGAATACAATATTATTCTACGAAGCATAATTGTCACCTTGCTAAAGGCTGGTTTTCTTATAACGTATTTCGACGCATTTCATCTCAATTCATGGTCCACAATTTTCACGAAATATGAAAGTCATAAAGCACATTTCATCTTAACTCAACGTAATTTAGCGAATTTTTTTTGATGAATTACATTTAGTTACGTTCTGTTTGGATCATTTCGAAAGGCAGCTTTCATGAAGTTTGGTCGGTTCTTATTCGACGGAAATAATCTTAATTGATCGTAGATTCAGAAATGCGATGAAATACGTCGAAATTTGTTATATAAAAAAAAGCCTAAGGACTATAATCTCAAAATCAACAAAAAAGCACTATTAATCTTTTAGAAATTAAAAAATGAGCAATAATAGGATATGTTCTGAGAGTTCACTCGAAACGACTTACGCATATGAAATAGTTTGTAAAAATAAATGTAAATATTGCACCTTTGGTACAGAAATCTACGTTTCATAGTTTGGACTAGAGTAAAGTTTCCTGGAATAGTTAATTAATTCGTAATGTGGCTTTGCAGATCTTTCTGATTTGTTGTTATCGTCTCATTTGTTTGCAGTCTTCTAGAGCATTAGTTATTCAATACAAGTTTTCGTTTGTCGTTGATTGAATTGACAGTTCTTGATCTTTTAAAGACAATTTGGCGATTCTTTTCCAGTATTTCCTTGCTTCTCCTCGCGACAATTTTCATTACAAACACAGAACGTAAGTATGATTTGCATCAAAGCTCATTCTAATTTTTAATACACAAGACGGGGAAGTTTCTACCATAAAGATCAGAGTAGCTCTTGGAAAGCAATTACACATCAAGGCAGCTTCGAAGCATAACAAGGCACGTATCGGCCGGGGAAAGTTACGTCATCGATCACGTGATTTCTATTGTGTTACAAAAATGTATCCAAGGCCTTAAAATATTCAGCAAGGCTGAATGTACCCAAATCATAAGCAAAAACTAAGGTTAAGCACTTTGCTCGATTGTTGTAGAAAATTCCCTGTCTGCACTCCATTGAGTTCTTTCATGTGACTCTGTCACTGGTTTCACAAGTATGCAACCACAACTTCTTGTCTGGACGAAGTTATTAGCCTTTATAAGAATAAATATGACAAATAACCTCTATAGCAAAACCATCTCAAAAAAATGGAGATGCACAAGATATCCGTGCTTGAAATCAAAGACAGAGATATAACTTTTTGTTTGAGCGGGGGGGGGCAACCCTGATAAATAAGTGTAACAACAGCTATATTTTACAAACTTAAAGTATTTTACTTATGCTACTTAAGCCCCCCCAAGCCCCCCCCCTCGGCTCTTCGGACTAATTCAAGGAATTTCAAAGATTTGGGATTTGACACCCCACACCCCTTCGACATTTACGTGCCTGAACAGCATCTACATTACACAGAAAGCTTTAAACTCACCGTATGACCAGCCTAGTATGACCAGCTCAGCTTAAGAATTTGAAGGGAATGTACTCTTCTTACGAATTTTTTTCTTGAGGTATAGCAAGAGTGGTAAAAAAAAATTCTACATTATGATAACTGATTTGTCGTTACAATGTTCAATTGGCCAACAAAGAGACTGATTACTGTCCAAAATGTATTTTTAATGTTCTGATATTAACAATTTTTTGCGGTACAGAATTTGATTTGGCTTTGGATAAAGCAAACATTTTATAACATACTAAAAGCTTTTTCGTCTGACACTCTGACATTCGTCTGACATAATGGCAGTTTTGTTTCTTATGTTGGAAGGAACATGCTGTTTCATCCTATTCCCCAATCTTTGGATTGTGCGTCCTACGTAGCCCCTCAAACTGCCCTTCAAAGAGAACAGCCTCCTCGATCTTGTAGATCTAGAAACACTGTTAAAACAAGTGATTCTGCCATCAGTCAACATCTTTTAGTCAACCCAGATTGTGCAAAACTCTATAATCACGACATGTTTCGGATAATTGGCAGATCCCGGTCGTCCTTCCATCTAGCAGTTTTGGAGTCGATCTACATACAAACGAAAAAGCCGCCATTGTGTAGACAGAAGGAGTTCGTTTACTCTCTTGGACTCCAGTGGTAATTTTTCCTTAGGCTCGCGGCACTGATTGGTCAACTATACCGGTCGTGTGCTTGCGTTTTTCTGATTGGCCTATTTCGACCCACAACTGGGTATATATTTTTCATTGTGTTCTTTCGGACCCTGATTCTGACGTTTTATGCTCTGAGGAGTGTCAGACGAAAAAGCTTTTAATATGTTGTAAAATGTTTGCTTTCTTCAAAGCCATTTTCAAGTTCTGATATTACGTTATTTTTATGACTCCGTCCATATTCAAATTATAGGACACTTGGCTCTCGCAAGCAGTGCTGATATTTCTAAACAATTGACTGAAAGGCTGAAGACATATGACAAAAGAGTTAGGCCATATCATAACGGTAAGCATTGGCATAGAAAGGCCAAGGGATAAGCAAGGCTAGGCCGAACTAATGTCCTAAGTTTGCAGACATTGATTCTTCTTGCTGCTCAATTTGAAGTGTGGAACGGCAGCTTGTTGAGGTGGAAAGTTATTTTTAAGTTAAGACAAGTTAAGTTGACTAAAGTATTTTACAAATACCTTTTTATGTTTGGTGGCTCGAAATTGTAAGACAGACAGACAGGACTGGGACACAGTCTTCAATCTTAAACTTTCAAGTAAATCATAACTAGATACAATTTATGGCTGACTGAAAATAGGTTGACAGCAGAATTTGAAAACAATTTGCAGATTTGTTTCCAAATTGAAAAACGGTTAGTTCAGATGGGTTTTTTAGCTGCTTAGCTCATCCTAACTATCCTTGCCCAACGCAGCAAAGTAGAACAGCGCCTGTTAAATGCAAGTTCGATTTTAAATACCTTAATAACACGGCTAAACTAAATCAGGGCTAGTGCGGAGTGCTTGAATGAGCAGAGTCAATCCTTGTAAGAAATGGGGATGGACGGTATTGATAGCAATGATAACTATGACGTAATGATATATATGACGTAATAGTGATACCCAGGTCTCTGCCTTGACCGATTCAACAAGACTCGTTTCTCTGTTCTAATTCTCACGACTCAACAACCACTGGGGTTTGGATTTCTGCTAATAGTCCGTAGGAAAATCTTTTTCATTTACCTTTTACTTGACAAAGGGGGATAAATATCTTCAAGATGAAGCTTGGATATCACTTATGGCAAGTAGACTTTTTCAACGTTGCCACCAGTAGAAGAAGTATAAGGGGATCAAAATCACGATAACAGACAATGTGCGGTGAGCTGCAGGCAATGGTAAAAGAAATATTTATCATAAATAAAGGAATACGGACGATATATTGTAATCTGTTACAGACTAAAATTTCAATTCATTGAATCAGCCAGTGGGATTTCAATCTGTCCAGCTTTGCTGGGCATTATCTGAAAATAGTAAACACGATTAATTTGATATGATGACAGTAAAGATCTACTTCAGCATTTTGAAATGGGAATCTTGTGATGATATTGCTCTGTCTCATCTAGTAGACACAATTACAAAAAACTGCAAACTTTTATTGCAAGTACAAGACAGGTCCCATTGACCAGCAAAACGTATTTTTAGGTAAATGCAAACTTTCAATGCAACACAGGAACAAAAGATTGCGGGCCACATTATAAAAAAGATTGAGATTTTAAGCATTAAAACAATTTCTCTACATTACGCTTCTGATTTTATACCCTATACAGGAAGGTCATTAGGAATGTAATTAGGAATTTTTGTGGGTTGGGGAGAGGCTGCGACTTCAAATAGGACCAACAGTTGATGAAAATGGACAGACTTTTCTTAATTCTACCATCAAGCAAAGACATTGTGATGTTGGCCAGAAACAAGACATCAAGTATTTTTTAACTTAGAATGAATTTAGAAATGGTAAATAATAGTTGTAATAAAACAAGGCTTGCTTAGGAATTAGGATACAAAACGAGTGTTAATTAAAAAAAAGATGATAGAGAACTAGAACTGCAATGTAAAATCCGACCACTGATAGATTAAACTCCTTTGTACTATGCTGTAATAAACTCAAAACTTATACCATGATGTTGCAAGGATATACTTTTAGCTCGCCCCCCCCCAAAACAACTCTACGAGGCCCCCTCAGCAGCTCCCTGTTACCTGAAACTGCAGTATATCGTAACGTAGACAAAGGGTATATAAAAAACGCAATCAGTTGAAAGTGTTTGGGGAACTGAAAGTTTCTTATTGTTTTGTTTCCAGTGTCAGCAGTAAATGTTTCCGTGAAGTTGGGAGTCATTGGTCTAGGCCCAGTCGACGAAAAAAGCCTGGTAAGTGAAATCTAATATACTTTACAAATTGCCGTTCTGCTTGTTGTTATGGATCTATAAAGCTATACTTGTCAAGCACTGCTAAAAACGCAGAATATTCTTAAGAAATATGACATTTTCAAAACTTTTTACAAGGCTTTGTACAAGTTAATTCAACTGATTTTCTCCCAACCGCGTAAATCTGTTTCCAATCGGCTTCCATAGAATACTGTTGTCCGAACAAAAACAAAAATTTTTCTTTAACTCCAGGAATATCTACTAACAACACGCCAATAAAGCACCTGCTTCCATGCTGAGCTGAAATTATGTTTCTATTCCGAGCATTCCCTTTTATCTTAGATGAAATGAAATAGGCTCAAACAGAAGCCAAAAAACAATAGAGGGTATTACTTGCTTAATCATCTGGGTTTGGACTTTCTAACGTGAAGCTACATAATTTTTTACAGCAAGCATTAGGGTGATCCGTTATACAAAACGAGGTTCCAAAGGGACAGCAGAAAAGTGTTCCTATTAACCCTTTCCAGCGTTTAGTGTTTACAGGAGAGGGAAAGCAGTATTCTAGATATTCAGAATAACAGGGATCACAATAAATAGGCATAGATATGGAAACAGCTGAACAGTCAAAATCTTGTTTGTAGCATATCAATATCTACAACGTTCAGCATTAACCCAGCTTTTACCCCAGGTTATAGCATTCATTTATTTGTTGCTATTTAATGGAAACGAAATCTTTCAGACACTTGGCCTGGACTTTTACTTACGGCATTGGTGGAGAGATGAGAGGCTTGATTTTGGAAATGAGGCATTCAACTTCAATGGTGATCCAAGTGATACAATATGGGTACCGGACACGTTCTTTCCAAATGCCGTTGATATTAAACATCACAAAACTCTTACTCCTAGCGCAAGAACCATAATAGGGCCTAACGGAACGGTTTACACAAGCATAAGGTACGAAAGGGAAGCTTTGTTTTACATATGTAGCAATCACTTATGCCATTCAATGCTAACTATTACGTGCAGATTATTGTCACGACCCAATAATTACACGAAAGCCTCGCAATTAATTTATAAGAGGCATGGTTGAATTTTAGTTGAAGAGGGTAGGAAAAAGTATATTTCTGAGTCTACGGCTTGTTTGATTCTAGAGGAAAGAAACAATAGACTACAAAGGTTGTGTGATTCCCAGTACTATAACGGATTTAATCTTGAAGTCCAGTAATCCGTTTTGTTGGCCTCAACTTGATACTGTTAAATCGATAATGAGGCTGCGTTTCCATTGGAAACAGGGCCTTAACTGCAACTTTTATTATAATATTTCAAATCTGAGTGATAAACTTACTGCAGATTTAGTCTTTTTCAAACTTATTCAGTTATGTCTTGCATCTTTATGTAAATTTGGAATGAATTGAAAAACTGATCAAATAGAGTTCTTGAAATAAAAATGATCAAGCTAACTCAAGCTAATTATTATGCAAAGCTCAGTAACGCTTTGTTCCAGTTTAAGCAAACTGATAGAAAGAGTCCAGAAAACATTATTATTCCACAGCTGTTAGCCGGAGGAAGGTTATGCAACGATGCAGTAGTTTTATGAAAGACCAATGCATAACTTGATAAGGGTATACAGAACGAAAGGAATTTACAATTGTGCTTGAACTTTTCTCTTTTCCTGCAAAAGAGCAAAATCCACCAAACCATTGATAGCTTCACTTATATTTTATTTATAAAAAAACTCATAATTAAAAGATACAAAGAACAAATTTGGGGAAAGCAGGTAGTAGGGCCAATTTCATCCGAAGGAAGGTAATGGTGATTTCTGGACTCTTCTGATTGATGTATTGAAACTGATTATTTATTTCTCTTTAGGCTCACATTGAAGACCTTTTGCAAAATGCATCTCTCAAATTACCCCTTTGACAAGCAGATCTGCAAAGTTGTATTAGAAAGCTGTGAGTCTTCCTCGACTTCTATTTATTTTGTCTTAATTTTCTTTGTCTTTTATCTGATTACTCTGGTTAAATGCTGCTGACCAGAAAACCAAGATGTGACCAAGTTCCTTTGCACAAGCAAATCTGTACAATTTTCGTAGAAATTCCTTATTCCGTTCATCTTTTCCGTGAAAATCTGCGTCCGGCAAGTATGAATAACATGAAAATCCGTGCCATTTCGTCGAGAAATAGCCGGAATTCCATAATCTGCGAATAATTTTGCTCAAATTCCGTTGTTTCGCAAACCCGGATGACCCCCTCGCGAAATAGATCCACGCTAAAAAACCCAGTCATTTTAATTTGCCAAGCTATTTCAGCAACACTCTTTAACCCTATAACAACGTGACAATGGCTTCTATAGTTTGTGATGTCTTATTTATGAGTTCCATTCATGAAAAAGGGCTAAAGACTAAAACAATTAACCTTAGAAAAGCATGAGTTTGGAAAATTGCTAGACAATCTTTTGGTGGTACAAAACTTGTAAATGGCTTTGAAAAAAACAAACATTTAGTAAACTAAAGCTTTTCGTCTGACACTCTTCAGAGTTCACGCCTTATACAAAAAGGGGCAGAAAACGCTCATACTGGTTGAAGGGCAGCAGGATTCTCTTGACAAAAGCATGTTGCCAAAAGGTCATAGCATGAGGCCACCATGATGCCTCTGCACCCCCAGACATTACACTAAAAATAAAATTTTGATAGCGCAACTAACATTTCTTGCAGACGCATTTACTGGGAGAGAGATGTCACTCTCTTGGAAGGATGCAAAAATTCCTGTCGAGTATTTTTCTGAACATGTGCAGCTATCAGGATATGATTTGGTAAGCATTCATGGAGAAACTGACGTGACAATCTTCGATAACGGAGGTATGTACAACTACATACCTGATTTAGACTTCTTTTTCTTTACAAACTGTCTCATCATCCGAGTTTTTAAGTGTTCTTGCAAATATATGTTGAAATTCCAGTACGACTGCTGCACTTCAAACAGATTCAAACGATAATTTGCCATGCACCAAAAAAACATCTCCTGGGGACGTCATCTTTCAATAACTATTGATGCGTTCACGCAAAAATTCCCTAAGGTGGCCTGACAACTTTGAAAGATGTAACAAAGATCATGCACATTTACAATCATAGGCATTTGGAAAAATAGCAAGATTGATACACCTGGGCACAAGTTGGGCTAAGTTCGTGGAAAATGATTTACAGCACACCCCCCCCTCCATTTCTATCGCCCCAAATTCACAGGCCTAAAGTTTAGCTATAGATCAACACTTAAAACCTAAAAACAGCTCCCAAATCCTTACCATCACCAAAATGTTGTACAAATATAAAAAGAATTGGACTAAGCGCATGTCCTTGATAAAAAGCAGTGTCGATCTGCCATTCACATTGTCGAGGCATGTTGCGTTTCTACCCGTTAAGAGAACCCTACAACCTTTTCCCGCTTCCCTCAATGGGGTTTCCGTTGAAAAAGGCCCCTTTGACGAGAAGTTCAACTGCACTCCAATCCAATGAAGAAATCTCCTATTAGCAAATATTGTGTCCCCGATTTATTGTAACGATGCTTTTAAAGAAGTGTTAGTGTCAAATAGTAATTATGAGCTTTAGGAAAACCCAGAAAAGTAGTTATTTGTGTTAATGTATCTTATTCTTTAATTTCCCCAGAGAAGTTCGTATCTCTTGTGGCTGCAGTCAACGTCAAACGTACATTTACTTACCATCTGTTCAGTGGGTATATGCCAACAACACTTCTCGTAATACTGACATGGGCCACGTTTTGGATCCCGCCAAAAGCTGTGCCGGCGAGGGTTACGCTGATCGTGACGAACTTCTTGTCTACAATATTTGTAATTCAACAAGAAGGCTTGAAGATAACTCGAGTTGATTATACAACCGCGATTCAGATATTTCTCATGACAAATTTGGTTTTTGTTATGCTGTCTATGGTAGAATACCTCATCGTCCTGAATACCCCTCCCAAAGTAAAGGTAATGTATGGATTTATCAAAGGTACCTTTGTATTAGCATCACCCTGTTACCCTACAATCAGCCAATACTTCCACCTACCTGATTTTAAATGGCAAAAGGGCGTAATGTCAACGTGAGCAGATTTTCTTTTGATTGCTTTTACATGTGAGACAGTAAAGTATCAGCCTGTTGTGGTTGTGCATTTGCAATCATAAAAACTTTGCCATGTCTTTGTATTGAATAAAAATGACGAGAAGATTCCCTTTACAACACATACGTTGCCTGTGGTTCAAAATCCCCATTTCGTATCGAAACTTCTCCTTACCTTGCAGCAATGTCTTATCAAAAGAGCAAGAGTTTATAAAAAAACAATCAGCTTACGAATGTTCACAAATCTGCTAGAATGTAATTTCAGGTGAAAGATCTAAAATAAAACTTTGGTAAATCGGCCTAACCTCCTTGACAATTTGTTACTAAAAAGTTGAAGAATGATCAACAGTCTTAAAAATTAGTTTTCTTCACAATTCCTATAGCCCATCATAAGAACTTTAGGACCTGCTCGTTAAAAAATTTTCTAACAATCTCATGGAAAAGATGTCATACTGAAAGAAATTACCACGCACGCCACAAATGTATTTCCTTCTTAACTGGAATGTGTAGAAAACATTCCAGGACGAATTGCTTCTCAAAAAGATCTTTCTTTTGTCTTTAGAAGAAGAAGAAGGTAATTGTGATTGCGAACGGGCTAGCGGATAGTCTTCCTAATGGAGATCAAGAGCAAAAGGAGGGAAAGCAACTAGAAGCAAGAACTATTGCTCAACGCTGCGATAAAAATTACTACTACGACGACGTGCATTTTGTTGATTATTATTCCAGATTGATAGTTCCTCTGTTATATGCTGCATTTGTAGCTGCATACATAGGATACTTTGTGAATAAAACGTGACAGCCAATATCGTTCAGGAAACACAAGACTATGCGGTGCTATCAACGTTTCAACATTTACAAACAGTTATAGATCTCCTTTTGGAACCAGTTATAGACCTCCTTTTGGAACCAGTTATAGACCTCCTTTTCAATTACTGCAAAGGAGGCTTGCAAACGACACCTGAATATGACTACAGAAGGTTTCGGGGCTATGAAAGCTTCCGTTCTACTTTGCCTCACAAGCGCAAACATTGAAACATAGTCTCGAGAGCAATTAGATTTCCATGGCCTTCCATGCTATTGATATAAATTTATCTCAATTAAACATAAATAAATATATCTTTGGAACTGGCATTATTGCATATATCTACCTATATTAAATTATAAAATACTGAAATATTTATTGGTTGAATGGTATATATACATATTTTATATTTCATATCCGTCCTTATTGAAAGGATAGATTAGATCAAACATGTTGTGCTTTAACTAAAGCATTTCATCTCATATAAACAGCCATAAAGATTTTCTCTTCATAGTATTCGAAGGCTTTGTAATATAAGTGACATATTGTTGATGGACTTTGTGGAAGACAAACGATTTACTATACAGACAGACTATTGCAGTAAACAAGCGACAACGCATTCATGAAACCAAAACACCAGGGTGACAAGACAAAAACCTGAAATTACCTATTGAGCAAATGAATCAGCTCTATACAGCCATGAAAAATATTTCTTAATAATACGAGATTGGACCAATTAAACTTGATCAGAAATGTCAACAAAATCTGACTACAACTGCGGCTAAACAGCATTTCTGAATACAAAGCACGGCAGCAAAGCATAATGGATATTGTCGAAAGGCAGGAGATTTAATGAATATGATCCATTGAAAAAGATGTTATGATAATCTTTCTGCGTCTTAAGCAGGTTAGAATCGTCAAGCCATTGCAGCTGCTCCTAGTGAAAAATATATGATAGAAAGACAATGAAAGAAAAATAGCTTAATGTCAAAGAGTGTCAGACTCGGATAGGTATGTCAACTGTCTTGATTAAATGCTGACTCCGCTGTCTAGCAATGGGAAAAACCAGGCACAATATAATGCCACTGCCAATACAAGGACAGTGAATAGTTGATTTTGAGAATATTTTGGAGAATTGAAATAAATTATAGGAATAAATTAAAAATCATAAAAATGAAAGTAGTTATAGGCCAACGACCATTTTAGGGAAATGAAGTTACATCCTTATAAAATTCAAAATTTACTTAAGACAAAGAAATTCTGTAATTATCTAGCTTCCTTCCATTGAAAACAAAACAAACTACTTTAACAATTCTTAAGAAACGTTTGATAAAACGAACTTACGTATCATGAGACAGACGAACGTTTTGTGAAATGAACAAACATTTCATTTCTTAACAAAAAGGCCTCTGTCCCATTTTATTCAAAGTGTTTCTTAGATGCATGAAAAATCGCCACAAAATCTGTCCAAAAATTTATTCTGGCTGTTATTCGAGGATCAGCATGGGGACGACGAGCACAAGTTACATACGACAAACAAAAGAATTAGCAGCAAGATGCATCTAGACTCTAGCTAAATCTGTAAATAGGTTAAAAAGGAGACAAAAAAACGATTACTTGGATAAAAGTTTTCCATTACATCATGATAAAAGAACTTAAGAGATATCCTTAAGAATGAATAGACGAATAAGGAAAAATAAAATGCAAAATTTCCTCTAGATGTCTTTCAAAGACCTTCCTGGAAAACAACATTTAAACAATCCTTTGCGGGATTATGGCTTTGCTTAGAAACAAAATATGATATAAAAGATATGAAGCAAAGATATAAAAGAATTCACATAATATCTTAAGGATATAAAAACAAGGATGATAAATTTGCTATATTTCATATCGAAGACGCCGCTCTTCATACAAGGAAACAAGAAAAAATAAACTGGCTACTGAAAAAACATGAGTATTTTACATTAACAAAACAAGCTTAAAAACAAACTGAACAAACTAAAATTTTGCAAATATATTTAACACTAAAGTTAGAAGAATCGATAACGACGGAAATTACCAGTTCTGTTTGCCTTTGTTAAAAGTACTTAGTTTAACGTAATCAATCTTCGTGTGATCAGGTCTCTGTCCACGTGATCAGGTCTTTGTCCACGTGATCAGGTATCTTTTCAAGCGATCAGGTCTTTTTCCTGGGCACAAGTCTCTTTTTCACGTGACCAATCCTTTAGCCTGGGTTTTACTCGAATCATTGTTTTATACAGCGAAAGATTTCTAGTAGATGCCATGGTACCAGAACATTAGTGGGCAGCACCCTTTAGAGCTGCTTTGACGAGTTGTCTTAAAACTTTCAATGATTTTATGAATTGGTTACTGGGTTCTGTTTCCTTTAACAAAGTAGTAGCATTGTTGACTTGTATGGAAAGGTTTTCAAGAACCCTTGGCATGTGTTCAGCGGTAATCTCATCTTTCTGATCCAAAGCAGTAATAGCTTCAGATAAATAGCTGAAAAAAAATCAGGTAACAATAGAAAAAACAGGCAATCAACACGACAAACTATTGATCCATACAGACCCCAGGTCGCTTTTGTGAAAGATAAATTCACATAGTCTTTCAGCTAGGGAATAGCTAAAGTTGCAGCGATTTTAAAAACATCAAGCTGTTCTATGGACCTAACCAAGACCACTGTGAGTGCAAGCTTTTGAATACAATAAGCGAAACTCAACAACCAGTTTCTTTTTCACAAGACATTCTGGTGAAACATGGCACAAATTGGTTATGCTTTGTTGATATGGTGCGATAGAAGGGCTGTTGAACATACTACGGATAACTAGGAAAAACTGCACAAAAAAGGGCCTATTCCGGTTTCAAACTAAAGCTGCAAAAGGTTGTTGAAGATGGCAAATAGACAAACTATAAACGCCTTGCACGACAAAGCGATGTCTTTTGTATTTAAAAAATAGATTCTAAGTAAGCTACGGATAATCTATGGCTCTTGCATCTAGACTCTGAAATGCAATGAAATGGAGGACTGGCATGCATAAACAAGTTTGCCTTGGGAAATATATAGACATAGGTGAGGTAGGAAGTTAAGAGTAGATTGAATAATTTCAACAAAACTGTCGAATTCTGTTTAAGGAAAATATTGCGTGATGTGATTGCTGATTTTTTTGCTGTAAATGACTTATGAAAACAATTGAAAAGGCTTACTTGACTTTAAGGTCAGTCTCAATGGTCAGCTCGGCTGAAAGCTGCTGGATAAGTGACAAAATAACGGGCTGCGACAAAGCATTGCCTTTCTTTGAGAAAAGGTCTTCCGCATCCACTCTTTGGCAAACGTACAATACCATATTGAGATCCCCAGCATTCAATGCGATCGTGAAGGCATTATTGTAATCCAAAGATTCGATGTTCTTGTTTAACTGATCCTATAACAAGTTAATTATTTGTTTTGATTAACAAACTATTAGGAGAAATTTTGATGAAAAAGTTGGCTAGGGTAGGTATATATAAAATTATTCAGCTTATACACAAGTATATGATAAATATGAGTATGTTGACATCAAAGTTGTACTTAGAAAATATGATGGTCTATTTTCAAGTGTTCAGGTAGGAAAGGGTCTTTTCTTTACCAAGAATAGTTTTTCATTCATAAGTGAGTTACATAAGAAGAGGAATAAATGTACAAAGTATTTTACAGAATCAGCCTCCACATTACCATCAAATAGAAACATTGATGCATATAAGAAATAAAATAAAACTGAAAAGCTCACATATAAAGATTGGTCGAAATATTAGGGGAAAGAAAAAATGCGGTTTTGGATTTTATTGGATAAAAAGGAGGGCTTCAAAACAAGACGTTACAGAAAACAAAGTTCTAAACGGGTTTTGAGCTACCATTTTATGTAACGCAGAAGAATTGAAAACAAATATACATCGAAGAAAAATGAAAGCGAACTAACAAAAGGATCCTCTGAATAGCCACTTGTCTCCTTCGCAGATGCCATTCCACCAATTGAAATGAGTTCTTCTCTCATTTGGTGCATTGATTTGTCAAGATGTGAAACCACATCTTTTTTAAGTCTAAAACGACAAAAGTAGGATAAAAGTGGTTTGCTGCTTATGTATCGAGTAATAGTTTGCATTAATATAACAATATTCGGTTACATAAGATCGACATAAAATAAAGATAACCTTAACCAAAAACGGATTTGCTCGACTGAAAATAAATGTTTATATGGACTTTTATTGCCTCTTTCATTGATCCTCTACTTCTTTACATTAGATCGCCATTACCAGCTTATCAAGAGTGACTAATTCAATTTGTCTAATCAGGAGTTGTTTAGTTAACATTCATCAAACAAGAAACTACAAGTTTAAAAGAGGGGTATATGACTAAAAATAATGCAAATAATATGTAAAACTTAGGAATAATTTAGTTATAAAATACGAGCAGAGAACTCAACAAGAAATCAAAAGTTGCAAATTCCTTTTGATGTTGCACTGAAAGCAAATCTGATTAGCTTCAGAGGCAAATAAAAAATGGTGAATCTTTATCGGCACATAGGCTGTGGTCCACGAATAGTTCAAAACTAAAAATTTAACTAGAATATAAAAGCTTATCGTGGATTCGCAAAAGATTATCAGGATAAGTCAAAATTGTCTAGAATAGTCAATAGCCTTTTCAAGAGATGTTCATCTTTCAACCGAAACTGGACGCCTATCATTTTTGATAAAAAAGCATTACATTATGGCAAAACCTATTTATTGCTTTATTCGTAATATGGGGATCACAGGATATGGAATTCGCTATCTAGACTATGTGTGCTTCTGAATCTCTTTCTAAATAGCATGAAATTTGGTGAAATAGCATGAAATATGGCATAAATGTAATTTGGTGAAAAACTCGGTTCCTTCGAAGAAGGAGTCATGATCTTCCTCTTCTCATAGACTAAGGTCTGCCAGGAATTTGTCACAAGAACCTAACTGTTTGGTTTTGCCCAGACAGTCCTTTTTAATTTTTGGGTCTTGTTCATTTTGAAATTACAGACAATACTTTATCCACACTTCAGCATGCGGTATAACCAGTAGATTCTAGATACCTTATGTCATTAATCGTAGAAAAATAGTTTCGACTTACTCATTCACCAAATCCTTTATTTGTTTTTCCATCACAACAAGCAAGTTGTTTTCGATTCCAGTCAGACGATCTGCTGTGTCCTGAAAAGTTTGCCCCAGCCCTTGAAGTTGCTTTAGAACCTGATCACGTGATTGCAGATCCTTTTGTTTTCTACTGTCAAAATAGGACTCCATTCTTTCAAAATCTACGGGGAGGCAAATATCCACTGACATATCAAATCCTCAAGTTTGATTCTAACTCAATGAGCCATGTTAAGTTCCGTAAACTTAGCATTAGAAATGTCTCACTGAGGGTCTTTCATTTGTTCCAGTCACCTTTCGTTAAAAGTGTACCAAAATGCAGTTCACAATTTTACATGCTTCTTCAAATTAAAAAGAGTAACAATTAATTTCTAAGCTTGGAATATTGTAATTTAATGCCAACTGATACTTGAATTGACAAAAAATTGAAATTAAAATTGATCAAATAGTTTTTGCCAAAAAATTGCGTTGAAACCGGTATGTACTTCCCAAGTATATGCATATTTATCGGTGCAACCTACTCAGTGATAAGCTTAACTTAGAAAGCTTAACTTAGACATCATGAAAGCTAAATATTACTTATGGTGCAAAGAAACTAAGAAATTGTTATTGCTGCATGTCGACAATGACCCTGCGATTTTCAAATGATCTGCTTTGGATGTCTACCTCACACAATTAGCTTACAAAATTGCATTTTGTACAGTATTGTACTGTATTTGTACTGTATTTCTACTGTATTTGTACTTTATTTGTATTGTATTGTATTGTGCTGTGTTGTTCTGTATTGTGTATCTATAGTGTATTTATATTGTATCATGCAAAGTTCTGGAATTTTTGTAATGTCGGGTGTGGAGGCGACTCGATAACGTTATGTTTTTTGCCTCCATCTCAACAACGGTTAACTTGAGTTTTTTTGTATTTGTTTTTATTGTGTTAAAAAACACAACTAGCATGAAAAACACTTACGTGATCTGGTGCCTTTTTCAAATTCTCTGCTAATCTGCAAAAACATTTGGCGGCAGCTATCTTCAAATGAAGGTATCAGCACCTTCTCAAAAGCATTACGGTATGCATTTGGTAGTGTATTCTCCAGTACAGCAGTGGCACTGAATTCGAGCGACTCGACCACAGCCTGCTGGAAGAGATACAATTATATATTTGTCTAAACATCTCTATTATTAAACGAAAACAGGAAGACAGATTTCACGGCTTGAAAAAGATATCACAAGGGTCTGTAGATCCTTAGCCTCAAAACAGATGTGAAGTAAGGCAGACGAGGTAAAAATCAAACAAGGAAAATGTGGTTAATTAAAAATTTTTGAGGAAAAACAAGAAAAACAGAAAAGGTGCAGTCACTATCACCTGGTTACTACTTTCATTTCCTTTGGCTAGTGAATAGTTAGTTGGTTTCATATAAAAGAAAACGACATATGTCGACAAGCGGATCTCCGTCTCTCAATCTTGCCCCGTATCTATTCGTCCTTCAAGACTTTACCAATTCATAAACAAAGCAGGTTGTTAAATTGGTTACTGCTGGAAATTAGCCAAAAAGTTAATTCATATTCTACCTCTAGGGCTCGGAACGATATCCCAGCTAATATTAGATGAATCAAAACACTGGTGCTGCAAGAACTGATAGCGCACAAGCTGCATACCCCAAAATACACCGAAACATGACACAATGGAAGGACAACCTATTACTTCTCTCATAGATATCATTTTCACTCATTTAATAAGACCACACTGTATCAGGCCTTCACGGAAAATTTCCCACTAAGACGACAAAAGGGAATTTGTGTGTAAATACAAAAAAAACGAATGTGTTTAATGGCTTCTCTAATAGATCGAATCCATTTTAATCTTCTCAAAAAGTGTGGAAAGGTCTATTTTGTTTACCTGGATCCGATTCTGCGCTACAGTTTAATTAAATCCAGTAAAATGTGCTTTAGCAGTCACTGTTTTCCTTTCCTTAGATAGAAGGGTCTTAACAGATAAAACAAATCCGACCTATCTTTTAACTACTCCACCTTGGGGGTAAGGAAAATTGTTAATACTGAGCAGTACCAAAATATTTTTGGAGGGTGAGCGCTTAAAGGACAAATAATCAGATCATGTCTGGACAGTTCCTTTGATAATTTCCAAAATAATTCATAAAACATTATAAAGGACATTTGAAACTTCACGAACATAAAAAAATCATAATTTTTTTACATAAAATTAAAATTGAAATATTTTGCACTTCTTTGTGAGATCGCTGCTTGATTCGTCAGAATAAACTTTAGTTTGGACAAGTTCCGATAAATCAGCAAGACCTGAGCCGAATAATTTACCTTGCTGGCCACCATCGCCTCCACTTCCTCGCGAAACGTCTTTTCCATTGCTGCTAATCGCTGAAATGAAGAAACAAATTTTAAAAAATTGCTTTGAGAAAAGCAAACATGTTGAGTCATACTGAAGCTTTCGTCTGACAGTCTTCAGAGTATAAACCGTCAGAACATAAACGTCAGAATATATACCCAGTTAGGGATCGAAATAGGCCACTCAAAAAGCGGTTTTTGTGTAGACAGGAGGAGTTCGTTTTCTCTCTTGAACTCCATTGGTATTTTCAATAGGCAAGCGGCACTGATTGGGCAACCTCAACAGTCATGTGCTCGCGTTTCTGATTGGCCTTTCTTGATCCACAACTGGGTATATATATTTCTTAGCGTAGATTTTTCGGTCTATGTTCTGACGTTATCTACTCTGAAGAGTGTCAGAAACTCAAATTTTTGCTTTTTTAAAGTCATTTTTAAATTTGTGTACCACCAAAAGATTGTAAACAAATTTCAACTGAATTCTGATCAATTTGAAATACAGGGATGAAATGACTATAAAATATACGTAGATCTATTCCAAACTTTGAAGAAATATTATTTAGAAATTATGAAAAGTTATGCTTCTTATGTGACCGCAACTCGTGGTTCCCATGCCTGGAATTACAGAGGGCTGGTGACTCTTCCCACTTTGAGGGAAAGATTGGTCACATCAGGGGCGCGAACCGCGGACTTTTGGATCTGTTTTCATCGACCCTAACCACTGAGCCACCCTGGTACCTAAGTTTTGAAATATCACAATAATTCTAAACGATTTGGGTCGTGCTACAATGCCTGCCAAAAGTACTTGGAACACCCACCAATTTACGCTGCATTTGATATCTTTCATTCCTTTCATGAAAAAAATTGCTACTTCCGCCCCCTTCCCCCTCAAACAATGTTGATGATTTAGAGAAATATCATAAAAGAAGCGCCAAAGAAAAAGCTTCCTAAAATCCTAACCCTTTGATAGTAAACCAACATTGTTCCGTAAAGGAGAGGGGGATGATTGGTTTTGACCTTGGAAATTGATGTCAGTGTTCCAAGACTTTTGGCAGGCATTGTATGTGTATCACAAGAAGATCAAAATACACTGCAAGAACAGAGAACACGCCAAAACAGAGGAAGAGCGAACAAATGTTTCAATCCAGGTTCACTGAGCAGCAGAGAATTTACTTACAGAAGAAACTTGCGAAGTGACTTGCTCCATGGCAAGAGTGATTGGTCTTTGAAAATCTAAACAGGATAAAACAAGAACTCGATAAGAAATATTTGACGAGACATCTTGAAAGTGACATCTTGACATCTCATATCGCAATGCTTGTCAACAAGTAGTACAGTAGAAACAGCCTTAAATTTCCCGACTTTTTCGTTTTGTACTTCCAATCAGAAATTTTAACTGATTCATAGTCTAGAAAATATAATACACGATTCAAAATAAGTGATTCTGTGATTCCAGTCAGCGATAATGTCTGATTAATGACCAAACATACCAATGAGAAATTTTACCTTATTTATAGCCTAGACAATATCATACACCATTCAAAGTAAGTGATTCTGCGATATAAATCAGCAATGGTAACTGATAAATAGCTTAAAGGCAATCTGTCACGACGTTTATCGGTTATAAGAACAAAGGGATTTTTATTGTTTCCAGTCCCCCTTTAATTTATCGCATTGTAAAAAATATGGCGGAGCGCTGGAATCGTGTTTAGGCTATTGTTCCAGCTATTGTTCTCGTTAACCAATCCACAACGAGACAGATTGCCTTTAAGCCAACCATAAGAAGTGATTCTTAAATTGAAAGCCTGTACTGAAAGCTAAATAAAAACACCAGTATGATCGAATGACAATTCGATTTTACCAAGGCAATACAGTGTTGGACGAATTAGGGCAGTCGTACAGTTTCATTACCTTCCTTGTTGTTTATCCAATGGGTATATGAGGCTGGCGTTCACATCAAATCATCAGGCATAAACATGTGACTTTTTCAGATAACATAATACCATATTCCCAGCAAAATATCCAATTGATTTTGTATTTATATAAATAATAATTGTGAGAATGACATACCGGTTATTGAAAAGGAATACTTACTTGGCAGCAAGTTGCTTCTGAATTCAGCTTTCAGGCATTTTTCAATTTTTCCCGTGACAGCAGTGTTGACTCCTTCGAGCAGTGCAAGCATTTGTCTTTCTTGCGCATGCTTCATATCTGTTTGCATTGTAGACGTTAACAAATCGATTCGCTGAGCTAATTTTGATTGTCAAGGAATTCAAGACCTAACATGGTGATTCTAACAGTGCAGTACATAATTGAGTCAATGTAGGCAGGAAAGGTTGAGGCCCAATTTTGGATTGTCTGATATCATTGCAGCATAACGAAACTGCCGAAAATACAACTTTCATTTTTCTCCTGTACTTTCCTAAATCGTACATTACAAATTGATTAATTATAACAAAGCGTTTAACAAATTGCAAATATAAAAGCAAGGAAATCTAAAATTTATCAATGATCGCAAAGAAATGACCTAAATAAAAAGCAACTCTTTAAAATAAAACAGGAAAAAATATTTCAAAAGCAAGAAACAGTTTAAGAATCATCTTTGCAAATGATCAAACTCAACAAAATATTGGGCAGCAAATAATCATGAAGTCATAGAGAAGATACAGCAAGCTTTGGTGATTTCTTTTACTGCCTTGTTGAAGTTAGGCGCTGAATTCTTCTGAATTTGCTGCAGTGCAGCCTTCATGCTTTCCTTCTCTGCCAGCCGCTGACTCTCGAGCCGTTCGTTTCGTTTCATTTGTTGCTCCAAAGTTGCTGTCAGTTCCTGTACTCGCCGGGACATTTGCACCATCATTTTTTCTTGATCTTGCAATGTCTTTAAAATTGTTTCCATTTGCTTCGAATTCTATGGATGTAGAGGTTTTAAAGTCTTATTACTTCACAATTGGGCAACAAAGATATTTAATGCAACGTAGTGGAAATAATCAGCATCTAGAACGAAATATCACAGAAACTTCACTTTACTTTTATTGGTTCATCTTACTCGGTTCAACATCAAAACTGAGCTGGCATCCAACTTATTCACAGATCCGTCAGCATCTGATTCTTGGCAAATTCATATCTTCTTACAACGAAAACGCACTGACAAAAGTGTTATTCGTGTCGCGAAAAGAAGAAAAACATAATTAAGAGAGAAAGACAAAAACTTAAGCATCTATTTTAATCAAGAAAAGGAGGGGAAACAATCGAGTTTTTGATCGGGTGCATTCTCGTTGCAAATTAAGCAAACGTTTCGTAAGATTTGATTTCCTTTAACTTGTTGTTGCTGCTGCTATCCATCCATATAAATTACAAACTAGCAAAATACACAGCAAACTTACTCAGCTTGTACTTACTGGGCTTTAAAAATACGATAGACGACAGTACAAATGTTTTTTAAATGTCTACTGACCTCTGGTGCATCTACAGCGGACATTCTTACATCGGAAGAGGCATCGCCATTTAAGCCTAGGCCTAACAAATCACCAGTCTTAATTGTCATTGAACTATCTGAGCTCGAGCCAGTTGATTTTTCTGTCACGCTATCTGCCGGCATCCTACTGCTGCCCCTGTTCGACAACACTCTTTTGTTTTCCTTCCCACTTTTTGGTGAACCAGACTTATTTGGTGAGACTATTCCTAAATCCGCCATAAGTTGTCTCCTAGCAAGTTCATTATCAGAAACAGGCTTTATCTCATTCCAGTGTCCAGCGGAGGCATTGCCTGTCATGGCCTTTTCTCCTTCAAGACCCTTAGGCCTTTCCAAAATAGTGATGATCCCCTTGCGCGGCTTTGATGGATTCAGGTCCAATGATGAACTGCTGCTCATCTGGGTAGCTTTCTTCAGCCGTGCCCCATCTTCCGAATCCTTTTCATCACTTGGCATCGCTTCACTAAGTTCAGTTGAAGAACTATCCACGGGAACTGGTTCTTCCTCTTTGGCGGTTTCAACACCCTGCTTGATACTGCTCTTCTGTTCCTCTTCAGGGGAAACGGTATCCTTTTCTTCCCTACTCAACTCCTTCTCCTCTTCCTTAGTACTTTCATCAACCTGTTCCTCTTTGGTGTCTTGTCCTTCACTTTGGTCAACGTGAATTGAGGCATTTTCATAATCTGTTGCTTGTGATACACTGGAAGTACTCTGTGTAACGCCAGTTAGGCTACTCCTACTGCTTTTTATACTTTCTTCTAAGGCTGAGATCTTTAAAGCAGCTGTGGCAAAACTATCGTTGTCCTCTTGGTCTGAAACCACACTACCTTGTTCTCCTGTGATATCTGACATACCGTCACGGATAGCTAAAAAGAGCAAACCTCGATCATTTGAGTCGTACATACAAAAAATCACGAGAACAAATTAATGTTGTTTCAGAAGTTGGAAAAACATTCTACGAACTGCGAATTAAAAAACCTAGAAGAATGGGCAAACGACACTTTTACTTCAAATACGCCCAAAATGATTCTGGGCATTTTGGAACGAGAAATTCCCAATCTCGCTGGAAACAATTGAAGAATCTCTGAACCAAACTAAAAAACTTTGGAAAAAGAGAACTGATGGTGATCAATGATAGAACCATGACCTTGGTCACACGGTAGTGGATTATTCGATTAAATTAAATCAAGTCATACAAGTCAAATGCCCCTCCCCTCCCCCCCCCCATTTTGACAAAATATCATGATACCTTTGAATGGGGTCCTTGTCAAGAAACCTGTCCATTTAAATGCATAGTAAGTGAAAAAAGAAAATTGAATATATTATGGAGATATTATGATCACGCAATTACTCACACATGAAATCTTCCGATGATACAGCCGTACACTCTGAAAGCGCTACAGGCGGCACTGAGCAAGTCGGGGTATATTTGATGTGAAGCTTATCCAACGACCTGAGAAAGAAAGAGCCGGCAGTGAGAAAAGGGGGGCGACACGTGCGACACAGGCTTAGAGAAGATTATTTACTCTCCATATGGAGAGTTTCGAAATTTTAACAAGAACGATGGATGGCATCGATAAATTAGTAAACTGACAGTATTTTTCTACATTGAACAATTAAAGTGCAATCACCAAAAAAGGCCAGGGTTTATTTTGAATAAAGGCAGATTTCTTTTAAAGGCTTCCTGGACCTCGCTTGCTAACTGTTTGGTACAGATGACTGAATGAACACTTCTCTCAAACAGATATCAGACTAACAGTGTTATTAAACCGATAAAGTTATGCATAACCTAAGAATGGAATGGTTTTCATAACACATATAATAACAAAACTTCCGAAGATATAAAGCAAAACCATATAATAAAAACAAGGCAGAATGAGAAATCCTAGCTAAAGTCACAGCTGTAACTAAATGAACATTCCCTAGTTGCATTGCATATGGAAGAAACCAAACTTCGGCTAAAAACACAACTGATACTGGGCCTGGGGTCCCGGTAATGAACGCCACTCCCCGGCCGGAGCTATGGCTTGTGTTACTGTTTTCGCATGTCAAAGTCATCAAATTGAAATAACCCTGCTTACTTTACGTGTATCCCGAACATTTTCAATGATACTTGATATGCACTACTGCCAGTGCTCGCGAGTGCATCACTGTTGTTGTAATCATCATCAGCATCTTCTTCAATGCCATTTTCATCTCGATCGTTGTGTTCATTATCATCCTCGTCTCCATCTGCATTGTCCCCATCTATTTCATCTTCCTGTTTCCTTTTCTTTATTGTCTTTGTATAGTGCACTGAGAAGCACAGAAGGGGTTGCGCAAGGAGGCATTCTGTCAACGAGGTGAAGTGGGCCGCACCCTCCTGACTGTTCTGGTGCAACTGTAGTACATATAAGACCTGGGGTGAGAAAGACAAAGTGTTTTAAAATCTCAACTTAATTACAACAATTTAAAGGTATAGCTACAAGACGAGTTGTTACCACTTTTTCGATGATGATGATGATGATGATGATGATGATGATGATGATGATGATGATGATGATGATGATGATGATGATGATGATGATGATGATGATGATGATGATGATGATGATGATGATGATGATAATAATGATGATGATGATGATGATGATGACATACGACGATGACGTCATGGTGGTGTCATTTTTGCAGATGTTCAGGGAAAGTTTAGAGTTAAAAGTTGACACCGCTTAAATATATTATTTGGATTTATTTTTACCTGTCGTCTAATGTCCGAAAGTATGAAGAAAACAGCTGATTTATCCAAAACAGCTTTTAGTCTTGGGTGCGGGTTCTTGCTGCTAAAAAAGAAAAGCGCAAATTGAAATTTTGATATAAACCTTTGATTTATTCTTTCATAGTTCTATAAGCCTCATTTTGAGGCAACAATGGAGAATACAAATTTTTGAGCCTTTTTCCATTTGAAATGAAGCTTCACGCCCTGATCGCAACAGCAAATGTATGTCTTTAGAGCTTTACTTGTTAATTCCGGAGTTTTTAGGATGACTCCTCTTCTAGCAGAAGTTACATTTGCTATGACTACGCGTTTGATCATTTCTCGGAAATCTCAACCCCTTTTCTCAACTACGTACTGCCCAATATTCCCTGTTGCCATCAAAAACTGGTTTACTAGAATACTACTTAGAAAATCATATTAAACTTCAATAGCTTGGTAAATACCTTTAAAGTTGTGTCTACATATGAAAGGGGTTGAAAACGATAGCAGTGTAAATTGACCTTACCTGTCAGAAGGACTTGATGAAGGATGAGGAGAAAACCTGGCAATACAAGAAATGAAACTTACAAATGTCTAGAAAACGTGGACTATGGCACAGAAGATTTTCAATATTTTATCTCCAATTAACCTCATGTCATAAGTACTTATTGAAAATTGCAGCTACTCCGTTTCTTTAAATTTAAAGTACATACTAAACTTCGGATAGACCAAACTCCTAAAAAGATATGACATATAACATTCAACCATAAGCTAAGTTATATAAAATTCCTTCTAGTCATATCAGGCCTTTTGGTAAAGGAAAAACTTCCAAAAATATCAACCAAAGCTATACAATAACAGCAAGGCACAAGAAATCCTAGCCAACAGCAGAGCACAAAATAAGCAAAATTCTCTTACTTAACAGTTTGTAGGCATTTCCATGACACAGAGCACCAAACTTTTATTTCAGAATTGAATTCTGCCCCAGTTATCAGGAATCTCCACGATAACATATTTTCCTCTTGTGATAGAAGATTGTCGCAAAAGAATAGACCGGTAACTGGTTTCCCATCGTGAGGTAGCCATTCATGAACACAACTGCAAAAATAGGCACGTGCTGAGCATACCGATTTGTGGGGAAATTATTGTGAATATCTAACACAGAGCGCATAGTAAACACAATGAGATTCCATAACAATCATATACCAAACGTACATACAATTTAAATAGTTGTTTTTCTCCAAGATTATATGAACAATCTTTCCATAGAATGATACTCAGAGTATTAGAGAGTTACCCACAGTTACTAACGATTACTAAGTTAAGTTACTAGCAGGGAAACAATCTTTCTAAAAATTATTATGTAGTTATTACATGGTTCCTATATTTTCACAGCTAAAACATTTTAATGTTGATCTAGAAAATTATCACGGATTCCAGCAAATATCAGCTTGTTTCCTTGTTGTGCGATAAAATATAACTCACTGCCTTATTACCTTGGATCGGCTTCTGATTCAAAATTGATGTTCCACATTTTAACATATCCATCCAGACTACTTGTAGCAAGTACTTCATAGTTCGGTGAAATAGCAAGCTGTGTTATCGGCTGTAACACGAAGGAAAATTACTATTAGGGCATGACATACTTTCCTTAAAAATGTTAATATCAAATTATGATAAATTCGATATCAAATGCTACTCATAATTTGTGATACTACACGTCGGATATGACGTCACAAATTGAGCCCATTCATTAGAATTTTGGTGAGAAAATCCAAAGCAAGTGAACCAGCAACAGGCGAAAAACTTCCAAACTACCCAATTTCCATGTCATAAACAAAACTTGAATTTTCGCATCCAATCCAAATGTTAAAGGGATTTTAAACTTCATTTTTAATATGCTCTAAATATGTTATAGTACATATGAGCGCGAGTGATCTTGTAAATACCCAATTTGGCGATGTAGTTTCTTGATCTTGATGGGGATAAGTCCATTTTACCGTTCAAAACATAAAACTGCATAGCCTGCTAACAGTCTTGGCACATAGCATTACAAAATGGCATCGTTGCAGTACTACCCCTTACTCCCTTGAGAAATGCTGAAAACCAGATTTGCAAGAACCCCCTTGAAATCAGAACTTAAAGGCAATCTGTCTCGTTGTGGATTGGTTAACGAGAACAATAGCTGGAACAATGGCCTAAACACGATTCCATCGCTCCGCCATATTTTTTACAATGCGATAAATTAAAGGGGGACTGGAAACAATAAAAATCCCTTTGTTCTTATAACCAATCAACGTCGTGACAGATTGCCTTTAAAACTCATGCGACGAGGTGCATTCGGATAGTTTAAGTAATAGGTTTTTCAGCCATAATTATTATGAGGGTGGTGGGCGCGAAATCTTTCAATTTTTAGAAAATTTTCAGTGACTACAGACTTTTCCAAGGACGTCTGGAAGAAATCGCTGGTTGACAAAAAGAAACATACTTCTTTATGTCCATCATGAATACTTTGTCTTCCATTCTTGATATCTTGCAGAGAGCAACTGCTTCCATGAATCTTCTTGATAGTGGTCACATTCAAAACATCAGTTTTCTCTCTGTAGGTGATAGCAACGACGAGTTCACTTTCACCCTCATCTTCACTATCATCTTCAGGTAGGTTCGGTGCCCATGAAACGAAGCTGTATTCTGTCAGTTGGGTTTCGTTTCTTAGTACCTCAAGTACCAACTCCGAGCTTTTCAAGATTAAGGTATCTTAACATTTTTCTTTTATAGCAGAAGAATACGCATTGTAGGATTGCAGCAGAACAAAATATGATTGAATACTATATAAGTAAATTTTACTACGCAACTGCTTCCAAATTACAGACAGAGATTAAACGAAGATCATGGCTAATGGAAAAATAGATATGGACAAAAACAAAGTGCCAAGGAGACAACAACAAAACGCTAAACACTACCTCACTGAGTGCTGGAAAGCAGTTACTCGTAGAATATAGCTCAAGAATACTGTTATTGATGCAACGTCCGACCACGAATAAGCAATCAAGATAGAAAAATATGAACTTTATATGACAGTGTTAACGGAGTTCTTTTGCATATTTTGGCAAGGTAACCACTAAATTGGAGTTTACTTGCATCATATCTTGAAACTTTCTTCGAAAGTGCCACCAATACTGGCCAGTCTCTGGGTTCATTGTAAACAATAATAACCTGCCTACAGCAATAGGAAACGTGGCCAATCAGTGGTATGCAATGGTTAATATTTCATAAACACTTATTTCATTGAGGTATTTTATCAATCTGCCGTCTGTATACTCTTATGAACCTGAATGCAAATAAGAAAGGATACTCCAAGCCTTGGCTACCTTCTGAGATCAGGAAGATTCGCAAATTGCCCACTATGTCCATACAAGCAATATGATCCTCAGTTGGGCCTCCAAACGCCAAACACATCACCTTGCCTTCGAAACCTTTCAACAGGACCCTCGATGACGTAATGTGGTTTATCACACGAACATGCTCGTTTTCAGTCTTCCCTGTCATCGTGAGAGAGAAGTCAAAACTATTGACAACTGAACGAATATACAAATACAATAAGGAAAACACAAACAATTATGGCGAATCTGAAAAAACAGCATTCTCAAGAGATTATGTTAGCTGCGTGTGGTTCTTTATCCAAATAACGACAACGAATACCTCCAAATATCTCCAAATAAATCAGATACTAAAATGAAACAGTCTATGATTTAACAGTTAATTTCATTTTGGTACTTACTTTTTTCATTCGTCGTATTTTTGATAGTATTCAAAGGACACTGTGATTTACTCTGAAATTTTCCTCGTTAAAATGACCCTTTCCCTATAACTATTATTACAACAAAGTGATTTTGCAGTGGTACTTGAATGCTTGCGTGTTGGTTGCTTTAAGTTAGTACCTCGTGTGTGGATAAAAATACAGTTGGAGAATAAGGTTGCAAGCAATAATATGCAAGTTCTTGTAAATTTTAAGAACCATTGAAACAGTTGTTGTGAGATATGATTGGCTTTGAAGTAGTATAGACTTTTACTTCCCACTATATTTTGATAAGTCAAATGAGATTGAGTCTCTTTTTAAACATGTTGCTTAATAACTGTGTTCCTGAATTGTTCACACATTGAAGATACAACTTCTTTTCAAGATACAACAACTTTTTGGAAATAGAACTTCTTTTCAAGTAGCATAGATGTCTTATTATTTGCCAACCACTGCATTATATAAGCTCAATCAGACTGAGTCTCTTTTTAAACATGTTGCGTAATAATTGTCTTTCTGGATTGTTCAAACACATTCCGTTAAAAATTCCTCATTTAAGTCCTTGCCATCAGATCGACAATAAATCAACAAAAGTAAAAGCTGTTAATGAGGAAATTAGTAATCAGTGTTAATAGTGTTCAGTCAACTAGTGACTCCTTGTCAGTAAATAGTGAACTTGATATTTTCTGACTTACCTCCAACTACATATGCCACATACTTTGTGGTGCTGGCTATAAGGTTCCCAAAATAATACCTCTGCTCCCAGTCATACTTGCACACTTGACTAAACTTGATCTACAAGAAGAGCAATATATCACTAACAAAGTTACATGGAAATATAGTTAGAAAAAATGATATTAATTAGTGTTGATATAAAATGTTCATACAATCTCTTCATTTGACTAAGCTTTAATCCTTGGGGCAGTGCACCTGATACAAAATAAGCTACCTTTCATGTGAACGATCGGGCTTTAGCATCAAAGCCATATTCCCACAATACAGTTATTAGTCATCATTTTCAAGAAACTTTAGATTACTCTAAATTTGCATTTCAAAGTATTAGAGCAAAATTACGTATTGGTCATTACATGGAAATCTCTTTCAATCATTTATTCAAATATCATTTGCAAATTGCATTATCATTACAAATCCACAAATAATATGCTGTACTACCTACAATTAACACAAGGTAGTGAGTTCAAAGCTTGGGATACAAATTAAACATATCAACTGTTAGATAGTTCTACTTTGCCAATATATCTATACTTGAAAAGTTTTTCTTAGCTTGAGATAGTCTATTTGTCAAAGTACAGTAAAAGGAATTTAGCTCCACTTTTTGCATTAATTTTGAAAGTTTAGTTTCATCATGAAATTGTTAGAGACTTTGAGTTGATGCATATTGGCTCTCTGAATGCCTGCATCCCTACCAGGCTGGAAAGTGAAAAATGGGAATGAGACATACCTTACTGCTGGCCACTGTCTGAGATGAATCATTCTCACAAGGATAAACAGTAACATTGTTGCCATAAATAGAAAATGCAGATTCTCTATCATTCCCAGTGCAATGTCTAAAGTAGAATAGAAATGAAAATAAAACAAAATTGATCAAAATTTCAATGCTGAACAGTGCTTATGAGCAATTGAACTATAGACTAAGACTCAAAAATAGACAGTCAATGTCTGAATTTCAACAAAAAGACCTGTTAACAGAAATTAAACAACTTTCCAAAAAATAACTTTCTAAAACTAGCATGTAAAAAAAATTGCTCTGTAACAAATCCATTATATACTGTGTGAACTTCATTGAAAAAATTAAATTTCAACATCTCAAAAATATTTAAACTTTCTCATCTAACTAGGTTAGTAAATCTAAGACAAAAAGAGTGAAAAGAATTTGGAAGTGCAGGGGCAATTTTCATAAAATTAACATTCTTGAGCTCAAATTTTGCAAAGTAATCATCACAGAAAACATTTAAAATTTCATTAAATAGGACCAAGAGAGAAACTGCATCTACATATGTTCAATAAATAAAATAAATAATTAAAGAGTAGCAGTCTCATGCATACATACATTGTTTGCTGCACTGGCTTGAGCAGGCTGAGTGGGTCTAGAGATTGTAATGACTGACTCACAGCCATCATAAGGTTCTAGGAAATGAAGATTGTTTACTAGTGAACTACAAAAATGTTAGAGAAATTTGTCCCACTTTACACAATACAACAAGAATGCTCTTAATTCAGTCAAACAACTTAGCAAAATAATTTTCGATTGAGATTTACAACTGGAAAAATAGCAGCTAATGCCCTTAAGTGGATGTGCTCTCACAAAAAAATACAGTTGAGTAACTGTGACAAGCAGCCAATGGGAGTGCCTGCCTGCTAAGTTGTTGTCCTTCCTTGTCACTTAAACTCTATGTCTGCTTAGGGATAGCTAATCTTATGCTTATATGCTTAATTTCAAAAACTATTTCAAAACAATCAGATGACACAAATAAGTTATGCTACCTTGCAATGAATATAAACATGGTGAGAAAATATCTAATTCTTAAATGACTTACTCGTCTTCCAGGGGATGATATCATTGTGCTTGTGGATGCAGTGAGACTACAAAATGGAATACAAGGTGGGCTTGATACTTCTTCTTTAACAGTTAATATCAAGTTAATATCTTATGAGAGAGTATCATGATATTATCTTCAGGCATTTTCTAACTTAAACTTTACCTTTCTATGAATTCATGATATATCAAACTCACAGTAATTTTCATTTATGAATAAACAGATCCAAAGCTAGAGTGAGCCATCAACTATAAATACCAAGTGATAACATGAACACCTGCAAACAGTCTGAACTAAAATACAATTAACAGGCCAATTATTAACTCCCAACTAATAAAAGGAACAATATTATGTACAAAGACTACCATACCACATAAATTAGAGACCAAAAACAACCTTTCACCCAAAAGACAAAAAACTAAAGTGCTAGCATTATTTTCCAGCCATTGCCTTTTTGGTGATATCATATTTATCTTTATACAATATGGATTAAATAAAATAGTGTACATATCAGAACCATTAACATGCAAAACACTATTTATATACTAACAATATATATGAAGTAACTATTATCATAAATTGATAAAACATTATTAGATAATTATTGATTGTGGCACTTTAATATTTTACGGCCAAATTTCTTGATATGAAGGGATAAAATCCATGATTAGTCATAAATTAAACAAGAGAAATTTCAAAATTCTATGACAGGTAAATGCAATACTGTAATATAATCTGGTTATAAACTATTTAAAGGGAACCAGAGATTAATTATGCAGTCCTGGTAATATGAAATTTGACGGCCTGCTGGTAATCGCACGCCTGCGATGCGTTTAGGCGTGCGATGACGTGCGATCCACAAAATGGAGACCTTACAATTTTTATGAAGACCTGATGTCATTGTTGTATTAAAAGGTGTGTTTTAAAAAGCATATGTGGTTTTCATAAAGCCAAAAAGTTTAAATGGAATTTTAGAAGAATTTTCTTGAAAACAAAATAATTTAACAAGAAGGATATAAGTTTTTTAGGCCCTGTTGCCATTACTCCGTTTCTGTATGAGAACAAATTCGAGTGAATCTGTTTTAGATTTTGAAATTCATTCAAAAACGCTGTTCAGAATGGAGTCATCCGAAAACGGAATCATTTGAATACGCGTTGTTTTATTGGGAACAGCCAAGACAAAACGGAGTCATTCAATCTCAGTTTCAAAAAGAGCTCGAGCAAAGGATATGAACGGACAATTTTGGAGTAATGGAAACACCCACGTTATCCCTTTGACCAAGACAGAGAGGCCCGAGGTAATGTGTTCAAGAAAATACGAAAAAAACAGAGAGAGAACGGAGACACACCAAAACAGAGTAATGGAAACCGGGCCTAATGGAAATGAAACAAAAAGTTAAATGCCTCCGGGAATGCCATCAATATAACCCACGCAAAAGAAATTAAAAATTACTTTAGAGAAAATAAACAAGAAATTAAAAGAAACAAAAGAGAAAAAGAATAGTAATTCAAAACGTTGAACTGCGCATGCAATAGAAAGCACATCTCGGGAGTTTTATTTGGTGTGGAGGCTTCATGTGTGATCACATGCCTAATATTACCAGGACTGATTATGTTATATCTGTAGTGTCTTGTAAATAGGATACGTAAAAAATGTAAATGTATATTTAAAAAAATAGCCTTTCAACTTTTCATTGGCTACATGGATTGAAGAAAATATATTTATGGATTGTAGAAGCCTGTGAAACCGTTCTGAATAGCGTTTCTCATCCAAATACTGTTGGCTGCTGCATTAGTTTGACCAACACCTTCAATGTTTTATCCCCATTTTGGCAAATCCAGCGAACTCAAAAAAAATTGTTGTGGAACTTTGGTGCCAATTGAATTGATAAAGGAAACAATAAAACTATGTATGTTATAAACATATGTTATAATTGAGTACCTTATAAAGAGTACCTTCCTAAATGTTTTGTGTTTATCTTTTGCAGGGACTATATACAACAGTATTTTATATCTGAAAGTTTGTTATAACTGAGTATGTTATAATGGAATTATATAGTATAAAATGACAGACTGAAAAATAATTTAAATCACCTGAGGCTTTCGTCTACACTCTCTGTACCCCCTGTACCAAGATCTATGAGAAGAATATATCATCAGAAAATCAAATCATAGTTGGAAATAAAAGTTGGAAATAAGTGTTTTTTCAATTTGCCAATAACATAGTAAATGTTCAGGCTTTCTATATAACAATTAACATTTATAAACGTAACCCTCTGGATATCAGCATGAGCTTCAACAGCAAACTTCAATGTGACTTTTTGAACATTTTAACAGAATATGTGAAAAGTCTGTCTCAGCTCTGTAAACTACCGTAAAAGCTCTATTAAGCCCCCTCTCTCTATTAAGCCCTCCTTTCTATTAAGCCCCTTCTTATCAAGCCAAACCTTGAAATAAGCTCCCGCTCTCTATTAAGCCCCCCCCCCCCTCTTTAGACTTTGTTGTCAAACATGGAAAACGTGTGCATTTACTGGGTCTCTTAACAAGTGTGATTATAATAAAATCATGTGCATTAAATACAGCCATTTAAAGACTTACTTGTGAACCTAAAAAGTCAGTTGAAATTTGTTTAGAACATTTCCCAGGGTGATGAATTGGTCCTAGTGATTTTGATGAAGATGAGGACCTTATAATTTGCTTTATTAGACTTTTGAAGCTGCCAGCGAAGTTTTCTGAGAACATTTGTAAGACATTTTTATAACAAAATAATATACAAGGATATTTTTATAATATTTTCTATTTACCTTACGTTGATATTCAGTGTCTAAATTTTGTCAATCAAATTATCCATCCAAAGGCATTGCTAGCAAAAGTACAGCTACATTAATTGTAAATTCAGAAAGTTAATTTCCAACATGTTTTTTCTCTGTCCACCCTCACTTCCACTGACAGTGGCCCATAGTATTAGAAATGAAAAACTAATACCTTACTCCTGTTCACCCGTTCTTCTATCCTGGCTCATCAAAAGAAATTTAGGTCATGCAGGCCACAACAGACAAAGGAATTTTGGGGCAGTTATATTAGTTTTTGGAGGCTAATACCATGGCCAGGGCTGCTGATTATGGCATAGATTACACTTTTCAAAGATTTCAATGAGGATTAGGAAAGCTTTCATTCAACAAACAGAAAAGCAAATATAGCTTGGCTATATGAATAGAGCTGGTCGCATCGATAAAATTGTTGTGAAAAAGTGCCAACGTACAAAAAGCAAAATAAATTCCCTGCAATCTCAGAGAACCGAAGTCCCCTTCCTTTGAAAATAAAAATGTATAAAACTAATACCACCCCACAGCGCCCCTGTAAATAAGCCCCCCAAGGGGCTTAATAGAGCTTTTACGGTATCACAAGTTGAATTCCTGGAAAAATCAACTTCCTGGAAAAATCAATTAATTTGATCAACCAGCAGAATTATTCATCTCATCATATATCTATCTATAAAAATAGTGTACAAAACCTATGAAATAGGTATCCTGCACAGAAGATTTAGTTACTGGTTTATGAGTTACAAAGTAAATTAGTAAAGTATAAATTGATAAATGAATAAATAAAGTTTGTGCCAAAACACTTTAAGCAGACAGTATGGGCAGGGCCTATGGTATGAAACAGCTGTGACAGGGCCTTGGGTGGAGCAAAATGTACATTTTCGATGACTTCTAAAGTGAAAGTCACTTTCAACATCAGTATAAAATATCAAAATCCTTTTTCTGAAACGGTGTATTATAAAACTTGGTCCGTACCAATTAAGTTTAGTTTTTAAAAGGCTTATGGCACAATTATTACAGTGAGATATTTCCAAAAGTCACAATTATATATATCAAAAACGCCATGGTTGTCACCCAGCCTACAGTGCAAAAATGAATTGGCCTAGGCTAGCCATATTCCATTCCATGGTACTGATGTGTTTTAAAACGGTTTTGAGAGAAAGCTTGAAACACAAGGAAAAATTGTTTATCATAAATAAATGAATATCCGTGATATTTGTCTCATATGTGCTCATTTACCTTGAACAACATTGCTATCTTCGTCATGTCGATCCATTGCCTGTCTTGCTGGTACCTTCAACTTCACATGCAGTCTCACTTCCTTGAAATAAAGTATCTAAGCCTCGATTCTGTGACGGTGCCTTCACGGCGCCTTTCAAACTTCGCATTAAAGCTGTACGCACTACCGGCCACCAAAACCTAGCCTGCGTGCAGTTCTCGATAAACTCATTTTTCAAAGCAATCCTTTCCAGCATTATGTATGGCATAGCAGTTTAGGGAAACTGTGCTCCCTGAATGATCTTGAGAAATCCCATTAGAGGACTGGAAGAATCACAAAGAAGATCCAAAGAAATTTCAGAGATGAAAATGTCCTCAAGTCAGTAAACTGAAAAGACTTACCGTGTATGTAAAAGAGGAGACTGATCTGTATAGCACACAAAGCCCATTAAAATCAATGTCCAGACCCAACCAGAGTCTTGTTTATAAAGAAAGAGTACCGTCGTAAAATGAAAGACAACAAGCAAGCATAGGAAGGACAACCTTTCAGTTTCGCCCGGCTATTCTTTGGAATGAATTGCAAAAGACCTTCAAAAGTAATAGGAGATAAGAACTCTTGAGGACAAGCCTGTCTAAGAGCAGTAATCAGTAATCTAACAGAATTCTATGCATTTGACAATTTAGCAATGATCGTCAAAAAGTATTTGGATCATTTTTCTTACTGGAAATGGACATGAAAATGGACAATTATTTTTCTTACTCTATATTTTAAAGAACTCGTTAAGCTCTGTACGTTTTAATGTCATTTTTTAAAACATTAAGTTGCAGGTCTACATGTGCTTTTCGTGTGCCAGTTTAATTATCTGCTGTAGCAAATGATCTGTGCGTATGTATGTATTTTTCGATCTTATCGTTAAATTGTCCGTTTGGTCGAATTGTGGAATTGTGTGTGACGTCATCTGTCGCCTGTGTTTCAGGCCCTCTTCTTTCAAGTTAGGGGTCTGGAGCACAGGCTAGAACAATGTGGCTGTATCGGTGGGGTCTGTGAACCACCAAACCACACTCTCTAGAGTTCTAAAAGAGACACTGTAGATTCAGGGAATCTGCTGTTTGACGTCTTTAGCTAATTGGTAAGTTGTGTTGTTATGCGTTTGATCTTGAGCGTTGTTGTGGTCCAACTGCCTGGTGGCGGTCATTTTGGCATTGTTCTTTAAAATTTGACAAGCAAGGACCAATCTCTGAATTGTATAAAGTTAAAAAAGACACCTGGAAACAAATTAGATCAGCCAAACAGCCTAGCCATTTTTCATTTCTCATTAGCCTTTTATTTCCAGTATACACAGATGATCCAAAATGTTCGTTAGTTATCGTTGGTTACAAGGATGGCTGCAAACCCTTTTGCTACTTTAAGGAAAAGAGAAAAAACATGAATTACCCAACTATGTTAATAAGATATTTTGATCAATTAAAGTTTTTGTATAACTGGAAAAGTTTTACTTACATGCCTATTTTCAAATATTCTAAAATACAATGCAAAAGTGAATATTTTTATCGATCGAAAGACATACTCACATATTTACAAGCTCTTAAAATCTGAGTTTATTTACTAATTAGCACTACCAGGGTTGTACTACGGTAAACTTGTCATCAACATAAAACACAACCAGCGCTTACAACCAATGTGATGCATAAGGACACATATCAGGCAAAACGCCAGAGTAATTTCTAGTTAAAAAGCTTTAATAAATATCGACTTCCACTCAATTTCAAATTTTAAGGATGAGACTTCAACTTGTATAGGTTTTCAGGGTTTCTTTTCTTTGACTATGTTAAAGGGGCAATGATTAGCTAGTGTAAGTAACCTACAATAAGGATTGAGAATGAATAGCCTAAGGATCGTGAAACATTGCCTTGTTGCCAGCTCTTTCAAGTGAATAGCCTAAAGATCGTGAAACAGTGCCTTGTTGCCAGCTCTTTCAAGTCATGAATGCAAGGCTATCAGTTATTCATTTGTGTCCAATTTAGTGTGTGACGTCATCTTTATGTGGATTACGACTCCACTTGCTGTAACCAGGTACAATTCCATTATGATACAAGACATCATTGAGGATTGCTTCCTGAAAGATGGATGAATGCAAAAATCATACCCTGTCAGTCATTATACAAATTGGCGAATGAATGATAGAACTTCGTAAGTATCCATTGTTTTTTTATATTAGGACATTCAAGTATAAGAAGCATAAAAAATTAATTACTATTATTAAAAACCATTCAAAGTTGCTAGTGTAATCAAAGAGAGTTAGTCTTCTCAACTGGACTCCACAGTGAATCAGCAAAAAAGACACATCTTCCTCTCTAGTTTCTATTTTCGATCCGATCCACTCATCACTTCCACTTTATACTGTATGAATCTTACTCGGAGTGGTCTCGAACAAAAAGTGCTGTAGTATGGCACAAAGTTTTTCCATTTCTTCATACAAACATAATACTTTTTAATGACATTATTAATTCTGCGAAACTTTCCTTAAAATTGGAATTATTGGTTTGAAATTGATCTCCATCAGTTATGATTAAACAATGATAAGGGTGTAGAACACGAATCTTGATTCTAAATGTTGTCTTTGAATGTTTTCTTTCAAGAATAATTCTTCATCATTACCTTCTTGGACTTCCACTCAAGTTCAACTTGCTTTTCGACGTACTTCTTTTTTATACTCGCCTACCAAAATAACGATGAAGTACCGTTAATGTTTTCATATATCTATATGGTAGCCTAACAAGCAAATGGAGCACAAGATACTTTCAAACTGCTTCCTTGTACACACCTCAGCAGTTGCGGTTCCCGACGCCTCACATGTCTGTAGAAATAAAGCTCGCGTAACCTCATCCAGACCTGAAAACGATAAAATGCAAAACAAATTGGCAAATTGTTTCAGCAATTGGCTTTCTAAAATTAGCAACAGTTTCCTGCTATATGCAGCCTGGTGCAGCCTCTATCACTTCGTCAAGAGCGTAGAGGCTGCACAAACGCTATGCCATATGTGGAAAAGCAGTAAACACCCTTGCATGACCTGTCTTCATAATAGTTCATAATTGGTCTTGCATGACTTGTCAATTTAAAGATAACAACGTTAGTTGTAAACAAATGATTCTAAAAAATATTGCAGAACCTAGGATTCTTTGAACGAAAATTTTAACAACAATAGATGATGCAAAGAGGTAAACTCAAAAATCCATTTTGATTCAACTAGCGTTCCACAAGGTTTAGCTCTAGGGTCTCAGCTATTCCATGCACTCTAATCACCTATAAAATGGTTAATATACGACATTTACAAAGTAATCTATACAAAAGACGACAAACCTTGGACATCCTCTAGTTCGATAGTGGCAACAAGCAATGCTGTTTCTGAAACAACAGATTGTTCTATTGGTTGGTTGAGCATCAAACTTTTCTCTCCAAAAGAATCCCCTGCTTCCAAAGTTCCAGTTACTACTTCTTTTCTTCTTTTTACCTAAAACGAGTGCTTTGTGAAAATGCTACGTAATATAGGCCAGCTTATTGAATAATACTTTTCCATCAACACAAATCCGTCAAATCGTATCAAAAACCTTTCACACACGTGACATTTTACATTCTTTAAAGTTGCTTTTCGAAAAATATTCTCGATAGCTCAATATCTTATTAAATAATTTTGAAACCACGTCTTAATACAAAAAAGCTTGCTTTCTAGAAGTTATTTGCCCAGGATAGTCTAACAATCTTTGTAACAAATGAAGAAAAGATCAAACAAACAAAGATTCAATGATAACAGCAATTAAAACACAAGGTATTTTCAAGCCACCTATAAGAAGATCTGATAAAGGCTAAGCTCACAAAATTACAAAATCTCATGTGGTCATAACATGGTTTACTCAACGAGCTTGAATTCAAAAACCAATTTGTCTAGGACGAATTTACCTTCCTTCCATCGGGGGTAGTAAAAGCAACCGACAACGTCTTTTTCAGTTGACAGACGCCAGATTTTATAAAGTAAATGGTTGATGAGACATTCCCTTCTAAGGCAAGAGCTAAAAAATTGAAGCAAGTCGTAATCAGCAAGGTGTATAGCCAAAAGGCACGAGGGTATTAAATTGAATACAAAGAAATATCGAAGATTTACTTAAAAATTGCCTTAAGCTATTTCATCGAAAAATGAATTTTGAAAACAAAAAGGAAATTGAATGTTTTGTTTGGAGTTTTAGATTTTAAATGCAGTAAGATGTGGATCGGTATTTTTAGAGCGTTCCTCTGTCGACGACTTGATAAATCTGAATTAAAAAAATTGACTTATCGTTTATTTAGAGCTAGACGACGCTCAATGGTATCAACAAAACATTTTAAAAATATTATTGCAGAAATTTGAAGGATTTATAAACTCTTTCGTCTTTTTAAGGCGCTACAGCTGTTCATAATTATGTCATGAAATAATCTGCCTAGATCATGGTTGTAAGCTTTAGCCTTTTTGTGAAGAACAGGACGGTTCTAAATTGCTACACCGAGTTTCACGCTTAATGCGATCACCAGGCAATGGACAGCGCTGCCTAAACGGCATCGAGTACTCTATGACAGTAAACAGCTTTTTTCATAAAACTTTGCATGAATGGTATTCCAACTCTGTTACAATTTAGTGTTTATGAAAACTCACTTTCACCAGCAGGGACCTCAGCCCAACGTAATATTTCAGATATTCTTTTAAGCGATAGATTAGGCCAGTCTTTGAAAAGCGTACAACTTTGCGCAAGCTGCACTTTGTCGTTGTACTCTGCATCCTTAACTTGCTGTAAGACAAGAGAAAACTCACTTAAATCCATTTTTGTTAACCAATAATTCTATTAGGAATACATCACGCAATATAGGAAACACCATAAAAAATTTTTAAACATGTGTACCAACATATCTAAAATTACATTTCCCCATCACTGCAAGACGATAAATCCTTCCTTTCCAGTAAAAACATCAACTCGTAAACGGAGCTTATAAACGATGCGATGCTTTTATATTAAAATGTTTTCAAAAAATGAAGGTGCTTTTACAGGAATGCATGACGATCAATGTATATTTACATCCAAGTTTGCTACCATACGCATACTTCAGAATATAATTAATGATAAGCAAATTCCTATTTTTGCTTTACTCTCAAATTGTAGATACAATTTACATGCAAAGTTCATACTTGCTAAGAAAAACATGATAAATTACAAGCCGCTCAATCATATGTATGAAGAAATGACACTAAAAACATTGACCCCCTGGAACGAGGGTATGAATGGAGGCAACGTTTACCTTTGCAACCCTTTCGTAAGATGTGCTTGCAAACCGTAGCAGTTCACAGTTCTCAAGCGTCGTTACGGAAAGAATCCTTCAACAGAAAACGATCGAAGCAGTGAGATGAGTATCATAAAACAGAGAAGAGGCTAAGTGGCTCAAATTTTTAACTAGATTCAAGATGGCCAACTTTGCAAAAATGGCCGTACAAAATCTTTACAGCAGTTACAGATGGTCTACTCTCAATGTGTAAAATTTTCCAATTTTACAGTCGTAACAAAAATTTTTGCTGTAACTGTAAACCAGTTTCCAATTTGAAAAATCCAAGCATTTTATTTTAAACCGAAATATCTTACCAGTAAACTAACGACTATAACTGTTTGTCATACTGTTTTACAGCACTCGATGTCGTGTAGGAAGTGTTGTACATGCTTTTAGTGTAGAACAGGCGGGATCCAACACAAAATAGAGTTGCAACTCTACGTTTCACGCTAAATGCAATCACCTGGCAGCATAACAGGTGAATTTTCTTTAACACGGAAAACAATATATGCTATAAAGAAGTAAATATTTTGAAGCTGTTTGGTTTCATCTGATTTATGCGAACTTAAGTTTAGATAGCAGTAAGCTTCTTTTGATTTGCTAGAATCTTTAGTCTTCAGAAAAAGAACTTAGAATCTTAATGCCTAAAAACCTCAAAATAAAGGGCATCAGGAGATACTGTCCGTTGTCCGGAAAGTACATAAAAAAGACTTCTGTTTGATGATCATGACAAAAGTCGAAACTTTTGGTCCGCTTTTTGGAGCTAGAATGCCTGCCAAAACAATTAGAAATGACAAGCGTTTGGCGTTGTATTTTTATATATTTCGTTTTTTCCAAAAAATTGTTGATTTCATTACCCTTCCCTACAAATTTGTTAATATTTTGACAAATAACGTACAAATCACGCGAAAACACGATTGCCAATATTCTACGTTGTCATAAGGCTGATTTCCACGAGGCGAATTTCGCAGCGAATTCGCTGATGTAGGCATCAAGGCATGCGCAGTTTTGATTTTTGATTTCGCAGCGAATTCGCAAGAAAGTAGAAAAGATTTCGACTTTCTCTCGGCGAAATATTTCGCAGCACCTAATAACCAGTCAAAGCATGGTAAATTTGCTTAATTTGCAAGAAAACAATCTTTGAACATTCGCCATGCGTGCAATTCTGAAAATGGGCGCCTTAAGGTTGAGTTTTGGGAGAAGTTATTATATAATTTCGCAGCGAATTCGCAGTCTCGTGGAAATCAAAGACAATTTCGTAGCGAATTCGCCTCGTGGAAATCAGCCTTTATAGCAACTTTCTCAAGGGAGAGTGGAAGACGTCTGAAATTTGTCATTGAAAACTGACTTTGGTGTTACAAGACTTCTGGAAGGGGTCGTACTTACTATTACTGCGTTTCCATAAATGAATGTTACACTATATTAACAACAAAAATAAAATTTCTGAATCTTGACATACCCGGAAGCAAATTCTTCTGAATCATCAGTGTGCTCGAGTCTTCCAAAATGATCGCCAACAGTAAGCTAAACAAGTTTAAATGAGACTTTTCAATAAGCAGTTGATTTTGAAGAAGCGGAATAACGTGCGACAGAAGCTGCACAAAGTAGGAGAAATCAAAATAAGCAAATATGACTTGAAAAAGATGGTCCTTTAGTGCACCATAACTGATAGCCATTGGTTAGTGAATTGCTGTTTATAAATAGAAAAGTTGTTAGCTTTAGTCTTTTGATTTTTAAAGTTAAGATGCACCCTGGTGTGGTGTTACGAAACGAATCATGAAATAGCCCTCGACATGATTCTAAGCAAAGTTATATTGACAAACGTTTAAAAGCTTCGCTTCAGATCCCATTGGCAAAGAAGTATTACAGCAAACCTCGAAATGTCAGCCGTTCAGTTTGGCGTCTCCTACGCCTCACTTCGTTTGGAAAAATCAACAGTAGCTAAATGTTTCCTTAATTCGATGAGTGTAAGCGCATCAAATGTTTGATATAAGTAAACCTAAATCAAATCCTTTAAGTGCTGTCAGAAGAAGCTGGGAAAAGAAAAATCGGTACTGTGCGATAAAAAATTTCTATCATATATATATATATATATGTCATTGAACGCTTACTTCCCCCTCCCCTTAAATTCAAATAAAATTCGCCATTACCGTATACATTCTTTTTGAAGAAGGACTTTCCATAGTGACATCATCAAAAAGTATTTCGGAATCTTCACGTTGTATTGCAGGGACTTTGGGGGTTTCCGCTGCTGGATATGGGGCACATGCCCCTTTGATAATCAGATAGAGTCCAGAATCTCCAAAAACTGGAATAATATAAATATTGCCATTAATACATTGATACGTGATATTAACAGCAATGTTTGCTATTTATAATGCTCAAACAAAAATTAATTTTATAATGCAAAAACGTTGCAGTTTTAAGTAAAGTTTTTGTCAAAGTTCTTAAAGTGTAAACAATATGGTTACAGAGAAAGTAGCCATGAATAAGTGATTCTAGAAACACAATCTTTTAGCCGACGTAATACAATCGCAGTAAAAACAGTTGATCAAACTTTTAGGGGAGAGTGTAGAAACTTGTGACTGCTGGGTGCACGTGTTAACAATACTTAAAATCCAGCTAGATTTTCAAATCCAAATGTGTGTTCTCAGGAGCGATTCTGACGAGGGGATGGGATAGGGGTGACGCCCAACATTGCAAGCGCTTGGCGGGTAAGCCATTAAAACAAGGGGTTGCTAAAGGGGTCGAGAGGGCTTAAGCTCTAAATAATATAACATCATGCATAATTCAACATGCCCCTGGTTTAGCCCCACCAAAGTTTTCAGGCCCCGCCATTGCGTCATATGCTCCGTGTTGTTTTCTTGGGAACATATTGTCTTCCTGAATGTCTCCATCACTAGATTTTCCCCCTCGTAAGCAGTCAAGGATCGCAATTGCGTGTCCAGCAATGAGCATTGCGCAAACATCTATTTAAAGCTCTCTTTTCTTCTATGTACTTACCAGTAAAATTAGCTTCCCACTTTTCTAGATAAGCTGTGGTGACCAGTTTTTGGAGAACTTTCCTCGATATGTGAGAAAAACAGTTGACATTTGCAAGGCATTTGAAAAGCAGTTGATTGTCTTTTGATGTCCGATCAAATGGTCTGTTAAAAATACAGACAAACAATTAAGTTTAAAATGCTCAAAGGAATTTTAAATTGAAATTATATAAAATAATAATTATATAATATTTTATTTTGTATTGAGGAATGAGCTGTAGAACTGAATCGTATTTTCGTATTACCGTGAAACATTAATACTTTCACGAATATCAAACACGATTGAGCATAATTTGGGATGGGGGAGATAACAACCAATTATGCATTAAACCAATTGTATTATCAAATATGATGATTAGGGAACAATTTCATTGTCATGAATAGATACAACTTTTTGATTGATTATTTTGAAACACTGGTATTAAAATATCAAATACCTAAGCCTTATTCATCGTAAACAGATTTTCACATAGAATGAACATTTTTCCCGTCTACGGAACTATTCTAAGAAAACTCACGGTTTCCTGCACAGTTTCCTAATCTTTCTCATCAGCTCTTCTGACCTTGCTTCTTTGGTAGGGCTTGCTCTGTGTCTGTGTAGCTTAGCTAAATGCTCTGTTATGTTGTGGCTTTCAACTTTATCTACAAACATAATACATCTCTCAAATAATATTTAAATAATGCAATACTGGTGAATGACAGATTTTAAAAAGCAAGACAAAAATCGCTATCCACATTGGTGATACAACTTTTTTCGGTGACACATCGAGGTTTCCGGAAAAACCAAAGTTGAAAATTTGTCACCGATTACGGATTTCTGGTAATGTCTATGAGCAATGACGGAATGTTCCACACTGGCTGGGCACAAATTTTTTCGATATTGCCTCCATCTATTGTCTTGTAAAAAAGAACCTGGTTACTAACATCTATCAGGAATTAGGGGACGCTGAATTTTGACTAAAAGTGATCCAAGCGGCTGATTTCAACTAAAATTTGCGTGGAATGGTGGATACCCACTATGTGATGGCCCCAACAATAACAGATTTAACTAAAACGGAAAGAAGGCTGCATGCAGAGGAAAATATTACTTTGGTACCTCAACACTTGGTGGGGCAGCAAGGTTTTAATTGACAGGTCAACTGGATCTAATCAAGCTATCAAGATGCATCTACATAAGCATCTTGATGGAAACTATTTGTGAATTGGAAATATCCCTGTCATTCTAAGCTGCTTCAAAAGCAGCTCATATTTTTATAAAAAAAGGCATTTCTCATATTACAGATAAAAAAAATCTCTTGTGTAAAACACAATTTGAAATTTGTCTTACCAAGTTCTTTGGGACTTCTTTTAGGCTTTTCAGCTAGGCTAGAAATATATTGCAAATTAAACATATTAGCATAATATTGAAGAGAGATGAAAGTCGAATAGTTTGACAGAAGCAATTCATTTTCCCCAGAAATTATAATATATTATAAAAGAATTGGTTTAGGTGTGCTGTCTTGTAATAGATAGAGCCAGGGGTGCAATGGGTGTTGAATTTTCTTTTGGGGGGAGATGAAGGCAAGATCTGTTTAAAAATTCCAAAAAAGTAGAAAAATATCTAAAATTCTCTAACAAATTTTATAATCTAGGGAGGTAGGCTATAGCCCCCTGCCCCTTACCACTGCACCCTGAATAGAACTGACATTGCCATACTCATTCTTGGTTAGGCCATTCTCTATTAAGTGCAAATCATCAGAATTTTGAACTTTTAAAAATATGAAAGCATTGCAACCATTTTTGACCCAATTAGCCTTTATTTTACTGGTATTTCAATTATCTGTGAAAAATATTTTGCTTTGATGTGGCCAATATCAGCCCCAATGACATCTCTTTGCCAGAATCAGGTATGTACTTGTAATGCAACCATACCAAAAAGGTTATATGTTGTATTTTACTGAGAATTTTGAATTTAAACATTTTCATTGCGAAACATTTTTAAACTAATTTGAAGAATACCTTTCTTTACTTTTATAGCCCAAAATAAATTGAAACAGAAGCAAAATTATATCAATATATGCCCAACTAGACTTGAGATAACACACTTTTGAAAGACTAAAAATTAATCCATAAAATATATGCTTAATTTTTCAAAACATTCCCTCACAATTATTTTAGTGCTCAATTTATTTCCTACCTTTCCTTTGGAGCTTTGGTGATATCAGGCTTCTCATCAAATATCATATGATAATTTTCCATAAATGTCTTATGGGCTGCTTCTCTTGACAATTTTTCTCTGATAAAGATTGAATGAAACTATTACTATTTCGTGGAGGTCACTTTTTCGAATAAGATGTAGAGTAATGCACTTATAAACAAGAGGTTATAACAAATTAATGTCTGTTCCACATTGCTTGTCTAAATCTATACAAGGTACATAAGTCAAAGTATATAACAAAGATTAAACATTGTATAATTGTGTCATGTGAATAAACAGGCTACCAACCTATCTCTAATTTGCTGGTCAAAGAGAATCAGATTCTCGTAATTGATTTTTCTTTCATTCTTTATTGGTGGAACTGAAATGAACAAAATATATGGGCCTGATTTTACTATAGATGGAGCAAATAAAAATGAAATGCACTTGATTACTTGTAAAGAAGCCACCAACATCAGCATCAATAAATGTAGATATCGTATTAGATTTTGATAATTGTTATGCCTTAATTTCTATTGCTGTTAAAGCATTCAAAATAAAGAATGTAACATTTAGAATTTCGCTAAGTAATAAAAACAAGTACTTTTTGCAGTCAATGTTGCTGCTATTTTCGTCGAAAAAAATCCAGTTCAAGCAACTGAAGATTGCAACAAATTACATATAATACATCATAAAATACATTGTATCTAACAGTTGAGTGACTGCAATTTCTAAGCGGAAAATAAAAGTACTTATGATAGTAAGAAGGCCACTAAGGCCTTAGCTAGCAATCCCTATTACTCACGTTTTTTAAGCATGAAACCAACTTTTCGGTCACTTTCATCAAGCTTTGCTAAAGAATTACACTGAGCCTGTTTTGTATCCATCACTTTTTAGCAATGCAAGGTTATACTTCTCTGATATATTCAAATAGGCTCTTGTCACAATAAAGGAAGGTAGGCTCCCATTTTATCTCCAAGGTAAACAATAAAGAAGCACAACAGCAACGACAACAATACGGACACCAACAACAGCATTGTATAAAATATATCTAAAATGGCGGCTAATTTGGATGAAAAGGCGGCGCTGGCACAGGCAGATGTCAGTATTTTATCTTTTCTATGATTAAGTTTGTTTTAAATTAGTTTATTGGTAATTGATAGTTGTGAAGGAATTTAGCTATGTAAAGGAAATCTAAGGATCTCTTACTATTGACTACCCTCATAAAATTATATTACTTATCGTTTTCATCAATTTTATTTATTCTACAAAATATATTTAGATGTTTCTAGATATTAGCTTTAATCCAGATAATATAATCATTCATAATAGATATTTTTTGGAACTGTCATATTAATGTAATCATCTCAGTATTTTTGTTTTTTGATGTTAATTTCAATGCATGCATCATTTTCAGTGCATTTTCATGTTCCTTTTTTATATGTACTTATTGACTTTTCGTCCCATTACAGGATGCAGTTAAATCGCTTTTCCAGTTCAGAGATCACTATTTTGAAACACACGGGCTAGAAAATGCAAGGCAAAAAGCATCAGATTTGGATAAGACCCTAAAAGAGACATTAACAAAACTAGATAAACTTCAATGCAAGTCTTGTTTTATTGCATATTGTTTATGTAGTTACAGCTTGTATTATTTTTTGAAGTAATGATAAGTAGCATGCAATTGTTAGAAAGAAAGTAATATCAAACCTCTTTAACAACGAGTCTGATTGCTTTGGGGTGAATTTCATTTGAAAGTTACTGTAATTATCTGTAAATATAAACTATGTTATACTTGAAAGCAATTTCAAAGGCTGAGCAGGCAAAACCAAAGACCAAAAAACCAAAGACACTTACTAATTCAATTTAGATAGAAATTAGTTAACAATCATATTGATCAATCCTCACATTTTGCTGCAATAAAATGAAGATAATTTTGCTAGTTACCTTGTCTGAAATTTTACAATCATTCTTTTTTAATAGTCTGTATTGACAACAAGGCCTCATACTTTAGCCTTAGAGGGAAAGCTTTAAATGTTGTTGCTGAGTATGACTCACAAGCTGTAGACTTCTTATCAAAAGCAGTCAAGCTTGATCCATCGTTAACAGAAGCCTGGAACAACCTTGGTGAGTGCTACTGGAAAAACAAAGACATTGATGCTGCAAGAAATTGCTTTATGTGTGCTTTAGCTAAGGTAATTATCATTCAGGTATTTAAATATCGAAAATGTATGCACAATGTTGACCTTAACCAATGATAATTTTGCAATACTTATAGACACAATCAGAAATGAATAAATCAGGATCAAAACAAGACATTTGGAACAGCTTTTTTATGGAGTTTCCATTCTTCTGGAATGGCTCACAGCAGACAAAAGTTCAGGCTCATGATCTGTACGTTCTCAATGAAGGTTGGACAAGCACTTACATGATCAGCATTTAAGAATGGATTTTCGAACTAAAACTGACTTTTGTGATAATTTCATTTATTTAGTTTTTTATTGAAATAAACAAACTTGCATGACAGCTACAGCATAAATAAATATATTAAGCAAAATTGCAATAAAGATAAACTTTCTCTCCACATTTTAATTTCTAACAATGCCACTATAGAAGTGACCAAATGCACCTGAATATCGACTAAAATGGCAATTCTTGCAGATGATAAAGATGTCTTTGCTATATTTTGTAAATAGGATTATTAAAAGTAACTTCTTTAAGAAACAATCCTTTATGAAACATATAATATACGAAAGTGAGAAACCCCTTTAGAGAAAATTTGAGATTTAATGGATTTTAGACATAAATTGGTTAGACCTTTGATTAAAATTGAACTTCATATTTTAAAGTCTCCTTTTGTTCTCAATAGTCTGTATACAAGTTTTAAATTTTACAGCAGCTGACCAATGCTGTTGATTTTGCTTCATCAAATATATTTGACTTTTCTTAGAAAAGAGACAAAGTAACTCTTAGAAATTTGTCTATGGTGCTGAGACAAATTGGAAAAGGTAATTTCAAATATTCATGAAAGCTGAATTTTAAATATTTCATTTGTGTTAGGATGTAGTTGGAGCTTGTTAGGATGAGTAAAAAGTGAACTCTTCCTGTTCTATCCTTATAATATTGTCTGTGTTTCTCCAGGTTAGAAACTTGATAGTCAGGAGCAATTTTTACTTTTGAGTATGGTATAACAATATGTTCATTGAAGTCACTATGAATAGTACAATGTATTAGAGACAACAACAGACAACATATTAATATAATGGTAGTTTTGATAATGCTCAGAATTTTTATCCATTTTTATCATATTTTGATCAAGATAATTTTTCTTTGAATCTAGACTCAACAGAGATTTTAGAAAATGTGAAAGAAAGTGTGAAAATTGCCAAAGAGGCAGTGGGTCAAGATTTTTCAGATGGAAGGTCATGGTGTGAGTAGCCTTATAACTTGCTGCATACTTCATTATGAACTTTCTTGTGATACAAAGAACAAATCTTGTGTCACGTCTTTCTCATATCCTCCTGATGCTTATGGTGCAAAACGTCTGGACTACAGAGGAAGGCTTATCCCATGGGGGGTTTCTTACACAATGACTGCTGTCTGCTAATATGAAATAACCAACTTTGTTTTTTCAGTTGTCCTAGGAAATGCCTACTTGTCATTGTTCTTTGCTGGTGGACAGAGCCCGAGTTCCTTGAAACAGTCAATGGCAGCATATACAAAAGCTGTAAGTAATATTGATATCACTCTACATTTTTGTTGTCTCAACAAGAAAAGGTTAATTTTGAACCCTGGGTGAGTGTACACATTGGTTGATACCAAAGACATCAAAACATCCATCCAAACACTGTCAACAGGACTGAAAATGATGCTACTGGCTAATGAAGGCTTTTGAATGGCTTATGACTTATAAGGTACAACCAGGTTTTTGATGGTGCTATATTGATTATTTGTTACTTCTTTCTTATGCATGGACCTCCTCTTTACAGTACTGATTGCATTGCCTACCTAACACTCAAGTTACCTTTTTTCATAGGAGAAAGATACCATTGAACGAAATAATCCAGATTTACATTTCAACAGAGCAATGGTAGGGAACATTTTTATAGAACATATTCATATTCAACAATTCTTTTCAACTACAACTTTTCAACTATATCTTATTTTGAGAAACTCTGAGTGATGCTTTGCCAAGAAAAAATATTACAATGATGCTCTTTTGACACTTAAAACAGAGTTGGCAGCCTTCCACTGAAGAATTGCTTAGCCTTTCACTGAAGAATTGCTTAGCCTTCCACTGAAGAATTTCTATGCTATGTTTTTGTAGGCATACAGGTATCAAGAAGAGTATGCCTTGGCTTTAGGTGGTTTTGAGAGAGCAGCACTCTTGGACCCACAATGGGAAGACCCCAGAGACGAAAAAAGGAAACTAGAAAGCTATTTGCGCAATACTCTTGAGTACATAGAAGGAAAAGTAAGCATGTATCAAGTTTTCTTTCAACATACCATCATATATTTGAAATTAATATGTATGTATTAAGGCAGTCTCAACTAGTGATATTAAGAGAGAAAAGTCATGGCCAAACAATTGCACTTTTAATTGTTAGTACTGAACACATACAATATTTTGCTGTTTTTTAGGTCTTTGCCAGGGCAAAAAGCCATGAAAATAAAAACAAAACTGAACAATTTACACTGTGAAAAAATACAATGATCCACTGAGTTTGTTTAGTAAAGACCGAGCAGTGACCACCATCTTTGAATAGATTTTATTGGGGTGGCCAATGAAATCCCCCAGTACACTGGACAAGCATGTTGGGTGTTGTGCAATAAAAAGTTAAATTAAATAGGCAGGGACTGAACTGACAAATGACCTGGTAAAGCTTCAGGGTTTTAGGGTGTCTAGATTTCTTGCTAGAGAATTGATACATAACCATATGACAAGAACAAATGAATAACTGGCAAGAATATCTTGGATCAAAGAATATTTACAAGATGAAATTTCGAAATTTCCTTTTAACTTCATGTTTTTCTTTCATGTTAAATGTCAAAAGCTCTGTGTTCTACCACATTTTTTGTGAATGTTTATTAATACATTAAGCTGTCCTAGCCTCCATTCAAATCTCAGAGAAAATGCAGTGATGCTTTTTCAGTGAGAATACATTTGTTTCTGTAGAAAAACAAGCAAAAATAATTCTTTTATCCATTACAGGGAAAACTCAAAGCAAAAAAGCTGCAGAACCTAGTTCGTTCTCTCAAACCATCTGATGCTGGTCCTTACAGTGGTAGTGAGTACACAAGTCCTGCTGGCAAAACAACCTCAATCACACAAGTAATGATAAAAAATTTGGAGAGAGAAGTCAACACAGGAAAAGTCATTGTAGGCAAAGTGGCTGCTGTAATACCATTTGAAAATCCAGTACCTTTGTAAGTTTGTGGCTTTTTATTAAGCACCAGACAAATCATCAAAGATTTTACCAAGCAGCAAACAGCCTTTAACTTTCATGTTCTGTGGAAAGTTTAGCAAATATGTTTTTTGAAAATAGTCATGGTTAATAATTTTCAGTTTTTCCAAAGTTTGGTGAAATGTTTGATGCATTTGATCTCTTTAACTAACAAATTGGCAAGGTATTTTGTTCTCAATGTATGTCCCCCTTGCCAAAATATGTTCAATAATTTTTACTGATTATCCAATTGGGCATATGGTGTCATTTCTTTCTCCCATTCAGGCACTTGCTATATAATTATTTTTCTGGGGAAATTTCAAATTAAATACCTGATGCAGCCCCTCTCAATACTTTAGAGGACAATGGTCTTTTGTTCTAAAACAGTGGGGAATGTGATGTCATCTTATTAATACAATAGGCTTGCCCCCCAATATTTGACCAAGTGTCTGCCCCTGGCTATGAGCCATATTCGACTGACAACCTGGTACCAATATGACTTTTAGTTATTTTTCTTATCTAAAGCCCATTTGTGCTTGTTGATGCTGACATGGAGTGCATTGGTGTTACTGTCTTCAACTTGGTTGCTGGCAAAGGTTTCAATGTTGGGGATTCTATAGCAATACCTGAACCATATGTGCAAGAAACTGAAATCAAACTTGAGAGTGGTGAGGTAAGTTAAAGCCATTATCAAATTTGCCTTGATATAAAACTTCAAGATTTAAAGAAGATTTAACAGTGTCTGTAGTATTTTGTGGTTGATGAATATGGAAAATGTCATTTTTTCACACTCTGGCATGTATTGATCAATTGCTCAATATTCACTTTGTTGTGCTATTTTGAATGATTTTGGTAAATAATGTGTGTGATTATGTTAAGCATTTTGCTGGAACAAACATCCAATTAGGTCAGACATTCTTTCTTGCAGATGCTCAACTTCAAAAGTATAAGAGTTGACAACCCAGTAGTAATGGCGGTTAACAAGAGAAAAATTGGAGCAGATAAATTGGCCTTTAGTGTCCTCTCTGTGACAAACAAAAGCGACTGATGTTTCTTGTCCATCACTTAAAGAATATCACCATGCTGGAAGGATCATTCAGCCCTTGAAATGCTCAGCAATAACTTTGTCAAAATTGGAAAGCAAGCTACCTCCTGCGGGGTTTGATTAGCATCCGTTCCCAGTGAGACACAGTTAGGAATTTATTTTAGACATTCAGTTTTTCATGAGAAAAACTTTTTTTATCACAGTTTGCTTCATGGAACTATAAAAAACACTTCTTACCTGTTGTTAAGATAGATTATTTATTTGTTAAGATTTTCCTTCTATAGAAGCTAGTTCATATAGTTAAAGATGAGAATAACTAATGTAGAATTATGGTCTTTGTGCTTTGTCAGGAAAAAGAAAAGTTCAAGAGCACAATGGTAAATACTTTTCATTTTATGTACTCTGTGGTCAAGTTCAGCATTGGACTTTCTACTGCATCATTTGATAACCTCCCTCCAACTCATAGCTGTGGAGTCATGATATTTTTAGACTTTAATGCTTTTGGAATCAAACAACTCAAGTTAGAATAGTGTAACTAGTGTCAGTTTGTTATTCTTTGCTTGACAAACATTAATGTTGACATCAATGTTGGGGTAGACAATCTTTTATGGGTTATCAGTTTAGCTTTGATTAGTAAGTTTTCGATCAAAATCAGTTGTCATAAATTGTAGATAACATATTATATTTATTCATGTCATTGTACATAAAATTTTTTGCTCGTAGTCTAAGGTTCTCTTTTCATTGTCTTCTATTGTTTAAAATTTTAAAAACCGTTAGCAGGTTTAGGCCACTTCATGGTACCATCCTTCAAAGAAACCCACATTTGCATGATGATTGCTACATGATAATGGAACTCTGAGTAGCAACTTAGATCCCTTTTTGTACACATCAAAGCATATGCTGCCCTGTGTATTATTCTGCAAAAGAACTGTCTATATAATGACAAATTTGTTTCATAAAAATTACTTGTTTGGTAATACCTAAAAAAACTGAAGAAGCAGATCTATCAGAGATCCCAACATGTAGATAAATTTTTAGATGCAAGAATAGTATTTAAGAATGGTACCAAGCTGCACAGAAAGCTTGTGTTTTTTCAAGATAAGATAATAAAACAGTTCTATTATTTCATCTTTGTTTTAAACATACCATGAACATTAATTGATCGGCCAAATAGACACATGACTTGGAAAGCTTTTACAATCAATGCAAAATGACTTGGAACAATGTCGTTTGTATGCAGGTTTCAAATTCCCTCCTCTCTCTCATTAAATAAGAGATGTTTTCTGTGTGACTTGTCTGATATTTAAGCAAACCATCAACATTATTTTCTTGTGAGGGAACAGAAATGAGAAATGACAATACAAAACAGGCGCAACATTATTTTTAAAAGTGAACTTCGGTCAGCATTTTAAGTCAATTTAAGATTGCATATTTGGTAAAAAGAGCTGTTCTGTTTTTCATTAGCGTTGTTAAAAGTTTCATAAAGGCTGTTTAGTGCTTTGATGCAACAACCCAATAAACTTTTTGTCTGTTGAATAATTCTTTAAACGAAACATCATTCAGTTATAATTAAACATAACAAGTAAAGCTAAAACCTTTTTATTTGAAACATACATTTGAAAAACATACCAAAACACACCAAAACATATCACGCACAAGAAAAATTTCTTCGACTTTCATAATGAGATTAAGGTACTTTCATGAAACATTTTTTGCTTTGAAGAGGCTTGTGGCAAAAAATGACATGAAAAAGAATTTAAATAAAGTTAAAGAGTGGTTTTGGAGGTTTAAAATGTGGCTGGGAGAGTCGATTATAGAGTCTAATACTCGCTGAAAGCAAAATGTTGGTACAGATGGTGACAATTAGTGTAAAACTCCGTGAATACAACAATTACAGATAATTTTGCACAGGGACATGTTTTGGGTCATCCCTGAATTCCTCTGGCTATGGGAAACGATAAAGCAAATTCTACATTCTAGAAAGATATGACTCTAGTAAGCTATTTCTTACCAAGAAAATGACCATGAAAAGTCAAAGGGAAGTGGAAAGTGAGGCTGTTTAAAAGTATCCAATTGAATGACTTCAAGCCAACAGAAAATGCACTAATTCTATACGACATTGTCAGCTTAGGCTGCTGTGAATTTTATTTCCTTAACGCATGGGTACCTCACAGTATTACGAAGCACCAAATTCAAAGCAAATGTAGCCTAAGACATGCTAAACTGGCATGTAAACTGCTTCAATCACGTTCACAGTTTCTTATAAGAAACATATCTATTGATTCTAAAACATAACATACCCTATGAGTTTTTACCGCCTTTAAACATTTTTTCAGCTTCTTTTAGTCTAGGGTTGTATTCATAAGTAACTTCGCTGGACTCTTTCAACTGTTTTTTATATCTAGCCTCCTTCTCTTTTTCCTGATACTTGATCAAAGCTTGCGCCTGTGCATTCTTGTAACCTGTAATGATGATAATGAGCTTTCACTTTCTGTGAAATAAAGGGGCTAGATGGGTAGAGGGGCTGGATGGATAGAGGGGCTGGATGGATGAAGAGCAGGTCTGGCCGTCAGAGGCGAGCGATAGCTCGCGCTCGCCTCCACACTCCCCTCGCAACCTAAGGTGAGCTATGAACTGCTCTCCTATACAGAACATGAAGGGAGAATCGCTCCCCTAAAATTTCCATTCGTTTGCCATGTTCCTATCCAGAGAACCCTGAAAACGTACAAGGGTTAATTGGTTTATTTTTGTAACAGCCATTTCTCCCGTCATTGCATTTTTTGCAATTGACTTTTTGCTTGTTGGGCAGTTTTTGTCATGATAGGCATGAACTTCGATCTATTTGGAAAAGGATAGTTAAGAGAAAGGTAGGTTTGTAGCGATTAGAACCTTTCAATCTTAAGAAAACAGGCATATTTTTGGAAGGAAAGTCGAAGAAATTGGTAGGAACTGTAGATTGGGGGATATAATAAGATGGCAGGTCCCTTCCAGCAATAGAAACAAAACTATCCCTTTAAAGAGAACAGGGTAGTCTGTCTTGCAGATCAAAAACGACAACCAAAACATGGAATTCCACTTTCTAGTGGCATTTACTGAAAAAGCCAGATTGGGTGAAAAACTATAAAGGCGACATGTTTCGCATTATTGGCAAAGCCTGATGATCGTCCCATCTAGCAGTTTGTGAATCTATCTACTATATAAACACGACAGACCGCTTTTGTATAGACAGAAGGAGTTTGTTTCACCTTAGGACTCCGTGGGTAACATTTTCAATAGGAAAGCGGCACTGATTGGACAACCCCAACAGTCATATGCTTACGTTTTCTGATTGGCCTATTTCGATCCAAAACTGGGTATTTTAGCGAAGAGTTTTCCATCTATGTTCTGACGTTTTATTCTCTGAAGAGTGCTAGACGTTTAACTTAAGTTTGTTTCAAAATTTGTTTTTCAAAGCCATTTTCAAATTCTGTACAACAAAATGATTGTTTGGCAAGAGAATTTTTGTTTTTGTGTTGTACCAGCTTTACATGAAACTGAAAGAGTCTGTTTTTTTAAATACTTCAAATAAAGGGGGTGCCTAAGTCACAGTTAAAGCAAATACAAATTGAAAGAAGTAAAACAGCACACTCCTGACTGAGGCTATTAAAGGCAACCAACAGATACTAAAGGGGCTTATTAAGTCATCTGTCGATTGTCTTTAAAGTACATTCTATGTGTTACTGATTTAGCTCGCCTCAGCAAATGAGGGGAGCGATTCACAGCTCACCTATAAGAATACAAACGGCCAGGCCTGATGAAGAGGCTGGGTGGAATGGCAGGACAATAGTGGGCTTGGATGCAGTAGTGGTGTGAAGAGGACTGAGTGGGTGTAGGGGCGGGATGTGCAGGAAGAGTTTTCAGGGATGGGGTGAAATTGGTAGAAAGGAGTAGAATTTGTAGGAGGTAGGAGATAAATAACCGATTAAATGGTAAGGGTGGAACAAGTAGAATGGTTGGGGAGGGTAAATGAGCAAAATGTAGACAGGGCCAGAATAAGTGAAAGGGCTGGATGTTGTAGATGGGCTGCAGGGGGTAAAGGATATGAAAGGGGTAGAGGAGGCAGGGGGGCTAGAGAAGAGGCTATTAATGGTACTAGCAGACATGGTGATGTGTTTTAGATAATTGTTCAGTAAAAGCTGTCCTTTATTGGGATATTTTCAAGTCTACCCTCAAACGGACAAATGGTCCCATCTTGTGTTGACAGGAACAGCCTTTCAAATACAGAAAAGTTGTGAGGAGTTCGATTGGTTCACAGTAACTTCATTTCAATATGCCAGTTGATCTAAAACTTATCCCCACGTTTTCATCATTTCAAAAGTTAATCCATCCAGGGAACGTGGTGTAAAAATACATCTTGATTAGTCATCAGACTAGAAAATTTGAAAAATAAATTTTAATTACCTTTTCTCTTTTACATTTAGTCACATTCATATTAAATACAGGTATCCCTAACGAAAATTCAAAAATTTCCTATGCATGTAGCTAGCTGCTATCAATTTTCTTATTCGATATTTTTTACAAATCTTCCACTTACCAGCCTTGAAATTATCCAAAAAGCTTCCAGAAGGCGTTTTCTCTTTCGCAATTTCTGGCTCAAGATCAGGAAGATCAACCATTTTACGGATAGTGGGATGCCTCAGGGCGAGTATTTGACCAACGGAATAGACATTTGACGTCATCCAATAAATAAAAACAGCCTAGGACGAAGGATGATAAAACTTTACTTATTCCTCTGAGACTGGCGTGCTTTGCTTGAATTCCTTTCCCATCATTACAACTGAGTCTATCGCAATTTCATTTGAAACTGGTGTTAATATATAATTAATATAGTATACTTGAATAATGAAAACATACCAATCAGAAACTGCGATGAAAAATTTTCAATTGTTAATACAAAGGTGAGTGATAGTGGTAGCTGGTGACAATGTTTAAAGGGTTTTATGATAAACTGTAAAACAAGTTAAAAGAGAGGAAAACAAACTGCTGGGAATTTTGCTGTGAGAGGAATCAGCATGAAGGCCATAAATCTCATCAAATATTTTGTCTTCTGCATTTGCTCGGAAGAAATGCCCATTTCAGTACCAAGCTGTGGGAAAAAGCAACACAAATTGTCAAGAATATAACGAGATGCCTTGAGGACTAACAAATTAATGTATTTGAAGATAGAATGGAAATAAGAAAAAAAGCATACTATGATACTCTTCATATGGCAATACTCAGAGAATACATAAAAGATAATGACTACAGGTAACAGAAAATTATATCCAAGCATAGATCGACAGTGACTAGCCGAGACTCTTTTTACTCTTGGATTCTTCAACAAGGTCTTGGATTCAACAACGAGAGGTTAGCGGCCGCTGATTGGTCACAAAAACAAAGGACCAATCAAAAGCGCTAATTTTCCTCTCGCGTTACTTTCGATGCACATCCGGATATAAACCTTATTAAAACGACAATATCGGTTAGCACATTTAGAATCATGAAAATTACTGTTTACTAGTCTGTCATAAAGTGATCGGTGCCATATCGGCAGAGCTGTATACACAGTTGGCTGTTGATAGCATTAAGCGTGAAAGTCGGAGTAACAACTTTCATATATAAACAACCCTCATATAAACATGAACATATAACAACAACGCTTTAAGATGCAGTGTATGCAATATGATACTTCAAAATATCGGAATAGAAATGCCCAGTATGATTTATAGCAGCTGTGGACAGCATACTGCTGGGTGCCTTGTTGATGAAAGAGATCATTGATCAAAAGCTAATGCATATAGATGTTAAACACTCACCTCAATTGTCAATAACATTGTAGCTGATGTCAAAATTGGTAGGACAAAGTAGGGGTCATAAGCAGTAAGGTTGGTGAACCATAACAAGCCTCCGGTGCTCATAGACTCTACGGGGAGCTGAGCCATCTTCCGCAATGCAATGAAGAAAGACAGGAACAAGGGAAGTTGAACAAGAGGAGCAATCAGTCCCTGAAAAAAGAAAGAAATAATTAATAAACAGCACCAATTTGTTTACAGTATTATCCTGGGTAAACAATAGGCATTTGGTATTGACATAATATTCACATTACACAGAAGGTATTAATCTCCTAAAAATCTTATTATTATCAAGGTTTTTGATTCTACAACTAATAGATATCGAAAATGACCCATTTTTGACCATAATTCTGGCCTTTTATACCCTGAAGAGTGTCAGGCAAAAAGCTCAAGTATGCTGTAAAATGAGTGCTTTTTCAAAGCCATTTTCAAATTTTGTACACTAAAAAATTGCATGTCAAATTTGGCACAACCATTTTATGGATTTTACAGATTTAATTGCAACTTTTGTCACATCAAAATTTGAAATTATGCCTTTTAAAAATTTGTGAAAAATGTGCAACAGAATCAATAAAAATTGAAATAACCTTTGCTACAACTAATTAAAACTTTATGTGAAATATCTAGCCACTTGAAGATACAACATCATTTTGATTTGCTTGTCACTCCTCACTCTGTTCTACACGTCAAGAGGTATAAGTAGTTAAAGGGAAGACAGGAAGTTGTTTATGGATACCTAAATATTCCTTTTAATATATACATAATTTCAGTATTTTAATTATGCTTGATGATCACAAAAAGCATGAAACTTGGAGTTGCAACTTTGTACTGTCTGGTTCTAAACATTATATAAATCAATTGAGAAAGCTGCTTAAATGAGGCATTGTATATAGAAGTACCTTGTGCGAATTCCCTAACACTCTGAAACCAAATACAGTTGTAACACAAATCAAATTTATACACAAATCAAAAACAACAATGTCACAAAAGAAAGGAACATTGAATGCTTACAAAAACATATGCAAGTTGAATAGAAGACAGCAACTGATAAGACTAAGATTTTTCACTGAAGTTTATTTGCAAACCTTCAAAGGGTGACAGTTGTTGTCCTTCAGCAGTTTTTGCATTTTCATAGCAGCCAATGACTTTTTCATTGTATCTTGGGTGTTAGCCAACTCACGCATCTCAGCCTGGATAACATCAAGCTCTGGTTTAACCTTATTCAACCGAGCTGTATTTACTTGCCCTTTCAATAACAGCGGCAACATGAGGGTTCGAAATACAACAGTACATATTGCGATAGAGCCCCACCATGGCATTCCTAGGTTAACATGAAGAACCTCTAGGATTGACTGAAGGAGTCCTACTGGGGTGTATGCACATAGGCCTAAACTTGACAATGAAGGTTCTGCTGCAGCAATTATGTCTTGTGTAGTCTGTGCTGCACTTGCTAATGTTTCAGGACTAAGAAGTTCTGGTATTTGCTGCATGCCTGTTGGTAATACCTCATCTAGAGTCGCAGATGACGTTAGCGGGTCTAAAGCACTTTCACTTGCTTCACCAGCAGATCCAACATCTACAATACCAATTCATTCTAGTAGATTAACAAGAAAACTTGTCACATTCAAATGCAATTTTGCACTTTAGCTACTGAAGGAAGATAGTGAAAAATAAATATTAAGATTTTTTGAAACAGAAAAGACAAATCAAGTTCAGAGAAGAATATGACAACATAGGCTAACCGGTACTGACTCCTCCTCCGCTTGAAACTGATGATGAGTTCAGACGTGCCCCACCCAACTCCAATTTTGCAACTAGCAAAGCACAGACAGCAGAATTGTACGGTGGAAACGCTGTGATGCGAACATGGTCAAAAACTGTTTTCTTCTGTTGGTTGAAGACATTATGAAACACTCTTGGTTTCCCAGTTTCTGTATGAAACTAAAAGCAAAAGAATTCTGGTAATTTGTTATTCATTGATACTGACACAAAATTAACTCTGCAAGCAAGCTACTGAGAACCTTACACTTCTTGATTAAATCTTCGAAAAATTTTGGAGCTGACAATGAGTGCTTACTTCACTAAGCCAAACTGAATAACCAGGGAGAGGTTTAAGTTAGACTGAGGTATTAAAACAAATAGGCGTTTAATAGAGGGTTGGACTCAACTATTTCACCCCCTTGTTCTGTGCAAGTCTTCTGACTAAAGCCATCATATTCTTAGGTCTTTTTATAAAGTCCACATTGCAATTGAATCCAGGGCTGCATTTCTGTCTGTTGGGGCCCTGGGCCCAAAGTTTTTTGGGGCATCTTAAAATATGCCAAAAAACACGTGTCACCTGTATAATTTGGCATCCTGCTAGTATGGACTTTTATGATCAAGGCCGCAATATTCAGTCAAAACCAAACAGGTAAATATTACCTAAATAGTTTTATGGGTAAAAACATTAAAACACATCTAAATTTGTCTAAACATATGCATTTTGGTACAATCCCAATAAATCTACCCTTGCCCTTATGATCCATGATGCAAATGTCTTTTGTTTTTACTCAACTGCTCCAAACTTGCGAGTAATTTAATTGGGGTCTAAAACTCTCAGAACATCCAAATTCGCTGCCTTTCAAGGCAAAAACATGCTCTTGTGACATTGAGGACTTTAGTACACACTTTTCCTTTACGCTGGAGAAACTTCTTTCACCAGAGAACTACACAAGGCAAATTGCACAAAAATTCCAAAAAGGAGGCTGTGCCATAGAAGCCACACCCATGGTTGCATTCTGCATTTGTGTTAACGATTATCTGTTGTGTACAAAAATTATTCACTGACCTTTAAAGACAAATAGAAATTGCTCATAGGAAAATCAATAGCATGCTTAAAGGCCAGTCTGCAAAGTAGGCAGAAGAATGCGCAAATTCAGGATAGTGCTGCTTGCCAAAATTTTCTGATTGAACACCAATTTTTCTAAAGCACTATTAAAAAAAACTTATATTTGCCTGCCAAATAGATAGTAAAGAGAGGTTTTCATGCAGAATGTGGCATGAATGAGCACTGCATGCACGAGACCTTTTCAAGATTTGTCATACTCTGCAGACTCTGCAGACTGACTAAAGGGTTAATTCACCATGTTACAAGTTAATAATTTGCTCAAACATACCAAACTAAACATATACTGGCCCTTGCTGAAGGGGTTGAGCCCCCCCCCCAAAATATATCTTTATTTCAGCAAGGGCTCTGTGCTGAGCCACCCCTCCATGGCACCACTGATTGAAAACTAATTCCCAGGCCTTCCCCTTCCCTCTTGACTCGTGAAGCAATTTACTGGCCTTTTGCAAAATAGACTAAGGACAGGCACCTTCTGCTAGAGGGTTTTATGCTGAACCAGCTGATAAAAACAACATCCACAATAGTTTCAATGGAAACTATACCCTGAATGAAGAAATTACCAATTGCAAAAAATCAAAAAAATTTAATGAACTGATTTACTTGAGAGTTTTCAGTGTCCATTGCTATGTAGCTTTATGTGATTTTTTGACGTCATAAACCCCTCTCTACTCTATTCTAACAATCTCAAAAATTCAAGAGCAACTCATGTCAGGTCTAACTCTTCACGTTCAAATTCCAAAATTGCCCCGCGAATAATTTGAAGTTTGGCCTGGAACTCTTCCGTGCAAAAATTGAAAGTAAATCCAAAGTTCAATTCAGCATACCTTTTTATGAGAGCCATTTCTGGAGCCATTGAATGAAAACTTTGCTTGTGAGGTTCTAAATCTCGTGAAATTGGACCGGCATCCGCCGAATGCACGTGAAAATGATCCCACCATCTTGATAGTGTTCTATGATCAACAGCAGCAACATCCAAAAGTACTCCATGTAACGAACACTCTGTGATCATAACCTCCTTTCAAAAAATTTCTTCCCTTCTTTTCGTGGCTAAAAAGCGCGGGGCGAAACCAACATGCCGATTGTTGACAACGAAATAAAATTGGACTTTAAAGATGTCCTCATCCGGCCAAAGAGAAGTACTATGAAGAGCCGTGCCGATGTAATTTGATTTCTTCCTCGAAATCCTGTCCGCAAGGTTTAAATCGTAGACGAAACTTCGTTTAATATTGTTAGCGGCTAAGAAAACCGGTACAAGAAGTCAGATGTTTTTATATTGAATACACGTGTTGTATCAGTTTTCTTAAGGGAATTGAAAGTAGCTCAGATCGAAGCTTTATCTAGACCTTAGATGGGCCTAACTTTCTAGAAATAGGCTGAATGTGCTTTAAATTGAATTTAAAGTAACTCTTGTCACTTCTATTTTAGGTTGATCTTGCCAGGAAATTTGCTTTCAGGCATGCAAAAAAAAATTTTCCAGAAGATGTTATACCTGTTATTGCAGCAAATATGGATACTGTTGGCACATTTGAAATGGCAGCTGTTCTTGCAAAGGTTTGTTCTTAAAGAGCAAGTTTTTTAGTCATGTTGAAAAGTGTTGTAGTCATCTACTGTGGCTCAGTGTGTCGAAGCTTCTTTGTGGCAGGTGTGATTGCGCAAGAGGCATCAATTATTTTTTCTAGGTTAATTTCCTATGTGAGCTTTAAAGCATGATGTACCAAAAACCTCATTATCATTAAACTACCATATGTTTAAATTGTGCTTGATAATTGCACACAGTGTTCACAGACAGGTCAAAGGATTGCCTTTAATGTATTTTAGATTTGTTTGTCTGTTTGTAAGATATGATATAGTAAGCATTCAATTCTAACATGTAAATTTTAACATTAATTTGTACCTGTACTAATTCAAAGATGCCACTGACCAATCCATTACCACAATGCCCCTTCAATGTTCCCTTTAATTTTCAGTCCCTTTTTAATTTGGTCTTGACGACAAACAAAATTACAGCTTCTCATTTGACATGTAAATGTTCAATTTAATCATTGATCAGTGGCATCTTCTAGCACTTTTTATCCATCAATCTATGATTTCTTGCACTCTGAGCATTATACGGATACTGGGTCCTGCTCAGTATCAATGTAGATGTAGATGTAGAAAATAGATCAGCCAGACCAATAAGACTAGGAACAGGAAGGAAAAACATTCTAATGCACAAGTTGGTAATTTCCATCCTTGTGAGTTTCTTGGTGCCATAAAGTTGTATTTAAGTACCATAAGGTTTTCATTTTACAAAATGGGAAAAAAGCTGCAAACAGCACATATGCTAAGCAATTTCCATCTGGCATTCACAAAAGAGGTTTTTTGTCTGACTCTTTGAAAACTATTGGGCAAGAAGTGCCTCAATATATGTGTTAAGTTTTAAACTTTAATAAACAATTTTGAAATTTTGTGATGTGGAAAATTCCTTTTTTTACCAGCACCTTGCTTTTTCAATGATGCAGAAAACAATCCAAGGAAAATTTTTTGTTAGAATATTGAATTTGTTGATAGTAGAAACTTTCCGAGTTATTATGTTATTCTATAGCAACCATTGTTATTCTGTCAACATAGTAAGAATCTCTTTGTTTTTGTTTACAAAAGAGTTCTAAAGTGTGACGTCACCAAAAACCTATTTTTAGAATTTTTGAATTTTAGCAACATAACAAAAGATCACCACAAAATACTTTCAACTATGCCAAATTGGCCAAATTTGTCTAAAATCGGTTGAGATATGGCCAATGAAAGATTTGAAGCTTGATAACAAATCACTGTTTTTTGGCTCTGTTAATGAAGTTATGAACAGAGACCAAAATACTGAGGTTTGAGGGGGAAAGAGCCAATATTTCATGATACTCTTTCATGTTATGGGATTCAAATTCAAAAATCCTAAAAATAGATTTTTGTGATGTCATCAGTTTAGAACTCTATGGTCCTCTTTCATTGACTAGAATTCAGTTCATTTTACTGACATGCTTCCAATTTTTTTTACAAAATTTGATAATACTTGTTTAAATGAAATACTCAATCTCGAGCCTCAGTTTTCAAGGTTTTATTAATTTTGCTCTTCCAGATCTTTTTGATATTTTTTTACCAGTAACCTACCATTTTTATCCACAAAATGCAGCTTAAACATCCGAGTTTCGTGGTAGTTTCAAAACTTTTATCAATTATTATTCTCTTGTTTCTTTTTTTTAAAAAAAAAACTACGCCTGTAATAAATGCTTTGTATTATTGTTCAGTATTATTTGAATTCTAGCACAAGCTTTTAACTGCAATACACAAACATTACTCTGTCGAGGAATGGAGGAAATTTGCAACTGCTCACGAGAGCTACCTGCCAGTAAGTTAATACAGTTTTTTAAAACCTAAATAATCTTATTGTTAATAAAACAGTAATGAATTACCTTTAGACATGGAACTTCTTAAATTCCTGCACCTATTAGTTTGTTCAACTTTGGTTTATAAACATCAATTTTTTACAATGATTTGTAAATGAAATTGGCAGAGTGCTAGATAAAAATTCCATAGGCCTAATCAGGCCTCTCCGTTTAAGGCGCGCGATCACGCGCGTGCGCCTTGGCACGCTCCTGTCGTTGCCGAGACGCGCAATAAATCACGCGCCTGGTTTATAAGAACTCTTTAAATCGCGCTCCTTGTGTTTTGGTTTTGAACAATTATTATACAAAGAGCCTTGCAGATTCGAAATTGATTGATAACTAAATAGACGGTTGCTTCTTTTAATCCCTCTTTCGAGGAAATTGTTATTGCCAAGTTAAAGCAAACACCTCTTGAATATATTTCTGGTCAATAACCAATAAACTGTCATTGTGATTCCTGATTGTTATAAGTTTTTTAAATGACCAGTAATTCAAAGGGTCAAGCCATAGAGCTATCGGCTTTCGCAACGATCGCAAGGACGAAGTTAGCGGATCAAAGACCGAAAAATGAAATGGGAAGACAATGATGGTTTCGATTTGGTGTAAAGTTTGCTCAAAACATAAAAGCGTTATTTTATCAAATTCTCTTTGCAAAGGAAGTGCCAGGAAAGCAATTGAATATTACGTCAATGGAACGAATTTTGATTCTTCCACTTCTTCTGACTCCGATTCTTCATCGGAATTCGAGCTGGACATTGACGAACTGCAACAATAATGTGTTTTTTTGCTTTTAGTGCTCTATTAAGTAGTTTGTTTAGATATTTCTAGATAAAAAGTATTAACATGCGAAAACATGCCGTTTTTGCCTACTTTGATGTTAATATATTTTTTTGATAAAACGCGCACCTTAGCAAGGCGAGGCGCGCGTTTAAGCACGCGCCCGCTAAAATGCTCACGGAGAGGCCTGCCTAATGAACAAATGTAAGATGAAACTTGATCCATTCTGTTCTCCACACCACTGCTTTTACAGCTTATTCTATAGGACATAAAGCACTATACAATAGAAATGGAAACAGCAACCTATATAATTATCCAACATATTTGCACAAGATTATTAGCAAAGTTGTTGAGCAACATATTGGCATAACTTCACAACCAAAGTCTTGCTTTCTCATTCACAATTGAGCTGTATAAGATGTACATCAGACATTTTACACTGGGACCACTTTTGTTTTCAGTATTTGGCTGTAAGTGCAGGAATGGTGAAGAAAGATAGTGAAACAATGGATCAAATCCTTCAAGAATTCCCACAAATACCTGCAATATGTCTTGATGTGGCTAATGGTTATTCTGAACATTTTGTTGAATTTGTCAAGGAAATAAGAGAGAAACACCCAGAGCACATTATTATTGTGAGTACATAGTGATATTCAATAAATACATTATGATCAGTTTATGTTGTTAAAGACGACACAGTATTTTCTCTATTGTAAAGAATTTTCACCACCAAAAATAGAAAAAACAGCCTCTATCCACCATGAATTTGTTGCTGGTCTGCCCCACCCAAAAGATTTGAATGATTAGAACAAAAGAATTCCATCATGGCACTGCCAACTTCCAGACGGTCTATGCCACACTTGTGCTAATTTATTCCCAGGAAGCCCTGTTGTTTAAATTCCAATTTTTTTAACCATGTAGTAATCAAATTTGTAGGTGAGTCTCTTAAATCCATATCAAGTTCATAAATTGACTTCTAGGCTGGGAACGTAGTGACTGGTGAAATGGTCGAGCAGCTCATTTTATGTGGTGCTGACATAATCAAAGTTGGCATTGGTCCAGGTAAATATTTTTTTTAAATTAAGTTCATAAAAGATGAAACTAAAAGCCGGAAATTACACAACATTTTTCCCTTCTTTGAAAGATGTTTTGTCATTTATTTAATGAAAGATGCTTCGTCACCTTCTGCCTAGTACATGAACCAAGGTCTAAGTCTGTTCTGAGAGACTCCAAAACTTTACACAAACAAGTTATGATTTTTAGTGTATCAAAAAGGAGAAATAGCTGTTTGTGATCAAGACAAGCATGTTGTCAAAAGTTATCAGAATTATAAATCTTGAATATGTTCATAGTACTTTGACTTTTTCAATTTTCAAGGGTCTGTATGCACAACAAGATCAAAAACAGGAGTTGGTTATCCACAAGTAAGCGCTGTTTTGGAATGTGCAGATGCTGCCCATGGTCTGAAGGGACATATCATATCTGTATGTCTGAATTTTATTTCCATTTTCTTTTTCTTTTTTAGCTAAAAGATCTTTAATAATATTATGTTTATTTTTATATTATTTTGTTGGTACTCAGATTCATTTTGGTTTAAATTAGCTGTATTTAGTTCTTTTTTGACCGCAAACACTTTTTGTGATACAGGATGGTGGCTGCACTTGTCCAGGGGATATTGCCAAGGCTTTTGGTAAGTACCATACTTTATATTTAAAAATGTTTCATTAATTAAAATCACTATTTCAGCCACGATTTATGTGGTGTTGTCAAATCTATTTCTTCACGACCCAGCAGCCTGGACCAAAAATTTGCTTTGAAGCACACACTTTCTTAAGACTAAATGTCATTTATGTATGGTATCTGCAGGTATTAAAAACCTAATTTCAAACAAAAACTTTTTGTTAGAAGCAAAACTTTTTTGACCTTTTCTTATATTTCCAAAAAGGGTAAAATTTGCACATTTGATTTTGTTGGTGGTAAATAGGTAAAACACTCATGCCCGACAGATTTTTCTAAAACAGAGCTTTTTGCTTGATATTGGACATAATATTAAATTGGGCTCTGTACGGTTAATCCTTAAAAAGGCCAACTGCAGGCTTCTTAATATTTGGCAGTTTTGCATGGGGCTAATTCAAGGGAAGTCTTAAATGGGGAGAAGGCAATTCGTGCTAATTAGGGGTGGGAGCTAATTTGAGAGGGCTTGCATGTGAGGGGAGGAGTGCAATTCAAGGATTTACAGTATAAGGGTTTGTAAGAAATAAACGAACTTTCCCCACAGCTCTCCAACATCCAACAGCTCTCCTGATTTTATAGTGTCTTTTGTCAGCAAGCCTTGATCCATAATGGTACATAACCATACACAATTTGAAATAGAAGGTTTGAAAAAAACCTTACTTTATAAAAATCACCAAGTTCTGCTACCATCAATAGTTACTATAATTATAAAAGACCTTTTCTAACCAGTGGAAAAAGATGCCTTTCGTTTTTTAAACTGGATGTTGTTTGTTTCTAGGTGCTGGGGCAGATTTTGTCATGCTCGGGGGCATGTTTGCTGGGCATGATGAATCTGGTAAGTAAACAGTTTTGGTTTTTACAGTCATGTTGACAATAAATGTTTCTTATTTGTTTAGATTTTGTGACTTACTGTTGTAAAAAAGAACAGTTATAAGGTGATATATGCAAGAAAAGATGATTAAAAGCAAATTTTTTCTAGGGGGTGAGTTGGTGGAACGAGATGGAAGAATGATGAAAATATTTTATGGCATGAGCTCATCCACTGCTATGAAGAAGCATGTTGGAGGTGTGGCAGAATATAGGTAAGTTTGAAGCTAGATTTTTTTTGAAAATGTAATTGACTATGTTATTAGTGCTGTTATGTATGATCACTAGTAAGAAATGCCCTGTAATCAAAAGGCCCTGTAATGTTCTCTTCATTTGTCACCATGCTCTGAGCCACTGCTCAAAATATGTGATAGGTCACATAATATTAACATTCATTTGTAGACTAATGTATCAAAAGAAATAGCCAAGAGATATTACAAGCTATTTAGAAAGATGATCTTAAACAACACATTTTATTAAATAGCAAAAAAATTGATATTCCATTGCAGCACCAACATGGATTTTTCTGTTTCAGATCTTCAGAAGGGAAGACGGTAGAGATCCCTTACAGAGGAAAAGCGAAAGACACGATTCTAGACATACTTGGGGGCCTAAGGTCGGCCTGCACATATGTTGGAGCTGAAAAACTGAAAGAGCTGCCCAGGAGAACAACCTTCATCAGAGTCACCCAGCAGCTCAACCCTGTATTCAGTAAAAGCTAAAGTTCCAAATTGATGTCTCCTAGAACTGAGTTTTTTAAAAATGAAAACAAATTGCATTGAAAACATTATTTAATAGGTTTTTGTTGATGACTGTTCCTCTTTCCTTTTTTAAGTATTACTTCAAGATTAAAAGGCCAAGGAAAAGAAAGACTTTGCATATACAGCAGCAAAAGGCATTTTATCAGTATCTTCTCGTGATATTTTTGTTGACATATGTGCAGTTTGTTAGGTTACCAGTTGCTCGTTCTTTGCCATACTTATAGACCCATGTGGCAGTAATTTCAACAATGTAGCTCCACACCCCCTTTTTAATCTCACTATGCTCCTTTTACTAATAAAGTACCATTAGTATTTTTTCAGTTTTCAAGTCTAATAAAAGGCTTCTTTAGTATACAGTATAAGTATTTATTATTTTAATTTCTTAAACATATTCTAATTTCATCAACATATCTTCAACTATGGACCAATATTTTAGCGTCATTGTTATTTGATGTCACAAAGGAGGGCAACTCCGCGAAGAATCCAATGATCTGGACTTTGCACTGTTTTCAGGTACAGATTCGTGACGTAGGTTAGATCTGTGCGTCTTGGTTTCTTGTAAACAGGACACTGATAGAGGCGGGGATCTTTTGGACCCGTGTTGTTTACCGCATAGATATGTACTACGGGGAGTGTTGTGAAGAGAACCTTTGGCGAAGGCTCGGTCAGTTTGCATCCACGCTTGTCCCAACCAGCTCCATCCAGATATAAGCCATGCACGTAGACTCCCTCCTATTAACAGTTTTATAATGTCACGCAAGCAATCTTTAAAAACGTTTAATGAAAGAAGCTTATTCGATTACTCCTAAACCATAAACTGCTAAGATATCTTCCCAAACTAAAACCAGCAAAGTTTCTTCACAATTCTCCTGCACAGTCTATTGAGCTAACGCAAATTAACATATAGGCAATCGTTTACATATTTAGGAAGAATGTTTGTAACTTTCCATTAGAGTTTATCGTTATTAATGAAAATGACTGCCTGAAAATCTTTTGAATACCGTGCTATCTTATGCTGAATTTACAGCCTCTTACCTGGGGTGGACTTGTAATATCTTCCTTCATTTGCTTAATGACGTCATTATGCAGAACAACCGAGTCTAGTGCCCAGCCCTTGTGCGCCCTGGTTACCTCCTGTCGCATGGCTGTTAAAAAGCCTTGTGGGTTGAAGAATCCAGTCATCCAAAATACGTTGGGGCGCCCGTGGAATATCCATGTCGAAAACTGGCTGTTCCTCTCGATCAGCTCGGTAAACCAAAAACCAAGCGTGGCTGACTCCCATGAAACCTATTGAAAAAAGTCCGTATTTTTCTACAGTCTTTTGTATGGCTGCATATGCTATGCTATGCTACATTTGAATTCATTTGCGATGGTCATTAAACCAGTGAATTGTTTCAGAAGTAAAAGTTGAGCGTATAACAAATTCATGTCAATAGAGCATCCATGCAGCCGTAAAGAACTTCCCTCAAAAATGTATCCCCCTCTTAACTAGCGTACTAAATATCCCCTTTCTTGGATTAGAATGACAAGCCTGGACACACAAGCTGTGCAGCCGCTTAGTTGACATAATCTAAGCACGAACATTAAGATTTGCCGGTTAAATAAGAAATTCGATAAATAATAAACGGCGTCTTCAATTTTGAAATGGAGGAGCATTAAAGGCGAAAATTGGTTATTGGTTGCCCCAGCGCATGCAAAGGCCTGTCACCCTTCGACTGATAATATATCAGAATGATCGAGAGAAAGTAGTACCTTTTGCCAAAGATGTGGAACTCGGGCGTCGTACATGTTATCCAATGCATCTCTCAGATTCTGCAATGCGATAAAGGCATTAAATACTAACTACAGACTGATGCAAATCAAACTTTGAGAGGTATTTTTGATTATCTCTGATGCATACAAAACTCATTTCCCAATGGAATTGGGGCTGGGCCCCTTCCATTATAGCCCTCATAGTGGTGGAACTATTTTCAGAAGACATTAAATTAAGATTGTAAGGCGTTAGTTCACACGAACAAAAATTAGAAGGTTTTTCAATTTGCAATGATGGTTTGTTTATGGACTATGGAACTATTTCAGAAAAAAAACTAAATTTTGACATCCTGATTGTTTTAAAAAACAACCTTGGTAACAGGAAGAAAGCACCTTGTGCCTAATTGTTAGCGCCTAACACCTCTTGGTGCTTATCTTCGATTGTTTGTGTATATTTCTATGGCGCAGACATATATCTCAAGGTTCAAAATACCTCGCTCATAATGATGGTTCCTTCAATAGCAAGTTGCAGATCAGTCAATGTATTACGAACAACGGTGATCACACGCTGCATTCGATCGATTTCTTGTCGGAGGAAGATGTTCATTGATGAAAGTGCTCCCATCTTTTGCAGTCGTCCCTTTACCTAAATGAAGCAAGATTAAAATAAAAAATAAGAATCTCTTCCTTTCAAAAGACAAATTTGTCCGGAAAGAGTCAAATAAGAAACTCGAGAAAAAATCTCTTACTATCTAAAAACAGTAAAGATGTGTTTGTTTAGGTATCTAAAGTAATGACCCTGGAGACCGTCCCATACCTCGTGAGGCACATAATCCGGGGGCAGCTTGCTAAGCATGTCAGAAGCCAAGCGCATCACGATGCTTTCGCGTGTTTCTCCACTTCCTCCTCCGCTGTCCTTTGGCTGGATGTTGAGGATGGTGTCGAGTATGTCTTTGGTTCTGTTGCTCTGGTAGCTAACAAACGAAAACAGACGAAATGTTGGCAATAGCGAAATTTGCATTACATAAATACTGTAACGGTTTAGGGTTTATCAAGTTTCATAGCTTATCAATCAATAAAAAGTATTCAGAAGAACATAAGTTCTAAGCATCTTATGTCGATAATATGAACGAAACAAGCTAATAAACTCCAACACTATCGTGCTGTTAAGATAATTAAGAGATTTCTTCTGCTTTATCCCGAAATAAATCATTTAAAAAAAGATGTCATTTCCCATCTGTTTCTGCAAATGTGAATTCAGAAATGGCAATTTTCAAGCTAAAAGTCAAGATGCTCCAAATCAATATTCAGCCACACGACGAATTCATATTATTTTTCTATAACACTGCATACTGATCTCACTGAGGAATCAATTTTAAAAGGAGTTACGTTAAGCTCACATGCTGTCTTTATAAATGCATTACCGGTGATCTATCAAGAAAAACATACTTCACTCGGACAAAAGTTAACTATAAACTATACTCGGACCAAAGCGTCTTGTTGCCTTAAAAGTCTCACGCATATATGCTAACGCGAATAATCGCATGATAATATCATCATGTTTTGTCCTGTAATTGTGCTGGCAATATTCATGTTACAATGATATCTGACATGACTTCTGTATATGTCGATTATATGTGAATGCATTAGCAATGTTGATATTTCAGTTATATCTTACGCAATATCAGGGCCTCAGCAATATTTAAATTTTGATGATATCTTACGTGATATCAGCATTCGAATGCAGTCCAAACACTTCCGGTGTATCCATTGGAGGTAGATCTTGTATTGCCTCGCGGAACTGGTCAATCAGCTTCACGTTTGGTATGATGTAGCCTTTGTAGAAGTTGAAGTCAGAAAGGAACATATGGTCACCGAACCAAACCTTGAAAGTAACCATCGTATGATAAGTTGGGAGAGATTCATCAGTTTAGATACCTAACAAGTCATATATATTTAATTTATAAACGTATTTAAAAGTTCTAAACTATTACAGCTTTAGCTATGATGATTTTTAATTAAAATAGAAATTAATTTTTCCTTCTTGATTCATAGATAGACCAAGATATTCATAGAATAGCCAGTGAGCTGTGAAAAACTTTAATCTGAACGAGATTTGAGGAAAGTAAGAATCAAGAAAATTTTAACACGTGATAGCTTAGAAAACCACTTGTCTTTCGATGTTTCCCAAAGATGTATGGTACAGCCTGGCCAAAACGGAGAACAATCAGATATATTTTCTTATAGCTATCTTGAGATAATATTAATCTGCATAAAGTTTCAGATAATCTCTCTACTGATTTCACATCATACCCTAGCATAAGTATTCAACAATCTTTTGTCAAAATCATCTGTGACACGTCCACCATATTGAACTTCTCCGATCATGTATCTTACTGTGTTCCATGAGACTCCCTGCAAGAGACAAAAGTAGGTTTAATTAAAAAAAGACAGTGCATAGGCTAATTCTTATTGGTTGGTACTGTAACTGTGTCCGTTGGAAAATTTAGCAAGAAAGCATATGCATAATGCCAGGAGGAAATCAATAGCGTATTTTTCTAGCAAATATAAAAACCGCAAAAGATCAGCTGTGCCAATTACTGGGAAAAAGACACATGGTCATGAAGTTTCCATTATGACTGGCACTTCCAACTTTTTATAGTTTTAGAAACAATACAAATTAGTTTCAAAATAACACAAGACTTAGCTGTTGACACACAAAGCTTAAGCCACAATTAGCTATTGAGCAACTGATACACACAGCTATTGATTCACACGGACAAAACATATAAGCTACAAAAAAACCGACAAATGATGCAGGACAAAACTGGTCAAAGCAGCAAGAGATCAAGTAACAAAATATAAATAGCAACAGACCATTTTAGGATCTAAGTCATCAAGATGGTTTTGAACAAACTGCACTGTTGCAGTCATATCCGCTTGGTTAAATTCGTATGGGATGTTCCATCCAAGCGGGCCAAATTTTCTTCGTTCCTGTAAAGAAGAGATTGTAAACAATGACATTAATAAACATTTATTACAATTAACGTTGCAGTTTATCCGTAAAACTGGTCGACTTGCTTAAGATCGTCCCTAACTTGTCACATGCCACCACCTTATATTTTATACTGCTTTAGTACACATGTATATAGTTAGATGTATGTCTAAGTTTCATGAAACCTTTCTTTTATTTCTTATGTTTAATGGCCCCGGGGTAGACATAGTTTTTTGTTCTCCGGGGTATCGTCCTTAGTAGTGTTGCAGAGTAATTTCCTATATGCAAAGTATTTTGTAATATGTACTGGTAAAATTTTGATTGGATTATACATAAAGAAGAAGAGACTTCATAATTCTTACGAAAAAATATACTTGATTAATAGAAAGGTTTTGTGAAAGAGAACTTGATTTAAGAATATCTAAGATATCTATGATAAAAAAGAACTTGATTTAAGAAAATTTTAATTAATTTTTTTCGTCGATGTTCAATTCTTAAGTCTGTTATCAAACAAATCAATTTCAGTTATATTTCATTGCATATGCATTTAAATACCATTTCTATTTGTTGCTCTACTGACTCTATTGATATAATTTCATTTGCTCTCTATTTGAGAAATAGACAGGTAAATCGTAGTTACTTGGTTTGCAGTTATTTTACAGGCAATTGACTGATACTAAAGGGCTTCAGCTATCTTTCATTTAAAGATTGACCAATCATTGAGTGTGATTCCACTCGCACGCTCATTGATTGGCTAATATTGATTGACAGTTGTTTTAAGCCACTTTTACATCTGTCAATTGCCTTCAACTACAAAACGATATCAACAGTATCAGTTACCTGGACAACAGTGTGCAGCATAGCAACCGCGTATAGTATTGGCTTCCATTGGGGCATGTTGCAGATATCGAGCTGATCTTGGCTGACTCCAGCATAAGTGCGCTTAAGACCAGCTTTCACACCCTGAGGCGGTTCATTCGTAAACTTTATTGAAGCCTACATTGACAAAATATGCCCAGTTACTTGTCAAATGAAGTTGAATATCTCAATGCACATCATCAATTAGAGGGAAAATTATGGACACAATATAATATTTTTCGAGAATATTACGAGATATTAATACCAATCCAAGAAGAAAGAGATATTACGCATCTGGCGAAGCGGGCGAAATTTTGTGACAATTACTTGACAAACTTTGTGAAGTAGATGCTGTATTCTAAATGAGGTTACCTGAAGGAGGCCTATTGGAAACTTTGGGTGTTCTTCAGTTGTGATCCATATGCGGAATGTGTCATGCGCAGTTTCCATCGCTAAAACTGTCTCTAGCAGCTCATCCATGAAATCAAGCCCCAAGTGGCAATTCTGTAGCAGCACCCAGCCACCCTAGTGAAAAAGGAATAACGTTTATCTTTTCCCAATAGAAAAAATACTAGCCTTGCAATAAGAGTATTGTTACCTTTAGAATTCGAAATATTTCCAACCGAATTATATTTTACTTAAAAACCTTCAATTTCACTCACATTTGCCGTGCTTTGTTGGACCAGTCTCCTTGCGTGGACTTCTTGTCCCTGTCCCATTGATATGGCTCTACATTCTACAAACAGAAAAACAGGGTTGCTAGAAATTAATGGATAAAAATGTCATTGAGAGTTGCAGTAGAATTGTCTCTTTCGAGTCTCTAGAATGAATTATGAAGATTAAAAACAAAATCAAGGAAATGTCTTTTGTAATTTAGCATGTCTTCTTTTTTATTGATACCATAATCTTGAAATCAAAACTTTTATTTCTCTTACCAACATCCTTCCTTTTAGCCAATGCTTCGATTGCACTAGTTGGATCAGATCCCATAGACAACAAACCAATCAAAGGGGTGTTAATACTGCTTTCCTCCCACGTTGCTTCCAAATTCAAAATTACACCTTCAGCAAATCTTTCTCCAGCTGATTCTGCTATATAAGCTCTTGCTTGCGACAATGTTCGATCTGGGCACCATGATCTACATAAGATGATTTCAGATAGACATTAATACTTATGATTTAAAAAAGTCGCTTTAATTAAACTTTCACGACCATTTTGAAACTTAAGGCCTCAAGCTTTTACATCATGATTTGAGAATCGCTGTTTTGATAGAAAAAAGTACCAAGAGAAAAGAGTAGGATTTTAAAATGTTTTAAACTGTGGAGGATGAACTACCGTTAAATCGGAAAGAAGAAGTGCGATAAGACTCAAAAGCTAAAAATCATATGGTGACTTATAAGAGGGAATGCAGAGAATCTAGTGGCAATGGCTACTACAGCATTGAGTGCACAGCAAGATCCTGATACCAAAACAGCTGGTCAATAGCTTACCTAATTAGCAAAAGCTTTTTAAAGGTATCAAGAGACGTTTGGTATCCATCAGGTATTGGATGCTCTTCTGGGGCATCTTTGTCACACCAGCTTCTCCACGCAGTTTCATTTCTGGTTACCTAGAAATTTTCATATTAATATACCAGTAGCAGAGAAAATGGGGTCCTGTGTTTAGTCACTTGTGCGAATTTCATGCCACTACCTACATGACGCATAAAGACCAATGGCAGTAATACTCCGTCTCGTAACGTTAAGTATATAAAACCAAAACTATAGGTTATAGCACTGATCACTGAACATTTACTGTAGGCTATATATCCAGAACTAGTACTTTTTCCAGTCTGTTAATTACAGTGAAGATTTTTTACTAATGACAAGTTATTTTGAGGCGTATCTGACTAACTACATCTGAGAGACTGGCAAAATATACTTGTTTCCTCATAGCTGAAACTTTTGCTCAAATATTTGCTTAAATATTAAAAGAAGTAAAATTATTACTGGGCTAATTACTACAAACTGAAACTAAACGACTCTAACAACTAGAATCATGTAATCTACTGACATATAAAAACTATATAAAGCTAACCTGCTCTAAAATCCCTTTGAATGTACCTAGTTTACTAAGCTGCACTAAATTCAACCATGTCATATCCGAGATCCATCTGTAAGGCTTAGGGTCGACGGCCTTCAAATCCAGTGCAGCGCCACCTTGGTATTTCAACAGTGAATTGCATTAGAAAGGTGCATATTGTCCTAACTTACTGAAAGCAGTATTACTTAAGCCAGAAAGAGTTTGCTCATAGATGCAGTTACTTGGTAGCCAACATTTGAAGTTAGATATCGGATATTTTGTATATGAAGGGATGGCTTAAAAATATTTGATGGATTTACTGTCGGAAATTTGATGATTGAAAAAGTTGCACAGTAATATCATTATTATTTCATGCTTTTCTACCATTCTAAGAATATTTACTGCACTGCTTAAAACTACCTTGCATTTGTTATATTTTACAGATACTGAAAATATATGCCTTTTTTACCTAGAAATCACACAAAAACGTAAAAAATCCATGAGTCATAGTGAACACAACAAGCCAATATATTCACTGCCAATTATTGTGATTCTCGTTCTCGACACAACATATCAACAGAGATCCCAATTTTAAAAGAATAAACAATGCAAAACCTATAAGAAAATAAAAATATCATAGATTGAAGGAATTGCAAAGAACACGAACCTTTTATCAGGGTTTGGAACTCTTCATGGCGAACAGATCCCTTCTGCAAGTCGATCTTTAGACAAGTGAGAAGTGTAAACATGAGCTTGTCTCTTTCATACAGACCACGTGCAGCATACTTGAATGCATCGAATGTCAAATAATCAATGATATTCTGGATTCTCTTTGAGGGTATTGGAGACCTTTCAGAGCTGTAATTGAAAAGAGTTGTGACAATCAGTTTCAAATTCAATGGTATATTTTTTATACTAAACAAGCTAAACTAACTCCATTGTTATCCAGAAAAAGCTGTCCCGGTAGCATTACTAAACAAAATGGGTAAAACGGTTTTTAAGCCTACACTTGTCTTAAAAACCTCCCCAGTAACATATGTAAGTCTGAAACTCAATCCCTTACATGCAGCAATTAAAAGTTGATTTACCAATGATATTTCTTCAAATAACTCGAATTCTTCGAGTTTCAAAGAAGCACCATGATAAAATTACATTGATACTTACTTGGCCATAGAATTATCAAAAATAGAAAGGAACTGCTGCAGCGAAGTCTGGTACATGACATTCACCATGCTCATCTCAACGATCAGGAAGTACAAAATACTTCCACGAGTTGCAACTGGCCTAAACTCTTCTCTTGCTTCGTTGATTTTCACTTCAGTTTCACTGGCAACAAACAGTTTTTCACTAACTTCCTCGGCCGTCAACTTTGTTGTCTTTAGCACAGCAACGAGTGATTCGTCTTCTACTAATGAACCCTATGAAGGTGAAAGAAACATTAGAAAATTTTACATGAAAATGTCATGTTACATTATGATCTCTTGAACCATCGATCTCAATAAAGATCCATTGAAATAATATCTTATTTTCAATTATATAAACTCTAGGAGACACTAATTGCTTAAAGGAACAGAGGTCTGTCATCTATATATCAACTTATTTCGATCCTTATCGTCATATAATGTCAAACGTTCTTGGCAACTGCTCTTTGAGTTCCAATTAAGAAAAACAAAGAAAGCGATTACGAAAATTCGGCAAAATGCAGCAAATGATAAATTCAAACCAGTAACAAATCATAACATGCTTTTGAAGAGTGTTTTTAAAAAATACTTATATCTAGTACATTTGAATACCTGTGTACTGGTCAGTCTAAACAACAAATTATCCTCTAGTTCTTTCATCTTTCTTTTATTTGCTGTGACATCCTCCATGAGCTTGACTCGTTCTGCTTCTAATTCCTAGGGAAAGATTTCATGGTCAAAGTTTCCTGAGTAGAATATTCTCTAAAGCAAAAATGATGGCTACAGAACAAACAGCTGTTGAGCACCTTGATCGGGCACTCATTGAAACAAACAACACACTAAATGTCTGGATTTAATGTCCAAAAAAAACCGAATTTAATGTCACCTGTTTCTCTGTGTTTATAACTCTACCGAGCAACTGGTCTTCCAATCCTTTGATTGTAACAGTAAAATCTATGATGGCACATTTTGCACTGATCTGAAACAATAGCAGGACATATTTAGCAAAAAGTGTACTTTTGCAAAGGATACTAAAGTATGCTTGCGAGCTAAAATCTGTCTCTAATTCAAAAGTCATTTAGGATGCATAGACAAAAAATAGCATCATCTTACAATCGACAAGCCCAGCTGAAATCTTGAACGCATAGAATTAAAAAAACGTACCTCTGGTGTGTAGGCTGGGTTGCCTAGCTTAGTTGTGATGTAAAGAGTAAAACCTTTCATGACATCAACCTCTTTATCCCCAACTTTAACCTAAATTTATAAAGGCAATGTTATGACTTTTGAAAAAAATTAAATCTTAGGATAATTTAGTATAGTATATTGCTTTTTACAGTCTCGGTAAAACAGTATTTTTGATCAACGTCAAACTAAAGGAGCTTTATACTTATCACCAATATACGTCTTAACTGTCAGACAAGAACCACGTTGAGATTAGGTACATATTTCTTTAGTGCAATGGAGTATTCTAGCATAAAAAGACATCTAATAGTGAGAAGGGTATCTTTACAATGTGATGACGTAACACAATTTTATTGTTAACATTCTTTTGGTGGTACAAGACTTAACAAAGGCTTTAAGAAAAGCAAACATTTGAGTATACTAAAGCTGGAGTTCGATTTCACCCTCGGACTCCATTAGTAACAATTCAAATAGGCAACAGTCATGTGCTAGCGTTTCTCATTGGCCAATTTCGATCCAAAACTGGTTATTTATATTTCCTACCATAGAGGTTTCTACCTATGTTCTGACGTCTTATTCTCTGAAGAGTGTCAGATGAAAAGCTTTAGTATACTCAAATTTTTACTTTTTAAAAGCCAATTTTATTGTTCATATTTTCTGAAGATATAACGTGAAAGTATCAGATACAACGTTAGTCTGACATGTCAAATATTATTCTAATGTCGGTCAAGACAGGCCAAATCAAAACATTATCAGTCAAACACAACTTAAGCGCCAACAACCGCCATTATCCGCCATTATCATACCTTAAAGGTTGAACCTGACTTGATGAAGTTCTTCTCAAGCACATTGTCAAGGGCAGGGTCGAGCTCTTCACCGACATCTTCTAGCAACAGGGGTCTTCCTAGAGATAGAGCATCTTCAAGGTGCGTTCTGAAGTATTTGTGGTTCAAAGACGTTGCCTATGGTGGAAAAATAGGTCAAAGTTAGTGTTAGAGGTTGTAAAGATTTGGTACATTGCTCAACGAGGTATTTTGTTAAAAAACACAGGCTTGTATTTTAACGTTTTTACTAACACACTGACAGATAAAAGCAATTAAACAGGACTTTAGTCTGTAATGAAGAATGATCAAGAGGAAGGAAATTTTTTCCCCGTGAGTTCTGGGCCACATGATATTTTTATGTAAATGATTATCAGTCAAAGTTTTCCCCTAAATGGCCTCATTCGCCATTATTTAATTAGAAATAAGGAATCGTGTTGAGATTTTTGTTTTTAAAACCTATTCACAATCATAAATCCATTCTGTTATCTGAATAGCTTGAAAACTTTATGAAAAATCTGAACGTCAAAACAAACAGAACGTTTTCAATAAATAAGATAAAAGCTATGCTCAATTTTATATTTCTCTTCTATTTGCTGATCTACAGTATAAAATCATTCTTTTTCTATTATAGTTTTACATATAAAACTGAGTAAAATACATTTGACATACCTGCAGGTCATTATCTTTCTCTTTATTTTTAATCCAATTTTTACCTTGTGTTTGTGGATCAATCAAAAGAGGATAGCGAGTAGCCTTTGTCACTATGATTCCATTTTGCACAGAAAGATCGTCATTGGGCAAGCCTTGCAAATTCCACTCTCCAATCTAGGGGAGAAGAGTTTCTTTCTTATTTTTGTGTATCATTCACAATTCTCTATAAAGACTAATTTGTACCGTAATTGTAACCTAGAATGTCTACCAGACTTTGAAAATATGATATGAAATGAGAAAGAGGATGTTTTTAAAAATTGATCCATGCCAGTCATGTACTCGCGTTTCTGATTGGTTTGTTGCGATCCACATATTGTTATTTATATTTCCTACCAATGAAAATTTTCGATCATTTTTCTGTGAATTTACTCTCTCAAGAGTTTCATAGGACAAGGTTAAGTTTGTCCTGAAACGTTAAGTTTTCGCAATTTCAGAATTTTGTACCATAAAAAAGTCCCTGGGAACTTATCTGTTTTAAGAAAAAAATGCCCGGGAGCATCACAAGGTAGGGAGAATTCTTCTCTAAATTAGGAAGTATTGGCTGCAAGAGATGCCTACCGTTGCATTGTCAACAAGCATCGATGTGATATTAAGGCCCTCACTGTATGGAATCTTCTTCTGAAACAACACTCTCTCCCAGCTTTCTCTCAGCTTAGTTCGGAAAGTCTGATTAAAGGGACCAGAGTACGACAGAAAGCCAGTTGCAAGCAGTACATCTCCCACGAGCCTGTTGAGCAAAATAATTCCAAAATATTATCTTAAAGTCAGACAAGTGTCTAGAAAACAGTTCAGGGCATAAAAAATGGACTAAAGCTAAACGTATCTGGTAATTGTAAAGGTAACATATTTGTAACTTGGTTGAGGGCCCATTGAGTAAACAAATTTTTGACAGGCCGCTCTCTTTAATATGAAAAATCAAACGAAACAAAATGAAATAAAACGAAATTTAAATTCGGAAAACCAATGTCTCAAAAAGCTTCGCAAGGGCCGGGAGGGGGGCGTAATAATCTCCAATTATTTAGGTACACAAATATGAAAACTGGTTATTCTCAAGTATCGCTTTTGGGTGACATATATAATCGAGTAGTCCCTTTAGAACCAAATCAAAAATGTTTTAGTTCTATTTAATAAAGCATCAATTTTTTTAGCTCTGTTGCTCCAACGTTTTGAGTGGATCTCCATTCAGAATAGATTTCTTATGATAGTAAAAGCTGGTATACGAGTAAGAGGAAAACTATACTTTAATATTACCGTCCAATTTGCTCTTGAAATTCACGACTTTGCTGGGTCCATCGTTCCTTTTCACCACTTAGGCCTTCGATCAAGGCAGAAGCGGCCTGCATCTTATTCTTGCACGACTCTGCATCGTCTAACAAGTCCTGTATTTACAGAAAAAACACTCATGAATTCATCATAATTTCAAACATATGAATGTTAATAAACTGTTTCTAAAACAGATCATTTCCTGACAAAATTTCATATTGTACACCGCGATTGCTTTGAAATAATGTATCTAACTAGGTTAGTAAAATAGTCTGATAGTTTAGATAATACTGCCTAATTTGATGGCAAGCTACTTATCGATGGCAACAATGATCAATTACGGTAAGAAAAGGAATAGGTAATCCTTCCGTTTCGTGATGTTTCCTCTAACGAATCGTAAACAGGACACACTTGTAACCATCTCTTGTGGCAGAGCACCATACACTAGGAGGAGCTGTCTAGTTTCCATACTGCTCGACCTGATAACGTAATTAGTTTACTCTAAACCTAACCCTAAACCTAACCCTAACCCTTACCCTTACCCTAACCCTAACCCTAACCCTAACCCTAACCCTAACCCTAACCCTAACCCTAACCCTAACCCTAACCCTAACCCTAACCATAACCCTAACCCTAACCCTTTACTTGAAATAATTAATCATACTAGTTTATGACTATTAATAATGCTTATTTATGTCTATCAGGTGGAGCAGTATGGAAACTAGACAATTCCACACTAAGACGCCATTCCTCTGCGGCTGGCTGTGTATGACCGTACCTACTTTAATCAATTCTTCGAGGAATAAAAGTTGGTCTCCCAAGAGTCTGTTAAAAATCCCCAGTAGGCAAAAAGCTCGTGCAATTTCATTTGGTTCTTAAAATACCAACAAAACATGCACAATAGTTTTCTCAATTTTTGTCACAACATACCTGCTTCTCTTTCATAGCAGAATCATACATAGCTTGCACAACATCGAGCTCACTCTGCTTTTCATCAAGAATCGCCTGGGCTTTATCTAAGTCACCCTGAGCTGCGTTCAGACGAGCCTCTTGGATAACCAGATTGGCCTAAAAAGTAATGGCATAGTTACTTTGAAGAAAATACTCTGGAACGTAAACTTTTTTCAGTTATCCTAATGTGAATTCACTAATATTGGCGACAATGTCAACAAAAATTTCATATGCATTTTCGTGCCAAAAAACTTTCAAGAAACAAAAGCTGCAACTGTCAAATCATTCGTGTTCCTACTCGCGGACATTTATCGTGAAACAGTGAAATAACTTTCACTGAATTTTGATTTCTACAATGCCTGAAGGCTATCTAAGTGATCAAACGTTTGTGGCGGCTTGAAAGGCAAGAGGAAGCCAGTCTTACCTTAAGTGGCAGTACTTCTTTATTCACACCGTAAAATGTGGCCATTGCTTTAGTCCATTGCAATAGGCCAGCTACATCACCGCAACTCTAAAATAAGACAGAACTGATAACAGTTTGAATTGAACCTTGGCAAGTCATTGTCTGGTTTGAATACCATACTCTGCAGTAAGATAGTTTCATATAAAGACATATTCGAAGATTAAACGAATAGAGATGTATTACATAGGATCAAACTTTTGTATAAATCTTGCTTAAAGCAAAGAATACTTACTATAATTTAAATGCTTTAAGAAGCAACGCTACTGGCATGCTAAATCAGCTTTTATCAAATCAGAACTCATAGAGTAAATTTTTACTAAAGACAAATATCTTTCAAAAGTGACTAGCATAGAAGAGTGGCAAACGGAGCCAATTGGAGAACGATGTTTATACCTTTTTCGCAGCCTCTAATACATAATCTTCCATCTGCAAGTAAGGTTGGAGAAGCTCCACCATCTCTCCGTTTATAGAATCTTTTGGGAAATTTTGCAATCCTTGCAGGAAGCCACCAGAGCTCATTAGCTGAAACAATGTAACCAGGATTTAGGTTTGTTAACATGATCATATAAAGTTGACACTGACAGACAGCCTGGGCAAGAACCTGAAATCCAACCAGCATATTGAATATATGGATCAAAGTAGACGAAGAGTGGCCTATCCAACTAGAGCTTAAAGGACACAAACTTAAAAGTTCTTGTAGCAATTTGTATACAAAATGTACCTGGTTTCCTATGTTATCAGAAATTCTTGCAGTGCATTACTCGTTTTCTTTGTTACAGCTGATTACGCAAAGCTGTCTGTATTATCACACATAATGCATTGAATACAGCTTACCTTGAGTGATTCAGACCACGATGGTGTTGGACAAAGCTTTTCAGGATCCTGGGTGACAGCATTAAGCTTCATTCTGAAGAGCAGCAACACGCAGTCCATAATTCTCATGATGAGATGTGGTGGTTTGGCCAGCTTCCTTACTGTGGAAATGTGAGCTGGTTTGATCGTCTACGACATAAAAAGAACTCTTGATTGCTAGCCAAACATTATTTCGACTGCATTCTAAGAAGAATCCAAATGTATAATTACTTTTTGAATATATAACAGAGAAGTTTTCGTTAGCCCCAAAGGATACAATTCTACTTGAAATAAAAGCTCTTTATATCTAATACTATAGTTGCAATTTGCAGAGCATACCAAACTCAACGATTAATGGTTAAAAGCCTAATTTGCAGAGCATAGCTTAACTAAACGATTAAAGCTTAATCCAGCTCAAGCCGCATGTACTGGAGATAAATCTATAACCAACAACGTGCAGTTCTCGCAATAACAAGAAATCGCTTTGTCTACGTAATTGCAAGGCGCTGTAAATTCTCATGTTTGATGTAACACTTCTGGGTAAATGGAATTTTCTAAAAGCAGCACACCTGTAAGGCAGCCTCAGCCTCTTCGAGAGCTGGTTTGGCAAGTGCCAGTTTCTTCTCTGCAACTGCTTTGTCTGCCTACAAAGAAAGAAAACCTTACAGCTCATCACTTTGATATTACATAATGCACTCAAACTGCATTGAAGGTTTTACCAGATAATTTCTAAAAGTGGTAAAGCCAATATTCATTAACTAGCTAATTTTTAACGTAGTTGTTAGATTTTAGGTATAAAAAACTAAGAAAACGAGGCAATTCTGTATTGACGTGATATCGAATATCCCTCAGAAATAAGCCATACCTCAATTTCAACAACAATGGCCTGAGCTTTGTCCTTCACTTTCTGCACTTCACTCTTCACTTTCTCTGCTGCTTGTGCTTTTACTGTCACGTCCTTCAAAACCTGTGATGCAGCAAGATAATAGCAATAGATGATATTTTTAGTGATTTATATATCAGAATCGCATATTAACATTCTCTAGGTTTCTGTCTTTCCATCTAAGTGAATCTTATGAAAAACCTGATATTGCAGGACCTAGGCCATAATTAACAAGGAGGGAGAATGCAGCAATGTAAAAACAATTCCCCTTCCATTTCTAGCCCCCATTGTGGAAAACGTTTTGCTAGCTCTGATGTACTTGTGGGTTTTTGTTCAATGTATTTTTTGTGATCTCCAGGTTTATCTGTATGAAAATCTGAGGCGGTTGAAATATTTTCTTCAGTAGAAAAATGGGTGGAAAATGACCCAATCTCCTCCCTGTGGCAGTAGCTCTGTATTGCTAATCAGGAACTGCTATTCTGTCAATAGTATTTTTGCCTTCACGCTCTGTGTTATCATGAGCCCACATTCTGATTGCTTGATATGCTTTCAAAAACCCCAAAGTGACCATTTCACAAGCCAAGGTTCTTGTTAGGCTGATTTTATTGAAAAGTAGAAAAATTGAATGATACCGTGTCAGCTCTGATTGATGCAACAGCAAGATCCTTCTCCTTCACAACCAATTCCTTAGATAATTGAGCTACCGACTCGCTCGCCTCAATCAACTTGTCCAAACCTGTTTTCATTCTGTTTGCCAGTTCACCAATTTCTGCTCGTTTCTCTGAGTAAATAGTTTCGTATCCATTGATAAACGACAAGTATGATTTTGGTGTGACATGCGTTTGTCTTCGGAATCTGCATAGTTGGAAGTTAGGAAAATGCATTACATGCTTCATAGATAATAAATGCGTCTTTACTTATCAAGAAACATGATTTTCATATTGAAATAGTCAAAGTAGATATAGCTTTATATGTCACAGTACTCTTACGCAAACCTGAATACCAGTCCTTATAAAGGACCCATATGATGTATAGTTTGAAAGAAAAGAGACAGAGAGAAACAAAAGGCATGGACGAGCCAAATAGTACCAGCTGCATAATTCATTAAGCAAAGAAAGATTCCTTAACTTAAGTGATGCTCAAAATGCGAGAGATCCACCTGACGAGAACCAGCAATTTGCCTTACGAATACATCAAGTCAGAAGATGCGATACTTGTTACTTATGATGTTACCGTTCAAAGTAATCGGCACAGGACTCGGCAACACCATCATGGAATATTCCCATTGCCTGTACCAGGTTGTGCTTAGTTTCTGGAGTGCATGTGATTTCAAATTTGGATAGGAAGTGATCAGCCACCGAGATAAGGGCATCTCTTGGCCATCGGCTGAACCAGTCCATCGTGCAGCCACTGATCAGTCCAGGGAATTTGAGAGCACGAGTGCGAAATTTGTCTCCAACCTGCAGTAGGAAGATATTCTAATGTCAAGAAAGGACATTCCAATAGCATGCCTCGATAGATAAAAAATAGATTTACCAGTTTTTAAAATAAAACTAGCATCTCCAAATATCTATTCCCATATCTTCACTTGATCACAAACATAATCTATGAAGATCTACACCGCTCCAAAATCCACGTGAACATAAAATCAAATAAAACTACGTTACTTGGCATACAAAAACTTATTCTACTTTTTAACAGCTGCTGTCTTACTCTAACTTTTCATATACATCTCCATTTTCCAGAACCTAAAAATATTTTTCAATTGATTCACTTGCAATGTTAACTTACAGGTGAGAAACATAAAACCACGTGTAAATTATTCCGTGCGCGTGAAATGAAGTAATTGTATAAATTGTCTTGAGTTGGTGGCAATCTCGGCAACTCTTTCTTCATTACAGGAATCAATTCTTGGGTGATTTCGTCTAATTCGTCTTTTGCAAAAAGATTTGAGACCTGTAAATAACGTTGGTAAGTTTAAAACAATTTGAAGCTATATACCATATTAAATAATCCTTTGGAAACAACTTGGTTTTTAACAGAGTCCGTAAGAGTCAGAAGAGGGCTCAACGAGTAGCAAGACTTAATTTGTATATTTTTCTGATCGTGATATATTAGAAAATATTATATCTGCATATGATGAAGAGTCTAATCTGCAGAAAATTAAATCTTTAAGCAAACAAATCATTCATCATTTTCGATAACATGTTAAACATTGATATCTATCATGATTTGAAAATAGGAAAAAGTTGTACGCAAGTAGAAAAAGGGCTTTTGCTTTGATAACCTCAAACAAAAAAGTAGGAAAAGGGCTTTTGCTTTGATAACCTAACAGTTAATAAGAAGTTTCAGGTGATGACTCATTGCTCATTGTCTTACAAAACACATCTGAGATGAAGGGAAGTAGCCAACCTCCCAAAACACAAGTGTCAAGTAAGAACAACCTTGATTATATATGGCAAAGTAGCCTTACACTAATGAGTTATAATTGAAAAAACCATCTAATCGTGAAGCATTTGCTACATAGAAATAAGCTTCAAAATTCCATGAAAAAATATCTGCGAAGAGACAAATGCAAATACTCACCTCCCCAGACGACAGAACATTGTTAACATACTCCAAGAATCCCTCATCTTTGATCTCATTATCAGTGAAAATGAAAGTCATTCCATGGCCTTTTCCCCCAGCTGCTCGGTATAAAAACTTTAGATCGTCCATTAAATTACTCTGGTTGTAAGTTCTAGGGTAAGGCAAAAAAATGTAACTTGATATTGGTTCTGAAAATGTAAATTTCTCATGGAAGCAGGGATATGAAGCAGGGATATAGAGCAAGGTGTTCAAGGGGCTAGGCCCGTTGTTAGTACGAGAAATAGCCCTTATCTACTTTTGCTATTGTCATTGAAATGATTTAATGTAAGGACTCTTCTTGATCTCTTTATAACACTACACCCCTGTATGAAGATATCGCCATGTTCTCCAGATAAAGACTTGTTTTTAAGATAATTTTTAACTGGAATAATATTGGGTTCGGTATTTTACATAAGGATACTTTTAATCGTCATCGACCAGCCTATGAAAGTACTGGTTACCAAAGATGGATGAAGGGAAAAGTAGAGCTGGACAAGGTAACAATGCTCGTCTTAATTACAAATGTATAGAGCCAAGGTATAAAGAAAGATACCTGGTGAGAGTGATTTGAAATGTTTCGTATCCAGCAATAAACGACGCAAGCCTTGTAAGGCTTTGTTTGCCTGAACCACCGACTCCCACAAGCAGTGCATTGCCTCGGGGAGTTCGAAGAATACGGGAAACCTAGAAAAAGGCCTAGCATTAAATCAAATGAACTTCTCAAATAAATAAAAGCTACGTCTGCAAGACTTAGCCCAAAAGAACATTTAAAGTACTTCTTGAGATTCGAACGGTAAATTAATTCATTGAAATTGAAATGTAAGCCTTGCCTTGACTAAATGTGTCATTGCATCTTTGAAAAACACTAGGTCCAAAGTGCCTCCTCGAATAACTTCGTTATAGTTTTGCATATACATGTTCAGTTTTTCTCGCAACTCTTCAATCGATGGTATCTATAAAGAAATAAGGTGCTGTTCCGATGATAACCGAATTAGAAAATACTATAAATTTTTCATAGACAAAGCACTACTGACCTATATAAAGATCATGCCAAAAAAGGGATGGTTAACAAAAAATCCTAAAACAATAACTGATGTTCTACTGGTGAAGTGAATAGATTTACTGAGACTTACAGCCATTAAGTGGTGCATGTGTGCCTTGAGTCATAGATCTTGTGTATAAATCCTTACTCATCTATTGCAAGATTAATTGATCCGAAATTCAATGAAAGATTACTTGCAAGGCAAATAAAAGTGAATATTAAGAACAAAAAACACGACAAAACAATTTTCGCCAAAAAATTCCTTGTTTATGAGTGATTTGGTGTGACTCAGTTTGCGTCACAACTTCCCTATTTCCAGGCTCTTTCATTGTGCGTCTTTTTTTGTGGGTGCTCATTTTTTAAGCCCCCAACTCCTAGCTTCATAGCCCCAGAATTCAAAATAGAATATACCATGAAATTTGCCATACTTCAAGTACATTTTATGTAAATATCAGAAATGGCTGGATATGACCTTTAAGGTTTTCATTCTCAAATGTGTTAGAAACAATACAAACCCGTTCATAAACTTTGGGAGCATCCAGCTCTGCATCTTCAGCCTCGTCACCTGTCGGCTCAGGGGCATCTCTAAGAAGAAAAGTAATTTACGCAAACTTTTTTAAAGGCACCTGTACGAAAAAATCAATAAAAACATTTCAATATGGAATTTCTATGAATTCAGTAACTTTGATTAATTTTTTTATTAGCTTAATCTTTGTTGTTATAATAGCCATTTTCTAAATTTTTGTTAATAGACCAAAGAAATTGATAAGTTTTACCACCATATTTGCAAAATGTTACAAAAACATTAACATGTTGGTATACACAGCGATTCTGTTCAAGTCACCCCATCAAACCATCCAGTTTTGTAAACAACAAACAGAGAGCGAGCCCATGCACCCTACCCACAAAATCTAACCTTAGGAAGTCAACAAAATATGGTTCCTCGTGAATCATTTTCGAAGTTTCTTCATTGATTTCTTCTTCAATAACTTGATGCAACGTCTTCTGGAACCAGTCAATATCCTTCTCGCTAGTGAATCTATCTGCTATGACTCGTGTGCATTCATTCTTCCACAAGGCAAGAATTTCCGGTTGGTCTTGAATTTCGTGACCAGTTACATTGAGCATTCCTTCCCAGATTCGAGACAAATCTCTCAAGTTGAAAACATAGTGGAATTTGGCCGGTGTGGGAAGCATCTTTACCTAGGGAAAAAATAACAGGTTTGAAATTTTGTCTGCTTGGTATGGCAGCATACAAGGTAAAAAAAATGGATTCTTCGCAGTAGCTTCAAACTTCATAGGATAGCGACTGTATCTCTCCAAACCTTTTTCAAGAACAGCAAAAAACATGCCATAAGTATGGCAGCTAAAACTCTTTTTCCATTTATTTTTCTCAGAGTTGTGAGCCGTGCTAACGCCACCTTGCCGGATCATGTATAAGATACACTACACGAGGCTATGGTTGAGTTTTTGAGGAACATTTGCTAAATCGGCATTTTTGTCAAAGTGTATGCGTTACAAAACTTCTTTAATAATGCTTATAAAATACTTGACTTGCAATTAAAAATACAAAAATATTTTTGTCCTTAAGTATGCTTTGGACTTTAATAAAAAATTGCGATCCGTTGATGAACAAATGGTTAAAAACACAGTAGCAGATTGAAGATATAACTAGCAGTGTGAAGCTGCCAAAAAAATTTCTCACCTTCCAATTTGGGCAAAAGGCAAATCAAAATTAACATTTAGTTATCAAAATTGTTTGCCTCTGTATGCTTCACGCACGTTAATCTTTCCGAGCAATAGTGTGAGGTGGCTAGACGAAGGAGCCAATGTGCTATTTCCAAAATTTTACTACTTTGTCGGAGCTTTTTAAAACTATTTTCTTTAGATGTCCGGATTGTAAAATGATTAAGGCTAAATACACATTTATCGTCCATCAATACTCCAGCGTTAAGTTGCTAGCATCACCTGAGCTATGAAAGTTATAATCTGCCTTTTCCAAGCTGAGTCAGTTAAAAGTGAAGAAGGCATGCAAATCTAGGCTGACAATTTTCAAAAGTACCTTCACTTCAACTATAACCATTAGTAGTTTTGATAGTGTTTGAAAAAGTACCTTGGTTTTCTGCCATAAGATTCGAGTGCAGGAGACGAGTTTTTCCACAATACTACAGACTTCGTCATTGAACCTTGTTTCACAGAAGTATCCAGAGCCAATAACACCTGGATGAAAATTCAAAATGTTCTTTTATGTTTTGAAAGGAAAATGTTATTCAAGGTACATATAACAAAGTACTGACCATTATGATGTTATCTGAATTTTATTAGACAGTTGAACAACCATATCAATCTGCAGGAATGCTGACAAAAACCAAAATTACCACTGCGTATTTTCTTTTGATACTCGATTCCTAGATTCTAACGATACCAAAGAAAAAAGGCAGGCTAAATTACATTGAAAGGATTTCTTGTAATAAGTTACACTTAAAAGTAAACACTGTATCTTACCAAATAGCGGAAATACCTAAGTTCCTAACTATCCTGGCTGTGCAAAAGTTCAATTATTTTAACAAGAGCTAAACCTGAGAGTTTTGATTGCCTAACCAGTTTACGAAACACAAATGAGCTATACGATTTTTGACAGCAATGATAATTTGCATTTTTAAAGAGGGTATGACCTTGTCAGTACTTAGAACCAACGTCACCAACTACACATACGGTATAAGTTTCCAAGCTAACAATGTTTGTAAAAAGGATCCTTTGCTAAAGCTTTGCTAATCTGTACTTGTCTTGGCAATAAAAGAACTGTGCTCACCAAAAATCTTGTCAATTGAATTATTTGATGGTAATGTGCAGTTGAATATAGAGAACTGCCTTTTCAGTCTGCTTGGAATATCGTTTCGGCCTCCTCCAGGGTGGATCATGGCCGCAATGAACTGAATATCGACAATGTTTGTAAACTCTCCTGGTTTTTCTAAATTGTAGAATCCACTCATTTCCATCAGCTGACGCACTATCTCGTTTGTTATCTATACAAATACGAAAACCCTATGTTTATATGTAGCAACCTGATTTGTTCACAATCCCATTAAAATATGAAGGCACTGAGTTCCAAGGCGAATTCAAAAAAGGAAGACTTCAAGTATAAAAAATCAATGCTTGCGTCTTAATGTTGTACTAGCCACAGTTTATTTCATAAAACTGTTTTTTTTGTGATAAGAGTTGTAACGGAGAGAATATGTTCAAAGCTAAGGGTAATGCAACAAGGCAATGAAAGGTAATTTCTTTTGAATTAACCTCCCTATACAAAAGTATTCACTTGAAATTAATATTCTCTAGTTTGAAATCAAGTTAGTGTGGTTGAATTTAGGCTCGAGCTAAACTTTACTTCGGTAGGAAAGATGTGCTGAAGAAATTTTTTTTCTGCAATTAGATTTTGTCTATTTAAACAATTCTTGAACGAAAAAATGCTAGTGCAGATATTGTTAAAAAAAATATTTAGAATCATTTCTGGAAAAAAACTACAAAACTCTCAAATTAATTTGGCACAGCTTGTTGAAAGTGAAGCTGGTTTTTAAATGCTAGCAGTTCTAAATGCTAAAGAATATCTAAGCTGAATTTCACGATTACCCACTCGTGTCAAACTACTAGCGACTTGAGAACAATGACACATATAATACCTGATCGCCCCATTCATTGATAATGGGCATATTGATATCATCTATAAATATGGTCATTTTCCTTCCTGCTGGTGGACCATACGTCGTCCCTACCCTCTTGTCAACATAGCTCTCGACGGTTCTCTACAATTGAAAAGATACTTTATTAAGTGTTGGGACAAAACAAAGGCTAGTCTTTTCGCGGGGTATTTGCAAGAGAAAAGAGAGAGATAAAAGTAACAAGGCGATACTACCAAGATAAAAGATTGTTAACAGAACAGACAATGCAAAACATCACCAGCAGTTATTCTGGATCCTTTACACTAAAATATTCTAAATATAATATTTTTCATTATAACAGTGATGTACTCAAATCCTCAGAAAGATCTACTAGCAAATTAAGCCCTTTTTATTTATTATTCTCTCCATACTCTATGCATAAATATAACTTTCGTATGTAGCAAACCGAAACGTCTCTTGTCTTAATAGGCAAAAATTAAAAAGAAATGGCAGCAATATATTCAATTTAGCAAATCAACGATAATTAAGATAGAAATGAATCACAATTTGCCTTCAAAATTTCTGCAGGCTATTTAAATTATCTTTTAGCTACAATAAAACATTTACTTTCTTCATAGATTCTCTTTAAAATAAACATGATTTATCATAAGCAGACAAACTCTTTTGTTTACCAAACTCTAATAGAAATAATTGCCAAACCTGAACTAAGAGTGGAGTTGTAGCGGATGAGAAACTGAACCCTTTGCTCATGTGCCTTTCTACATCGTACTTTGCTGTGTAGCCTTTCACCATTACTGTTTTGGCAGTGCCTTGCTCGCCAATCAGCAGAACAGCCTGTGAAAAGTGTTGGTTGGTATACAACTCGAAAGATATACGTTTTACGGCAAAACACGGCTAATGGCATTAATTTGAAAGTGGTTGAGAGGGAATGGGGCCTAGCCCGAGAAATTAAGATGGATCTCAAAATATGGGCTTAATGGATACAGTGTTTCCATATGTTAAGAGTGCAAAGTTTAGTATGCATTATATTTCAAAGTGTTGGCACAAAAATTTGATACAAATTTGGTCACTAAGAACATAATTTGAGTTCAGTTACCTCATTGGAATAAATAAATACCCACTTTGAAGGTTTTCTTAAAATCTATAAAAAGTATAAAAATTACAAGAAAGCCATTAGGCATGGAAAGCATTATTCAATAATTGTAACGAACTTCAAAGAAACTTTCAACCCAACTTGAATAAAAAACGCTACGCTCTAACTAAATCTAGCCAAAACTCTCAACTTGCCTTTTGTTGCTTTGCAATGCAATCAATAAGATAATCAGTGCGAACATTGTCAACATTTGGCACCAATATCGAAGAATACTCAGGCTTGCTGTCAGATGGATATTCATATGCTTGTACTCTGTTCTTCCAATGTTCCCAGTTGCCTGAAAATTAAGAAAAATGAAGCATGAACAATTTTCAGTCCTGGAGGCATTGCCAATGAGGATGGAAGTTAAAATTAAGACAGTAAATGCTCCTTTGTCTTCTGATACACATTAAAAGCTCTTGCGCAACCGGCATGCTTAGCGGCAGCTGTCTTGAGAAATTGATTGTGTTTTGTATTTTCATACAGTAGGATATTAGGCTGGTTCTTTAAATAAGAGTCGCAAAGCATGCAGGTTGCGCAAGAGCCTTTAAAGTGATAATCTTGCTTTTGAGATAATCATTTTTTAAGGTTTTATTCAATGATTTTCTTAATGGTTAAATTAAAAACTGCATCGATTCGATTTGATCGACATATTGCATTTTCATAATATACCACTGTTAGGCAACGTGCATTTAGGGTTGTATTCCCTTTTTGTATCTCAACTCTCTCTTATTATACTCCATTGAAGCATAATGGCAATAGATGTTGCAATTTTACTCTAAAAAGCAAACATTTTGGAACATACTAGAGTTTTTCGTTTGACATTTTTCGAAGTACGTCAGAATAAAGATCGAAAACAATCAGCTAGGCAATATCTACACCCAGTTGTGAATTGAAATAAACACCCAGTTGTGAATTGAAATAGGCCAATCAGACGATAAGCCTTGGTACGTTCCAAAATTCTTACTTTTTTAAAGCCATTTTTCTTTTCTTTTACGTTAAAAAATTAAACATTTATTGTGTTGAACCTTCCTTTCTCGCTATCCATGGGATATGAGTAAATTTCCTCATCATATCCTAAAAATGTAGTTCCATCATTATGTTATAAGTCTATAGAAATAAGGAAAAGGTCTTCAGAGACTTAGTCTCAAGAAAGCAGCTGTAAATGTGAGACGCTCTTCGTCGCAATCCCGCTTGGGTTCCACATTTCTTCTTCTTGTTAATACTTAACTACCGAAATTTGGTTTCAGCAGAAGAATCTCAAAATGAAACGCAAGTTTTAAACAATACATACCCTCATTATCAACTGCAAACTCAAATATTGTATCACCAGAACCGTCCTCGGTCATAGGCAGACTTAGTTTGCAACTTTTTTTCATATAATCTTCCATTTTACTTCGGTCGGCAAGCTCCAACAACGCTCCTACACTCCACATCAGTGCAAAGACGACAAGTTTTTCAAGATGAGGCTTTGCAAGAATTCCAGCCTCTTCTTTGTTCGGTATAAGTCCTTCCATCAAATCAATAAACTAAGGAATGAACAAATTATATCATAGAAATCAGCAGAATACTTTTAATTAAATGTTGGCTGGAGAAAACCCAACTTCCACTATTGGCTCTATACGACTAAGGTTGCTCTAAAGTAAGGTTTTCATAAACTGTATTCTGACACAGTTGTATAATGGCCAAGTAGCTAGGCCCTACGGTGGGAGCTGTAAATGTCACGCCAAAGATCTCTTCTAGAGCACTTTCTTCAATCATGGATGTTTTTAAGCGAAAGCAACTTGGTCCCAGGCAGCAAATAGGCCCCCCCGTGCAATACAGGAAACTTCATAGTGAATGGGAAAGAGTCTTCTCTACCTCAGCCAAGGCCCATAACTATCTCTAGTAGGAATTTTCCCTTACGAACGGGCAATATTATGTGTCAAAAGCAGCTTTAGAAATACTTAGAACTCTTGTAGCTTAGAACTATACATCGTCACCAGCTAACATTTTTGGATGGACGTAACAGAGGCAGCAAATATAAAGATCTAATGACTTCGTTATAACATGATTTGCTCATTTTGCCATGCATAAATTTTACCTGACAGAGTTGACAAAATCAGAGAGAAGGAAAAAATTGAAATCCGTACCTGTTTAATAATATTGCACTCCAAAACATCCATCTTTGGAAAGAGATTCTGATGAACAAATGTCAACAGGCCGTCTAGTGATTCTTCTAGTAAAGCAAGAATGATTTCGCTCTCTTGTGGCACTCTAGACTTGAGCCAACCCTTGAAAAAAATCAATTATAGCAGTTAGGTTAACTCATCGATCCTGTGCAGAAAATAATTGAAGCTAAGATAGAGGTAAGAAAAATAGCAAAAATTGTTCAATTTTGCAAGATTAGCATATCGTTTGCAGAAAGGGAATGGAATTGTTCAAAGCTTTTGCAAAATATTTATGAAAAAGGACAATGTAGCCTGTCAAATGTGTATATGCGATCAAATTTCTAAGAAGGTTAAGACCGATATTTACGAGAAGGAAATAAGACTCAAATAGTATACGCCATCGAGAAAGAATAATATTAGCAAAGAACCTCTAGGATTGGTCTCCATTCCAGGACAGACGAGCTCATATAGACCATTCCATTTCTTGACACAGTTGCAGGTGAGGCATTGTCAATGTTGTGCACCTCAAACACGACCTTGCAGTAGGGAGACATGGGTATACGATCACCATTGGCCAGTGTTAGGGTCTTGTTATCATCCAGAACAGAGTTCAAGTTCTCAATCCAGATGGCATCAACAGGACCATCTAGCACTATCCACATACTTTCACCTGTATTTTCAAGGCATTTCAGTTTAAAATATCATTTCATGAAGCAAAAGAGCAGACTTCTGAGAAAAATTTGAGTTGTTCATCCAAAGGAGATTCAATCTACAATTTTATACTGCAACAGTTAAAAACCACTGCCTAATTACGATTTCTGCACTTTGTTTTTAATAAATGCCAAAATAAAAAATTGAATGACTGCTAAAATTTGTATGCCATAATTTGTTTACCGTTGTTGAACATTTAAAACTAGACGGCTTTTACAGGTTGAGATTTTTTGGAAACTTAAGGCATGTTATTGATTGTCACTGACGTACCTTTCTTTGTTTTCAGAGATTTTCTCCACAATGTTGAGAATATTCCGTCTGTCCAGTCATTGGTTGCTGCATCCAACCTACCAAACATCTGAGGTGCAGTAATAGCTTTTGGATTCATTCTCATTTCACGGTGTGGCTGCCCACAATCACCCATCGCTTTCATAAGCACGTTGATGCAGGCTGTTTTACCAGCACCGCTAGGCCCAAGGGCCATCATACCATGGCGAACCCGTTGAGTTTCATACAACTGCAAATAGATATTCCTCGAATGAAGTTACTTAAAAAGGACAAGTATTTCTACCGCTGAGTTTGTTAAAAACTGGACAGAAACTTGATATATAATAGTGTGTATCATGTTTATACCCTATTAAGGGTGTATAATATATAACCAGGTGATAAAAGATGTTGGGGTAAAAGCAGTCTAGATCGTAAATGTGAGTTTCTATAGTGACAGGCAAATCAAATAATACTTTTAAACGTTATTCTAAAAGGATCAATATTGCTGAAAATAATTGCTGCTTTAATTGCAAACATGCCATGAAAAGATATTTCTCTCTACTAAGATTCGACATAAGGAACTAACTATTGAGAAACAGAAATTGAGAATTAAGATAAGAGAATTCCTCTAAGTGTTGGCTCACCTGGATCAGTTTGAGAACCCAAGGTGGATGATTAACCAGACCGGCTGCCTCTGTGTTCACCTGTATAGCTGCCTCTAGATCGGGATAGCCAGCTTTATCCAGCACAATGCCAGGGAAAAGATCATTGATCAAGCTCATGAATAGAGGCTCATCTTCATCAACCTTAAAGAAAAGAAACACGATATACGATTTAAATAAACAAGTATATGATTTAGGCAAGAATTTCAAAAAACTTTTTATTGAGATTGATGGTATGGCAAATATTGATAAATTGTATCATCAACCTAAATTGTATCATCACACCAAGAACACAATCATTTTTGTGATTCATAAGAATTGCTTGTCTTTGTTGACTAGCTTTATCATAATTAAGAATCTAGTAAACATATATCTCTAAGTAACGAATTCATTTGGCATTGCTAATACTTTTTGTGCCTGTTTGGCTACAAACTTTCTGTTATCAAAATCATACATTGAGCTGTGCTTTTGATCATAGAATTTTCGTAAGTCGCAATCTCAAAGCTGCTTTTATTAACTTTATGTATCTTGTCGCAATCTAACACTGAGGCCATTAGATTTAGAACTTGAGTTTCATTTTAGAATTAGCAACTTAGATAAGAGCATGCCTGTTCTGCATACCAAATCTCATACAGTTTTGTCAATAAACGACCAGTCAAGTGATGTTCATTAAGAGGCTAAAAACATATTTGAGGCTCTGAGTCAAGAGGCTTTGAGTAATGAGTCATCAAGCAGGTTTGTATTCATTTCAAAGTAATCATTGTTAAAAGCTCAAATGTGTTCGACATACCAGTTTGGACAAGTTCATATCTCTCAAAACTCTCATGACTGTTGTGCTTTCACTGTCTTGCGGATTGGCTCTCTTGTTGGCGCCAAGTGTACGCAACACCGATAGAATATTACGAAGCCCAAAATCATAATGTACCTTGAATGTGTACGAAAGTATTTTAAGAAAGCATAAAGATCTAAAAAATCGATAACCACTGTAATTTCAAGTACTAAGTATTGGCAATAAACAATTCACCATTCTTTATAAATTTCGGGTGTATAAAGACCCAATGTAGACAGATAAATTTCAAGTACCTGAAAATTTCATGATAAACAAAAATCTGCGATACAAAAATAAATAAAAAATCTAGTTAAAATTTGCTGTAAAAAATATAATACTTTGGTGAACCATATACCTGTTTGGTGAGTTGTTCCTCGCAAAGTTTGTAAAGAGTGTAGAATTTCTGGGCTAGCAATACATTCTCCAAAAACCCGCAGCTTGCAAGTTTCACTCTCATAATAATCTAAGAGAATATAGAATTAATCTTAGTTTATTTGACAAAGGAAAGGGCAAAAATATTTGCAAGAAGAGGTGATTAATAGATCTGTATCTAAGCGATCGTGCTTCCATTTTTATGTCGAATAAATCAGCCCCAAGTTTACATTTTTCTTTAAAAGATACCACATTTTGTTAAAGTGGTTTGTGTAAATTCTGATAGATCAATTAGCCTTGAAAGTCTCAATACCCTTGATTTGATATTCAATAGACACAGAAATAGGAAATGAATTTTTGATAGAAAAAAGAGAGTTTGTAGAGCATACCTGTCTGTCTGGGACCATCATAGCAACTGTTCTGAACTGAACTTTAAGATTTTCTGGCAATTCCTGTCTTCCAGCGTAACCAGGATTCTAACAAAAAAATGCAACATTAGAGCAATAGCTTAACAAGAAAGAATGAACAAGAGAACTGCGCTTCTGAAAATAACAAAAACCTTATTCATAAAATCAAAGTATTTTTCTTCCGATACTTGTCCGACAATGATAAGGGTTGGATAATGTCCAAAGGTAAGAAGAAAATTTATACACAGTTCCGGGGCGAAGGCAACGTGAATAGAAGGTTAGCGCGTTTGATTGGGTTTTTTACCAATCGTAGCCATTTATCTCTACCCTAGTTGAAGAGTCGAAGAGAGAGAAACGATCTCTTTCTGACTTCACTAGTCATAACCCTCTGTTTTGCTTTAGATAGAATCCAAAACGGAAATGGAGGATCCAGAGAAAAGATCGAAGAAAATCTTTGACAGACGTAGTGAAATACTATAGCATGATCATGCCTGACTTACCATGGTCAAGAAAATACCAAATTCTGGGTTCAGATCAACAATATCACCATCGGTAAACACAAATTGTTTCTTGCGTTCCTTCTTAGCTGTCAAAACAATGTAAATCTGCTGCGCAGCTACAGACAAAACTGGCAACTCGATTCGATTAAATTCATCAAAGCATCCCCAGCTTCCGGACTGGGCTAGGCCTGCAATGACACCAAAGAAAAGTCTGTAGTCCATTAACAAAGTAACAAGCGTGCAAATAGCAAAGCTGGTAAAAAAAATTCGATACACAGTTGTGTTATATACCGGATCGAAGTGCTTGGCTTGCAAAACTGACATACACTAACATTAAAAACAAACCTTTGTAGATCCTTCCAAGACCTCTGAAGTCCATTTGATCCGAGCAGTTGAAGACCACAACGTATTTTCCAAGACAGCGACCCATGTCTTTAGTGGTTTCTAAAAGACACAGAATAAACAAGTCATTGATACGTGTAAAGTAGTATTGGCGAAGGAGGACTCCGCTGGCCGACAGTGAAGAATAAGAAGAATTAGAAGAAAAAGAAAATAACGAGAAGAAGGAGAAAATAATGAGAAGAAGAAGATGAAAGGGGAGAAAAGAAGGGAAGAAGAAGAAAAATAAGTTGGGAAGAAGAGCAGAGAAAAGAAAAAGAGAGAACCAGAAGAAAAAGAAGAAAAAAGAAAATGAAGAAGTATAAGAGAATCGGAAGAATAAAAGAAAAAAAGAATATCGAGAATAAGTAGATGCAGTGCAGGAATCTTCAGAGTCTAATCGATTACGAAATGTATGTAACAACAGCCGAAGCATCTTTCCCTATTTCACACAGTATGCAAAAATGACAGCTGCCTTTGACATTATTTTCTTGCAATTTTAATTATAAATTCAGATCCGCTATTTGGTAATGGCGCATTGAAAAGCAATCGAGTTCTTCCTCTTTTAAATGAATTCTAGCTAATATTATTAACTAGTGTATCTTTTTATCAAAATCCTCATTAACTCCAGTTTTAGAAATATTGGGTAGTGGGCATTCGACAATGTATAGAATTGTAATTTGCCAAAAGATAGTTGAATGAAATGAAGATGCATGAAGCTAACCTGTTTTTCCTGTACCAGCAGGCCCAGCGGGAGCACCTCCCATTGACATACCAAGGGCCTGGGCAAGAGTGATGTAGCACCTGTCAGTCAAAGGGGTGATGACCAGCCTCTCAGTGCATCCGAGAAACTCGTTCTGGTAGCTGAAATTGACGTCAGTGATTGACACAACGCAGTCATCAATTTCATCTTTGAAATAGAATCTGCTTTGTTTCAGCCATTCAAAGTCGGTTGAGCTGCGAATGTGCATTTTCACCTGTGTGGAAATTCAAAATATTAAGCTGTTTTTAAAACACAAGTATAGCGCCAAAAAGACTAGGCGTCCGAAATCTTGAAGAGACGAAGACATGAGCAAAATAATAAAGAAACCAATGTTAGAAAAATATTTCCACACAATTTTGAACATGCATATACAAGAACAGCCTTGATATCGTTTATAAAAGATGAAAAATTGCTTCCCCACTTAAAAGAATCTCTGCAGTAGAAAACTACAACAGAAATTCTGAAAGTTTACTTCAAAACATAATCTGATGGGTAATTACTAGGAATAACGACTCCTTAGATATCGTACAATTATTTGATAAATTTCGGTCATACATATATACTGCTAAGTGGCCATCAATGATAAGTGGTTGACTGTATTTAGCTGTCTTATGCTAAGGTTTATCAAAATTAAATATTGCAGCATTTTTTTAACTTACACAAACTACTTTTGGGTCATTATCATATCACAAAAAATGGTATATTGGCATGCTTCCAGGGCTAATGTTTAAACTTTGCCCTCGAGATATTGAATAAGTCAGTAAATGAGAAAGACAGAATTCACGACAACATAAAGCTTTACTTTCAAATATCATAACTAATTGTTCAAGAGAACGATTTATTAAAGAACGAGGATAGGTTTATTAATATATTAAATCGAAACCTACCAGATCATCAAAAATATCGCGCTGGTGAACATGGATTGTGACAAGAGTCTCAAACTTAGTCCTTTCCATTTTGGTGAGATCTTTGGTTGTGACGTCAATAAGCGTGTTCAGCAGTGCTAAAAAGCTCTGATTCGTTTGGTGCATGATTTTCTTATCTGTCTTTGCGTTGTTTAATGCCTCCTCGGCATCTCTTGTCCATATCATTTGAATACCCAGAATGCCAACCTGCACAAAGATAATATCAACAACGGTGCTAGGAAATGTTATAGAGTTAGAAAGAGTTTCTGTGTTTGTTAGCATCGAGAGTATGAAAAAATACAATGCTGTCAACCAAGGATGCTGAGCTATGGAATGTATAGGGTTCTTAATAGTATGGCACAAAACTTATAAAGGTTTGATTTAGTTTCAAATAACTTTTAGATTGGCAAGACATGATGGTATTTTGTATGTGCTTTAAGATTGAAAAGAAAAGAGGTTAGAATGATGGCTAGACATTTTGGTCATTAATAAAGTTTTGAATTTGCAGCATTGAATATAAGTAAACAAAGTTTCTGTCCAAAATATCGTAAGAACTTGTTAGTAAAGGTGAAAAAGCTTTGGCAGTTTGCAAACTAAAATACCGGTCTGGAATATATACAGAGCGTTACCTGAGCCGGAAAGCTATTGAGAAAATCCATGAGATTAAATGACGGGTCTTTAATGATAACCGACGCATCTCGAATCACCACGTGCAAAGACCACTGGGCCTGAACAAGTAAATCCATCAGCCAAACCTCCACATTGCCAGAAGCATGCAACGGCTTCTCCAGCTGTTTCAAGGAAAAATATTGCGTTTAAGTTTGCAAATGCATATATAGTTGAATCTCGTTAAGTCTGACCTTCAAGGGGTGTAATGAAATGGTATGACTTAATGAATGTTCGACTTACTGGAGTACGAATTATAAGGCACGGTTTAAATAAGGCAGGAAAATTATTTGGGAATTGAAAGTCAGTTGGACTTGTTGAATGTCCGCCTTATCCTGGGTACGACTTTTAGCTTGAATGAGTCATAAATACTCATGGGGAATTGACTTTTGACCTGACTTAGTGAAAGTCCGACTCACTGGGTACGACTAGCCTGCGTCACAGACCAACTTCACGGAAGTTTTTGGTCTGTGACGCAGGCTAGGTACGACTTTCTGCTTGCATAAGGCAGGAAGATTCGATGGGACTTAAAACTAAATTCGACTTTGTGGAAGTTCAGCTATCCGATGTACAAGTTACGTGGATTCAACCGTATTGAATATTGAATATTTATTACCAGGAAAATTAAAAAATGACATTTGTCATTCGTACAGGACGTGCAGGCTTGTAATGTAGAGAAGATTCGATTTGTTACCATCATTTATCTTTCAATGTCTTGTATGTACGCATGTTGGTTTACCTGTGATTTTTACAGTTAAATTATACAAACTTTATTGACAAGGTAAACAATGGCATCTTTACTTACAACTTCCTGTATCACCCTTAAGAAACGTTTAGATGTTTATATCTGCCATTCAAGACATTTTACTGCAGATGTTTATATCTGCCATTCACCTGGCTTGTGCTGCAAATCTTCCTTACAAGTGTTCCTTACAAGCCTAGTGTTCTTTTGCGACAATAACTTGTATAAGAAAACTGACAAACAAAATTTAAGAATATCACGCTAACATTCATCGTAATTCCACGCATCAAAATACTGAAGTGCCAAATGTCACAGGCACATGTTGGTTACCTGGACTGTTTCTCCTTCGCTTGATATGATTGATAATATCTTGCTGTAATCCTTCTCATCGAATGCCACCGACTTGGTGTTGTCAAATATTCCTAGCAAATGTGCCTGAAAGAAACAATCAAAATAAATTATTTTTTGAAGCTAGCTGACAGAGTCTAACAGCTCTATCAAGTTAATTACGTAGCCATGAGCTTTCAAAAACTCTTTAGACTCAGGCTGAGTTTTAAAAACTTTATTAAAATTTTTTACAGTATCACTTAAATACCTTATTATCATATTATTTTTATTTCATTCTATTGTTGCTTTTGTTCTTGTTTCGATCTTTAATGATATCTGATTCTTAATATTAGCGAGATCTTACTTTGATTAAAGATTAAAAATTTATTAAGATAATTATCTTAGTAAGCACCAATTAAGGCTCGATAGCTTGTTGTATTTATTAGCCTACAATTCAATTCATGCTAAGACTAACGAACCAAAATTATGTGGAAAACTAAGCACATTGGTCCATGAATCTAGCCAAAAACCAAGCCATTCTCACAGTGCCTAAATGAAATGCAAATTCAGTCGGTAGAAAATCCCTTAGAATAACTTTTCATTGATTAGAGTATCTGGGACTGCTACTTACTTGAATAGTGTGTGGGTCACTTGCTTGGCCAAGAATCTCCAGCAATGCAGGATCGGAAACAAAGAAGAAGCGGGGAAACATCAATCGCTTCTTTTCTAAATATCTGTAAAATAAAGTTACTTAAATGTTTGCAAAAATGCATTCAAAGTTAATTCTTAGCATAGCATCTTGCGTAACGAGTTTATTAATATAATTATTCATAAACAATTTACTATTTTAATAAAGTCTTTGATAATCCCACCATAAATATTTCTGTAATTTCAAATGTAGTATCAATTTGCCTGTGGTAATATAGAAGTGTCAGAGGGCACTGCGAGGCAGCATGTCTCCGTGGCGCAATCGGTTAGCGCGTTCGGCTGTTAACCGAAAGGTTGGTGGTTCGAGCCCACCCGGGGACGCGACTTTTTCTACTTTGGTTGAAGAAAACATTTTTAAATAAAAAGGCAATCGGGTCAATTCCGCAATAGTCTCCAAAGCAAATCAAAATCTTTAAAGTACCATTTACCATATTATTCAAATACCAACAAACTCGGTATTCCAATTCAAACTGCTGTTACTACCAAAACATGAATAATAAAATAAAAAAAAATTAATTTCTTACGTCTTTTTTTGTGTCGAAACAACATTCTAAAGAGAGCTAAGATTAAAAGCCTTTTTTATTAACCTTAACATCACGGAAATTGTTTTAGATGGAAATAGTTGCACTATGTAAAACGAGAAAAATTCTTTCAACTGAACGGTATTGCATATAAAAATCCATGATTGCACACTCAACTCACCCACTAAGTGATTTCTGACAAAGTTCAAGCTGTTCTAACAGATGAGGAAGCAACTGACTCAATGTCTCATCTCCAACACAGCATTCAACGACATTGGTCGTCTCGTGTGCCCTGGTCATGATCTTCACCCATGACTTGTCAATGTTTTGAAATCTCTTCGCTTCCTACATAAACAAGTCAAAAATTAGGAAATTTTTAGCCATCTTTCAGTTTGTACTTGCAAGTTTAAATATTTTTTGAATTTTACATATCTGTTACAGTTAGTAGAACGTGTATTGTTTGAAAAAATTTAAGTTAGATGAAAAATTACTCTGTGAATACGAAACCATCAAGAACTACGAAACATCGTACGCGGGAAGCTCTTTCTCTGCATGTCAAAAGCCTCTTTAAATTTGCAATACAACCTTACCTTTGGAAGTTGTTTTGCTATATCACCGCCGACAAACACAGCCTCTAGGTAAACCCAAAGATTTTGCACAACCAACCAGTTTTCGATGATATCAGAGGTGTTCGATAATTTGTGCACCCATGCTTGGATGTCTTTCTTAAATGGAGCATTGTATCTTGAGGAAGAGAATAAAATAATTTAACAGTTAAATTATAAAATGGCCGTAAATTTTTCAAACTGGATCTGGATCTGACAGCTATAGAAAAGTTTCTTGGAACTAGAAAAGCAATATAAGTTTTCAAGAAGGTGCAATACGACTCTTAGAGAATAAGATAAATTATCAAAATTCCTAAAAAAGGACTTGAATTAGAACTTGAATCAGAATGGAATAGAACTTGACTTTACAGTAAGTTCGTGTATCTTAGATTTACTCTTTTTTAAACGGCTAGAAATAATAGAATGCTTTGCAAAGAAATTTTCTAATTGAACATCGCTATAATAAAATAATAAGTAAATCTACGAATGCTGCATATTGCTTAAAATACGCTGGCTGTATCAAATAAAATATGCTGTTACGCGAAACTCGGGTAATGTAATTGTCTTATAAGCATCAGAGTTTTAATAAATACAAACATACCTGTTACTCATGAGTGATCCAAGAATCATCAGACTGTCTTCTAAAAATGCAACGATTTCCGTTGTTTCGTTTCCTTTTAGCAGCAGCTCTCCTCTATTCTTGAACGGGGTAAAAGAGAATTCCTGTGCTCTCCAGTCAACAACAACTTGGTGAAGTTTGGCTTCAATATCCTTTTCTTTTACAGCTGATATGCAAATATCCTTCAAGAGACATTTCGTGACATTGAAATTAGAGATTAAGCTTAAATGTAATGGCAAAAATTTTATGCACCTGAAAACTTGAAATTTCTACCCGAAGCAAGATATAAAAAGCTCAAAGATCAGGGTTTCTATCCATTACTCCACAAGCCAATGTACAAATTCATGTTCCCTTATGACAGCGTAATCATCAAAATGTAAAAAATAGAAAAATCCCTGTATGATATGACGAATTTTTATCGTCCCCACCACAAAACAACTTTCATCCTTCATTAAATTACCTCAATATCCTCCTTTGAATGCAAAAGATCTGCTTCCATAATATTACGCAGTGCAAAATTCTCATTATCCACGTCAAAATGGTGACCAGTGAGTTCTCCAATGCGATTCCAATGTCGCTCTTTCATGGCCTTGTTTGACATCAACTCTAGCAAAGGGCAGCACTCGCTGAAGTCATCAATCTTTTTCTTGAGATCGTTGAATGCTTGCCAATCTTTCAAGGCTTTTGGCAATCTACGGCATCTGTAAAACCAAAATTTTATTATTTTTAAACAATTTCATGATATATTTATTACTTCCTTTCGAGGTTCTAACTCTTAGGAAACGGTAACTGCTTTTTGTACTCCTACAAACAGTTTATAGATAATAAACTAACAATCGGAACTAGCTGAAATAGACTGATTTGAAGTGAAATGTGAAGCTAGCCTTTTAGCAATAGCTCGTACATGTACCGGTAGTGGTGATAGACTGCATATCATTGCTAAAACATATAAAATAAAAGAACCTAGAGTGATAGAGCCTCACATAATTTGACAAAATCTTCATCACAAATATGCTCAAAAAACACGTTCTTGTATGGCTGGAATGAGATCTGGTCTCCTACCTGTTCTGGTAATCCAACAAATCTTGATTGATCTTTTCAATATCTACATCGTGCCATAAAATATCATAGTATCCGTTCACTGTTGTAATAACTGAGTTATACAACCCGTATAGCTTCTGAAGCAGACCAAGTTCTTTCTTAATTCTCATCAGTTCTGGATAGTCTGTGATAGGTAAACCAAAAAGATCTTCCCCACCGTTGTATGTCTGATATTGACGCCATAATGTGTCAAATTTGGTCTAAAAAAATTAAACACGAACTTCAGCATAGCATAAAAAATAATCATCAAAATTAATTCATAAATCATATTCAAGGCAACATCCAAGGAAAAATGCTAATGAAGGCAGGGTGGAAGGCAAAGATAACACAATATGTCACATCTCCCCCTTTCCGCGATTCCCCATCACCCATCCCCTATTTATTGTTCGGGCATAGCAGCATGAATCTCAAGAATATTACTACTTAGATGGGAGTAGGGAGGCAAAATCGTAACCACTTCACTGCATAATTATGCCACTTGAGAAACAGAGATAGTTCTATTGAAAAAAACTGGAGATTTTGCGGTTGGAATCAATAGAAGAGATACCTGGAAGGCACTTAGGCGATCGCTAGCTTCCTGTGGATGAAGACCATTGGCCATTGGTCCATTCTGAAATAAGAAAACAAAAGCATGCTACAAGAATCATACTTGTTACAAAGAACATAATTCTTGTCTCATTCCAAAATTCATATGTCGGGGAATTTTAATCAATAGATATGTTTGACCAAGCCTATTTGAAGATTAAGAAGTTCATTACCCAGGAATAGACAGATAAAATGTATAAAATGTAGGATACAAGATGTTGCAATATCGATGATCATGACCAAAATGAAATGACTACGCTTGCCGCGATCTTTTGTTTTTGAAGTCTGAAAAAAGACACCCTGTTCTATACTTACTGCACAACTCATCAAAAGATACAGTTTCTAATTTTGTCTAGGAGTCAACCATAGATCCAATCATAATCTTGCACTATTATTTCAAACATATCGAATAGACTTTTGATGCATTGCGTCTTTCTGAAAGTGTCATACACGGAATTTCCCGTTAGCAATCCCTTATTACGTCGCATTTCAAAAACCATGCTTGGGAATCGGAAGATTATAATACACTACTTTACAGCCTTGATAGATGTTGTTGAATTGTAGATTTGATCCAGAAAGAAAAATTCAAAGTGAGAATAATAGATAAAGAAAGTAGATTTTGATTGGTTTACATACTTCATCATAATCTCCATAGAAACTGCCAGATTCTGTCTTAAACGTCTCCACCCGGTCTAACAGATCTTTCTTGAAAGTCGGTTGGATCTCAACAAGCTCGGATTGGACAGAGTTCTTTGAGATGAAGACAAAGTAGTTAGACAATTTTTAAATGCAATCCTGATCAAAACGAAGATTCAAGGTTTTCCCATTGATTGAAACAACTTGCAATGCATTACTAAGCGTATTTACATGATATGCTCAGAGGATATCATCCCTCCTTTTGAAAGATGAAAGACAGGCATTCTAAGATTAAATTTTACCAGCATGGGAGAAGAAGTATGTTAACAGGCACAAAATCATAATCACAAAATATAGCATACAGCATATGCACTTAAGAGTATCAAAAACAAGATAACAGCAGCAAAGTGAATTGTTTACGTACGGCTTGCTGAAGAAGTTTCTGAACAGAGTAACGCAGGGAATCAACTTTGTTTGATTCTTCTTGCGGGTAGGCAATTCCAAATGAGTTGAGAAGACTGTACGATTCCTTAAGAATTAAAATCAACAGTGATTAGAAAATTCAAAACAATGAAACAAACTCTATAAGCTAAAAGAAACATAATTTTCTTAAAGTCAAAAAGGTCATTTAAAAATCATTGAAAGTTTTCAGAAGCTTACTTGGAAAAGTACCAATAGCATGTTGTCTTCGATCTGATAGTTCATCGTATAGATGCAGATTTAAATTTTGGGGTGTTACCACAAATCATTGATTTAACCTGCAATCTAGTTATTTTAAGAAAACATCTGGATAGCATATGAAGCTTGGTGAAAAAACGGACCTGTTTTTTTCTATTCTGCAAGAAAGAGATTATTAAAAAGACTGGTTTATAAAACCGTTTATACCTCGATTGGACCGATCTCGGTATCAATGCGAATTTCATTATTCCGGATCTCAGTCAACGCCGCCATAGCAAACCGGACATCATCCAAATCTTTAATCGGATGGGATAATCTTCTGGAGTAATCAGCAATAAACTGAACGATTTCATCTAGCTTTTCCTTGTATTTGGCATTCATGCCGCGACCTAAAGCCACTTTCCAATTTTCTGCTTCTACACTCAATGCATACTTCAAAGGCCCTGTTCAGAAAAAATTATTACTTACATAAAAACTGTGCGATTCTCGCAATACTGAGAATATTTTCAAATGCACAACATACGGGTTTAATTTTAGATGCATTCTCTAAAGCATGAGAATAAGGAGATTGAGTATTCTCGAGGGCAAAGGATCGTGGGAAACTGATTCCCAAGATGAGGATTATCTCCTTTATTGTCGCATGTAGGAATCTACAAGGAATAGCATTAAGAATCTTGGGAGATTAAAAGAATAGTTCCCAAATAAGAATATAACCTGTAAGCTTTGGTTAATTAAAAGCAAATTGCTCCAGGCAAAATTTGGCAACACAGCAGCCATAAAATTATCCGTGAATCCACTATCAACATATAGAAACAGCCAATCTGTATGCAAGACGTTTGCCAAAGGTGACCTTGTTCTCAATAGATTATATATCCCGTATTTTACCTGTGTTCAGCTGCAGTGTTCTCTGTCCAATGACGTATTTTTCTGGCAACAGTTTGATTTCACGCTCAATATCTCGATAACGCAGTATTTCAGCTTTGAACTCAGACAGAATGGGATCAGACTCAATGAATTCCTGGTAAAAAGATGCATTTGGCAATAAATTATTCTTGATCAATCATTTCATTTTAATTTCCTTTACGGACTATAAACATTCAAAATTGAATCTAGAAAATAATAAAACCAACCCTAGTTATCTATATAATAGCTAATATTTGTCAGCATCAAGTGCTTTTGGAAAATGCTGATCAAAAAGAGAAAAATTTATAAAAATTTTACAATTGCTAAAAGCAAAATTATAGATTTACTTAACCTACGACTAGACTATAATTGTTCTTACAGTTTCCTCAAACGAATAGTACCTTGATTTTCAGCTCTCGGTCTTCCTTCCATAAGAACATGTACTTTGCAAACGCATCCAGGTAATTGACAACTTCCCCTTTGGTAGAGCTGACAGCAGATGACAACATCATCGTTATTTTTGTTGTGTCTTTGTGCTCCGCAATGTATTTATAATAATTCTTTTGCTTCTGAGATTGTGATTCTGAAAGAAAATTACAAAAAAAATATCATTCACAAAAGTATTAAATAAAGTTCAATTTTTAGTATTCAAGTAATTTGAAACAGGGTGATCATCAGGTTTTTAATTTCAATTTCTGCTAAATCAGGATCATATATCACAAAGTGACAAAACTATCTAAGTCTCAAAGAAATGAGTTTCATATTAAGCATTTTCAAGAACCAGTAAACCAGATTAAGTCGCTAGATCTGACTTTTCTGAATAAAAGAATTTCCAATGAACAGCATCATAACGCAATTCTCTAAAAATAGTTGGCTATTATCATTATTTACGCTTAAAAACATGTTGTATCTTCAAGGAATCGTTCAACAAAACGATTATACTTTATGTAATGAGGCAAGTTGCAGAATTTTACAAGCATTATTTCAAGTGCTAGGTTAGGCAATTTAATCCAATTATGTGATCGAGGTATTAGAGGCTACACGCAGGCTTAAACCAGGCAGAAGGTTAAATGGCAACATTTGTTAACTTGGCCGTTATATGAGATTAGATAGATGTAAAGACAGGCCTAGCTACAAAAGGAGAATCATGAATACAACAAATACGTAAACAGCTATTTGCATTAATCTTCCCTTATAGCAATGAAATTCAGCACACAAATCAATTGCAAATTAGCAAACAAAAAAGCTTGCATTTAATGGATTTACGGACGACTGACAATGAGGGTGCGAAAGAGCCTTACCATTCTCCTTCTGTGACCATGAAGCAACATTCTTGCTCACATTCAGAATCAGCTTAATACCCTCATTCAAAGAATGCTGAACATCTTCAATAGTAGGTTGCACTACCTACGCGATAGATATAAATGTTGTCATATCAAACCTTTTTCTATAAAATTTAAAACAGACGCATCAATGAATGGAATAAAAGTAAAATTTGAAAGAAACTGGCGTGCTTTAGATGTAATATGAGAAGAGAGGAGAAATGATGTGGATACTGACGCGAGTTTGCTAGGGATGTTCTATCAAGTTTGCAGTACTGGACTAGCTATTTATAAAATCACATGAAAACGTTGAACTAGTGCCATAGCCTGTACCAAACAAGGTCTTACTTACGATGAAAAACATATCAGGAACTCGCCACCAAAAACTTCTGATGCCTTGGCAGCTGGATTTGAGTAAAATACGTGTAGCCAGATTTGTAAAGCAAATATTCATACTTGAAATGAAGAGTAATAACTCACTACGTTGGGAATAACAAGCGTCATGTCAGCTGTGAAGCAGGCCATTTCTTTTGCAGTTAGTCCCGATGCTGAGCTTGATGAGGATAGATTCCTTCCGTAGTTTCGATTCGAAGACCTAAAACACGACATGAGACTCGTATGAGCAAATGAACGTTAGCTGATCGGGTTCTAGTTAATTTTGAGTCAAGAGAAGATCAGTACCCTTATAAATGTTACTTGTAACAGCATTGGATCAATGTTTTAGTAAAGAATGAATGTCAATGGTAACGGAAATATTGAACTAACTGGACTTATAGAGCCAACAGTTTGAGAGTTCTAGCTCCCATTTCTAAACCTAATATTGTCGCTGGATATATTAATGTTGTTTGCGACTATGGAGTTAGAACTTGAAATTTCAATGACAAAAAAAATGAAAATATGGCATCATCGCTCTTGTTGTGGCAGTCAGAACTATCCAAGTGGTGTATTCAGGTGGAAAAATCAAGAACCCAGAGTTCAACGAAAGTCAGAATTAAAGTTTTATTGAAACATTTAGCATAACTACAAAACATACGCGGGAAAGACCCTGCGTTTGATTGCGTCAAGAGAGTTTCGGATGCATCTCAACAGACTATCGACTAGTTTGTTGTTGAAATAGTTAGCAAGCTCCTTTGTCTCCTCTTCTAAGTCGTGCTCTCTATGTAGCATCTTCTCTCTAGCAACTTTATGTTCATGGGACTCGTTGCAAGGAACAACAGATGGATCTTTGATTTGTGATTGGGCTTTCAACGTGACATGCGTAGATTTTAAGGTATCCAACACATCACATACTGCTTCTTCAACACGATTACTGATCGCCTGAATTTTCTTTGAAGCTTGATCACATATTTCCTTATAAAAGATTTTGGTAACAGTTTCATTAAATAATCAAAAAGCATTTGAGAAAATGTTATTCTTCTAGGATGAGATTTCTTAGATAAAAATCTTATTGATATTGACATGGTTAGACAGTTGGAGGCCACCCTCCTGACACAGCTTGAACTAAAATAGATAGCTATATAAAACTATTGGCAAGCTGCCTTCAAATAACCTGAAATATAATTTAGACGAACAAATTTCGCTTGGTTTATTCGATCTTATCAACATGTCACAAGATTGAAGCTAAAAAGACCCTTTCTGTTATATAATCTGGCCTGATACACAAACCGAATTCAACAATAATGACTGAATTGTGTCTAAACTCGCCACTTATTACTACTCGTTGCAAAAAACAATCCTTCATAGATCTGAAGTAACAACGATCTAAACCAATTAATTAGCAAATATATCGAAATTTAATCAGGCAAACCCCTTTTTCTTAATTTAAAATTATTCATCAGTAAATGGAGCTTCAGATCCTTGTTCTCGTAAATAAAGGTTACTAAAGAATCTTGAAATTGAAGTTTATACTTTGGTGCGAGAGAGAAATTGGCCAACGGGCCAGGCTTCGTCTTCTGGCAGTTCACATAAGATAATGTCGCTGATCTGTTGAAGGCCATTATCAATTCTGGCATCTTTAACGTCCAGTATCTGATAAAGAAATTGAATGTTATGCAACAATATGTCTGAAGGAGACAAGGACTGTGACAAGGATCTACAAAGAACCTGTGACCTTGGTTATATTCTAAGATTTTAATGAAAAAAATAAATGGAAGCCTGTTAGATTGTAAAATTCATTTAGAGTGGCACTGAATTTATACACAGAAGACAATCATTAGAGTTCTATATCGTTTATAACTTCCCATTATTTACCACTGCAGAAAAAGGCTCCCTATTAAATACAATCTAAATTACTGAACAAAGAATGAAATAAGGCTGTGTTTAACAACAAAATGATCGTTTCCTTTTGAGGAAAACCATTTACAGTACAGTTTCCAACATTCATAGTTGTTGTGCAAATATTGATAATAATGATACATTATTTGTTCTTACTTGTTTCATCAGACGGCCAACATTTCTAAGCTCTTCGTGGACACATTCGATGTATCTGTTGATGTTGAGTGAATTCCAATTCAGCAATGTCAGCCCAGGACTTATCGTTGCTTCAACCTAGAATTGGAATGTCACCATAGCTTAAAAGATCTGCAAAATCCACAAAAATTTAGAGGCTGCTCCGAAGGCATTTAATCACATATTTAGACAGAAAGAAAACGCGAGCGAGTGACATAAAAAGGACAGGACACAGACCCACAACAACACAATACGACATGGACACGACACAAACCCACAACGACACGACAGGACAAGAACCCCATCAGCACGACACGACAAGGACATGATACTGTACACCATTGCTCTTCCAAATGGTCAACATATTTTCTCAAAACTTCCTCTGCACTCGATTATATCTTTGTCCCTGATCCATACCAGCACAACGAGCCATTTTTCTTAAGCAGTCTATAGACAAAAATATGGTGCAGCCACAGAATAGAGGGTTGACATAGATACTTCTGTTATCTATAAAATCTTAAGACAGTTGTACATATAACACGAAAAGAATCTGTTGAACATGAATAAACCAAAAAATAGAGATCGAAGCTTCGGTAAACGAAGTAAATGGATACCAATTTCGAAATCTTTGCGGTGATCGAAATAAATTGCAGAGATTGCCTCCACTCTAAAGAATAAGTGGCTTTTTAGTGAACAGGACTTGGCAACATAGTAAAAATGAGACTAGATGCATTGTGTAGTTTTCAACAATGAAATAAAGTAACAATTCAGTAAAGAAACAGGTTCAAACTCCATGATGCTTTGAAAACTTGACTCACCTTGTTCATTGAAGGCTTCATCAACCCAACAAATATGGCTGGAACGGACTCCTTCAACTTTTCATACTCTTCAATCATTACCTACGAGTTAGTTTCAAAATTAGTTAGCATTCAAAGAAATTTTTTACAAAACAAATTTGCATTATTTAACCTCTGGTACGATACAGGTAAGAATTAGTAGCTTAGAAAATTTTCTATTCATCACTTAATTACAAACTACATTCAGACAATACTCAAAGTAGCTGCCCTAGATTAAATACATATTTTGCATAGGTTTTATAACAATCAACAGACAAAATATGGAACCCTAATGAAAATATTCATGAAAAGTATTTCCCGAAAGATAACAAGATGCTCACTTAAGGATGTTGTTATGAGTAATAGAAATCCTTTCATCTATTCTGGCGTGCAAAGGGTGAACGCTGCAGCAAAATTAACCTATTCACGCATTATACTCTCTTAATTCTCTTAATGTAGCATTCTTTGCAATAAGAGGTAGCCTCTTTGTAATCAAAAAACAAAATTGTACTAGCCTTCAGACGGTTCTCGGTCTTCTTCAGCCCTTCTTTCCTTAAAATAAGGTCTTTGGCCGCTTTAGGAACATCTAGGTTCATTTTGATCATACAATCAGTTTCCCTTATCAGCTCTATGATCATTGGATCAAAGTTAACGTAAAGCTTTCCAGTTTCTGGGTGTCGCACCAGTAGAGTTGCTTGAAGGCCTATAAAAACATGTTGGAGAAATTAGTTAGGTAAAATTTATAGCAATGTTTGCTACCTATGGGTCGGGATGAAGATGAGACATACCCAGCAAAACTAAGAAAATATTTTCAAACTTCATAGACACAGTGAGAGTACTCACAGTGACGAGAGAGACTGAATTATCCAGGAATGATTCAGTTCTATTTTTTGTACAGATAATAAAAATCCACGAGATGTTTACAGCATTTATTCTACACTTTTCTTTGTCATGTAGCACGAAAGATTTGTTTTTTTCGGTTATTGGAAACATGCTTAAAACTCTGTCTAGTAATGTCTAGAGGAGGGGGGTTGGAAATGGTAGAAAGGTCAATAGGTTACATTATTTAACATAAAAGTGGTAAAATAAAAAAGGAAGGGAGAAAACCGCTTTGTTATAAACCCACCACTTCTTACGCTATCAATTTGGCGCTTCCATGCTTCAACATAGACAATTTCGAATTGTAACAAAGTTGCTGCAATATTGTTGAAAGTCTTAATTGTTTTTAGAGAATCAGGTTTCTTCAGAAGCTCATCGCGCTTTTCAAAATAGTTCATCGGATCTCTGATTCGCTTAGTAAGTTGCTTTGACCAAGAAATCTTCCCTGAAATTGGCGGTAGATCGCGGGCAACAGGAGGGTCTTGCTTGAATTCTTCATAAACCTAAAGCAAATGATTGTGCATAAATGTGTATGAAGAAATAGCTTCGAATTTATTAAAGAATATTTATAAAAAACATATATTTACATTTGATAATAGCGAAAAAACTCAATCAAAGAGCGACAAAAGAAGTATGTAGCAATGCAAGAGAAGGGAAGTAACCGGTAATAAAGCAAGTCTGGTTGCATTTAAATATCCAATTAATCTTTTAGGATAGTACAAAGAAATTTTTGAAATTACAATCTCCCGTACTGCATTAGATACAAATTTGGTCAAAATTACCTTCCCCACAATTTCGATTTCTTTTCCAAAATGATGAAACAGCTTTTCATACTTTTCATCAATCGTTTGCATCAACGTGCCAATATTGAGTTGCTCGAATCTACAAAATTTTGAGACGTCATTAAAATCAAACAATTTCCAAATTTTTTTCACACGATATTGAAAGTGCTGTGACAAAACAGCAAACCGAGATGGACAATCAAAAGATGAGATTTTCATTATAAAAAATCTTCTTTTAACTAAATATGTTGGAAAATACCTAAGCATGCACAACAAAAAGCTCAAAAACAGAACATTATCACTCTAAGATTCAAAATTCGTAATACTATAAATCGCATCCAGTATATTTTAAAATGGGTAAAAGAAATGTGTACGAAAACGACAGGTTGAAAACACCATTTGAAAAAAAAAGATGCCATCGGGTAAAGATTGTAATGCAAGTATATAATTTTAGTTTTCAAATAAAATGCCTGATTCTCGCAATTGAAGTGAATCTCGCAGAAGCAACGTAAAACTGCTCTGTTCTACATCCCAAAAGCACGCATCGCTGCCTAAGTAGCACCAAACACTTTGCAAAAGACGGTTAAAAGGCATCTTAATTAGTCCCAGTACAAATTAAACAGCTTATGAATACATCGATTTTGCTATGTTGCCTTATATCCTTACCGTTGTAAAAGCTGCAAAGCTTGGGTAGTCGACATCTTCCTTGAGAAGACGTGGTCAATGAAATGGTGCATTTGTATCTGGAAAGAAAAGAGATATAAATAAAAAGGAACGAATAGATTTACTTACATTGTCCAAACTGAGCGATATCAGTAAATTTAGAAAGTGTTTTAGAAACAAACGTATTGACCACTCTGGTGATATTGAAATCCCATTTTTGACGTCATCTCTTTCACAGGTTATCAATAATGAAACGGTGCAAAGATGATTTCTTATTTCATAATTTTATTTATATCAAATCAGGTTTTTATTAGCAATGAAGAAACTTTCGTTACTACAAAGCTTATGTTACCGAAAGGTTGAAAGTTTAAAAGAACACATTTTTAAACATATAAAAAGTCGTAGATTTAATGGGAAATTTATCTTCTTTAATAAATATTTCTGATGTTGAAAATTTAGCTAAAGAAACTGTCACAACGCAATATAACGCAATTTATAAGTTCATTAGAAAAATCATGAACAAACAAAAAATAAATTTCATCAACCTCTTCGAGCAACTTAGCACCAATACAACTCTCTCTTTAATTCACATCTCAATTTTGATACATTTAAAACTTCTTACCTCGAGTTCAGAAATTTGCCTTTTAAACTCTTCATAATCATAGTCAAAGTCGATTTTTCTATGATCAAGAATATCGTATGGCTTTTTTTGCATGCTTTTGAATATGGTGGAGAATTTCTGTGCGATCCCTTCTATTCCCTCGATATTTGATCTTGCCAAAACACTGTATGTGTCCAATGTTGTCATCAGCTCAATTATCTATATTTTAAAAACAGGAAAGATAAAAAAATAAGAATATACAAGAAAATATACAGTTAATATTTTGAGGACTTTAAATTTACTACTATAAGGGACACCAGCATAAAAGAGCCAAGCTTCAAGTAAAAAAATTTTAATTTTCAGATGGGTGAAATTGAAATGCAGCAATGGTGTATATCATTAATTATTCGTTAATGTAAGCATCCTAAAAATCTACGTTGCATTTAGCAACTACATGATTGTTGATTGTTGATCGTTGCGTGGCATTTATACTCATGCATACCTTTTGAAGCCTTCTGCTAAATGTATCAAACTTTCCAAAGATGTACATCTCCGAAAATTCAAAGGGCCTCTCACTCGAATGTTCCCTGCTCTTTTTTTTCGTTCTCTGATAGCTGGCTTGGTATTCCTCATTTAGGCGTATACACTGCTTCATTTTCAGTATCAATTCTGGTCTGTTTTGGTCCCAAACACGGTATTTTCCACCGTCAGTGATATGCTGGCGACATGCTGTTACCATCTGGTTTGTTACCTGGATGCAAGGCATTTATTTGGCATCTTATAAAGATGAAGAAGCATCATTTATATAGATATTTATTGCTGTAGCCAAATGCCAAAATAAAAGCAATATTTGCCTATTGGTGAGAATCGTTAAAAAACCACTCTTTAAAGATATGACGGCGCCAGTTAATCATAAACTGGTTGCAAAAGGTATTGCAAGATATATTCAAGTCAAAATGAGCAACATAAAACAATTTTTAAACATATAGAAAAAACTCCGCATTACAAGACGTCAACATTTTCTGGATGCTATTTGCTTTCATCTGCATGAACTAACAGGTAGTTGAGATTCAGCTCTTGAGATGAGCAAGGCTTGAATTTCTTTCTGCTGTGTTATAACTTTGACATACCTTGATAAAGAGTGACGTCATCCTTTGAGACGTGTTGTAATATTGAGAAACAGTGTGAATCATCTGGATAGCGTTGATAAGTTTCGGTATGCTATCGACCATGTTGACCTAAAGCAGGCAACGAGTGTTAATAGTCTTGAGAACTCTAAATTTTGATGTTGTTACACGCTCATGATAGCAAAGGAACCGACCTGCGCCAGAATATCAATTTTCACTGACCATGTGGTCATTATTCAACGTTATATGCTCAGGGGAATGACAGGCAAAATTTACTGTAAATGGTATTTTTCTGTCTTTCCATGCTATTGTCAAACTCATAATGATTTCCACGTCAAGGGATCAACGAAAAAATACAGGGATGCATGAAAATACACGCAAATTCAAAACACAATTGAATTTTGCAAAATAATTCCTAGCCTGCGTGCAGCCTCTACGCTCTAAATAATTCCCTTATTTCTCTTATTTCTATCATTCTATCAAATTGCAATTAAAGAATTCGCTCACCGGGTCACTCTGGTAGAGCGGTTCACAGATCTTCTCCAATGTATAGAGGTATTTCACATTGTCCTTAGCTTCGTTTGCAGCATCGGTTATTCTGTTATCTAGCACTCTCCATGTCTGTAGGAACGAATTAAAACATTGCCAAGAATAAGCTTTTGAACGCGTACGGATCTGGTTTTACACCGATTAAAGCAAACTTTATTAGCGCTTAGGATAGGAATACCTCCCAACAACATACCTTCAAGACTTTCGATTTGGCAATTACCAATATTCCAATTGCAGTCTTGCACTGCTTAGCCTTGATCTGCTCCAGAAGAGAATTAAACTTAGCCATTCGCTGTCTCCAGTGCTGTAGTTCAGCCATAGGACCAGCATCGTCTGCTTCTTTCCGCATCTGTTCGCTTTCAACGAGAACCTAGGAGATGAGATAAAAACGTTGTCAAAAGGTAATCAGCGATAATAAACCTGACCCACAACATATCAAAGATAAAACAATATTTGAAAGCAAAACAGCAGAAATGCTACTGAAATGCTTACAAACTCATTATCTAAGAAATTTCAATCTGTAGAAATTTCACATCATCAACTGCTACACCAGAAAATTTTAAAATACCCACTTATCAATACGAAATCTCAAATGAAAGAAAAATTGTACGAATATGAAGTTTATTATCCTTTTGATAGCCAATAAGGTAATCTCCTATCAGGTATAAAAACAGATATGCTTTCTGCTATCATTCATTCAAAAACACTAGAGATATGCAACATATGTTGATTTTTCGTACTTGCTCAATCTGTTTGCTCCAAATATGTACAAGATCTTCAATTCCAGCCAAAAGCTCAGGGTTATTCGCAACTATCATGTAATCAGACGGTGACTGATAATCTTCAACACATATCACTTCACATTTCTGCAATGTCACCCTATCAGTAACTCCTTTGTGTGCAACTTGAAGAGGAAAAATAATTTTACTAAAGTTACAAAAATAAGACAAAATTTCTTAAAAGTTCTGCTTATTAAAGCTCTCAAACATCACCTAGCAGTATTTGTGCAGATAAAGGGGAAAAATTCGCTAAAATAGGCCTACTTCTGGCTATGTTTATTATCATCCTATATATTGATTTTTAAACAGCGCAGAAAGAAACAGAAGTGATCAGAGGTCTCAATCATTCAAAGATTTAACTGCGCTGCTGGCCAAGTTCAGAGCAGCATGTTCATGACTGCCTTGGAAGTTTGAAAAGCTACCTACTGATTCGCAACATTAAACCTACAGCCCGAAAACAGCCAAGTACAATTTTTACACCATTCCGCACCAACACAACAGCTAATTGTTTGCAAATTTTTATACTGAAATTAGCAGTAGGTTATTTCTTGGAGGTCCTTGAAAAATGTCGCTCTGAACTATAATAGCATCAAATAACGAGAAATGTTGAATCCTCTTTGCAGATTTTTTTCCCTTTTGTTCAAATTTCAATTTGGCAATACAGGTTTTACTTAATTATGTTCATTTTCTTTGCATAATTTTGCATAACTTGCATAATTCTAAATAAAAGCTAGTTAATATCTAATATAACTCACAGTCAAGATAGCTGACAAATCCGTCAGCAAATTTGATGAATTCTTCTTTTGCTGCGATACCTTGCGGACTTTTGTTCAAGTCTCCCCATTCTGTGTAGCATTTGAGAGTTGGCACAAAAACTGATGATAGCGACTTGGCTAAAGCATGGAACAGGCTGACGTCCCCAGTACAGTCGATGCTACCAAAGCATACAACCTAAAATACATCGAGTTAATAAACAAACGGGAAAGCAAACAATATATGAAATTAATGAAGTTTGATGCAAGTACACGAAAGCAAGGAAACTTTAGCCATAAGGACGGATGAGCAAAATCTAAATCCACAAAAGTTCCTATTTGGCAATGTTTGACAAAGAAGTGTGAGACGAGTAATTTTTCTAAGGGTTGAAGAGTTTCACACTGAAAATGAAAAATATGTGTGACGTCATGCAATGCAATGTTCTGCGCAGAAAACTACTCACCTCATGCATGTTTCTCATTTTGATTTCCTTATTCGGCTCTGTTCGGATAAAGTACATTAATAAGCCGGTTAGCTTATCAGAGAGGCAGTCTGTCACAATCAAATGGTTCGGCTTCCCGTCTTTTGGCAAATTTTGGAGCGTGCGAGCTCTTACTTCAGTGACTGAAATGTAAAAATACAGTAGTAATAGTGATGTCATGTTTAAAAAGGCCGCGAAATCCGATTTGAAAGCTAGGCATGCCTAAATTTTTTAAAACATTAACTTAACGTCACAACATTGAAAATGATTGAATTTAAAGAAAAAATTACGGACAAAAAGTCTAGGAAAACAAGTAAACTGTGATCAGTAATTTAATCTTCAAAAGTCCAACTTCTAGATTGAATCAAATTCAGGTAAAAGCAATCCCAGCATAAGATATAAAAGTTCAAGTAAATTATCATGAAACTGATTAAAGCAACCAATTTTTTAGAAATTGAAAATAGCTTTTACAAAAGCTGGGATCTCAAACTTTCTATTCAATGAAACGAAATATTTTTCATGGCACTACTATACAATATCTTAAAATCTGCAATGCCTTACCACTGCCATAGCCTTCACAACTTTGATAGAAAAATACCAGCGTTCTACGCCCATTTTCCCTTGTAAAATCTTCCATTAACTCAATTCCCTAAATAAATACATAACACCGAATTCATTTATCAATTTTCCAGTCAAGCAAACAAATGGATTTCATTAAGATAAAGAGAATTTGAAAGATGAAGAATAAAGCAAAGAAACATATAGACAGGAATAATACACTTGCCTAAACATCACATAAAGCTTGTAAGTCGGAGAAACAACTTGGAACCACCCTGTTCTATAGCATACAATGATGAAAAGGGCAGGAAAATGAAAGATGCATCATTTACGAAAAATTACTTTGCTATAATAAAAAATTCATTTTCTTGCATTTTCTCTGATCGGGGATCCATTTGAATCTTTTTCAGACAACCAGAAAATTTTTTTTATGCAAATTTCAAATTTCCGTAGTATCAGAAAATTTCCGTAGATGAACGTATTTTCATTTTCCCGCCCTTTTCATCGTTGATGAATTGCGTCAGCTTTTACAAGGCTGTAGCAGCGAACATCAGTGAATGCGAGGTTCTCATTTATCTTCAAGCCGTTAAAATGAATATTCAAAGTACCTGAGCGCAAAAGAAATTGTACAATTGTAGTTATTTTAAGAGAAAGGTGAACTGCGTTTTCTCTCAGTGGAATTTAGCGATTTATTTTGTCGTTAACACAAACATCAATGCCGACAAAAAAAGATTTTAACATTGGCTTGTAAAGGTAAGTTCATAATTGTTAATAACGTGGATAAGACAATTTTCAAGGATCAAAAACTGTAATTTTTCTTGAAAGGCTTGAAAGGGACAGTTTCAAGCCTTCGTAACTAACGATCGCGGAAAAATTTTTACTGAGTACCACGGCAGTTTTTTCATAAATTTTTTAAAGATTCAATTTTAAAAAAAAAATTAGGTTATCTTTCAGCACAATTTACACGTTTATTTTTTTATGGGTAGTGGTAAAAACGTCCAAAATAGGCCTAAATCTAGCTGCGAGGCACGTTTGTTGTCATATACTTGAACTCTGATTGGCTAACGGGCAATTGAAAATTTTGGTCGCTCAGCCAATCAAAGATTTGGAATCTATGTTCATAATAACTAGAACAAATTGTGATTGACCGTATTAACGTGAAACATTTTGAAACATTTGAGATTATTACACCGTAAAATGCCTCACTTAATCATTCATACAATTTCACTAAATACCAAAACTAGATCCAACAACACCAAACAAGTTGTTTAGAAAAATTAACGGAAAATAAAATCTAACTGACTTTGTAAATGAGTTGGAAGATATTATGAGATACTGAAATGCAAGTAGGGAAAGTAAATGGGCACACCTGATCGCAGTCCAGCACAAACTCTTCGACGACTGTTGGCTCCACATTGAGTTTAAAAGCGACAATTGACATTAAATGTCGATATTCAGATGTTATCAGAGCTTTCTTAGCATCTCTTGACATCTTCTCCCTTTGCTAAAACAAAGAAAAAGAAATATTGTCGTCAATAAATTGTAAACTTGCTGTAAAAAATATGAATGCTCTCCGAGGGAGCTTATAAAATACAAAAATTTTCCAATTTGATAATAGTACATTTAAATTTACAAAAACAACAATGGGTTGGATTAAAATAAACCGTAAACCTATCTATAACTTCGGTAAACCAAGTTATTCATCCAAGGTAGTGAAAAGAACGGCCTATAGCTTCGTTCTTTCGTCTACCACTGTCGTCTACAAAGGCTTTTGTTTCCTCTAATCTTTCGAGTTACATCGTAAAATAGTTAAATCAAAAGCTTGATACCTTCTTCTCTTTGACAGATTCAGAGCATACAGGGTGCACAGGCATCTGGGCTGAAGGGGGCTTTCTTTTAGCACCTTTTCCTCTATTGTTATCTTTTGCTGACATTGTGCTGAAAATAAACAGAAAATTTAGACCCGAAATATGATATCTAGACTAACAATTTGTCTTCTTTTCATTTTCTTATAAAGCGGAATTTCCAAGGTATTGTTTCAGGTTTAAGAAATATGACAACAGATGTTCAAAATAATTATTTGGCTATCGAGTATTCAGAGGTTGGTAGCACACCAGAAAGTTCTTATTACCACTTAATGTAAATTTATCTTTCTTGAAAAACCTAGCAAGAGCAAAACTGAATGATGCTATATTTAAGAAAGTACGAAAAATAAAATTACCTTGCTCAAAATATCATTTGTGATATAGCTTGGTAGTTTATCAAGTTAAGATTGGTTCTCCCTCCAACATTTTGAAAAAAACTTCTGTTACATCGACTGGGTTTCCATGGTGAATAAAACGCCATCGAATACGCGTCAGCAATTCGAAGCGAAAGCGCGGGAAAAATTTGACGAATCCAAATAATAATATAATACAACATCCCCTGCGGCAATTATAATAGGAAAGTTTATACTCTAGCTATAAATGAACTTACTTTTCAAGTAAAAATTATTATTTACAGAACTGAGATATTTCCACATCCCTCAAGCACTGGTTGGCAATATTCACATAAATTTTAGGGATATCAAATTTTTATGCTCATAGCTCTGAACTTTGCATATTTTATAGCTGTGAACGACAGACCAAATAAGTTTATAATGAGAAAAAATTGATGGCAAAAATCTCGAAAATATCTAGAGCGGCTTTCCGTCTCTTAGAGACATGCTAGTCCAGTGTCGAGAAAACGTCTCAGCTTTCCTCCAACCATAATTTTAGCTCTCTTTGCCTTCCTCAAATTTTCCTTGCTTCTTTTGTATTTAAAGCATTTATTATTCACTCTTTACGCTTTATTAGCTTTATCAAGAATTTGCCTGACTTTATCTTCGTATCATACGTCATCTCAATGCCGTGTAGACCTAATCTGCTGCTGTTATCTATCTGTGAAGCAAACTTTCTGCGTTCTCAGCTAACTTTTAGGAGACGGCTAATCACACTTGCCTTTGAGACCCGTTTTCAAACTTATCCGTTTTTCAAGTGGGTTAGTGGGAACGCGACGCAGAAACGGATAACTTTTAACCCGGATATGTTTTAACCCAGGCTAGTGGAAAGGCTGCCTAAGTGACGGCAGCCCCTAGATATTATTTGTTGTAAACATCCTCAATGAGCATTACCTCCTGCACAGCCCTCAGTTTACAGCTCAGTGCCAGAATCTCCTTGGTCAAGTCTCGGATGTCGGATATGATGTTGCTAGCATGAACTCGCAGGATTCTTTTCAATGATTCTATAATGGAACCCAAATGCAAGCACCATTGCAAACAGAATCATCCTAAAAGCAACTATTTCTTTCATTAAACTACTGGACGTCTTAAATAAACTTTCTAGAAAAACAGCAGCCTAACCCATCTTTTTAATGTTTTTTTGTTTTGTTCTTTGTTTTTTTTCTTTGTCTTGATTTAGCGTGTATTTTACCTTTTCTTTTATTGTTAATTTACTGTTGTTATTTCTTAGAACATTGTAAGTGGCATTTGCATTAACCTTGTTGCTGTTTTTTAAACTTTTGATTGAGCCTTGGAAGACTTCTGATGAACAGTGAATGCATCCGAATTATTTATCCAATAAATATTCAAGCTGTTACGTAATGGTAACTCATAACGAGAACAACAAGGAATTAGAATGATAAAGATATAATCTAAAGTCAATTCCCAAGGGAAATGCTGCAAATGCACTGTCTATGAAAAACCCAACTGTATGGGCCGAAAAGAAATCTTTGAGGACACAGAAGATACGTTTAGAAAGAGACACGACTTAAGCAACAATACTGGCAGCAGTATTACCTAATGGCATAATTTCATCTACATATTATTTAAAAACTAAAAACATAGTTTTAGAACGAAAATTATTTGAATTATCCATTTACAAGGGAAAAGACTTGAATATGTACAACAAACAGCAAAATAAAACCTAAGCTCAAAATTGCAAATAAACTTGTCAATAACTAAGGCTTTTCTAAATAAACAAACTGAATAAAAGGTTTAGTCAGGTGGTTGTTATCATAGGAAAATCTTCAAGATAGCAAAAAAGGGTAGGTAAGGTTTGTGGAGATACAGGTGAAAATCTGGTAGTAAAGAGATAAGACAGAACAGAAACATCTATGACCATTTCCAATTTGCTGGATGCTGTTGCATTTAAACCAGTTGCCCTGACATAATAACTAGTTTCCCTTACACTAGAACTTAAATGAATTATACTAATAGCATACAAAACTTTCTAAAACGATTTTAAAATTGGCATAATTTTAGCCAAAAAAGGGCAGGGTTATCTTAAATGCTGAAAATAAAGTTCATTAATTGTGACTGCAGGAAAACCTTTATCATAGAACTTCACACTCTTAAGATACAATCCTATCCCCTGTTTTCTACAAAAATATCTTTGGTTATCTATGTCACATTTCTCTTTTTAAAAACTAAACATTGTCTACAAAGTTTTGACTTTTTTTCAAAAAAGGGGAGAAAATGCTTTCATGAAATTAAAGGTGATGTTAAAAGTTTTGGTTACTGGGAAATATGAAGATGGCACGAAATAGCAGAAACATAACATACTACAATACTAAAAGGTGGTGATATAGAATTTCATGGCTTAAGTCTTAAATCAAAATATAGCTATGACAAATCATATACAAGGATAAGAGCAAACAGAAAGATAGCTAACATACAGAGACAAACTGTTAAAACCAGTTTGAGTAGAATATTGGAAGAGGAAGTTTTCTTTTCTTTGCTTGATTGTTTGAAAGCAGATTTAGCTGGACTGTTTTTCAGGGATAGTATTTGTTGTTCCTTAATTCTTTTATTCTCTTGGTCTGGTTCTTTTTTCTTGCTCTCTTCATCTTTATATAACTGACGTGCTATCAGTTAAAAAACTTGTGTTAAAATACTAAATATTTTTGGTTTGCCATATAAAAAACAGGTTGATCAATTCAATTAAAAACTTAAATGTTAAAGTAAATGTTAAAGTATTTTCTAGTGTAACATTGACATTAGTTAAAGCTTCACATTCCAAAGATTACAAAGTATTTTTTACATGACATTACATTACAAACTTTATACTTTATATTTCAAAAACTACCATTGGCACCAATTATAGAAAATACTTGTTGGTTTTCAGAATCATTTGCTCATCAAACATGGAAGAACAAATTTTGCGCACATATAACCTGGCAGATATATAGATAAGTATAGAGCATTACAGAAACCAACCTCTGAATTTGTTGATCTGCTCTAAAATGTAATCATGGCGCTCGGGAGTCATTCTCAGTTTTGTGTAGGAGGGTGGCACGTCTTCCAGCAAGTTTGATGATTTGCTAAGCACTTTTTCTTCTGAGACAGATCCCTTCATTTCAGAGTTTGAAAGCATAGTTCTCCTTGTTTTTAATAACCGAAGGCTCCTTTTTCGTGGAGTACTATGACTGCTGTTTGATAATTTCCATGCAGTCGGAGAGCTTTCTTTAAGGTGAAGAATATTGTATCTTTTCTGTCAGAAAAAAATCAAGCAAAATATTTTCCAGAAATTCTGACAAATATTAACCACAGAACATCTTCTGTGAAATATATGTATCAAGCAATAACTATCATGAAAGAAAGCAAACTTTAGGCAATCCTTACTCTTCTTTCTGCATGAGCATCCCTTTTATCAAAAAATGTCAAGATTGCATCTCTGCATCCTCGAAGGTTTTCTTCTGGCTCCCATGTGTCATCACTTTCATCATAACCCTTCCAACGCACCAAGTATGACAAAGTTCCATTTTTAGCCAATCTACACGATATAATCTTCTCAATCTAAAAAGAATATTATGGTGGTTTTGTTGTTTACAAATAGGAGTGTTTGGGGTTTAATCTCATTAAATATCACCAGTCAGGAAGCAGGCTAGTATCGCAACATTGATTTTCTTATCATTATGCACTTACCAGTTGACAGTAATTTTCATTTACATTTGTATTAGACCAGATGGAAATGGCAGGGAGTACCACTTTGGTTCTTTATCAACTGGGGGCATTGAATTGTGATGGTAAATGGGGATTTGCCACTGTTTTCAGGGTAAAATGGGGGTTAGATCACGAGAAGTTCCTGCTTATCTTTAAGGGTCTAAGCAGTGGAATATATGCAGGATAATTTATCTTTTTTGGTAGAAATGAGCTTTAATTTGTCACATGATGTCTAATTACCCCCATGTTCTTATATGATTATCTTATTGAAAATAGGCTAAGCCAAATCATCTTTTCACATCGGAAATTCATTTTAGCGTGCAATTAACTATCAAAACTAAAAGAAGGTACTGTCGTGGTACTCAAACTAAATAAAGGGACTTTTTATCGTTTTTGTCAATGATAGTATTTATTGGTCTTAAAGAGTATTACTATGCTAATACAAATAGGATAGACGTGGAATCTTACTGCGGAAATCAAGAGCTAGAGCTACAAGTATGAATGATAGGCAGGAACAGCACAAACGGCGAAAAGCAATTCACTACAAATGAGTACATTATAATAAACCAAAATTCAGCAATAAATTATAATTTTGATAGGACTTAATGAAATTTATTGTCTTTTTTGACTCATAAGGTAAAAACCTTGACTTTTACAGTCACCAACTGAAATAACTTGCATTTTTTCTTCAGCATATAGTGGACGGATCTATTGCAGACACTCTTTGTTCTCTAAGTTGCATATACAGGGCCTAAGTCATTCAGGAAAAACATTCTGCGAATTATAAGATGAATGGAACATTTGTGAATTCAATCCATAAAATCTAACCTTAAAATACAAGGCCAGATAACAAAACTTAAACTTTTAACAAATGTTTACCTCGTACTCTTCAGATTCAGAATCACCGTCAGAAACCCGCGCCATTTTTCTCCACAAAAGCAACACAGGGATAAAGAGAGATGTCGCTGACCATCGTCTGTATGGTGTTTACGGGCTCAAGCTATCAAGGCCAGATTGGGCCGACTCAAAAATAGAAAGACAATATCGTTCGAGCTAAAAATAACCCACATAAATACAATATATTTTGCCTTGAGGTTATTGAAAAGAAGAAACAATTTCTTTAATTTTACACAGAATACTTCTATTTAAATGAATACGAATATTAATCTATTAATATAAAGACAGTAGCTTAAATATGAATAAGTTCTGGAACACGCCTGTTAAACTCTCATTCAGAAAGGTACCACAACTTGATTCAATATAATATTTGGAAAAACACTTTTGTATGTACAAGTCCATTTGCAACTTATAATAGAAGTGTTGGCAGGTTGGTTTCACAATGTGGTCTTTTGTCACTTATCACCATTCTAGACAAACCTGTAAAAACAATGATCTAACTAGAACTTCAGCATTTTCCAAAAATTGCAGTTTCTGACATAATGTGACAGAATCATAGCAGAGCAGGTGCTCCTGTTCACTTTGGTTTTTTTGTAAACATTTAAATCTCAGTGAAAAGGGTATAAAAAAGTTTTATATAAGTCAGAGAAAATGAGACTTTTTTAGATCCTCGCGGGGACCTCGGTTATACTGCTCAATGAGAGTGAGCACACCGGGCTGTTAATATGAATATCAACGTAACAGGGCTTTTCAATTATTGGAAGATTCGAAAGCGCGAAATCAAACAATCGTGGATTATTAGTTGGCTAATCTTTGATCCGACATCTGGTGTTGGATGAATATAGAAATCGTAGAAAAAGTTCGAGACATAAGAAACATTTATCAATTTTTCCAGAATAAAGAATTGAACAAAAGAAAACAAGGTCAATGTTGAGTAGATATATAATGTTCTTATCCATACGAATTATGATAAATATATTTCTTTATTTAAAAGCGTTTGATTTATAGAACTGTACTTAAAGAATTGTGACACCACCAAATGACAATAACCAAAGGAGAAACCCTCCAAACCAACTTTTTTGAGACGAAGGAAAAGCCCTTAAATGCGAATCAGGATGATTTTCAAACAATAGTGTGATTTTTCTTGAAATAAGAGCTTCAAACGGTGACAGCCAACGTCCGTGGGGTATCCAACAAAGGAGGGGGGTTCTCAAAAAAATTTAAGCTGAATGCGGCGCTGTTGCCCAAAGTCTTTTGTAATTTGGAATGTTACAGCTTTCTCCTTTCCCAATAATCTCCAAAACAGAAAATATCACGTTTTTAAAAATGTGGCTTTTTCTGTATGAGCTGGAAAATCTTTAAACGAGCAATCATTTGAAGGTGCATCAAAAGTTGAGACAAATAAAGGCTCTAGAAAATATTCCAAGCTTATGACCCTTTAACCCCTATTTAAAGTAACCAGTGTCTGTACTTAAATTGACTTTTTACAAATGGCAAATGCAAGTTTTTGCTTGCAACCTGCAGCAATCAAGTTCCTCTCTGCATCGAGATAGACACACGTGTTCTTTGAAAAACCTTGTGCTTTAATCACAAGAAGCCTTTGAAGGAAACTTCTGTAGGAAGCCGGGATATTCCACTTCAAACGACCTCTCTTGTTGATTCGAATACCTTGAGGGAAAAAGGAGGAAATTTTCATCATTTTTTTACAAACTGATTGGTGCTATGGCAAGAAATTCAGATAAGCGACCAAACTTAATCTTGTTAGTTAAGATGATTGATACAGCTAAGCTCGTTCGTTGGCCACAAACGTAATAATCTTTCTTCTGCAATGTACACATTTGCCTTTGATTACAATGCGGATCTCAACATGAATCGTCTTATTAGCGTTACTTGAAAATGCTCATATGCTGAACATTATCTTCTCTTTCGATATATTAAAATTTTCACTTTTAGATGTGCGTAAACAACTTACCAATCCAAATTGGACTCCTCCCACTTAAGTGTCTGACTGTTTGTTCTTCCGCAGTCGAAACAGGAGTGTACAGCGAGGAATTTCTGCATAAAAGGCGTAATATTTATGCAATACTCGTAACAAAAAGATACATGAACGAAATTCGAACTAGAAACAGCTATAGCTTATAATCAGGCCCCGCACTGTGAATTCCTAAATAAATAATAACTTGCAGATACGATCACAAACCTTTTCTTGCAAAATTTTGTAGCTTTCCTCCAATTAATTTTTCGCTTGATCAAAGTATAACAGGTGGTACCAAAGTTGACCCAACCTTTGAAAATAATCAAACTTAACATCAATTCTGAAGGTTTTAATTATAAAAAATGATTTAGATATTATTGTACATTTGATTAATTTCATAAATCGGTTTCAGAATAACAGTTGTGTTTACAATATTTGTATTTATTTAAATAACAGCTTGCTAAATCAATATTCCTTTAATTGTGTTCCAAAGAGCACATTAACTTGAAGTTTTTTCTCTTAATTAATACTACCAATACAGTATCCTGAAATTCTGGCAAAACGCTTATAAAAACAGAGAGTTTTCTCTGTTCCTGCATCATTGCTAATTTCCCATTACTCTCGAATTTGACGAAACATATTTATCAAGTGATGATGTCTTTATAAACAGTAAAATTGGTTGTGTTGTCTAAATACTGACTGATGAATAAAACAGTACTATACATGGCATAAAAATACGTGAAAATGAGCATACCTTTTCCACAATGTTTAATTCCAGCTTCGGTATGTTTAGTAAGGTCCTAAAGCAAAGCAGATTTCTTCGAGATGAGAGTATAAGTTGATTTTCATTAGAAGGTCAGTATTAGAGAAGACCTCAGTATCCTGCTGTAGCTTCTAGCAATGTGTAAATAGCATCACGGTTTAGAAATATGTTGACATGTTTCTTTTATGAAATCTTAGTTCTTTCTTATTATATACTAACGCCAAAGGCACATGGGAGTGGCAGACGCAAAACGTTTATGGATGGCAAATACGGATCTTGCTTGAATGTAAATACTCGTAAATTTCGTCTGATTAGGGGAAGGGGTTTAGCCCTCCCAGCCACTATGTCTCCTACACCACTACATAGGCATTAATTAACTTTTAAGCGTAAATTTGACCTCTTCCTTAGGACTCCCGGCACGTCTTTGGACAAATGGGTGAAAGGATAACTAAGTGCGAGGATGACTCAGTTGTTCGAGGCGCTGAGTAAAGAATCAGTTGTCAGATAACACACACGTTGGAGATTGCCCCTCAGTCAAACTATACAATGTGACATATCTTGCAAAAATCTCGCTTTCTTTTCGACGTAACAGACAATATCATTACAAGAACCGTTTCCGCCAAAAAGGACATTTTTCTGCTTTCACATAAGAAACTTCCCCTCAAAGGACGAAATCTTTGGCCCCAAGGTTGTCGATTCAGTATACATTCATTAGCTACTAAAATCTTGTCGTCAATTTACTATTTTTCGAATGGTCTCCTTAATGAGGTTCAGTCCAGCCTTTCCATTTGTTGGTTTGATGTAGGTTCGTTAGGTTGTAAGTAGGTAAGTAGATTAGTAATAGTGTTACCACATGTGCAGCCTTGAATCTCATCTTGTGTTTGTTGGGTGCAGTCCTAACAAAACTTAATGCGTGGAACTAAAATGAAACATTATATTTAGTGGTAACCAAAGTTGCTGTTAGTAGCTCAGATAAAAATCTTAGTGGAATATATTTACAAGGGAATGGAAAGAAATAATTGCCAGAGATTTTGATTACATATCCAGATTTCGCTGGAGTGTCGACCAACGTCTACAAAGTGTTGAATTAGAAGTCATTAAGGTTAGAGCTAGAATGTGCAAAGGCTCCAAGAGGAGAACAAAGACAAAATTTTACGAAGAATAATTCATCCGCTTCTTTTTTATTCTCTTTTCGGTTAAGCACTAGAGATAATATCCTATAGATATTTGTAGATGGTAAATTTCGATCTTATAAAAATGTGGAAAAGACCAAAGACGAAGGAAGCATTTGTGGGGGCCCTGCAACAAGGGGGGGGGGGGCTTTTCTACGAGTAACAAACAGGAGCTTTACTTCTGTGTCTAAAACGTTGGAGAAATACGTGATCCCTGTGCTCCTCCTAGTTCCTACATCTATAAAATGCCCATGTATAAAATTTTCATAACTTATTGAAAAGGGTTATTTTTGAACCACTCTTTGAGGATTGCTCTAAAAACAAAGCTGAGATGAGAAAGGCGAAGATATTTCCTTCGATACTTGTAAATCAGACATCTTTGCAAATCAGTTACTTATCAAAAAGTTATCTTTGCAAATATTAGCAAAAACCCTGTATGAAAGAATGATCAAAATTCCTTGTAATCAGAATGATGTTGAAAGCATTTTTTCTTTTTAATTATGATTTTTAATTTGAGCTAATCAAACCAATGTCGCTCACAATCTTACCATATTGCAATGGGATTCAGTCTAAAGAGTCTAAAATGATTATAAAATTATAATATTTAAGACTTCATTGCTATATGTTATTAATCAGGGACTACGCCTTGAACATCGAAGTGACGGGAACATAGAGTAAAAAGTATTTTGTATTCAAATGTTAACAATACATCTTACTGAAAAGTATAGAGCAATTGCCCTGCCCCCTCTCCCTGGTCTCATTTAAGACGATGTTAAAAAGTAGATGGCAATACATACCTGTTTAGGGGTTGTTTTACCAGGTTTCACCGAAGTTGTTGCTTTTACTTTCGTCGAGTCTCCCTCATCCGTCTTCTTCATGGTTAAACAAGCGTCTGAAAATAAATCAAGGTTGACTAACTTCCCATGAAACATATCATTAACCCATCATATCGTTATCGTCATCATCAAAAAACATATCATATCGTTCAAAGAGGTCAAAAAGCTGAGCGAACACTCTAACCTTTCAAAAGAAGTTGCTTTGAACACTATTACCAACAATCAACCAAAATTAATGGTGCATTTCCACTTGAAGAACTTTTGACCTAGAAACATATAACAATATACTTACCTTGTAAATTCGATATCTCAAATTGAACCTTGTTTCTTCCAAGCAGTGTATTAAACTCCTTGTCAATATTAACTTCAACAGTCTCATATTCCAACGCTTCATCCGCTATCTTCCAGCTCTTGGTTCTCTCGCCTGGATAAAACCAAATCCTTGTAGGAGGCAATGACTGGCTTGAGTCTGTTAACGACTTTACATAGAGCTCTACAACTGAGCCTTGACTCAAGTACCCAAGCCTTGTCAGATTCACAAATATTTCAGTCTGGCCATTCCTGCAGTCAACCGTGACGTCATCAGATAAGCTTACTATCGACCAGTTGATGTTAAATTTCACGTCTGTTTGTTTGTGGCAGTCTTTGGCTTCTATATCGAGAAGCAACGAATCAGAGAACTCTTTGTGCGAATAGTCTGTTAGCATATAGACAATCCGTTCTTTATTTATGTCTTCTTGAGTAAAATTTGTAGCCTGATGGCGTGAGTCTTTAAAGATCAATTCGCCATGAACAGGAGGCTCGATGACAGTGTATCTGAGGCTCGGGTCAAGTTTTGATGAACAGTTATAAGACAGTAAGTTTCTGTTTGTAATGACAGCACCTTTGCCGTGTCTTCTCATGCTTTCTAGTGACGTCACACCTTGATTTGTGATTACATGAACATTGCTTATGCTGGGGATTTTGATATTGATTGTAAAAGGAAACGCTTCTTGTTTCGTGCTTAGGCCTAAACCATAGTAATCTTTGACAAAAACTTCAATAAAAGCCTGATCTACGTTGGCCTTATCTTTCAACAATCTATATGCTATACGAAGCTCGTTGACTTCTGTTTGAGTGAAATTGTTTATTTCTTGCCCATCCCTTACGATCACCCCATTTTTGGGCAACTTTCTAATAGTATATACCACTTTCTTAGGGTTAAATGTGTCCAATGCTCTTATTTCAAGGGGGGTTATCATTGTTTGGCCTCTCTCAGTAACATGCAATGTTGAAATTTTTTTCATAGTCTTCACAGTCGCATTAAGGCTTTTTGCTATGAAATGCAGGCGTCCCCTTTGCATACATTTACCGTCAGTTGCAAAGAACTTGAATGAATCATTCTTTGACAGTGGATATTCATACGGTCTGTAAGTGAGACGCTTTTCTACCAAATCTGACAGAGAAATAGCCGTCGCCATTACATCTTTTGAGTTTGAAGTCAAAGCCAGTACTCCATGTAACGGTTGCTTGACGATGTGAAGCACTATCTGGTCATTGCTTGCTTTCTTTCGCTTCCTTTCCACTTTTATATTCGATGACGAGATGAAGATCCTTGGTCCATCAACAGTCACGTTTCTTGTCTTTACTTTAAACTTCTTGCGACAACTCAGACGTATCCTCATAGTGAATGTTTGATTCTTGATCACGTGCACTCCGTCGCTTAGAGAAAACTTGAATGTATCTGTTAGGCCTTGTACTGGCATAATGTGATTGATGTAACTTATGCGCCTAGTGTTTACGTCATCCTGTGTAAATGTGTCGTTCACTGCCAATTTGACTGGGTTTCCTTGTACGTTGAGCCTAAAACTCCCATACTTTGGCAACTTCGTTATCCGATACGATAGGAACTGGTCCCGGGTGTCTAAGTCTTGGGCTATCAAATAGCTACTCGTTATGTTCTTTATTCCCCCAAAACGAACAGTCATGACAATGTTATTCAAAATTTTTGGCCATTGATCGTTTACCGGGATCACCTCAATATCCACTCTCGATTGTGAAGTCATTTTCCCGTCAGTAGCTTCTATATAGAATGCATCAGCAAGATTCTCGGAGTCGTCGTGAATATAGATCAAAGCACACTTTTTGTAATCCAAAATTTGTAAATGATTTAATTTCTGCAACCTTGGAGAACCGGCACCATTACATTTGTAAAAAATCTGGCCATGTTCGGGTTGCTTTATCACGTAGTATTTCAAAATGTCCTTTGGTATGTCTTTGTCTTTGATTGACACATACCTCTTGTCTATAAGCTTCCATCCACCTTCTTGAACCTTGGCAATTTTTATCTGCTTTACAATGGGTTTCTCGTCATTTACAGGTTTTATATCCACATGCAGTTCGATTAGAGTAGAGTTAAATCGCCCATCAAATGCAACCAACTGTATCATATCTGATTTGGGCTCAAAACCTGTATGATTACTTTGAACGTAAAAAATGCTTTGTTTTCTTAAATCTGAACACTTGAATTCTGATATCCTCTTTCCTGCATTGCTTTTTTCTGACCCTTCTGAAGGCGAAGTATTTTCAAGGAACCCAATCTTCGGGAAAGAAATAACTCTGACGCTAATCTCATCTTTGACTGTGTCTTTATCTCCACACATAATGATTTTATCGTCGATAAACGACGATTTGCCTTCTTCAACTATTATTTTTCCTTTTGGATAGAGTATAGGGGGAATAGAGTTGACGGGTACGATTTCTACCTTGATAATTATGAAAGAGTAACAGTCCTTTAATGCTCGTATATCATCACAAACCATGATCGTGAAATTATCATGCTGTAAATAGGGACCGATTTCTTCCTTATTATGAATGTAGATTAAGAGATCGTTGCTTAATTGTGTTTGGGAGAAATTCATTACTTTTGCCCCAATTACATCCAGATGGCCCTTTGTCGGTTTGCTGATGACGTAGTATTTGAAAATCGAGCTGTCCGAATCCTTATCAACGGCTGCCAGTAACTCGGTGTCGATAACAACAGAAGAATTTTCCATCACCTTAATCGAAGCAAACTCCCTAACAAATTCTGGTCGCTCATCATTTACAGGAGTAATGCTTATGGTGACGTCACCATTTCTGGTGTTTATGCCATCTGATGCCACGATGGAGAAAACATCTTGAAGTGTTTCGCTACCACTGTGATAGTACCACAGGCAATTCTGTTTAAGCTCTACATACCGTATGCTTACATCTTCGCTGATATTCCTGCCTTTGTAAACCATAACGCCATGCTTTGGCTTAGAGCTCAGTGCTATACTAAGAGATTCTATTGTAGTGTCTACGTCGGACAATGCAACTTTTGGCCAATTGATACACACCGCACCACCTTCCAGTACACTGAACGTGTCATTTATAAATATTAACGGTGCTTTATTGTCAATAGGCAGAATAACAATTGTGCAACTTTGCAGTGGTGTTGTATTGTTGTCTCTGTCTGATACCACAAAGCCAATCTGCAAACTTTTAGAGTGTTTCCCAACTTCGCTGTCCCTATTCAAAAGCAAAACTTTGTTATGAAACAGTTGCTGCTGCGTGAAATTTGCGACGGGAACTTTTTTGTATCCAACTAAACTGACTATGTCTTCACTTTTGACGTAGTTCATATCAACCTTTTTTCCTTGTTGTATTTGGATAACGATATCTGAAGATGGGGAATGGTCGTCGACGTAATCTATGAAATTCAATGATATAGATGCCTCAGTCTCATTCATGTGTACGAGGCAGTCTCCTGCGTGTCGTTTGTACGGCGGCATGATATCAGCAGCTAATAATGTAATCCTTGCGATGTATTCTTTAGACAGATTTGGTATGGTTCCACCATCAGATAAAACAAATGCGAATTCATCTTTTGAAGGCTCCTTCAAAACAGATTCGTAATAAATTCTCCCATTCTCAATGTCAGTCTCCTTGAATTCGTCGACTAAAACGAAACTACCACCATCACTTCTCTTTACAATATTACCTTTCCTCGGTTTTGCAGTCAACTTAAACACAATCATTGTTACGTCACTATCCGGGTCGGATGCTTGTAGTACAGCAGACTCTATCTTCGAAAACCGCCCACTCTTTGCTAGTATATCTTTATGTACACTTAGAAAAGGAGGTGAATCATCGATAGGCTCTACAACCACGTTTATGGTTGCGAATGCCAACTGACTTCGATGTGTCACCGAAATGATGATGTTGTCAATGAGATTTTCACTGTTGTCGTGTTTGTAGTTGATTCTCCCAGATGTTAGATCATCAAAAGTAAACCTGTTGACTTTTTTCCAATCTTCAAATATTCCCCCGTGTTTGGGTTCTTCAATGACAGAAAAAACCGCTGCATTACAGTTAGTGCCGGGGCACGCTACTTCAAGAATTTTTTCTGAAAGCACACACGAGTTTCCTTCCAGCACGTGCATTGGCTGGTTCTTAACGACTGACAGATAGTGTGCAACAAATTTCCGAACGAAAAACAACAGACGCAGCGTCCTTTTTGATATTCCTCCGTAGGGGTCTATCGCCTGGACTTTAAATTGTTGTAAGGAGAACATTCTTCTTTTCTTCACGGCGCTGTTTTTTGGTGCAATAAACAAAACCTTACCATTTTCAATCATCTCCTGGGTAATGCCTTCTAAAGGTTCGCTGGGGTTTTCGATAGAACCGAAGTGGCCATCAAAATTCTGTGTTAGCGTAGATACCTTTAAAATAAGGTCGGTTGGGGCTGTTTTGTAATCATATGCACGGACGTGAAAGGTTTGGATTTGGGTCACAGAGTATTGCTTCACAATCAAACGTGATCTTCTGCTGTAAATGGATGGCTGCTCATTTGCTTGAGCTCCTTGAATTCTGACTCTGAGGTGATATCTTGTTTCCTGAAATGCCAATTACTTGTTAAGATCTGGAACTAGAACGAATCAAGTCATAACATGCATTTGCTTTTCTAATGTCTATCGCAACTATGATATAAACCTTAGGCCTCGGTATACACCTCCGGACTTATGATCTCGTTCTTAGTTTTTTGAAAGACAGTTTTGCTCTTGAATGTTAAGATTGATACAAGATTGCAATTTGAAATCTGCAATAAATTCGACTACAAAAAGGTTTGATATAGTTTTTTAATGTTTGCCTTGGCATTAAAATTACATTACCTTATCGCCTTCCGAAGTGTCTCTCCAGCGTATTTTCAACGGAATAAAGTCCTCGTTTGGGATATATGAGCCATCATGAAGATAGGTTGCCTTGAAATCGAGACATTTCCAAGATGTCATGTTGGTAATTGCCGAAACTTTGCCGTTTGCAGGCCATTTTTCACCTGCAAAAATGCTGATTTTGCACGATGTTTGATATTTCTTTGCATTAATTGGAAGAATTTCTGACCCGAAGGACTTCATGCCACCAATCTGATTGACAATTAGCAATGGTTTTGTCAGATTTTCGTTTGGCACTAAATTTTTCACCACAACTTTTACCTTGACTGTCTGCAATGCAAATTGAAACTGATGAGTCAAACTTATCTAACTTTTTAGAAAGAGTTTCAAAACAAAAGGAGTTTATTGAAAAAGAAGTTACTATACATATACAGAAATTGTTTCCAAAAAGAATCTAAGAATTTTTAGGAACTTATCGGCTGCGTTTATAAGGTTTTATATTGAAGGGCCATTTCAATGAGCCATCCATTAGAACCCAACCCCCCCCCCCTCCAATTCTAGGCATCACTGGCTTCATAATGCAAATACACCTTTTAGGGGAGGATATAATGCTGCATGATACATTGATCTTGAAATTCTTTCATGCCCATTTGATAAAAAACCCAAAATAGCTAAGAACATTTCTTTCTTTTCGACAACAAAAAATTGACAACTGCTACTTGTAATCTTAAAACTCCAAAAGGAACAACTTATTACCATTTAAGCAAGAGGTGCTTTCTCACCATTAGCTAAATATAAATATTAGTAAGCTTGATTTTTGCAGTATTGACTCAAGTCAACGATCAGTTTAATATATGCTACAAAAAATTGAATATAATATGACCGACAATGGCTTTGCTGCCAAAAGATAATTATCAAATGCTGGGATGTGATATTAAGTTATTTAAGAACTTGATAAATGAGTAAAACATTCAGAACTTTTTAACATAGAACCTATTGCTACGTTGAACTTGTTTGAACAAATCTTGGTTAGGACGTTGATGGGAATTATCAATGTGGAAAAGCTATCTGAGCAAAACTTAAGACCAGTGTTTCAAAGCTACATTTACAAACAAGAAATAAGTTGTTATCAATACGATCAAATGTTTAAGTCGATGCAGTCATTGAGTGACCGGCACATGAGACAAGAAATAAGAGCGGTGCAAAGCACAGAACATTCTTAAATCCTTTTGACAGCAAGAAAATAGGCGCATTAGGGAATGCTCCAGGCCAGTCCTTTAGAGAACTATATACCTTTGGGAGGAACGTTAGAACCTTCTTCCTAGTATTGGAGATTCAGTCAGAAACTTTTTTTTACAACAAACAGCAAAATGCAATTAGAATTGACAGTTTGCGATGGTTTTATGAAATTTTGATTTTTTCTTAAATCAACAAACATCCTCCCGCAAAGGGAGAATAACTCTACAAATTTAGCGTAGTTTTGGTTCAATGGAAGTAAACAAGGATATTTTTCATCCAAATTCCTAATATACTTTACCCCAAAACTTATCTAGGGAATTACCGCAAAAAAAGTCTCTTTCTCTTTTGATTTATTGTGGTTCAATCACAGTAAAAAAAGTCTTTTTCTCTTTTGATTTATTGTGGTTCAATTACAGTGAATATAATTAAGATTAATTTTATTATTTCACATGGTTTCTTGTGAAGGAACGTTCTGACTAATCCCCTTGTCAAACAAATGAGTATCTGACAACTCAGCTAAAACCCAAAACAACAAATCTTTTGAGTAGAAACATATTCAAAGTAGCATTATTGTTATTCAACCACCTTAATACTGTCAAATGTAAACAATGCACACAACACAAGCTGCGAGGACAGCTAATGCCATCGCAGTGGTAAGTAGTCCTTTTAAGAAGTCAAAAGCATTAGGCAGCTATCGTTCATGATTCAGCCTCGAGTGATTGACTCCAACTCTGCTGAGGTAAAGCGAATAATGCATTTAATTTGGTTAATGCTATTAGCAATAATCACATGTGATTGTGTGACGAATTCTCCATGACCTCAATTGCCATGAGAAGAATTGCGAAGTTCGTGATCAGCATTGACATTCATTCAGAATGTTATAAGCTGCTTTAAGTAAATCCTAAGAACGAGAGAGTGCCGAATCGTCCATTGTGATAGAATGGCAGAAAACAAACTCAAAGCATCCCTCATATCGGCAGTCGAGTTCCCTTAAGAGTTAAGTTGACTTAGCTATCAAATAATAAGTTTGACAGAAATGGAGACTTGCAGGAGTAAGGTTTATTTCAAAAGAGGTCGTTTTACCCATAAATATTTCTACCTTTGCAAGAACATCGACGAGTTTGATCAATCTTAAAACTGCTAGAGACTCCATAAACGATTATCATCCAAAACTTCCTTTTTTAGTCTATATCTTTGTTTAAAAGTGTACAATTTAAATGATTAAATACCACTAAGACAATTATTTTCTAGCACCCAATCCTTAGCCTAACATATTGCTAATTAGATCATACCTTTGAAGGTAGCTTTAAGAAATTCTGCATTGTTTTTTATCAACTTAAAGGTTAGCCTCAATTTCAAAAAGGTATCTTATGTTGATCATTATTTCATGGTATCCATAATCACGGAGGTTGGAGAAATGAGGACCTGTTTGAAAGCTAATAATGTTAAAATAAATAATAAATAAATAAATAATGTCGAAACTAAAAACTTCATCTGATTTAAATCTAATATTACTTCTTTTTATTCTTATTCAACGCCCTACAAGGTAGCAGTCAAAGTTTGAGGGACATGTTCTCAAAACAACAAGATTATAGAATTATGACGTCATAATTTATCAAATAATGATATTGGCTACTATTAAGAAACGGTGGTGCTTAAAATTAATTTTTTGTTTTTGACAAATTTTGAGACTCCTGTTTTTCATAAAAACATCTTCTATGGATAAGAAATAATATACAGAAATAGATGTAGACACAGGTGTATTCCTAAACTGTAGTTCTTAGGAGTTCTTAGATTGTTCAAGTTGTATTTGCATGAACGCCATTTGAAAAGTTATATTGAATTCCAAAAGGTTTGTGACAATATCATGAACTTTTAAAGAAGATCTGATGGCAGTTACGGGGATGGGGAGCCATTGTCCCCCAATTTTTATGCATAAAAATTGAGCTTTTCTAAAAACCTTTTGTTCTTGGTCTTAAAATTGCCCTTGGATCCCCTACTTTCCAACTTGTGTCGGAGTCCCTGAGATTTTGTTGTTTATCATCGCAACAAGAGGAAATAAATAGAGCTCGCTTGTGGTGTACGTAAATACATTAAGTTGATTGATGGCTGTTTACTGAGGTTCTGATCAAACTATCATTGTATCGCGATGTACCATTTGAGCAATAAGAAGAGGAATTGAGAGGGCGCTGTAACAAGGTCTTTGCTTGGGACCATGAATCGCGGTTAATGTTGAACAGTCAAAATGCGATCAATAAGAGCTTTTATGCAGAAAAAAGTCAATTAAAAGATGATTAAAAGCGAGTCACAAGAAATAACGAAATTATATGATTATATTATGAAACCGTATGCAGTTTTGTCGATTAAAAACCATCCGTTACAATTAAAAACCATCCGTTATGCTATCAAGTTTTTTGATGACTTCTCTTCCTAGTCGTGAATTCCCAGTATGTTAATTTTTCGCAAAAAACATCCTTCTATTAGAGATCCAAATAAGACTTTTCGATAAAAAAATTCGTAGAAAAGTCAAAGCTCTCAAAACATGGCCACAAAATATTTGAAAACTGTCTGAAGATGTTGCTAAACATTTCTGAAATCCTTCAGCTCCGTTTCTTTGCACTGATTCGATTAAGGATATAGTCTCTGAATGAGTCAGTCAGACTACATTATCTGTCATTGTATCTTTGCTATCTTGAAGGTCCATTGTGCGATATGCCACCTTGGAACCAGTTGTATATCAATGGGCTGATCGTTATAAACTAGCAAGTAGCTACCATAGACATTCTGTGCCATAGATGTGGATCAGGGTCATATTCAGTTTAACTAGCAAACCAATAACCCAAACATAGCGTCGATTGGACTTACAGGACTTTTATGAAAGCATTATGATGATGAGGGCTACAGCGAGGAGGGCCTCAGTACAATGTTGCAATCTTTCTAAACTTCATTCATTTTCGTATTGTTTAACAGTAAAACTGTAACGTGGTATAGATCTACCTGGTAAATATGACATTGCAATAATACAAATGACAGAAATAATATGGCAATGATAATGGCAACGATGGTGGTCATCATCATCATCATCATCATCATCATCATCATCATCATCATCATCATCATCATTTATCAATGTCATCAGCATCAACATCATCATCATCATCATCATAATCATCATCATCATCATCATCATCATCATCATCATTTATCAATGTCATCAGCATCAACATCATCATCATCATCATCATAATCATTATCATCATCGTCATCGTCATCATCATCAGCATCATCATCATCATCATCATCACCATCATCATTTATCAATGTCATCATCATCATCATCATCATCATCATCATCATCATCATTTATCAATGTCATCATCATCATCATTTAAAAGTTACGTCTACCTTTCTCTATGTTCGGGATAACCTTGACTATAAACAAAACTATTCCTCAATATTTTGCTTGTGACAAAAGAATTACCCTTATGCTGCAATTTGGACCGTCGTGAAATTTTGAGATCTATATCAATATGTATAGTAAAAACAGCAATTTGAATGGGTGGAAAAACAGTTTTACCTTCAATTGGAAGAAATTCATTTCTCAACACATTTTCAATAAAAGTAAAATATTACTAAATATTTAAACATTTGCTGTTGTGACACCATTTTCTAATCGAGAAATTTGCATCTGCATGGATGCCACGTACTTCAAAACCGTTCAAATATAAACGATAGCTCTAAAACTTTGACCAAATTTTTCTTGAACAACTTGTAAACGCTCTAAAATCTTACCAGATGTGTGAAAGAGACACGAAAGTCAAGTTTGATATTGATAGCATGTTAAATATATTGAATATTAAATATGATAAGCATATGGAATTTTCCAGGTTAGCAAAATTATCTGCTTTAAAACATGTTTAAAAACAGCTTTTTAGATGATCAGAAGTGCAATAGATCCTTAATGAGTACCCAGGAATTCTGGTGGTTGATAGCCTAGTGTAGTTTCACTCACCTCTTTTTCTGTTCTGTTTTTATAAAACAAAAGCAGTTTCAGCTTTATGCAATCTTCATCCGATGTTAATGATCCCGAATGCAAATAGTGAACCGACTCAGAACTCAAGTCGCATGAAAATTTGTTTGCAGACAACTTTCCAAAACGAAGGCAGATCGGATCGTAAACGACCTCAATTCTGCAAACAATCGAACCATTGGCAAAAATCTCCAAGTTATTCGTTGTAATAACGGCATTAGACCCTCGTTGCACACCAAGAGTTTTCGCTTGAGCAATTTTGGCATGATTTTTAGTCGTATCAGCGACTACTGAATCTTGCCCGGCAATAATTGCAAAACAAATGATAAATAAATAACAGAGTTGCATGTTTAATAAACTGCCCAGAAACATGAAGCAAATTCACAAAGAGTGCCTCTCACGCTACGCGTTTCTGTCCGATTATACGCTGAAAATAGCGAGTAATGTTGCCAGATCATCATTATCTGCAAACTAGCCCTCCTTCTGCGTTGGTTATGCACAACTGTTCATCTCTTGACACCGCGCAACTTGAACGCCACTGCGAGAAGTCTTTATACAACCGTTTCTTCTTTAATTCGTTTGAATGCCATAACATCCGCCCATTCAAATCGCTGTTTTTACTATACATATTAACGGACAAAGCTATTGTAAACTAACGTGTACATGATATCTTCTGCAAGCCGCATCTACTCACTCGGGCGATTTCATCTCAACCCAACCGCAGGATTCCATGATACCACCTCACAATTCCAAATATATCTCACATATAACGTTGTTAAATTAAGAAAATTGAGTTGTAGTGGACATTTTTTGAAAGGGAGCCTGGTTTTGATATGTATATGTAGGTGGAGATTAAATAAAGTTTTTCTCTCTTCTTTGAAAAGCTTAAAGATCAATCGGACGACTTGCGTCAAAGAATTATTTCCTTTATCGGAGAAACCGTTTTAGTAAGTGGGCGGCTATGGATACTTCATTGAACGTATTTTTTTGGTGGGTGAAAACAACCTGTTTAGCAATTTGCTGCAAAATCAGGCACTTCGTCCATATAAAAGGGGTCGCAATCAGTTCTTTATTGGTATGAAATTAAATCATTTGTTGGAACCGTTAAGCATGTATTTGTAATTTTACAATGTCATACTGAGCTTCTTGTTTTTTATAAGACTCTAACGAGATAAACCAGGTTAAGATTGCCCAAAAATAAGAATAATATAAGAAATAAGGCCGGCTGAGGTTCAACCAAACTCACGATAAAAAATACAGCAAAAATTCCAGAAAGACAAAAGAATAGCAACAGAGGGACAGAAAACGGTAAGCAAAATAGCATTGAAACAACAATTAAACAAACTTTTTATGATAAGATCAGTTCAACACCACCGATATCAGTTTAAAAAAAGAAACAAAATAAGAAACACGTGATGCTGAAATTATGCGAAAAAATTAGGAAACGCCAGGCAAAAACGGGGGTCAAATGTTCTTATAAAATGAGCAAACGTCTATGAATAAATTTGTTGAAACGAAGATGATTTAGAATCTTTATTGAATAGGAACACATGGGTTTGACATGTTTTGTAGCCCTGTTCTCCATGTACGTAAAAAACAGCAAAAAGGTGCAAAAGGGCTATGATTAACCGTGAAGCTGGCATTTTCCTTTACACTTTTCCCTTCTTTATCTTTCGTTACCTCTTGCCTGTTCTCCTTTCCAGCTTTCGTCCTATTCTATCGTCCCTGTTTGCTTGTGTAGAGCGTGCATTCTCTCCATTGATTGACAACAAACACTGTAGTGAATTATACCTAAAGTTACACTTGAATTTACTGAGTTATTGATAGCCTGTTCCTTCAAGGAAACTATACATGAACAATTTTCATTTTGAAAGAGCCAATCAGAGTGAAAGATTCTGCACAAGCATCAGCATGGAAGACATTCACGTGCATAATTATACAAGGAGCAAATAAGTGGAAACAGCCTTAAAACAATTTGCACCGGTTTCAGTTTAGTGGTGTTTTTAGGTATTTTGCAAGCATCGAGATAAGCAACACATTTCAATATCGCATTTATGATACAAACTTAAAAAATTTTTATCCAGTGGTACAAAATTTTTACCCTTTTTGCCAAAGGTCAGCTTCTGCTCACTACCAAGAATACAAATTTGACTGTGTGACAAATAGGGACTGCATACATGGGGGGGGGGGATACTGAGGTCCTTCTATGCATTCAATGCATGCTGGTCTGCTGTAGATGTAATTGCGGGGATTTTAGAATGAGTTTTTCAAATATTGTAGGTCAAACCAAGCAAGTAGATCAGATTGATATGATATGCATCAAAATTTGAGAACTTTCCTTTTGAGAGAGCCTCTTTTTGATTCATAAAACACGAGAGAGTTTATAGTGCAAGGGCTCTATGGCTTAAATCGAGATTACTAGTTCATGACAGCTCAGTGAACAACCTATGGTTATAGCGATTGTGTTATTTATTGGCAGGGTCTTTAGATAAGTTAAATTTGGTTCATTATAACTTGATCGATGATGAATAAGAAACATGACATTGTTGAGAGAATGTACTTCAGGCAGTGCAACACAATTTTTGCGCCTGTTAATAGGTTTTTAAATCTTCCTTGCGTGCACTGCTCTGCACTGGATCAAAATAGATAAAGCGCTTAAAGAGATCACCAATCTTCGGAAGAATCGCAACGGAAACGACGCATTTGTAGTGGACAGCGCATTTGCATTAAACTTGAATAATTCATGGATAAGAAATGCGTTGGCCTAAAACGATTTACATCGAATGGCGCTGTATTAACGTCAGAGCGGTACCAAACAAAGTTTCTCACGGAAAGACAAAGATGGAGACAATTTTAAACCAACTTTCGACTTTTCATTACGCTTTTAAGTTCTGACACAACTTTAATATTGCTCTTTCACGAAAATTCTTGATATTGTGATCGAACGAACGTTTTTTCATTTCAGTTTAAATGCCAGTTTAATCAAATAATTCTGAAGAAATTTTACTTATTTTTTCATCAAAGAAAGAAAATTTGAGAAATTTAAAACAGGTTGTCGAAATTGTCAAGAAGGGGAACAACTTATGTCGACTTGGGGTCTATTAGGCAAAAGTCCCCAAGAAACTCCCAGTGGTTAAGCCTGAACAATCTCACTTTTCGAGCCCCTTAAGGGCCCAGCAGTGCTTTGACTTTCATGAACTTTTAAGCAAGACCAAATAAAGGAATTGCCCCCGAACTTTGCCCTTGTAAGCTGAATAATTAACATACAAAAGTTTTATTATCTTGGAATCTTTTATTTTATCATGGAATCATTTACAGTCTCAGCCTTTTTCTGGTAGATTTAAATGATAATGAGTAAAGTCAGTGTTAATGTGGAGTCAAAGGTTTCCACATATCTCTTGATGGCAAATATAAAAAGTTATCTTTCATTGTTACTTTTGTACAATTTGCTGCTATATATTTGTAAAACTTCTGACACCATTCGTTGTTTGAGCGATTGACCGAGCGAATAAATGACACGTTTTGACACACAAAATCAATTCCTTTTGTTCCATCCAAAGCTAAGACGTACTTTTACACAATATCGAAACTTAGGTACTAAACAGCCTTTCACAAGCACTGTTACGCCATTAAATTATATATATATATATGAAACGAAACCTCGAGTGCTTTCACAAGCCACTCGGGTTGAATGCCATCAGCCCTCTCTTAGCCTTTCCATCCATTACCGTTCTGTGTGTGTGTGTGAGTTAGTGTCTACATGTTTGATAGCAGTGGCCTTTCGCAAGCACCACGCTTCTCTCTCTAACTAACTAACTCTGTTTCTCCGTACTCTACTTTATATAACAGCATTACAATATAGCAAACTAATATCAATAATTGCCGGTGTTATTGTCGGTATCTATCGTGCAATACGTAAATGAACTAGTAGGAGGTGTTAGATATATATTAGGATACGCGGGGGAACTTTGTAGAGCAAAAGGGCATGTAAAATATTACTATACCGGAAAACATGAAAAACTAACACGCGACAAACTAATATATCCTAAACAAATAGAAGCATGAACAAATATAAGCATAAACGCAAGACTGACCTAAAATGAAATAAGTACCTATATTACATACCTCCCTATCAAGGAAAATGAATCGTCCTCGATTCTTAAAGTGAATCTAATGAAAAATAATTAAACGTCCAATGAATATTTTGTGTCCGTAAACTAGAAATCGACAAGTCCTGTGATTGAGATATTTGCAGCTACTGGGTTTGACTATGCATCTCTGGATGGTATGCAGGGTGTTCGAACTGTCGTCTCGTGAACAGTTGTTCGTCGCCTTCCATCTTGAGGTACATGTCCTAAACTGATTCGTGAATCTGGGTTCTGGTCTGTTTCCAGCACCATATAATCCCACTCCTGTCACCATTGTAAAATTTGCTGCTGGTAATACATTTGTAAAAACTTCTGACACCATTCGTTGTTTGAGCGATTGACCGAGCGAATAAACGACACGTTTTGACACACAAAATCAATTCCTTTTGTTCAATCCAAAGCTAAGACGTACTTTTACACAATATCGAAACTTAGGTACTAAACAGCCTTTCACAAGCACTGTTACGCCATTAAATTATATATATATATGAAACGAAACCTCGAGTGCTTTCACAAGCCACTCGGGTTGAATGCCATCAGCCCTCTCTTAGCCTTTCCATCCATTACCGTTCTGTGTGTGTGTGTGTGAGTTAGTGTCTACATGTTTGATAGCAGTGGCCTTTCGCAAGCACCACGCTTCTCTCTCTAACTAACTAACTAACTCTGTTTCTCCGTACTCTACTTTATATAACAGCATTACAATATAGCAAACTAATATCAATAATTGCCGGTGTTATTGTCGGTATCTATCGTGCAATACGTAAATGAACTAGTAGGAGGTGTAAGATATATTAGGATACGCGGGGGAACTTTGTAGAGCAAAAGGGCATGTAAAATATTACTATACCGGAAAACATGAAAAACTAACACGCGACAAACTAATATATCCTAAACAAAGAGAAGCATGAACAAATATAAGCATAAACGCAAGACTGACCTAAAATGAAATAAGTACCTATATTACACTTTATTCATCTTCTGATAAATGGTATTTTGGTTCACATTTAAGCATTCTAAAACAGGTTTTCACAATTGAATCTTTTCAAACTACCTTGCATTTGAAGACAACAAGGTAAGAAAACGATCAAAATATGAAAACCAGCCATCGACTCGTATGAAATGAAAAGGACCAAGACTAGTACATGATAGAACTTGGAGTGCCATCGACCGCCGCCGCTTCCCCCATTTTCCTTGCAATTGAATTGAAATTCGCTGCTATAATTGTTTGACTTAACATGGTTATCATTTTTGAGATTTTTTTCTTGGTATTTTGGAAGAATTATCTGTTTTTTGGCGAACAGGGCTGACTTCGTCTTGTGGCTTTGTCGTGACGTCATCTGCCTTAAGTTCTCCTTCGCAGATCTGTCCTGTTCGTGTTCGTGCTGATGTTGTTCCGCATGCCTGGCATGGCACGATTTGATCGGTATTGGAGAAAATATAAATGGATGTAAGATGACAGATGAGTATTCAACTGCTGAGAGATTGGCATTTGAACACTCAAAGGTAAACTCAGAGTAACTTTGCGAAAGTCCTATTCCTTTTCAGGAACGAAACTTGCGGATTTAGGTCTGGCCTCTCATTAGGCCCATTCGAATTTCGCGCCAATGATGTCTGTTTCAATCATATGTTTTAACCACGATGAAAATGGGTTTTGTATTGACATTAACGTCCTATTTTTCATGGAAATGAATCACTTAATCAATTTGATTAACGATGAACTAAATGATACAGCCTGCATATGTTGGGCCTAGGTTAGTCATGGCTCAAGAACAACGTGTTCAACCGTATATTCTCACTTAAACATGATGTCCAATCCTTTGGGTTAGAATTTGTGGTACTCTTAAGAATTTTATCTCCATGAATCAATTTTACAACATATTCTAAATATTATTATTACATATTTTTATTTAACAGTGACATTTTATTTTGTATTCCATGTAATATTTACCTATTTGATTTTTCACTGGACCTATGGAAACACTCTAGTGAGGAAAACTTTCTTTTGTGAATATTGTTGTCATGATTATTATTGTTGATTGCTGTTTTGTGCTCTGATACTATACTGATTAAAATATGTACTTGTCATGATGTAAATTTATTGTGATGAGTGCCTGTCCATTTCGATGAGGGGTAAACCCACTGAATGGTCTTCCTCATTGGGAAATTACTATGTGTTGTGGTAAAACACTTGCATACCATATTTGATCGGTTTGATCCACACTTGTCTATTTGGCTTTCTTTAAAAAAACCAGGACACTTCGCTTTTATGTCAGGACATCAATGAATGAAAATTTTTAAATTTTTCTTAAATTTGTTTCACCACTAAAGCTTGGTGCAAATTGCAAATTATAGTAAATAAATGATAGAAATGCATTAAAAACGTTAAAAAAAACATCTTTTTGTACCAATTTTAAGATTTTTGTTACTCTTTTAAAAAAGTTCAAATTCATTTATAAATACCTATTGTTACCCTGGTTCTGGAAACAATGCTTGTTGTTGTATTTTGGTTTAGATATTTTATCACAGAAGAGAATTCTAGAAGTGTAAGAAACAATGATCAAATATCTTATATATGCAAACAATGTCTTTATGTCTAAGATGTACTAAGACAATTATTTTGAGGCCAAGCCATTGGGAATCTTGTTGTTCTGTTTAGTCGCATCACAATTTGTCCTTCATTGCCATATTTACTGGTATTCACAAAAATGTCCTGCCCCGAGCCCTTACCTGTTGGGTTCTCTAAATTATTCTGCTTCTATTACAGGCTATCTATGAGCTGAATCTGAAAAGAGAAAAATGGTAATTTTGTATTGAATTCTTAATTACAAAGTTTCAACTAAGAATTCTTTAGTTCTTTACACCAAATCATGTAGAACTCTGATTTTACAGCATAGGCCACTTCATGTCAGACCGATAAAGCAATAATTTTTCCTGCAGTTTCTGAATAATTTTCCTTAATCTATGGCAAAAGAGAGATGTTTTAACACTGAACTCAGTTCCATATTTTTTGTTAATAAATGCATACAGGTCCTAAAATTATCACAGACATTAGCTCTCAAATTAAATTACATTTGACTTTTTTGATACCAGAAGTAAACAAGCATGTTTCTTTCAAGGGTGCAGTTAAAAAAGGAATACACAGAATTGAAAGAGACTGTTACAAGTCTACCAACAAAGTTAACACATGATGTTATGGTAAGTGTTATTTACAACCTCATCTTCTTGAATTTCACTAAATTTTGATCTAGTGTTGTTGTTCATTTCTTAATTTAAATAATTTTGATCATTGCAGCAGAAGCTGGCTAACAAAGTAAGCTAGAAATACCTTTTGCAACTATAATGGTTTTATTATATAGCAACTTTTAACAGAACCAGAATGATTGTTCATCAAGCCATAAACTCATTAAGCCATTGGTTCATTAAGCCGTTGGCAGCATGAGAAAAGCAGATGTCTTGATTATTCTTCCAGGAAGTTTGTTATAGGGTTAATTGACTAGATCAGGACTCATTATGTTTGAGAATCACTACTCAATGCATTATGGCACTCTTAATTTTGTGCCGAAAGAAAGTAGCTTTAAGGGATGCCATAGACTGAGAGAGAAGGAAGAGGTAGAAAAAGATCCATACCATTTGAAGTTTTGTAATAATGATTGAAAAAGTCTCTTTCTCTCCTTTAATTCTAAAGAGTCTCTTGCTCGTTGATGTCTTACAATCTGGAGACAACTATCTAATAGTTCAATAGCCCGAGCCTTATTTACTACCGATACTTATAGTCAGGGGTCTGGAACTCAGGCTAATAGCCTAACAAACTGAAAAATAGCCAGTAGAAAAGAAGTTATTCAAAAGAACGTCGACTGTAGCACATGAAACGTAGGGGTTAACGAACTGGAGTCATGGGAGGTACGTCCTCTTTTTAGTAAAGCGCTCATTGTTTTACTGGTTCCCTCTTAAGAACTTGTAGAGGTGACCCCATTTTTCTAGGAACCAGTTTCCCTCTTTAGCTCTCCCCTGCCTGGCTTTGCAAACTTCAACTTCCCGAGCTGGGAGTTTTGCCCGAGTCTATGCTCGAGAAAAATACAAAGCAATAAGATAAATTTCATCATTGACTCCAGACGGACCTGTCGATGAAGAAATTCACTGCATCTCTTTTATTTTTGCAACAAATAAATGATTTTTGTTCTACTTCTGTCAACTGTGACCTTATTCCTTCTGGGATAGCATCTTGAAAGCCTCTGCTGTGATCTCCATGCCCCCCCCCCATTACAGAGATAATTATTTGACTTGCTCAAGCTGTACATTGGTAAAAGATTTTAATCCCAAGGCTGTGATAACTTCAGTAGTCCATTGGGTAATTGCTTACATGCAAATTTTGGATCTTCATTTTGTACAGAGGATTGAAACCCTACCAGCACCATGTTTTCAGACAGCACTAGAGAACTTAGCGTTTCATTTTTAGGTAATTACTTTCTAATTGCATGGTTTTAGTTTTTTCTGGGGATTTACCGAAATTTTAATTCTAGGTTTCCAACAGGGGCAGACACTTAGTCAAATATTGGGGAGGGAGGGGAGCAAGCCTATTGTTTGGATTAGATGATGTCACATTTCCCTATTGGTTTAGAACAAAAGACCATTTCCCATCAAAATATTTGGTGGGGGGGGGGGGGGGCTGACTGCCACTGGTTTCCAATTACAGCATTTTTACACAAATAATTGTCAATTTGAAGTATTCCACAGCACATTTTTTCTCACCCTTTCCATGTCAATACAAACAGAGTGTTTACATCTCATCTACAGGCAGGTTGATCTACTTCTCTATTTAGGCAATCTTTCATTGGCAAAATATATCACTTACATTGCCTTCCTTTTTGCAGCACATTTCTCCTTTTTACTCCTACTGTTGTGCCACGTCTTTCAAAGTCTTCCTTTCACTGAAATAACTGCATCCTCCTGAGCACTCCATGTCCAAACCTCTTCCACAAATTTTTCTGTGGAATTCATCTTTCAGAAATAGCCACAGGTATTAGTTATACCAGTCTTTTTAACCAAATATAACTTGCAATCACGCCCAGTTTGATTCCTTTCCAGAAGCTTTTCAGATAGTCTTCTGAATTTCCTTTTAGCTTCCACATGCGAACTTGATACTTAGAAGAAAGAGTTCTAGAGCTTTACAGAATGTGCTTAAGCAACTGACAATGAATGTGTGCTTGGTTGTATATTTTCCCCTGCAAATCGTTGTTGATAATCTTTAATACTTGCACATATTTAGTCTAGGGAACCATCGCGTTTAGTTCTAACCAGGAAAGATGGTTTTTTATAGATTCTGTAAGTTTTTGTAGATACAAAAATTGCAATAAAAGACAAGAAAATGAGAAAGTTTTTTTCCATAGTTGTTATGATTACAATTGCATCATGACTAAGATACCAAAGTAACTATTTCTGCGAATTCTGTTTAAGAACAATAACCAATCATGCAGCAAAATCTGTGCCATTTATGGCTTTAACTTAAGCTTGTTAGCACTCTCTTGATTGAAGAGGATCAATATGGCTCAAGAACCACTAAGAAATGGCTTTTATGCTAATAATTGGTTAAGATGAAAAAGCAGTGCCAAATACATAATGCCAGACAGCAAAACCTTCCGAGCGAGTTAATGCCCTTACCATTCTAGCAGGATGTTTAAATTTATGACTTAAAGTGGATCCGCATTATGATTTTGTTGCGTAAAAGGATTACTGACGATAGTATACGGTCGTAATTTCCACGACTTGCAAGGTAGACAGAGCATAGCAAGTTAAATTGCAAAGGCATTATGGTGATGAACCATTTTTGACAGTCTTTCGAATCATTTTTTCCAAGGCTTTTGGATTTTAAAACTGGCTCAATTTTCTTACTCGCGTTTCATTGTTTTAATCGATATAGGAGGTTTTCGTAATGCTGACAAAAAGATTAAAACTGTTATGTTTATAACAAAACAAGCAAGTGTTTGTATAAGGAAGCAAATTGAGGGTGGGTGGGTTTTGAAAAAGCGAACAAAATTATATAAAAAGTTTCACCAAGCAAAGTGCGACCAACGCTATGTCATGGCCTAATATCGACTTAGAGCGAAGCAATTAAAGGACGAACGCTGATTAAATCAACTCAGAATAATTTCATTTAATCATCATTTTGCATCCTTCAAAGTTAATATACTTAGTGTTTGACCACCCCATGTTAGCATGGCCCCATAAACCTGCCTATGGTGCCCGATACCAATAAAAGTAAAAATATTTGCACACAATATGCCACAAGACACAATAGTTTATGTTTGACACGCAAGAATTCAGCTAGTGTTTAAAAGAATCCAAGAACTTGTGAAAAGGCCTATCTAAAATGCTGCTCCTCTGTTGAATGTTTTTTTTAATCTTTGACGTGTTATGAGAAGTTAAAAAGCTGCATAAGCTACCGTGCTAGCAATTTTTCTTAGACCAAATATAATTCAGGATAGATGTCTTTTGGCTCCACGAGTTTACTCCTTGAACCATATTTCCTCAGCTTTTCTCTTTTGAAGCGTAAAGTTTTTCTTCTGTCACTCTACTTTTTAAAAGTGAAGTTGTTGAGAACTTTGCCTTTTAGGTCCCAATTGGTTCCGTTGGCATGTTCCAGGGTAAACTGGTTCATACAAATGAGATCATGGTTCTTCTTGGTGAAAACTGGTTCGCGCAATGTACGACACACCAAGCTACAGAGATCATAGAGCGGCGGATCAAAAGTAAGTTGTAACCGTTTGTACAAGACCGTAACAAATATTGTACAGATACGAATAATCTAAAAAAAGAGCAAAGATGTCGCCACAATTTTACCGGCAAGAGGATTAGCTTCCTTGAAAATGGCGCTAGTAAGGCCCGTAGTTAGAATAATCTTCGGCAAATATTTAGTTTTTTCCGGCAGTATGGGGGGTGGAGGAAGGGGGGAGTGAAGCAGTCCATACCTCTTCTGGTGGCACCAGTGTTGAGAACTAGTACATAAATGGAAAACCGGGTACTCCACCAATTTTTGTAGCGGGATCTTTATCGAAACAGTAAGACGAGGAGAAAAGAACTTCGTTTATGTTTTCTGCTTCATCATCGAAATCAAAAGTCCTATAACGAACTACGTGCTGAAATATAAATCCTTAAGTTAAGTGCGTCATAAGTAACATGATAACGAGGTTAATACTGAAAAAGAGAATATTCCTATTACAGAAGAAGGGGGGGGAGGGGGAGTGAAGCAGTCCACACCTCTTCTGGCGGCACCAGTGTTGAGAACGAAAACTTTGATCCAACAAAGATTTCCTTGAAGAAATCATCCAACAAATGTGTTTTTTTACCGAGAGCGGGTTTTGTACCGGGAATTGAAGCTGAAAGTTACCGGACAAAACTTTTCCAGATTAAGCTGAAGGGGGAATTTCTAATTTTAAACGTCTATGTTTGCTTTTTCCATTTTCAATAAAGTGGTTTTCTTTGCATGCTTGCAAAAATTAAATTTTATGAAACTAGGAAAAGCGTATCGAAATAATAAGCTGGATTTGTTTAATAAGTAGAGGCTTAACGGCTGTGATAGTAAAACGAATGTCAATTTTCGAAAGACGCGTGGCGAAACTTTTTAATATCTTGAATGAAAGAAGCCCTTGTTTTTTAAGATTCCTTTTGACTTCTAGGTCCAGAAACATGAATTAAAATGCTTATTAAGTTCATTTTTTGACTGAATGTCGCGGTGCTATAATGGTTTTTGAATCTGGGTTGGTATCTACATTCAAAATTTGCGGTTTCTTTATCTGTTGCAGGCGACTCAAAAATACCCTAATCCAATTATGTCTACGAATTCCCAGTCAGTTAAGTTCAGTTAAGTTATTGAAGTCAAGTTGTTGAATCCTCTCAAGGTAGCAGGCATATTTTCTGAACGACAAACATTTCTAACATCGCTGATTTTATTTGATACAGTACAGACCAATAATCTTTTCAAAATGGTAGTGTAATTTTCCCACGAAAACCAAACGAGAAATATTCTTGTAAATTGAAAGAACAAAATTAAAACCAAACTGTTCAAAAGTTCGATTTGGTGCATACAGCAGAACTGTTTTAAATTGCAATCCCGAGATTCACACTTGATGCGATCAACTGGCAACATCATGAAATCACCTTCACGATCCCAATAACCGTGAACCACCCACGCAGGGTTCGCGCCACAGGGGGGGGGTGGCCATGCCCCCACTTTTCTTGCGAACTACAGATATTAAATCCCCCTTTTAGGTATAAAATTGGTCACCCCCTTTTTGGCCCCCCTCTTTAGAATTGGTGGCGCGAGCCCTGACACCCCGTTGCAATTTAGAACCACCCTGTTCTACGTCCAAAGCGTGTACACCTTTGACTATTTGAGCACTATATGACAGGCCGGTAAAATCACAATTTTTACTTTGCTTCTGAAATTCTATTATTATCATAAAATTTAATTCTGTACCACATGATAGACGCCTGTGTGATAGAAGTCTTCAGTGAAGTTTATATTGATTTCGGTTCGTTTTTACGAGGCTGTGGATTCAGAAAAGAAATGTTTTCCGTCGTTTTGAGGTCTCCGCTATAATAAAAAGTTCGTTTCTTGAGGTTCAACTGTAAAATCAAGCACCAAATGCGTTATTTATACTAGAGCAATCAACACCACATCAGTTGTTAAATAAAGAGGATAATTTTGCAACCTTCGTGGTTTTTGATTAACTGTTTGTTTTTCTATTGTCAAAAATGCCTGAAAGTAATTTGCACTGAAGTTGTTGCCATGGCATTTTGCCTGCTGCCGGTCCAGGTTTCTCCTTGATGGTTCTTCAAGGAAGAACCTTTACATGAAATCAGAATACTTTTCGATTTTTCTATAATTTTTCACCCGGTGTAAAGTTTCTTCGATATATTCAAACGAACAAGCGACATGAGTCAAGCATACCTAACAAAGAATGTATGTTTTCCTCATGGCCATCTTGCAAAGCCTAGCATAACCTACACAGTCCATTTAATGTCATGTAAGCATAACTTGTGCTTATTCACTGCAAGATCATTTTTTAACGTTGATAATTTTTGTATTTCAACAGAAATTTCCTTATGCTATTAGGGTTTACCAAAGCGTATTTTTTATTTCCGTGAGTTGACAGTCTGGATAAAGTAAATATAAATTACTTCCGTGTCTGCAGAATCAAATTCAAATTCAGATTCGGGTTCGCGAGTAGGTTGAAGATTTGAAGAACCGCCCAGTCGTCTTAAATATAACTGAAAACAGAATCTAATTCCTATTACAGATATCACTACTTTAGTAGCTACTATTTACAACCTGATCAGTTGAATATCTTTTCCCGTTTTTCTGGAAAACGGGGTTTATACTGACCCTTAGCTGCTCTGCGTGGAAAACTGAAAACCTGCCCCAGAGTTCAGTAATTCCTTTTGCAAAGTAACACACTTTCCAGATCATACCTAGGGAATTGAACATAAGATATAAGCATTTCTTTCATATTAAGATGTTCCTGTGGGATAAGGGGAATACTCATGACACTCACGCTGGACCCCTCAAGAGGGTATTTTTCTTAAATATAGGATTTGTTTATAACTTCTTTACTGACTGGTTTAAAAGAAAAAATCTAGTTTCTTTCAGCAAGCGTTGGTTTGTTGGAAAAACAGTTATTTTTTGATAGGAATTAAGAAAAGAAAGCATTTTTGGTAGCATGTCAGATCATTTTTGGAAGTTATTGATTGGAATCCCAGTAAACAGCCCTTAAAATCTTTCAGGTTCAATAGTGGAAAAGCTTTGAATAGCCTACCATCGATTGGGTTTTGATGAAGAAATTTTTAAGTCATGGTCATTGTGAAATTCATTCATTGTTTCCATTGTAAAATTCAAAATTTCATTTTGATGTACAGTGGGAGTCGCAAAAGTATGGAAACGGCAGGGCAAAATGGCGGCTCACGTTGACCACGGGCCTAAGCCGACCAATTTCCAAATCAGAATTATGAGGCGAAGGGGCTTGGAAACGATAGGTTATGGCGGGAAAATGCTTTCCCCATTCCTTCGACTTTCGGTTTAGATAAAATTTAATGATTGGTTTGCAGTTTTGAGGGGAAAAGTCCGGCAAAAATTTGAAGCATTGCTTCAAAACAATTTTGTGAAAGATTCTCTGAGTATTCATGAAAGATGACCACAAGTGTCACCTTATTGAAGAAAGATGAACGAAAAATGTTAAAATTTGAAGCAAACTGCTTAAAGCTTCTTTTGCATGAAAAATTACAACTGAAAAAGCTATGTTAGCAGTGCACTTTAATTTTAAAGTTTCAATAATGACACAAAGTGAGTTGCTCTACATTTGATGTTAGTGACTTGTTTATCTTCAACTCTGATTTGCTCATTATCTAAGGAAATGACAATCAAAAAAGTTAAAGCGAAACGTTCAACATTTAGTGTGCTTTTGACATTAGTGAAAAGAATCATGTACACCCAAAACGTCTATGTTATTTAGCAAGCAAACTATTTTAATCACTAAACGCCATTTTTAGAAATTGTTCACCTGACATCACTTTTGATAACCTAAAGCCTGACATCTTAGCCAAAATGATCTTCTTGATAATATATTTAAAGCCAGAACAAAAGTGCACGTATTTAGTTTCATGTGTAATTAAATCATCTTGTACTTTTCAAGTATTGTCTGTACTTTGAGGCATTTGTTCTATGAATCCTTCGAAAATATTTTCCAGAAATTTTCTGAAGCATCGGTCCAACGTTTTCCTGATTTTTCACCCACAAAACAGTAGGTAATCTTTCAAATTTATTTTCATTCAAAGGCCCTTGGAAATAGGCAAAAGATTTCGTGGCGAAAGCGTTCGTTACAAAATCCCCTTAGCGTTGAACTTCTGTTTTAAAAACCTGTCAGCTTACGCTTTTTCCTTCTGTGAGCCGCCATTTTTTAAGCACCATTTCCATATTTTTATCACCCTAGTGTATGCAAAATCCTAACGCTTTTTCAATTTAGTTTTTCTGACTCGTCCATCGCTATTTTTTTGCGAAAACTACCTGCATCTACTTTATTATTTATTATTTTTTTTGTTATTTATTTCACATCAGTCATTACTTTGTCTTTTTTATCTTCACTTTCAATATATTTCTTTAGGTTCCATTGCAGTGACAGCTGGTTTTAAAAATAAAATCTTTTAAACTCTCTGTCGATTTTGATGCACGGTTTAAGATTCAAAGCTATGTGCGAAAATACGAAAAACAGAAGCCTATGCGCAAACAGATTGCAGCTGTTCGTCTCAATTGCTTTTAATTGGGCTAGCAATAAAATTTATGATGATCGGCCACCTCAGAATTATTCTCCTTTATGCGCACGAAACTCGAGCTTTAGTTGACAAATATCGTAATTAAGACAACTGCCAATCGCTAAAGGTTTAGTTTGCAAGTTCACTGTCTTGTGTGAAAGGTTTAGTTCAGCTTATGCAGTTTTTCTCTAATCCAGCAATCGTAAGTTTATCTAATCGTTTTTTTCGAAATTATGTTGTAAAATTTAAATCTCATACTAAACCTCATTTTTAGTAAACTCAGTTGTGAGTTTTGGAATCGATGGCAACATTGATTGTAAAATGTTGCGTATTATTGTTAAATCTGCAAATTTGTACAGCATTTTTTTCGTCATATCATTTGCTTAAAGTTGGTCCTTTTCTTTCAGTGGTAGAGAGTAACCTGGAGGAGATAATAAAGGAAATCGGTTTCCTAGAATCGCGAAAAAAAGTTGCAAAAGACCTTTCAACCATGGACAAGGTAAAAAGTTCATTACCTTTTTTTATTCATCGCTCTCGAAAAGCTGTTGAAACGTTTGGCAAATTTTTATCTGAGATAAAAAATGGGCGCTTTCCACTAATTATTGTTTTTTTTGCAAAGTTTATTAAGCTTAAACGTTTTGTTACCGGAATGAGAAACAAGTACTTCTTGATACTTCATTTGCAAAAAACACTTTGCAATTGCAATCATCCATGACGATCATATTCTAAGGCCACGTGTTCTAAACCCCGTGTATAAAGTATCATAACGCTACATCACTCAGTGTCAATAGCTATGAGACGGCTTAGACATAAACACATTGATATCAATCAATATATCGTTTTATAATTTTATTATCAGTTTAGCTGCCTACAAGGTGCTTGATTAGGTTCGTTAGTCCTGAGTCCACCTGTTAGCTACTAGGCTTCAAAGGAGATCACATGACAGTTTCTCCTGAAAATGTTGTTGGGACATCGATGTTAAGCGTACTGGAAAGCTTTGTTTTGCCCAGAGCAGTTTCGTGTTTGCTCGTTATTCTATAAATTATTCATAAATGAAAGGTGCACTGATACATTGAATAGGCTGAAATTTGTTTGAGACTTAAAATAAATTTTTTAAGTGCTAGTGTCATAAAGATATCCCTAATTAATAAGTGAATTTCTTAATTTGGACCAAATTACTTAAATGATTTATGAAATACAGCTAGACGTGTGAAATTAGTTAAATATGTGACAAATTCGTCGAGCTATGAATACTTGACCATATGCTCTTTTCCCTTCAAATCACTGTTGCTTTTTCTTACTTCTAAACTTAATGAACTAAATCAAAACAACATCATGTCGGTAGAAAACCTTTCATTTGGCATCATCTCATCTGACTTTTAAAATTTTTAACTGATTTTGCGCTTTTAAAAACGTATTTTCTGGTGATCTGTCAAGCCACTTAGCAAAGCAAAAAATTATATATATTGAAGTATTCTTTGTGACGTCACCCTTAAGAACTCTGCTAAGTACACATGAAAACTCTCGAATTGTTTCTATGGTTTTCGTCTGTTTGGTTAACATCTTAAAACCTTTGTCCGTACCTTACCTTACCTTGTCTTACCTTACCTTGCCTTACCTTACCCTGCCTTGCCTTATCTTACCTTGCCTTACATCACCTTACCTTACCTTGCGTTACCTTACCTTACCTTACATTACCTTACCTTACCTTACCTTACGTTACCTTAACTGACCTTACCTTACGTTACCTTAACTGACCTTACCTTACGTTACCTTACCTTACCTTACGTTACCTTAACTGACCTTACCTTACCTTACCTTAACTGACCTTACCTTGCCTTGCCTTACCTTACCTTACCTTGCCTTTGTCCGTTATTTTAATTTTCTTTCCTTTTACAAGAGTTTCTTAAAAAGAAGACAGTTTTTTAGCCTTATAGTTAAGTTGAATTGCATTTTTACTCTTCGATTTCCGTTGATGGTAAGCTGTTTCCACTGAACATTTTTTAAATATTTCTAAACATTTCAAAGGAACAAGATATAGTGGAGATAAAAGAAGAAAGCAAGGAAGAAGCATCGAAGCCTGCTGGTATGTTCATTAACAGCGGTATTAATCTGTATCTATGGGTAACTCGCTTGTATACGGTAATTTCCTTGGTAATTACTTACAAGAAAGGGTATGAAACCTGCAAAAATTTGTGTGATGAAGGAAAAAAGTGCCAATCTATAGGATGGATTCTCTAGAGAATACGTGTGTGGACATCTTGCAAAACGGCATAGCATTGTTAAAATTTAACGATTGCTAATAATTCGTAATATTGAATCTCTATAAAATGTTTTTTTCGGAGCTAAAAGGTCTGTTACCACTATTCTTTGCTAATTATTGATATAAATATTTCAAGATATCTGTTTACCGGCCTTCCGCAGAATATCTGATACCAAGTTAGCTGACCCATACATGTTTAACTTGTAGCACACTTCCTAGAACCATCTTGTTCTATATATTTTTTCATTTTTTCATTTTATTTTCTTTATACACAAAAATCCCTTCAGCTTACAACTAAATACCAAATAAGAAAATAAATACCCTAGTTACATTAATATAATTTATCTACAGTTAAAGCTAAATTATGTACAGTAATCTGTCTTATAGCAGCTGCTCTTTCAGGGAGTCGTGTTTTATGTTGTGTTGAGCTCGTATTATAACTTTTCAATTGCTTTTTGAATTGACTAAGTGTAGAGAGCTCTCTGATATTGATGGGAATATCGTTCCAGGCTTTCAGAGCCAAATAGTGAAAGCCTTTCTTGACGTATTCAAGGTTATTTCTTGGGATTTGTAGGCCCCTGCAATTCCTTGTTCTGTAGTTGGAGTGCTGGGTCCTATGATGATATTTATCCTAAAGGCTTTCGGGACATTGTCTGCTGATTATTTTGTATGTCATAACTGATCAATCGAACTTCGTTGTTAGTTGCTCAACGGTCAGCCAGTTTTGAGACCAGTTTTCTTTTAGTCTGGCCTTATCAATAATCGAGCGTGCTCTGTCCCTCGGACGTTGGAGTGTATGCAATTTTGATTTAGGAAGACTTCCGCAAATAACATTAGCGTATCTCAGATGGCTTTCGATAAGTGCACGGTACACATGGTCAAGCTGGGGTTGTGAAATAAGATTTTTCAGTTTTTTTAGCGACTTCAGACCGCCGTTAATCTTTCCTTTCACTTTGCTGAATTGGTCATCCCAGTTTAGCCCTTCGTCCACCATAACCCCCAATGATTTGGTCTTCGCAACTCGCTTTATTTCTGAATCATTAAGGTGCAGTGGTTTTGAGATTTCAACTTTATTTGTCCTCCGTGGATGGCCAATAATCATGTATTCAGCTTTGTCGAGTTCGCGCTTAGTTTGTTTATCCGCATCCATTCCGAGATGTTTCTTATTTCTTTGGGGGCATTTGTAAGTAGATCCTCAATGTTACTAGATGTTAATGTAACATGTGTGTCATCTGCATACATACTAGCCTTGGAAAATTCTAAGCACTTTTCAAAGTCATTTAGGTAGATGATAAACAGGAGTGGTCCCAAGCATGATCCTTGAGGTATACCACATGTTACCAATCTAGCCCCCGACTGTTGTACATTAACTGAGCAGAATTGTTTTCTATTACTCAAGAAGGATGTGAACCATGCTCCCGAGATTCCCCTCATACCGAGTGCATTTAACTTTTTTATCAGTATTGCATGATCTATGGTATCAAATGCCTTTTTCAAATCCAGAAATATAGCCAAGTTGAGCTGAGTTTTTTTTTGTCGATGTTGTCATACCAATAGTCAGTGCCATTTATCAGGGATGTTATAGTAGAATACAGTTTTCGAAAAGCAGATTAATTTGGGGTCAATACTTTGTTCGCTATGAGATATTTAACAAGCTGATCGTGAACTATTTTTTCCAACATCCGAGAGAAAACTGAGATGACAGAAATAGTTCTATAATTGCTTCCATCCCTTTTTAAACCTGATTTAAAAATCGGTGTGACTTTTGCTAATTTCCAGATATCTGGGAAAGCAGCATACTTTAATGACGAGTTGAAAATCATGGTTAGTGGTTTCCAAATGAAGTCTGCGGCATCTTTAATTAGCGTAGAGGAGATCTTGTCCGGGCCCGGTGCCTTACCATTTTTTAATTGTTTGATGGCATTTAGCACATATGTTTCATCGATATGTACAAATATCATTTTGTTTTGCTGAACATTGATATGCTTGAGAGAATCGTCATCAGGCCTAGACTCTAACTTGATAGCAAGTTTCGGTCCTATGGTGGTAAAGTGATGATTAAGCGCTTTAGCTTTATCTTTTTCTTTTGTAATTGTTTTCCCCTCTACATCTAAGCTCGAAATTTATGTTGAAGCGGTTGCTTTGTCTAGCACCCTACTGATAACTTGCCACATTCTTTTGGGATCTCCCTTATTTTCTTCGATTAAATCAAGATAATGTGATTGTATTGAACGTACACATACACGATATAACATACACGATATTTTTCTAGATTTTGCTATTCTATCGGGCAATAGATGCAACAATTTTCAGATAGTATGTTTTCTTTAGATCGTGTTATGTCTTGAAACGTTCATCTTTGCGATCTAACAATTGGAGAATACTCATTCCATTTTCCAGAGAAACGACGTATTGCTCACAACGCTTCCCACAATGTCATACAAAGAAATGTTAAAGATTTAGATAAAGCATCTGCAGACCAAATTAAACCCGAGAATGCTGCTAGCAAGAAAGATGATGCTGTAGAAAAGCTGTTTGCTCGTCTCAGTGAACTCGAGCTTGAAGAAACTGCTAACGAATTACAAGAGAACAGCATGAAAATCGAGAGCCTAAATTTAGGCCATGAAACACGTGTACGCTTTGAAGAGGATAGTGTGGAGGGCACATCAAATGGTCACAAAAGCATGCAATCAAGTAGGGGGAAAGAAAACAATTGTATAAGGTTCAGGCATACAAGTGATGAGGAGAGAAATTCGGTGGGTTCTGTGCCCGAAAGCAAGGTATTTAGTGTAAATTTCTTCTTTTTGGATACACCAAGCTCCTGTTAAAGCCAGGTTTTTGTTGTGCTTATAAAATTAGCAGTTACAAAGTATATATAAAGTGTTCTTGCAAAGGGTGCATTTATCGATGCCAAACATGGTTTTTTAAGTAATGGCTTAGGGCACAGCAGAGAACCATGGCTATTGAACAAATTTTAATTTATGTAAACTTATGCAATTACTGTCTTGATTAGTTTTAGCTAGAAGAGATGCAGTTTTTGAGAAAATGCGAGATTTTAGTTATCTCCTGGCAATCAATTTTCACATGGAACAGTTATGAGTTGAACGTTATTGAAGGCGATCAATCTTTTCCAATGTTCATTTTTCCAATCTGTAAGTATTTTGATTCTAGAACCAAGATAATGATCCTGGTGAGGGTAATGGCGTGCCTCAGAAATTCGTATCGCCAGCTGATATATACAATCATTTTGCAAAGCCACTGGTCGCTGATATGGAGGAGAAGCCGCTGAAATCGATACTGAAGAAGGAACGGAAATATTCTTCAGAGGGGGTGATGCCGAAGCCGATTTTAAAACACTCCCCTGAACACAAATCTGATGGGTCAAGCGGAGATGAACTTGCTACCAGTGCAGCTGTCGAAGATCCAAAACCAATTCTTAAAGGTGGATCAGATGTACGTATCTTAATTCCATGAGAAGAGCTGTCAAATATCAACTTTCCATTGAAGCGTGCTGCACAAGAAAATTTTATTATACTGTACCATAGTCAATAGAAAAACCCCTTTATATTGACCATGACTGTACCAAAAATGACAAACAACCGAAAACACATTCCATTCTAAGTCTTTTCCATTTGTCTCCAAATCAACCATATTTGATTTGCTTAGTTTACAGTCGCCTCGTTGGAACAAAAAATAGGTCCAAATCTCCCGATAGCTTGAAAATTTAAGTAGATATTGACCCTTTCACTAAGCCTGTCCCCATACAGAAAGAGCTTTGTATGATGAGAATTAATGGCTGTCAGTTTATGCCTCGATTTAATTGATACAGATTGTTAGTCTGCAATTAACAAAGATTTTACTTAGCCAATTAAACATGTTTTGTTATTAGAATGAAACATAACTGATCTTTTCTCTGGTCTTTTTCAATTATGTTGTGTGGGAATATTTTGAGTTAAAAAATTTATGCACATTTTTAACATATACTTCATTTGATATTCATTCCTGTTTGGTGCAAGAAATTATGAATGACTCCAAGATTCCTTTACGAAATTTTAGAGACAGCTCCACGTAGCGAGATAACCAGTATTAATTTCAGATGACAAGGTATGCTTTTCACAGTATTAACTTTATCTTCTCCTTAACACTCCTTTGATGATACTTTGATGAATTGTTCTACTTCTCCTTAGGCCTTTTCTGATACAGTCGTGGAACGGAACACCAGTGTTATATCTGAAATGCCTGAAACTGCGGTAAGTTAATATCCTTTCCTATGTTGTTTACACAAATTTCATAAGTAATTTTAGTATTTAATTTATACCAACTAATTTATATTGCAGCTTGATTGATAAGGTTGATGCTGTTTTGGACTCGAAAAGGGTTGATTTCATTTCTTTGACATCAATTCGTCATGGAGAATCGTGTGTTCGTTTTTTGTGGCTTCCACCATTGCTTACTTATTCGATACTTTCACCGTCTTGCAACATGTACAATTGCATTAACGTCTTTCATTGTTGGTATTTTGAGACTGTATTTGTGGAAAGTATACCTTCCTGGCATGTCTGGGTTTTTCCTGGGTGAATTCTCTTTTCAATATACCACGAACGCTCCCTTATTTCTAACGATCTTCTAAGGTAACAAAATATAGCCAAAAGATATTTGTTAAAGTATTTTTTTTTGTAGAGAAATACCTCAATTTTTAAGACATTTTTCAGCCAGTGAAAAACTTCCTGTTGATAGAAAAATTCTCGCTGCTATTTGAATGCTAAATTATTTAAAACAACGATCTAAAGATCTGGTGTCTTCTTTAGAAATAGCAATTGTTTGATGCTTTTGGATTCTTTTAATAGAATGTAAAAGGTCGCCTAACTTGTCTTGGCTATCCAATTGTGTATTTAAATGTCATTTCTTTATGAACAAGGGCAAGAGTTCTTCCAATTTTTGGTGAAATTATCAATCTCTTTCTTGTGTTATATGATGTTGAAGTTATCTTGCGGTCCAGTTTGCAGAGAGACATAACTCTTTTTAGAAAGTAAGTTATTAGCCACCCCCGTTAGGAAATAATACCCCCCCCCCTCCGTTAGGAAAAAATCCGGAAGGGTCTTCATCAGTATGTCTTTATTTTGCCGTGTTTTTGTTTAAATCTTTTTTAAATTAAGTTTTTGCACCATCTACTGAATATTTACTTGTCAATGCAATTATTTGGCACCAACTTAAATTTCACCATACCCAAACGTATCATCTTATTGCAGCCGGCACCCAAAAAGCAGTTGTCACGATTTAAGGCATCCAGAATGCGAAAGTAAGATTTGTTTACTCGTGTGATGGGTACTAGAAGAGTTTGCTCACTGGTGAAGGTGAATTTTGTCCATGCTTGCTGCTGAAAAGTTCCTAACAAGATTTGACAAACAGTCCATCAATCTTATGACATTTTGGAGATTCCTTTAATTACAACTAGAGAATTCAGTTTGAATTTCCTAGATTGTGCTTGCGGATAATGTTTCAAAACATAAAATATGACGAGGAAGCTGATAATTTTCAGGTTGCCAACACAAACTTTAACATTTCATTACCAAGTTGTTATCTAAAGTAGATATGTTGTAATCTTGGTTTTATTTTAAAGATATGCCTAAGTGGTAAATCTATGCAGACATTTGGGACTTGAATTTTTTTTGTTTTTTATGCCATTTCTGACATCTTTACGGCTTTCTATAAGATACAAGATTTCAATTAAATGGTATTTTATATCCCTCAAAGACAAAGCAAGTCACTATTGCATTTATAAAGAAACAAAGTATCTGAAATGACCTCTGATAGAGATACAAAGATAGAGAACTATAAAGAAACATCTGTTCTGTTTTTTTCTTACAAAAAATATTTCCAAGATGCCCTCCTCCGCCGACAACTTAGTAAATAACAAAAATTGTATTTAGAAGGAAATGCAAATTAATGACAAGCCAGAATTTTATTGTTAGAATCTTTCAATCGTCTTTAAATGGTTTCATTTATCTATATCGAAAATTTGGTAATTTAGAGACAAAATTTACATTCGCACAGTACAAGACGCAAAGTGAATTTTCAATTACTATCTCCAACCCAATGGTTTGTGCCATCATAGACCACCATTTGAATACCATAAAACGTTTTGGATACCATAACCATTTGAATACCATAAATAGTGTACTTTCAGAGTCCCATTGATGTGTTTAGTTTGTTGATAAATCGATTATTTGTAAAAATATACATTTATGCCTTTCACAGGGTCGTCGGAAGCAGGGGGCTGGGGCTGGGGTTGTTATCTAAAGTAGATATGTTGTAATCTTGGTTTTATTTGAAAGACATGCCAAAGTGGTAAATCTATGCAGACATTTGGGATTTAAATTTGTTTGTCAATGGAATGGGCAGCCCCCTTCCCCAATATGAATTCGTTCCGACAGCACTGTTTCATCTATTTTGTTGAAGTGTCATTATCGCTGCTTGTATTTTAATACACGACGTATTTAATGCAGAATATTCTCTTATAATGAATTTTAATGTATTCAAGTAGCTATCATTATTTTGTTTATTTTGGTGAATATGAAAAAACAATGATGAAATAATGAGAATTCGTAACGTATTGAAAATGCGAATTAGCATTCAAGTATAATATATTTTTAATTGAAACATCACTTGTTATCGTTAGTAAGAACATAAACTTGATCTTTCTTTATTGTCTTTCTTTAATCATATTGGCAAGCATGTGGCTGATGCATGAATTATAATACGGAGCCATAGCTTTACACTAAAAGCCATTTGAAAGCTCAAAGTCAACAGGATTAGACCCAGCTCTTATCCTTGAGGAATTTCTGATATTTTACCCTACTGCTAAAGAAGATGTAGCTGAATTATAGCCATGGATTCAAAGTCAGATTAATCGAGTTTAGCTAAAGTGCTTACACAACATTAACCATTGTTCATTTCTGAATTACCTTGTCTCTGACGCCTTGGGCTGGTCGATCAAAACCAGCTCCTAAGAAAATGGGATAAGATCTGTGGGCCCTTTGTAGCTGTCCTCGAGCTTGGACCATGAAAAGTGTTTTTTCAAATTGAAACTTTTGCTTAAACTGCTGGTGAAAGTTAAAAGCTTTTTGAATTTTGACTGAACGCCCACGTAACCTTATGATTATGAGTGCGCAGTGAACATTTTGTTGCAGTAACCCATAGCATGCCGGTAACCTCTCCTTGAAAAACCTCGCATTCAAGGTTTTTGCATTCTGAGCCAAAATGGTGGACAGAGAAGGGCCCTGTCTAGATTTTACAGCTCAAATTCTGATAACTGTTGCAACATGAGACACTCTCGTGGTGAGCATGGAATTTAGGAGCGTAATACAGTGCACAATGAAAAATCCCTTGAAATGCAAAGTTCTGTAAAATGGAGGTGCGGTAGACAACAATCGTGCAAAGTCCAGACTGGAATCTTTGAAAGATGAGCAGGGGAATCTGTATCATGTCCATGAAAATTGTGCATTTGCAAAAAACACAGATAAAGATTCTGTGCGGCTGGGACTAATTACCATAAAAACAAAGTATGTAAATTTTGGGTATACATTTCAGAGAAAAACATTTGTAACATCACTAGTGGTGATGGTATTGAAAGTGGCCCAAAAGAGGGGATTGGTCTTCCCAAAATTTTATCTGAGTTCCCTATGAAACCCAGACTGGAAACTTTGTTTCTTGTGAGGACAAGTTTACTTTGAACATTTGCGATGGCATGCCTAAAATCATATATACTTGGCTATTTAAAGAGTTAATATTGGTAAATGTTATTTTCTATGGATTTTGCGTGGCCAATATGCATAAGTGAGCAGATGCCAGTATTGATTCTATGGCAGCCACACTTGCAAGAAATTTTTGTGAAATTAGTTTTGGCCTGGTTTTTGCTGTGGTTCAATTAGAAAAGTTTTTCATAAATGGCAAGACAACTTTCTTAATTTGATCGCAACTTGGATTGAAAAAGTGTGTCATTCTAAATTGAGATCAGGGCTGCCAAAAAGTTTCCAACCCTGTTTACACTGTCCTGTTTAAAAATGGAACCACATCGGTACCAAATTTGTTCACTTTCATAGTGGGGTCAAAGCTGTGCAGAGCCAAATCGTCTCTGTTCCACAACAGTTTTGTCACAGTTCCAAACTTAGAAGGAACAGTGTAAACAGAATCTCTGTAGGCCTTGGACAAAACCCAGATCTCGTCAAAAAATGCCATGAAATCCAGACCGATGCAGATGTGTGTGCAGGCAATTTATTGCAACAAAGTTTTCAGTCTGTTACGAAACATCAAAATGGCCATACAATTCAGAATGTAGTTGATAGAAGACCGTAAATTTGCCTTAAGTACCTTTCAACTTCCCAGGGTCTGAGAATTTTATTCTTGTTTTAAGGAACATTGACAAGAAATTGTCAGCAAAAATTGACATTAATAAATTGGATGATTTTTCAACTAAGGAAATATGGGTCATTTACCAAGAGCTGGTTTAAAAACAGGCAATTGTGCATCTAATTCCTTGAAAATATGTTACCATCACGAGTTGAAGTTTGGAGCAGCATCTGAAAAGAGATTCAAGAGCTGTTGTAACTTAGAATTGGTATTGGAATTGGCCAAAAAGCTAGCTGCAACAGGCATTCTCTGTGTACCTGGTATGCTGGTATGGTATGTCAGAGTGGTTGCTGGGAGGATGAAAAAAAAGATATTTGAAAAGGCCAAACCCATTAATTTTTCAGGGAACACCTTTGCACTAGAGCTAAATAGCAAAGCAATATATCCTTGTTTCATGCATTGTATGTTTCTGTCTCTGTTAACCAAGCTGATAGAAAGCACATGGATTTAAAACACTTGTTTGTGCCAATGTTTTGGTTACCAATGTTTATACAAAAATGTTTGACAATGTTTCATGGATGTTTTATTCATTTGGCCGGGCCTTTAAGGATTTAAACATGGTAAGTTTGCTCAAGGTATTCAGAATGAAAAATAATTACCCTTGCTGCTCTGTGCCTGCCTGTTTAAGAGGCATCAACACAATAGAACCAGGAGACATTTGAGAAAATGTGATAGTTCAGAAGCATACTTGTATAACTTGATATTGCATTGCAAACAGACATAGAACAACAGATTCTGGATTTCAACGTAGATAAACATGCACCTCAGCAGACCCTCCTTAATGCGGAGAAGGGCAGTCAATGGCCCACCTTTTACAAATTTATAGTTAACCCTCTGCCTTCAATTTTCATTGGTTTTTTAACTTCAAAATTCAGGATACTGAAAATTGTTGATGTTAATTCACAAATAAATAATTCACAAGAATCTAAAAGTTTCTCAGCTTTTCGTGTTTTTCGAAGAAGTAGGAGCTTTGTCTTTTTTGTAGATTCTTGAAAAGCACACCCACATATCAACTACTTTTAAACTACTTACCTTGAAAATAATACAAAGAGACATAAGTGCAAAATGTAAAATACAAAGAAACACCTGTTGATCTTCAATTACAGTGACATTTGGTTGCTTTGATAAAACTGGTGAACATACTTTTCCCTTACCTATTTTTACACTACCTCCCAGATGGAGCAAAAATATATCACAAAATAAAGATAAAATACAATGTCAAAGACTCAACCAAGGCAAGTTTCACTTTGGTCTGCATCATTAATGTTTAAAGAGAAAATCTTAATTTTAAAATCAAACAAGACTAGCATTTTCAAAATCTCCTTTTCACTTTTTTGACTTAAAAGGTTTATTAGCGTTTATGTGAAATCCATAATAGAAAGGGTTTTCAGAAAATTGTGTTTTTGGAAAATCTTTCTGAGTATCAAGTTTTCAATTTCATGCTTATCTGGTCTTTGGCTACAAAACATGGATCATTAAGAATAAGCTTGGAGCAAGGGTAAATTTTATAATTATGAAGAACAGTAGAAAAACTTGTATTTAATTTTGATTTTGTTCAGTTGCAGAAAGTACTTGATTTCAAATTTCTGTTTTTGTTTCTAAGACCCTCTTGCCTTTGATATTTTCTTTCTAAGTTTTATGGTTTTCCTAACTTGGCTAATTGATTTTGACAACAATAGCAACAGGTGATTTTATTTGTCTTTCCTTCGTTAATTTTTGTCTTTAAAAGTGTTGTTCATTCAAAAGTGTTGTTTTAATAATTAAACTTATCATTACTTTTCTGTGTTTCATAGGCTCTTCAGATGAATCAGTGGTGCAAATAGAAGATGGATGGTTGTGTCTCACAAACTCCAACTTTGCGACTGACCATTTCTGAAGAAAATCTTGGTGATGAGGACTTGTACGCATCAATGCTAAATATCAAGTGAAAGAGTGAAGGTCTATTCCCGAAGAAAAACAGGCATTTCAGATGTAAGCCAAGAAATTAACATTGAAGTAAATGGATAATCAGTTACTTTGCGTAAGTGTTTCTTCGAGTTGATTTACTATTTTTTTTAAATTTTACAACACTAATGAAGAGGACAGTCAAAACGTTTTGATCATCTGTTTGATATGTTGGAAAATTTTAAAGTCAAGAGCTTTATAGTTATTTATTTATTCATGTATTTTTTTTAATTCCTTGTGACGTTTGTACTGTCCATTGTCTCACAGTTTTTTCTCATGTATTTGGGGATGCATGCTATTCAACTATATTGATAAATAAGGTATGTTGGTAATATCTTTGCAGAAAAATGTGACTGTAAAAGACTTCCTTTATATGAAATTAGTTAAAGCCTTAACGGGTTTTCCAAAAAGTCAGAAGGCAAAAGGTTACTCAATTAGAATAATAGGACCACTCACCTCTGAATATAAGAAGAAACTAGCTTTATCAAATAGTGTCAAGGACAATGCAAATCAAGGAAGAATCTTTCAGTATGACAAGGAATGATTTGATTTGCGAGATGTTATACAACTTTTGAAAAATAAATTGACAATGCTTCAAAAAGAGTGGATGTGAAAATTCTTTATCTACTGTGATTTACTCTACACCCATTGTCTGCTGGAATAGTTCCAGGTCAATTTTTTAGTAAACTTTCATTTCCTTTGATTTTTATAAGTATAGACAACTTCACTTGATGTAACTTTTTCCCCATCAATGTTGCAAAGCAGAAATTTTAAGCTGGATGGCCTATCCTGTCGTTTTACCTAATGAAGCATGTAGCTCTCTAGAACCCAACTGCAGTGCGATTATTTACTGCAATTTTATTAATAGGTGTCTTTAATAGCTAGATTGGAAAGCAGCACTTTGGTTGAATTTGGGGGTAGGACGTGGCTTAATATAGCAGGTGGGGAAGCCCTGAAAGAACCACTTTCTCTTGTACAGGCTCCATAGTTGTGCCAAGCAATTCAAATGCAGCGAACCCGAAATCTAGATAAGCTGCTTTAGCAACCGCAAGATGGAGTGGAAATAAAACCTTGGCTGTACAAGGAATTTACTTCTTATACTGGTTAGTTATGATGGCCTTTTTCTATGAAATCTTGACACGTGCATTTTGCCTCCTGAGTGCTATTCCTCTTCAATGGTATTCATAAATTAAAGTTTACTCACAATTCTGGTGACCGGCTACTATCTTTGTACAAGAAATTAATGTGCAATAGTTATGTTTATATCTTGAAATCTGCACAAAGATTTCATGGCAACTTGGTCGCATAAAAAAAGTGTATTCAACGCCTATGCTGCTTTTGCTACGAGTTTCCAAGCATTATTTCATAAAAAGCAATTGTTATTTAGGAACTTGAATACAGCGTAGTGGAAAGATTCTTTGCTTTAGTGTCTAGACAACTATTAGCTTAAAATAAAATGTCAGCAAGATAACCACTAAAGCGTTGAAATATTTTGCTCCGATGATAATAAGTTTGACGTTCACGCCATCAAAATTAAGTGTTATCTTTCTGAAGTTTTATGTGAGATGATCCAGTTGACGCAAGCCACGTTTTCCTATCAATTACATTTTGTTTTTACAAGACACAAAGATATGGACATTTTAGTCTATTTTCTTGCCCGGTTTCGCCAATAATTGCATTCACATACAGGTTGATTCAGGGGCTTTAGATTTTTCCCAAAATGACCATTTAGTTTCCAAGAGAATAATTTTCATCATAGCTAGCAATGACACTACAAATCAATCAATAGCGACATTATACAAAGGCAAATTGCGGTAAGAAAATATGTTTAACTATTATTCCAAGTAGGGGCAATATATTTGTTAAATTAGTTTTTGTATAGTTAAAGATATTTTCCTACCACAAGTCATTCCTTGTTGATCTGTGATGTTCCTTCTTCCATTCGATCGTTATTTTTTATCCATGATTCAGCGAATCATGCGTAAGGCCTATCAACTGATTTCTTTTTCTACAGCAAATCTTTTGGCTGTAAGCATTTTGTATATCCAGTATAAATAAAAAATTTTTATTAAGTGTTTTGCGTCATGAAATTTTTGCGCTGCAGTAGGAAATTCCTGTCTTTATACGGAGCGAATCGAATCCACCGACAGTGAGAAGCAGGTCTAATTTAGGGAATTTGATATCCTACTAACCGCGCTTTTTCGCGCCGATATCCGCCTAACCGCGCTTTTTCGCGCCGATATCCGCCTAACCGCGCTTTTTCGCTCCGATATCCGTCTAAATGTTTTTAGCTCCCGTATTTCTTGACCTTGATATTTTCTGGCGATACCCGTAATCGCAGCGATGCTATTGATCGTTAATCGCTCTGAGATTTAGGCCAATCCCGCGTTATCAGATAAACATAATGGATCCACTGATCGGGCCAGAGGTTAAAGAGCCCTCCAAGAATCGCAGAGTCTTTTGTTTTCAGTCTCTGACGTCATAGCCTAGAATATTTTTGTTGGTTTGAAGTCGTTATCAATGACCCAGGATTCAATAGTGATCCTTCCAAACAATCGAAATTTCTGCTGTGAACCCTTCTTCATTTTAAAAACTTTTTTAGGTATTTCCTACTAACCCCAAACTTCAGAACCGTTTCGTATTTTGATACCTTGGGTTCTAGATCATTTCGTTGCATTTACGCGATTGCTAAGCAAAGAATCGAGTAACAGAAGGGAATTAGACATTGCAGCTGAATATCGACAAAAAGGCCTATTTCACTAACACCCTAAGGTATGTGTTCTAGGAGTGAGCTCCTAGTAACGCAGCTTACTGGACACGTGTCTTCTTACCCTTCCCCCTATTTACCTTGTATTAGGATTGTATGTTATTTGAGCTTTCATAAAAGCCTGTGTATTTTCAAAACGTTATTTGTTGCTAGGTCTTGGAATGAAACGCAAAGAATCAATTTGATATTGCTACAAGGGGCGACTGAGTGTGAGAAACTAACGTTTGCTATCTAGTTCTTGCTTCTTCGGCTTCTCACTCGTTAGATGAGTTATCTTTGTTTTTCTGGCTGGTAAAGATTGATTGCACTGTACACCAGTACTGTCTTCACCGCTATCGCAGTAATAACCCTATTTGCCTGATTTTGTTTCACCGAAGCACCATCAGAAATGTCGATTTTGAAATTCATCTAGATTTCTGTCTACACCTCGTTTTTGTTGCCAGTCAGAGCCCAGATGTGTAATCTTTCTTTTTCACAGTTCTGTCTGATTCTCAGCTGAACATCTTTATCAATATCCATCGACTGATGAGCCGTGGAAAAGACAAGTCCTTCAAATGTAGCCGTGTCAATTCACAATCGCTTTTTCACCAAAGATTGAAGTATCTTACCATTGAAGATCCAAGTAGTTTCCTAACAAAGACCCAAATAAGAGGTAATGTTCCATATTGCTTAATTACCTCAAATTATTGATTTTTTCTTTTAATTTCCGTCCATTTTCATATAAAGTAACATTATGTACCTCTCATTTGAACTGTTGTGAGCACTTTGTGATCTTTGGCGACTTTGAAGAATTTCCCATGATTCCATGTTGTCATCATGGTTTCCTAACATATTTGCAAACGACGTGGCTTAAGAAATAATTGAGGGAGCATTGGTTGTGTTCCTTTGCTATTTTATCGTTCAAACCTTGAAATTGTGATTATATGCGTGTGACATGTTGGATTAAAACAGACTAAACTCAAGCTACTACATGAAAAATTTCTTTGTTCCACACAAAAATGCTGGTTTTAGTTCAACTCGCTGTAGGAGAACATTTGATATTTAAGCAGTACCCTTAGTGGCGCCGAGATACAGTACAGTAGCCCCCTCGCACCCTCGTCATCTTAGTGGGCCTAACGATAATAACCTTTGCAATAGTTGAAAAGTTTATTTTTGGGCTGTAAACCAGGGCGAAGAGTTTCTATCGCAACAGGGTGAACCAATTCCTTTAGGAATATTTATTTTTAGACCAGGAATGATGAAGTTCTCTTTTTGCTTGAAGTGTACCAAAGTCAGAGAAAATAATGATTTTGATAATGATCTAGAGTGCACAAACTGATATGTTGGAACAGATCACTATGTGCAGTGTTGAAGCCTTTGAAGTTCACAACATCAAACGGGCCAGCTCACGTCTATGGTCTGTTGCACGTGAGAAGTGAGCTGCTATTACATGGAAGTATGCCAGGCCGGCAAGTGAGCTGGCTCGCTTTGGTGTAAGCGGGCTGGCTCGCCAAACGGGCTGACTCGTTTCCATGTAATCGCATCAAGCCGAGCCACCCTGGCAAACGGGCTGAAAAACACACTGGAGCATGCACAGTTTCTTTTCATCGATGTGTCACAAGAATCAAAATGGCCGACAAAGTCAGTAAATCTGCTGCTGCTGCTGCTGCTACAAAACCTAACGAAAAAGCCTCGGAAGATGAGTCTGTGTCAACAGCAGCAAAGTTTAAATGGAATAATGAAATGGTTAGAGAATTGCTCGAAAGCTTGAAGGAGTTTAAAGCGACGATGGAATTCAAAAATTTCGATTTTAACGCCGACAAACCAGGCAATACGAAGATATGAGGAGAATTTTGAGCAGAAATTTGTTTTGTTTTACTTCCACCACGATGATGCCGCTTCATTTTACTTCTACATTTCCCGCCTTTTCGCATGCAATGCGCAGAACTGTAATGCGCAGGCAAATACAGCCGAGCTGGCCCGCTTGCTGAGACAGCTCTTTTTACATATAATACCAACGTAAATTCCGTCTCGGTAAACGAGCCAGCCCGCTTACCGGGCCAGCCCACTTCCATATAATCAGGTCCTTAGAAGTACAAAAACTTTACATGAGATCATTTGTTATGTCACTGGGAGCTCTTCTTGCTATTTATCTGTGGCATCCAATCAAGAAATGGGTGTCTAATCGTCGAAAAGACTCATTTCTACCCTATCTTCAAAGAGGATTTCTGAGCAGTTGAAGTGATCAGTACTATGGCCTCTCAACTTTTTGGTTATCCTAACGCTGTTTTTCTCATAGAGAATTTCCTATAAAAAATGATTGTATGTAATAACGAGAGTATTTGCCATCTGAATAGAATTTAATAGAAGCTATTTTTTTTTAAATTTTGAGTTTGTATATTGGAAAATCGACGCAGCCTCTAAATTCATACAATGATCGCCATTTAGTCGATAGGCGCGAGAGACAGGACCATACACGAGGGCTGCAAAGATATGGGGCTAAGGCCCAGTCCACAATTGTTTCCATTACGTCAAACGCATTATTATTTGTATAGCATCCGAAGGTTATGTATAGCATTAGAACACTGAGAAGCTTATGCTTATCGAGCAGTGTCCTGGTCCTTCCTCTCGATGTGACCACACCTCGTGATTTCTACGCCTGGAATTACAGAGAGCTGGCGACTCTCCTCACTCTGGGTGAAAGTTTGGTCATGCCAGGGACTCGAACCGCGGACCTTTGAGTCGGTACAGAAATTATTTAGGATTAATCATAAAGGGCAGTTGCAGATACTTTATTTCAAACTGCAGTTGCTCATTGCATTTCGAATTATTTTATGCTGAATAATCATCATTTGCTCTTCCATTTTGACACCCCGTGTTGCTACTAAAAGATTCATTACTCAAAAATTTATTTGAAGGTGAAAGAAAGTTTTTTATTATTTGGGAACACTGCTCGCAGAATTAAAATTTCTAAATCATAAAATCAGTTATGAATCTTTTTTTAATAGGTTGAATCATTCTGTTTTGTGCAGAAGCTAAAATTACAGAAAGTGTCCTCCAAGCTTAACCTTAAAACTGACACTGTGATCGACTTTAAAACGATTGAATCACACAGTGACTTTTCGTCTATCACCGGTGTCTATTGACGCGATAAAAAGCACTTGAATTTCCTGGTAGGTGATGAGAAAATGTTCCATAGTTAAGATAATAACAAAATAAAACACTTTGTATTTGGCTGATGTTTGAGATCTTTTTCAAATAAGGTACCAAAGTTTGGTTTTTCTTCCCTATGTTTACAAATACTTGAATGAAATTTACAATAAATGATTTTTCACCTGTGCCCGTGAAATCACAAGTGTGCATTAAATCCACGATCCCGTTGGAAGCTCCCATAGTAAGATCTCAAGGGTTTCCAACACAATAGTCAAAAAGCTATATCCGAAGGAGAATCAGCGGGAGGTGGATTCCATGTTCTCGGGTACTGTTTTCTGGGACATTTTTTCTGATTATTTTGAAGTGAGAATTCGCCACTGGCAGGCAAGCGGATGCAATTTCCCAATCAAAGGAAAATCTGTAGATTGCTGAATCGATCTGTGTCAAGCGATTTGAAAATGGCATATGGCAAGTGAATTTCATGTCTTCTTGTCCATTTAAACGGGAAAAAGAGCAACAGAAATGTCACTTACAGAAGATGCGGCACCTGAGAATGACCGCACTACTGAGCTTTTATCTGACGGCGCCAAAGATAATGTGGAAGAACTTCTGCAAACATGGTCCGCATATTCAGCCACTTTGCCATCAAACGATGCGACTTTGCTTGGAATCGCAGTCGAGATATGCAAGATCTTATCAAGGCGGAACAGCTTTAATGCTTTAGAAGTCTTCCTAGAAAGATTGCCGAAAATTTCTGAATACGATAGAAATGAAGACATTCTTCGCTCTAAAGTTGCACTTGCTGTACGCAAGCGACAGTCCAGGGTTGTCGTCGAAATCATCAAGGTACGTCAAATTCTTCTTATAAACATCAGGAGGCCTTGATTTCGACGAGATTTTCTATTGCGTTAAGTTTGAGAATCTTGAGGCAGGTTTTCCTGTTTTACGTTACGCGACCTGAAATTTATAAGGTGATCTTGAGGCTTGTATTTTTGATGGGATTTTTTATTCTTTGTGGTGAATTCTGGTGCAAGGTTCATGAGAGGATCAAACAAATATGGATGTCTAAAACTTGACATCTGTAGGTTCTCATCGTATTCGACATTTTCAATTTCCCGAGAAGCCTGGATGAAAATTGTGATATCATTTATTACAATCGTTATGAAAAGTTGTTTTTTTAAGAGCAAGTTTGAAACAATGATTGACAAAATTAAGATATATAGAAATAATTTGGCCGTCTTATAAAATATTTTTGAACAACCCAACTTGGTGACATCTCCTACAGAAAAAGAACTACAGTATTTCATTGAAGAACGGTTACTTGTCAAACAACCTCGTATAAGAAGTTCGCTTTAAATTTATTTTGATTTTAGTACTGGAAATCAAACCAGTTTGATATTTCCGAAATTTAAACCTAGGAAATTTGAATAGTTTTTGAAACCATTTCAAATTTATCGCAAGCCACTTTGGCCGATCATCCCAAACTTCAAGTTGGAAATTCGAATGAGATCATGAAACCACTTAATGAAATAGTTGTCAGTTTCATACCTTCGTTGTCGATTTCCTCCTTTCTTTCCTTTGCTTCATCAACTCGGAGAGTCTGACCATTTCGTAAAATGCGTAAACTGGCCATTTTGGAAATAAATTCTTCCTTTGCAAAGAACAGCTTTATAAGTCTTCTTCGTTCTTGCGTTTCTCTAGTGTGCGAGTGCAACGAATTATATAGGGTAAGGATCGGTTGATAAGTCACATGACTTTTTTGTGAAGTTGAGTGTAGGCATCATAATGATCATAATCATTTCAGTATCAGAGATATCTCTTCGCAATTTTTTAAGACTTTGCTGTATGTCAAAGTTAGACTTTTAAAAATGCGATTTAAATAGGACCAATATAACTTGCTTGAAACAATAACTTCAGTTTTATTTGGAAAAAGGTTTTTCCATAATACTTTTGTCACCCACAGCTGCTGTGCTGAGAAAATTTCAGAATTGTATTGAATTACTATCGCAAGGATGTATTGCTTTGATCTGTCACTTTTTCATGCACCCGTCGCATAGGTTAAGGACATTGATAAGAATTAAATCGAGTATTCTAGAATCGAACGAAGGGTGACATTTTAATGTATTGCATATCGTTAAGAAGGTCAATGAATTAAGCCATGTTTTAAGATAATTTTTAGCGGATTATACGATCCAAGGTCTAGATCTAAGACGCTCTACTTTGAGTAGATAGGTTTTTGTATGCATGTCAAAGCCTTTTGTTTATATCAAAGACTTTTTTGGCTTTTTATAGTTATCGAAGTTGAATTTAGTCTTACTTGCAAAATTTTGTCTTTATATCTTGGCTGATTAATGCCAGGTTATTGTAGTATTTTTTAATGATTTGTGAAAGAAAGGTTAGGCTCAAAGTGTACCAGCACCAAGTTATTTCACACTACACCTCCCAGACTGTGGGTACTCTTGGGTGAAGGGATGTGTCACCATTCTCCTCTCTTAACACAATCGCTGGTTTAGTTTGATCTTGTGGGTAACATAATCATCATTTGCAGTGGGGCCACTTGACATTTTTGGAGGGTGCCATTGTTCAGAAGGCAGGGAGGAGACTGAGAAAGGGGAGAAGTGATACACATGGGAGGATGCGGGCCAAAAACTTGTGAGAATCTCGTCGTTTTAAAGACCTACCAAGCGTCTTTTGAATATACAGCACTCAATTTAGATTGAGAGAAAGAATAGGCATTTCTATTGCTTTCTCTAACTCCTGGCTATTACTGCTATTCTTGCTCAAAAGCTAAATCACTTGTGACTGAGGGAGAGCTAATCTAGTAGATATATAATAATATAAATAATAAATAATTTGTTTAAAGTTGGCGTACTAAATGAACGGCTGATAGCTATAAAGAAATGGTAAATGAACGGCTGATAGCTATAAAGAACTAGATTTGTAGTTAGGATGTGTTGACGAGATTTGTAGTCAATTCATGAGACAATCTTTTGTATTTGTTAACAGAACAATGACTTCGAAGATGGCGAAGACCTGATAAAGGCCTGGGACGAGGCTCATTATATTATGGAAGAAGACAGGCTTCAAAAACCTTTAACACCACTTGCGCGATTCAGGGTGAGAAAGAGACACCCTCCACCGCAGACAATTTGCCCAACTGGAGTTAGAAAAATGGCTTCATTGCCAAAAGGAGCCACAAGGGTTCTGAAGCAATGGCTGATGGAGCATTATCACGACCCATATCCGACCGGTGAGGAAAAAGTAGCTCTTGCAAAGTTATCTGGGCTATCGTCCAATCAGGTTGGTTTGCCTGCATATGTTTGTATGGTCTCATTGTGAAGCATATATTTGTTATGATTATTATTATAACCATCGCCATACGTCGCTTATCGTACAAGCACTCCTTGAAAAGAGTTATTTAAGTGGTATAAGCCACTTGTCAACCAATCTTCGCCAATCAAAAGCCACGTGAGTCGAATCTGACTCAATGATTGGCTAACTATTGATTGACAGTTATGTTGAGCCGCTTCAGTATAAGTTGATTGCCTTTAATATCGTTATCAATACACAATACACATTTCAATTCCTAAAGTGATTACAGAAGTAATGACGCAGCGTTGGCGCTGTTATAGAGTTCTAAGTATGACATCATAAAAACATATTGATTTTTTTCGACCAGATTAAAAAACACAATGAAATTTCCTTAAATATGGAAAAATCAAATAAATATGTCCATGATTTGGTGAGATATGGCAACGAATGACTGCAAGTTTGCTAACGGATTGGATGGGGACGAGCCTGTGCTTTCGTCACCAAATCTTACTCAATTTTAGCCCATATCTCAACCAAATAAACACAATTAGCTGATTTCGCACAGTTAGAGATTTGTCAAGATGCTCTTACAGGCTTTATGCTCCAAATTCAAAAAATTTTAAAAAAAATATTTAAAAATAAGATTTCTGTGAAGCTGTTACTTTGAAGCTCTATTCCGAGTTGACTAGATCCGACAGGAATCAAAGCTCACAAAATTGACTTATTGTAGCCGTAATGAAAACTGGAGTTTCGTGGCAATTCTACATTAAATTACATATTCGATACCATTTCAAAGCAGTAGGAAAGTAACACTTGCTCTTAAAGGATTTTCTTCTACCTACAACATAAATATCTTGCCACACATTGTCAGCTTTTTCCGAGAAAGAACGTGCTCCTTCAACACATTTGCCAAAGGCTTGATTTGAAGCAGTGAGAACATAGACAACTTCTTTATCAATTAGATTTGTGTCATCTATGGTAGACTGATCATATATAGCCAAAATCATGAACGTTTATACTTTAAAAATGTATTTAAAGACGTTAGCATAGCTACTGAAAACGAGCTTCAACTATTGAATTCAAATTGAAAGCTACACGGTCGCTCAGCCTAAATCTATGACTACCTATCTGAAAGTACCTTCTCTAGCGAGCATGATTATTTGAATCACACAAACAATTCAAATGGATAACATCCACAACTTGATGTCAGTCATTACAAATGTAAAACACATCAAATCAGAGTCCAGAAAGGTTATGAACCTTCCTCAAGACAAAAAAAATCCCAGAAGACAGACCTTCGTTACAAAACAATAGAAAAAGGGCGTGGTTTGGGTGTGTCGTAGGAGGTTCTATTGTTTTTCGTGGACCTTCCTCCGGTCAGTGACCGTGCAACTGTAATGTTTTCCTTAGTAAGGGTTTGGCTTCTTTCTTTAAACTAATTATGGACAATCACTACCCTTTAGAAAGGGTTAGGCTCTTGCCTTTTAATTGACTGTTTCTTGTTTCTTGTATAAGATTCATCCTACAACTGTCTAAATTGCCATTTCAGGTGAAGACGTGGTTTGCTAATGCAAGAAGACGCATCCACAAAGGTGGTGGCTCTCTACCTGGTAAAGGAAGCCACAGTGCCTTTGAGATTAAGGATCACGGAAGAAAGCCGTTGATGAATCGGAGCGATGCCCTTGATTCGTATGCAAGTTTGAACTTACCTTCAGATGCAGTGAGTAGCTGTATGACTGTATTTTTTCATGCCTTTCAGATGGGAAATGCAGTTTTCTTCAAACTGCCTTTACATCTTGTATCAGCTATGTTTATTTCGCTTTCTCTGATTGGTTTACACTCATCCCGTTCATTTTAAGTCATCCTGACTGGTTTGAGGAAAGCCATTTTATTGTATCGTCATAAGCGTTTGCATTGAATAAATCATCTTGATAGCTGTATCCAGAACTTGTTGATCGGCTCCTTTCACCTAAGCTTGTCAGCAACAAAAGTTTAATATCGCATCTTACCTTCGCAACAAAGTCATCAATGTATACAAAGAAAAGAAGTGGTCCCAGAACTGATCCCTGGGTAACTGTCCTTCTGAAACTTTCATTTAATCATTGGCACTCCTTGTATTTTCAGAGCTCTGCGTTCTCAAACTGTTTACAGTCACGATTTGAGCACACTTGCGACGTCACTGATCATGCAAAGATGACAAATTTTAGTTACCGTTGCTTGCACTCAGTGTTTAATTCCCATGCATGTTTGCATTGCAAAGGAATGCCTCAAGTCACCCCGAATTATGACGAATACGGATTAGCTGACAGGTAAGTGATTTTTTCGAAATGCTTTCATAATCATTGGATTCCGTCATTATACAATTAACGTGCATTTATATAAAACCGTCTGTAAGACACTGAAGTATTAAGAAGCCATCTTACTGCTCACCCTCGACCTTGGTTAAAAGTTCAAAAATCCATCTTTAGCGGATAGGGCGGAAAGGGTTCGACGATTAGGCACCTATGCCTTGTAAGATTGAAATAGGAAGAAAAGCTCCTTGCAACTGATAAGATGTTGTACTTCATGTTAATCTTATATAATGTTTTTTATTTCTAAAATGACAGCTCTTTTGTGATTGGTATTTAAAGGCTCTTGCGCAACCGGGACGCTTTGCGACGATGATTCAAAAGACCAGGCCTAATATCGTACTGCATGAAAATACAAAACACATTCAATTTCTCAAGACAACGTCCGCTATGCATGCCGGTTGACCAAGAGCCTTTAAGAAGCCTTTAAGAACCTCTAGTGCAAACGTCAACAATAGAAATTTAGAGAAAGTGAGTACTGATATCGAGCTTGGTTTCTTAAGAGTATGCGCTTATGAAAGTATATTAAAATATGTAGTAGGATATATGTTATAGCTCCCTCGATTAATATGCTATATTCTTTGGTTGTCAAAACTTAAGAATTATGCCTTTGCTTTTGCCAAGCAAGCCTGTATACTGGTCTTACATTACCAACAAATGGTTCTTTCAGTGAACAATGTAAAATTAAACTATGTAAAGTAACTTTAAACATTTCATAAAAAGCTTCATATGCTTCGGGGCTAAAGGAAAACTTTCAGGGTGAAGTATTTTCGCAAGTACTCACTTTGGGCTCATGTTTGTTATGAGTGTTAACAAAGCCTTTTTGTTGGTATGCACAGAAAATATTGAATGTTTTTTTAATCCTTGGTAATCAATTTTTACAAGCATGATACTTATTGTTGTTTTTAATCCAAATAGGTATACACCACATACCACTAACTCTGGCATTAATCTCCCAGTCTACCCAACACCTGGATATTCATTCCCACGATGGCCTTACTACGCACCTGTTCAATACAGACACGAAGGTTACAACAATCTTACTCCTTCCTATCATTCATATTTTCATATTTGTATTTTGATGTTTTTCATAACATGACCAAACTGATACGAAAGCAAACATGATCTTTAGCTATTTACTGTCATTGTTATATACTGTTGTAACGACCGTAGCTCTTTATAACTGTTTTTCTAAGTTTTAATTGCCTTTTAATTGCATCCTAAGTTTTGAAAAATTTTCATTTAAATGTTATAAGTCAACAGAAAACATCTTTTATAATGCTGATCAAGCAAGGTCTTTTCTGCCCACTCTCTTTTTCAAAATTTCACCTGCCTTGTATAAACAAGCCAAATTGACTGCTAAAATCTGTTTCATTGCATGTGTTGAGTTTTTCTCCTCTCAGACAATTTTGACTGTTATATTTTCCCGATTGCTCTTTAGCTTCTGATTTCGCAATTTCGATTGATTTTCTTTCTGCAAAGAAAGACGAATTTTTGTCTACGTTTTCAGCAAATTTGACTTTTATCAATTTATTTCTCTTCACCATCATGAATAAAAGCTTTTTCTTAGATTTAAATGTTGTTTTTTCAAGTCAAGTGATGAAGGTTTTTTTCTTTGCGTTTATTATTTAATTTTTGAGACATTTTCATCTTGCAAATCTTTTGTTATTTACCAGATTTTGACCCTTGGTACCGAGGCCAAAGCAACCAGAGCGATTTCCACACGCACTACCAAGATTTTGACCCAACAACGATGCCTGTTGAAAGGTTTATTCTTTATTATCTACACCCATCTCTTACTACGTTTTGCACCACTTTACCTTTAATGGCGCTGATTTCCTTATTTTCCAGAAAATCTTGATCTGCAGATTTTATTCTTTGAGGTCTCATATATTGTTGAAAATATAGGGATTTGGTCTAGCTCAAGCAAATGCCAGTCGTTCAACGTATGCATTTACAGATAATAACGAGAGATCCTTCTATACCCTATTCATAATTAATTGTTTCAATGTAAGCAAAGCCAGGCTAATTCAATATTGGTTTTCATGCTTCAGAAACTTGTGACTTGAATGTACGAGCTTTTTCATTTGTTTATTTCCAAAAAGCTGAATCCAAATTGATGTATAACTGTCTATTTTCTGTTAAGGTGATTGGCTCTTTATAATAATTCTAATTTGATTTATATTTCGAGGTTAAGAGACTAAGTGATATTGATCTTGCTGTAGTCAAGGTATTGGGATTTGCGCCATGCATTTCTGTCAATTGTAAAAATCTTGTTATTGCCAATGGTTAGTTTCGTAAAGCGACTTAATTATTATTATTGTTATACAAAGTATTTGTAAGGGTTTGAGGCTTCAGTATATATATACTTTATATGAATGTAACTGATATCAATGCCTGGTCGGTAGAATTCACTTTGAAACATTCATGTGCTTTCCGTTATAGAAATTTCCCTTCCTAATGTGGATAATGGATATCCTAACATCTTCTCTTGCTAGATTCCAAAAGTTCTTGTGGAAGAATATGATAACCCCTGTCTTACATTCGTGTGTATATATGTGTTTATTTTTCCCAGTTTTATCTATGCCAATTTTATCATAAAACAATTAAAAACAGGGGCGGTCAAATATTGGGGGGGATACTTATTGTTTTGATAATATGACGTCACATTTGTTTTAGAACAAAAGAAGGCTGTCCTCCAAAATTCCTGCTGAAAAATCCCCTCCTCCCTCCCCCAGGTGTCCGCCACTAGGGTTATTGCTATAAGAAAGTGTAGTTAGCACTGAAAAATAGCTTTCAAACAGTTAGGTTATTATATCGAACTGTGAAAAGATTTTTATGTTAGGTTTAGTTTTATTACAGAGAGTTTGCGATAATTTGTAGCTTTTGAACCACCGTTCAAAGGCCTAATCTTCATTTTGACAAAATACTCGTGGCCCGATGTAGCCAAGGTCTCGTATAGTTGTTATTTTATTTCAAATATTTGGCGCTTCTTTCAACTATCGAATCTCATCAAAGAAGTAAATATTTTAACTTCACGGTGATACCCTTTCTTAAATATATCCATCAATTGGAATTTAGAACACCAACGAATCATTATTTGGAAAATTTCTTTTATTCTTTGCGTTCATAAAACTTATTTGAGCTTAGTGGAAGCTTAACAGATTAATTTCTTATTTTCAGACGATCTTCTTACTAATCCCAAATCATTCCCTATCCCAAAATATTGATTGTTTTACGTAGCAACAAAGAACGAAATTTATTCGCTTAAAAATGTTTTGGTTGCAGAAAACCCACAATGGCTCTACCTATATTTTAATTTATGCCATTACTTTTCTTGGTCAAACACTTTTGTCCTAAGCTGTTAAACGCTGACCTACCTAGGAATTTTTTAGCAGATTTCGTGAACGTCTTTTCTTGAAAAATGTGAACAATTTTTTTTGCGGTGCAGAATTTGAAAATGGCTTTGAAAAAAGCAAACATTTTACAACATACTAAAACCTACAAGATCGAGACCTACAATACTTTTGCTGTCAATCCTCGTATTGTTTACAGCACTAGGAGAGCCCTTCCATCCATTCAAAAGGATTGCGTTTTTACCAACCAAAAAAGTTCCGTCATTTATGAATTTACATGCCAGTGTGATTCTGGCTACGTAGGACGCAGAACCCAAAGATTGGGGGATAGGATAAAACAGCACGTTCCTTCCAACATAAGAAACAAAACTGCCCCTCAAAGAGAACAGCCTCCTCGATCTTGTAGGTCTAGAAACACTGTTAAAACAAGTGATTCTGCCATAGGTCAACATCTTTTAGACAACCCAGATTGTGCAAGACTCTATAATGACGACATGTTTCGGATAATTGGCAGAGCCCGGTCGTCCTTCCATCTAGCAGTTTTGGAGTCGATCTACATACCAACGAAAAAGCCGCCATTGTGTAAACAGAAGGAGTTCGTTTTCTCTTTTGGACTCCAGTGTTAATTTTTCTTTAGGCTCGCGGCACTGATTGGTCAACTATACCGGTCTTGTGCTTGCGTTTTTCTAATTGGTCTATTTCGATCCACAACTGGGTATATATTTTTCATCGTGTTCATTCATTCGGAACCATATTCTGACGTTTTATGCTCTGAGGAGTGTCAGACGAAAAAGCTTTTAGTATGTCGTAAAATGTTTGTTTTTTCCAACCCATTTTCGAACATCTTTTCATTTAGAATATACACGATAGACTATAACTAGATAAAGTTTTGTTTCTGCCATATTTTTCATTCCTTTTTACTGTTCTTTCTTATCCAATATTCTGTTTCGTTTCTGTATTGTAGCAAGGTAACATTAGGTTGCTGTATTTGATCTTCTTTTTCATGCTGTCTTTTTCCTAGAATCGGGTCACTGGATAACACCACGTTGATTGATTCGTGCCTTCAGAACAGCAATAATGATCATGGCAAGACCCACAGTATCGAGATAGGCAAAGATGAGTTGACAGACGTCGGCGCTGCTCGAATATTGGCCGATCTCTCCACTAAACCAAATTTCAGCCTTCAGTACGATGACACGGATAATATCATATCTCATGGGAATCATATATAGAGAGGATCAAGCCAAGGGCAATCCTAAGATGACGAAGAAATAAGAGATAATCATGATTTTAAATGGCAATGAACCGTTTTCGATTCTTTAAGAATTCAATAACTGTTAAGTGATTTTGATATTTTTTATCCCTTGTAATGACTGTGGATTCAATCCGTTTTGCCAAGCAAAAAAAGATTTTTGACTTCATGGTGATGTCAACTTATTTGTTGTTTTTGTTGTTGAGATTCAGAATTCGTATGTACTAGAATTTGTTTTGACGCTATAAAAATAAATATTTGTGTTTTGAAAGTTTTTTAGAAAACGGTTATTATTTAGCTGAGAAACGTTAGCGGAGTTTGAATTTGTCCTTTGAAGTTTATTTTAGTTTCTTATCCTTCCATTTTTTTTCTTATATTCTTCGAAATAGCAAGAAAAGCAGAAGCTTTTTAACAAGACATCCATAAGTTTCGTAGTGTCTTATTCAAAATGGCAAGAGACAGCAGAATAGGGCATTCTAAAATACTTTTTATACGATGCTTCTCAGGGTAAAAACATTAGATAATTACCAAAAGGTTAAAAAAGGTTCATTTCAACATTTCAATGTCTGAGAAATTTCTAATGAAAAATGCTTTACTATGTTATAATTGCACTTTTCTGTGCTATTTTAAGTTTTGCAGTACAAGAAACTTCTCACCCCACTGCTTCTAAAGGGCTAAAAGGGTGTTTTGAAACAAGTCCATAGTACTATAGGCCTTATTTTCATTTTTTATTGTTTAATGCTTACACTTCTATGGAATTCCGTTGTATTATTGATTGTTACCTATCACTTTTGATATTTTTGTTATTCAACATCTCTATCTTGATATTTTGTTTCCAGCAGTTACGTCACTGAACTAACAGACTGTTAGAAAAAGCTGTGTAAATTGGTCATACACTAAAAGAAAGCAATGTAATCCTATATGTGTATAAGTGATTGTGGATATGAATTGCCTGTCAAAAACATATTCCGAGCAAACGTGTTTTTCAAGTGTCAGATCTTCCGCATTTGTTCAAATTGTATTTGAGGGTCACGGTACCAATTTTTTATTACATGTTGAAGACACTAGGTTAGATTGTTTAGAAAGTCGTAATTATTGACATCGGTAGTGAAGAAAAATATTATCTTGCATTCTATGTTATTACAGCCCGTAGTTATTTTTGTTTTACTTGAAAGAGCTTGCTTCACATTAAAAGAGGCGTTCAGGACATTAGATTCAGTTAAACTATAATAATATTTTTAAAAGCACATCCGGAATTAAAATTCAAATATATTTTAGAAATATTTTAATGTAATTTAACCTTTAAATCATCCTCTAGGAAAATATCAATATCTGATTTTATTATATTAATCAATGATGGATTAAATTAAGCATGTGACACGAATGAATATCAGTTTTCGAAACAGCCTTAGAAACCGTTGTAGGGGGTCCAATTTGTTTTAAACGTTTGTACCTGTCTTCAAGTAAGCAATAAAATCTAGAATAAGCACCAGATGTAGTCTTCGCTCAAGTGTTCAAAAAATTCAAATGCAACATAACCTAGTAAAGGTCGCTTGCAAGGGTCACAAAGAAGATTTTGTGGAATACTCGCTTTTAGGCACCGTCAGTTTTAATATTCATCAGTTCCCAGGATCACATCCTTTGCTGAACTAAATTTCTGATATGCAACTGTTTATAATGTTTGCTACAACTAAAGGTACTATAGGAAATTAAAACAGGCTTTAGAGTGATTTCCAGACACCTAAAATGTCAACAAGTAAGATTTGATGTAGAGTCTCAAAATGAGGAAGAAAGCTTTTAGAATCGAAGCAAGAAGACATCAGGGTAAAACTGCTTTAAAACAGTCCATTCTATTCATTATATTCATTCTTTTAATACATTAAGTAAAAAATGGAACGAAGACAGTAAATTGTAACTGCATATCATGAACGAAACGCAACACTTCCTAGCACTATTAGCCATTAAAATGCTAACAATTAATGTTAGGAAGTATAAAACAATCACTTTAAGAATTGATCTAGATACGATCAATTTACAAAAGTTTAATTTATTATACAAACATATAGCGATCATTGTACGATGTTCATTTTCGTCGTCAACAAACTGAGAAATTTTAAAAATCAATTTTGTCGTTAATCTATGATAAATAACAGTTTAAAAACTTTCTGTACCTAAGTTCTCCTTCAAACTCTAGAATATGTACTAATATTTGGGGCCTATGAAGTATCATTTTGATAAAAAAGGTGAATTTACTTTCAAAGTCAGGTGACAGCACTTTGTTCCATTGTTACTCTACTATTATGAACACGTAATGCCATGAATTTATTTTTTGAATATGCAAAAGCAGAATTTCAATCGCAAGAATATGTACATGCTAGTCTTTTGGATCTAGTAATTTGTTATAGGTCGAACTTTTCTTAGAGCTAAAAAACTTCATTGGCTTAAAAGCATCACATTGGCTCTTTATAAAAGCTCTTTCTCAACTCTGGGAGAAATTATTTTGTTTCTCGAAATCAAAGAGGTTCATATTCTTCATTGCAAAATAAAACATTTTTTATTCAGAATTCTAGTTGTATAGTTGATCTATTTATACATCGTGGGAACATAAGAGTCAAAGATAAAAATATTTATGAAAAACACGGGAACCATTATGATATCTCGACAGTGAAAAATTCTGTGAAAGATAATAATTTTCTTTTTCACCTGTCAATTATGTAATTGATAACAAATTCAATTGTATATAAAGGGATAAGGTAAATGTATTTTATTTTTAAAATCTAGTTCGTAAACAGTTTATAAACGCTCTTTTCTGTTGCCCAAAATATTTTATTTCAATCAACATATTTCTTATTTTCTCTTGTTTTTGAACTTTTCGTGTTTTTCTTCCTGTTGTTTTAATCAAATGGTAAATCAATTTTTAACAACTTGAAATAGTTGTTTGTATGTTGGTGAGAAAAGTCACGAGTGATATCTGTGATAAAAGATATCGCGAATCATTTTTAATTAGCATTTAATCACGATGCATGTATTTATTGCATCAGTTATTCAATCATCGCAGTTTTGACCACATTATACAACTCTAACATTTTGCGTTTGCACAAATCTTGCATCCAATGCTAGCTCTCTTCTGCCCCTCCCCCCCGCCCCTCCCCCTTATGTTTGAATGATGCAAAGTCACATGCAACATCTGAGTGATTGGGCGATAATTTATGTCATGGCAGCTTTGCATAATGTCATAATTTATGTCTGGGGGCTTGCGCGATAATTTATGTCATGACGGCTTTCTCGTGTCATAATAAATGCCTGAGTGCTTGTGCGATAATTTATGGGCTTGAGCGATAATATATGTCATGGCAGCTTTGCATAATGTCATAATTTATGTCTGAGGGCTTGTGCAGGATTGATGTCTAAGGGCATGATTGATGTCATGGCAGCTTCGAATAATGTCATAATTTGTATCTGGGGGCTTGGGCGATAATTGATGTCATGACAGCTTTGCATAATATCACAAGTTAAGTCTGAGGGCTAAATTAGATTCCACAAATCCTGACATTATTATGCTTCATTGTTATACCATATCCTGCGCGTTAAAGTCACGTAGTTGATCCAAACATCTGCTGATATGTATATGCGACTAAGAAAAAATGATTTATAAACAAAATCAAATTATGTGTTACCTAATCTGGACACAAATAATGCACAACCTGCTCAGTTTATAAATTTTAATAAAGAAAATTAAATATGCTTGTTGTGTTGTTTTGTACATGCAGCGTAATCAATTTTAAGTATTTATGAACCTACCTTTACATTTTACGTTTTATTCCTAATCTTTTCGGATGTAATTCTGAATACTTTTTATAAAACTAAACTAGGCATTTCTTGTAACTTGTCTGGATAAGCAATTATGATGGATTATTTTATCAGCTTGCTTTTTAAGTTGATAAGCAAAGCCATTCGTTGCTAAACTGGACATATTTTGTGAGCATGAGAATCTCCATTTTTGACATGAAGCAAATATTTCAAATGAAACAGAAATTAATACAGGTTGTTATCGCATTGATTTTAGAACTACAATTATCTAAACAGTCAGTCCCTATACACAATATAAATGAAAAGTAATAATTTTAAAAAGCCTAACTGTACAATTGGTGCTTTACGTGAACGAGACGTAAACAACATGGTTACAGCATGAGACTGTAAATGCCTGCTTTGTCTGACTTCAAAAGCTGCTTTTTTGTAATTTATGTTTTTTTCTATATCACGTGATTGGCAAAAAATAATATCGGGTATTGATATCTTTTCAGAGGATGTTTTTAAGATTAAAGTTGATTAAAAGTATTTTCAAAATGTAATTTATTGGAGTTCAACTGAATCTTAAGTCTTGAATGCCTCCATTTATTTGAAACACGTATTTAAAAATTAAATAATATTTTTTGAAATTGTACATGAACATGAATATTTTCACTTTTCATCATAGAAATTGATGTATCATTTAAATTATGCCTATACGAAATCCAATACATTGAATTCACAAAATCCACATTTAAACAACGATTCACACGGCACAACACATCACTTATCCAAAACACAAACAACCATGAACAAGCTAAACTCATCTGGCAGTTAAAAGATAAAAAACAAATAAAAAGTCTTCTGGTCGGTCATGTCAAGAACAGGAGTATACACGAACAAAACGAAACGATGCAACTTTTGTCCAGTTAAAAAACCAAATATTGAGGCCAGAAAGCTTATCTGTTGGATACAAAAGGTAGAACAGGGCCTATGCCATGAATTTGAAAGTGGGGGGGGGGGGGGCAAGGCTTTTCTCCTTTTACTGCAGCTTTAAAACTACTTGCTTTGCAAAAGGGTTGGGGGATTCATGGCCCCTCCGGCCCCCCGGTGGCGTGGGCCCTGGTTGTTATCTTATATTGAAATGCTGCGAAGAGGTTTTTGCCTAACGAACTTCAAAATATATGTATAAAATAAGGGGAAGCTACGACAGCGAGGCCTCCGTACAGCCTCGATTCTTCCTCAAGGCGAGTACCCTTTCAGGAATAGTTGAGGCTGAGAGCAGGCAATAAAAGTGCGAATCATGAGTGACTGTGGATACGATGACAATGCGAGGTGTAAATTACAGTGACAAAGTGGAGGACATGTTTTTGCCGGGTGCACGCAGATCATGAATTACAGATCTAGACATCTCTTAGGTTTCACGTCAGCATTGTAGCCCTGTTCAAAGTTCTGTTTATATATTTTATAAAGTCAAGTTATCAAAAAATTGATTGAATTTAGAGGTTGTGTTAGATAAGAGGCTTGCAAGTCTCTGTTTGCTAGATCTTGCTTCAAACAAAGTCAACATATTGTACGATGCAAAAATCCAAAAACGTTATGATGTACAAAGAAAATATTGATACCCACACATCAAAATAAAATAATTTTCCATTTTGCGTTTATCAATGTTGACCAGAAGACCCACACCCCAATAAATGTTACGGGACCCCACCCCCCAGATTAAGAACATTAAGAACCTCACTTTAGTGCTGCCTCTGTCCTGTAAATGTCATGGAATTTCAAGAATCCGTATCTATGTTGACAATGTCCCTAATGACCCATTCCGTTGTCATTTTCGAGTCTCTTGACATTAGCACGACCGCCTTCCGCATTTCATTAAGAAACTTTCCCAAAGCGGCGTATTCCAGGAACACGATTTTGGACAGAGAACACGGACAGGCATGATAACATAGGTAATTCTCAATTTCAACTTGATTCGTTTACAATTGCTACTTTGTTTACAACCAATGTCAGTCGTTATTTTCCAAGTGACACTTTCATAACAGCTAATAAACTGAGATTCCGGCTACGGCTAGCTGTTCTTAGTTTTTTCCAAAACTGCCTTTTGTTCACTAATTTGTTCTTTAGGTAAAAAATTATGTGAAACTTTCAATATGTATAGTGAAATCAGCA